TAACACAGGCTAAATGTAAACTGAAATAGAAAAATGAGAAATTGTTGACAGCAAGAAAAATATAGAATGCCACTTTATAGATTAAATGTTTAAAGGTTGGCATACAAGGAACTTGCCCAAATGTTTTTAACATCACTGAATATCTGATAAAATAATATAAACAAGTTGTATTATTCTGACCAGGAATTTGATGCCTGCTTTCAACAGCTGTTGACAGGTTTTGATTGTTGGTGCTAAAGACAGTAGCATACACAGACACATTTCAGTCGGTACCATAACTACTGAGGTTAAGAGATCCAGCTTTGCACAATTCAGAGTTAAAAAAAATAAATAAAGAAATTCCTATCTCATACTGGCTCTTCATGTAGGCCTTCATTTCAGCCTCTGTCTGAAACAAGCTGTAGATGCTCCAGTCTCTGTAAGCCCCCCCTCTCAAAGCCCACTGTCTTCTGATTGGCCATGACCTGAAGCATGTTACCAGGGTGGTGGTGTCATTGAGCAGTACAGACAGACTGGCTGTTGAGTTTGCCAAGTTCGGACTTCTGTACTTTAAAGGTCGGACTTGGCAAGTTCAGCTTGGGAGTACAAACTTCCAGGAGCGGGAGCACGCAGTCAGTCATTCAGCAATTGGAACAGCAGCGGACTTGATGACGGCCGGACCGTTAGCGGGCGGGATCTCACATATCCGATAACGTCGTAGCAATTTTTAAAATTGGCTCTGTCTTGAGAAAAACAACCACATATTTGTAGTTTAAACAACTATATTCCCGCATTACAAACTCTTAAAACTTCTATATGTGACACAAGAACAGCAGTATTATAAGTTACAGTTTTCTCGTCCGACATTTCCGCTTTTTAGCAGCGAAATGCATCCTGGGATATCTGGCGATCCGAGGTCCACACAAGTCACCACCAATGCAGGCTCGGTAAAACGGGCGGAGCCAGAACACATCCATCCATGGATTTAATACTTTCACCTCATTTGAAGCTTTGGCCATGTTTAACATGAACATCCAACATTGTAGATAAGTCATAAAAATATGGAAAAGCAAATTGGTCTCCTTTTAACTATTAGTACAGTCTTAATGAATGAAAACAATGTACCCAAAATCTGAAGTACAGTGCTAATTTGCCTCCTTGACTGCTGTTTTCTGTTCAAATCAGGGTAACTACAGATGGTAGTTAAAAGGAGAGAACAACTGGAGAAAGACACCCCACATTGTAAAAATCGGTCTGATCACTACTTTGAGCGTCACTGCACTTCACATAATTCCAATGTTGTTTCCCAGCCTTCCCCCTTGATAAGTAGCTGGTGAGGAAATAACACTTGAGTGCGTTTAATGAATGGGTAATTTGTGCTCCAGTGTCTGTCAGGTTACTTGAAAAGGCCACAGTTAATCTGGTTGGGAAGAAAACACTGTGGCATTAGGATGTCTGAAGACTGCAGAGAGAAACTCGCACCTGACATGTCGCATGTGTTGATGGCTGTTTTTTACAGAATGAAGCCAAGCTTTCCATACTGGTACTTGGCTTCGCGTTTACATGTGTGCATATGTGACTGTTGTATTCTACTCTGGTTTTCCATCAGCAGATTCTTCTTGCAGCCTTTAATAGCTGTTGTTTTTGAAGCAGACCTCCCACCATGCCATTGTCAGCATAGTTTATGGCTTTGAGCTCCCTCTTTCTGCTCCGCTGCTTCTCTTGGGCCCGTCGCTCACATGATATAAGTTCTACAAGCTTTTAACCTGCTGCAACCTGTGTTTTGTACCTGACTATGAGACGTTGCTACAGTTAGTTTTAGCTGTATCTGGGGCGTCATTGTAGCTGAGAGCACAACACATTGAACATAATGCGTTCCATCAGATTCCCGCTGTGTTAAGGTGCTTAGTCATATTGGAGCTACTTCCTCCCCTGCGCTAAATCTCCTTACTGCAGGTGGTGCATGTCATTTTTGAGCATTTGCTGCACTGCCACCATGATCCAGGAATGTAAACTGAAGTACTTTCTTCTTCATTATTTGTTGATATACTGCTTAACAAATAATACGTAATAGGATAGGCAGATAAGTGACATTTCTATGGACAGTAAAATGCTCCCTGAAGTTTAACCGAGAGCAAGACTGAAATATGCAAAAATGTAGGTCCCGATAAGCAGAATTCAAATGCACGAGCCTTAACAAATCCAGGGCTCTTTGAAATGTGATAATGGTTTCAACTAGTTATTTCATTTTCACTCAAACAGCTAAGCTAAGTACAGTGGAGCTCAAACAATTAATCGATTAGTCAGTCGAAACTAAATGAACAGGTAATTATTTTCATAATCGACTATTGACCGTGTTTTTGTTTTGTTTTTTTTTTTAAAGAAAAACATCCAAACATTCTTTAGTTTCCAATCATAACTATTTTAAATGTTTTTCATTGCATAAAGGTCTTCCTAAACAAAGAATCTAAAATTAATGTTTTAAGATTTGTGCTGAGAAGTTTTGCTGTCTCTTCTTTTTCTTTTTGGTGCCATGTTTTCTAATTCTTATTACCACAAAAAAAAGGTTTTTCAACATGCAACTTAAATCCAAGGGGTAGGTATGGCGTACTAACGTATGTTCTTACTGACAAACCCTAAAAGACAAATACACATGTAACCACTTACATAAATGCATTGTAAAAGGTGAAAATATCCAAACGCAGGTATATTAAAATGCTTAATACCTTTTACTGTCAAGAATGATGCAACAAATTTTCGCCAGGGGCCATATTACAGAAACGTCCTAACGGGCAGATCCTGTCCTAACTGCTTGGTAACTTTTGCTTTTCCACCAGGTAGTGTTTGCTAACTCGTTTAATCCACATGGCTGCTCTTGAATTGCTTTTACAAAGTAAATAAAATGTCAACAGGTGGAACTTATTAATTGATTCCACCGATGTGTTTGTTGACAAGAAAGGCTGTAGGCGATGTAGATAATGTCTCATTATGTAACACAATGTAAAGGCTTGATGTAACAAAAGGATCCAAATGCAAGTCTTTGATAGGAGATCGTTAAATTCAAGAAAGACATGAAGACGTTAGCCCGCAGCCTTTGTTGTTGTTGTTATTTTTTTACCTTCATTGTTAACTTTCCCGGGAAGACTGGTTTCTGCCGAGGTCAGTGAGGGAGCACAGGAGGAGCCACCAGCGGGTTTCCTCCACTCTTTGGACACAACAGTTGCCTTTCTCTTCGTATCACTTGTAAATGGACTAATTTTCTTTTTGACAGCATCAACGCTCCGCTGGATGGCAGGTAGCCCGTGCGGCTGAGACTGTGTCTGCTATTTTAGCCCACTCCCTTTAATCTCCCGAGTTAAGCGTTATGTGAATTTGGATTTCTCGACGGAGGTTACAAACACCTTTAAGTCATCTGACTTGAGGTTCAATGATAGCTGTTGTTTCTGCTCCATTTCAGTTTGTTTCATTAAAAAACTACCAAAAAAAACAACGATTAAAAGCCGTTTAGCTCAGCGAGATGAGAAAAGTGACATCAGTTGCTAGGTAACAGACATAAAAGTTGATAACCGATGTTGGATTGAGTATTTAGGATTTCCTAACCTGAGATAAGATTAAGTAAAATAGAGAGTTAGTTGGGATTTGCTTCTGTAATACCAAACTGGGAAAAATCCAATCTTAGACTCTTCCTATCTTAACTTAATCCTTAAGATAGGAACGTTCTGTACGGCCTCAGGAGAGAAGGATGTTTGAGACCAGTAACCCCTGAGACCGGTCAGCCTGCTGTATCCTAGTGTTGACGTTTTCTTTGAGGAAGCTGGAGTTGGACGTATGTGACGCAGCCAGCAGTGAGTCAAGGCAGCACTGCTGATATTGAGGGACAGAGGCAAGTGAGCTGGTTAAGACGGAAAACTGTGACTCATGCCGCAGGCCTTTGTCACGGACTTATGGCACTGTGGATCATATGTCTGACTGCAGTTATGAGTTTTCTTGCCCAGTTTCTGCTCTGAGCTCTGTGTGTGTGTGTGTGTGTGTGTGTGTGTGTGTTATTCACTGATGAAAAGGGATCAAGTGGCAGACATCAGTCTTCAGAGAAAACACACACTCAGTTACTTGACGCTCCATAGATTCTGGGCTGTGGTCCCCAATTTCTGATGATTCTTGCTGTAAGTGTTGAGGCGGGCTGTCTGCTTCAAATGCAGTACTAAGGCTTGTTTTCATCAGCAGTCCCTTTGCCTGATACAATAGTTAAAAACATATTGTTGTGCAAAGCATGTACGATAGGGTTAAACAACATGAGCGGACAAAATCCAATAGTAGATGATAAAGATGGAGGAAAACGGCGTCAGTGTTTCTTAACATTTGCCTGAAATGAGTAATAGAATGGGGACTCTAAATGATTGTGCTACTGAGTCTGTTGATGTGATTCTCTGAAGGGAAAGACCGCCTGGCTAAATGTAGTTAGAGTAGACGGATTGATTGTTCAGTCCCTCGTAGCTGCACCTCTAGTAGATGTGAATGAGGCCAGACGGGGGAGGAGGAGCTACACCGTGCATCATCTATAAACTAAGCAGACATTTTTGTATTTGGGTTTTCCCAGCTAAGGAGATTATACTTCTTTAGAATGTGGCAGTGATGGAAACTGAATGGCCTGAAGTGCTCGTTTTGATTTTCAGTGGTTTTAAAGCTGTAGAGTGTGTGGTGTTCATCAGTGTTGCCTCTGCTGTCTCACTTGTGTGACAGTGGCTGAGCAGAGAGTTTAAAAAGTTATGGTAGGAAGGGAGAGTTGAATGTAGAGCTGTAACACTTTAATCAATTAGTCGATTGAATAGAAAGAAGAAATTGTCATTTTTCTGCAAAACAGCTAAAGTGGTCAGCTTCTCAAATGTGAGAGTTTGATGCTTTTCTTCATCTTATGTGACCGTAAATTAAAAATGTAAACTCTGAACTCGAGGATTCAGAGTTTAACACTCTGTCCTTCTGTCCTCCTCCTGCGTCCTCATGTTGTCTCTTTCCTCCTGCAGTCAGTGGGCCCGCAGGCTCCACACTGGTGCTGAGACAGGATGAAGAGGTTCAGACGACAAGGCCACGAGTCCCAGAGAGATCGGCTCAAGCAGGAACTCTTCCAGTTCAACAAGGCAAGTGAACCTGAAACAGCTGACAGACATGACCAGGAAGAAAGTGAAGGCAAAAATCACATCAGCAGAGAGCCCCAAAAGGTCTATCTGGTCCTAGTTATTTTTTAGAAAAGGATTTTCCCTAATTTAAGTGCACTTAAACAACAAAAAACAACTTTTCCTGAGCACTTTGTGTGTTTGGTGCATTTACACTGCAGAGAAGTGCACAGCTTTCAGTGTCTCAACAGGAGTTGCCAAATTGTACCTGGCGTAAACAAAAGCTTGAAAAGCTAGCATTGTGTCATTTTGTGTTACACCTACACACCCACTTTGACCTACTACATTAACAAGTGGAGGTTGTGGTTACACGAGCAAATTCCCTCCTTTCTGACTGATCTCCATTTCAATGATGATTCTCGGAAAAGTATCTACATGCTAATAAATATGCTAAATATAAATCGTTCAATGTATCCTCTATGATGCTTTACAGTCACAACCCAGAAAGAGAGAGGTTGTCTAATATGCAAGACCAGATCCTGTAGTCCACCAAGAGCAACCTTTGCCAAAGGATGTGGATGCTTTGAGCGTTAGGACTATTGGCTTACCGCAGAAACAGAATCGTGCTATTACTGCCGATGTTAACAAAAGAAGCCAAATAACACACAGCACCTAGATCCAGGGGCCAGATGATGATGCATATGCACAAAACGTATATCCACAATTTCCCACACATAAACTAGTATAATATATTTTTTAAAAACATGATAAATTAAATAATACACACAATTGACACATTCTTCTGACCAAGCATACTCTTGGTTTAAAGGGCAAGCTGAGGGCAATAATGATAAGGTGGAGATGGAAAAATAAAGTCAGAGGAAATCTTATAACTTGTTGTCAGTCAAATTTAATTAAATCTGTGCGCTCAGTTTTATTTGAATGTTTTTCTCTGTTGTAATAATCTTTGATCCATTTATTGTGAAGCACTTTGTAAAGTCTGTTTGAATTTTAGTGCCATAAACAGAATCATTAATTATGCCTCTGAATTTGAGTATGGCTGCGACATCACTGCCACTGGTGGTTTATTACTATTTATTATAAGCATATGAGGATAATTTAAAAGCTACACATCGGCACATCAGTCTGTTAGCAGTCAGGTGTAAAGCTCTTAACCTTGTTAGAGGACCACACCAATGCAACTCTGTTTTTGGGACTAAGCTTCTTCTTTGCTGCATAAAGAAGTGGATCATACACAGATATTGATAAAGCAACAGGTGTCTATGTTTGTTTAACTGTGGGAGTGGAAATCAGGCTTTACACTAGCTTGTCATTAGGTCTTGTGCTGGGATCTCCAGTTGATATAGCTCTGTTTTCAGAAATCATGAACACAGGCAGGTTGGCACAGTCTGTTCATTTTAGTATATAATTCTGTTAAAAATAGCTTTAGAAATAGCTTTTTGTTCATTTTATAATTAATTTCAGCCACCAGTTAGAGGCTTCTGATTTATTTGATCTCGAGATAATTAAATTGAAATGGAAAGAATTTCAGTTGACCAACATTTTCTTTGACCATAGCTCTAGTTATCCGTTAGCCTTTCAATTTCTTGTCTACCTGCTGTTCCTGCCGTGTGTTTTGCTGCCGTCTCTATCCTGTGCTGTCACTGTCTCTGCTGTCACAGCTCGGTCTCACCCTCCCCCTGTCTGTCCACTGTCTACTCCTCAGACTGTGGAGCATGGATTCCCCCACCAACCCAGCGCTCTGAGCTACAGTCCGTCCCTGCAGCTGCTGGCCATCGGCACCCGCTCCGGGGCCATCAAACTGTATCCTTCACTCTGCCCGTGTGTATATAGTTGTCGGGGAAGAATCTGAGCATCGTGTTTGAACTTGAGGCGGGCAGTGCTAATGAACGGCTGTGACACTGCTAAATCCTCGTCTGCATTTCACATGCGCACCTGGTTCAGGTATTTAATTTTCCCACGCTGTTGCTCTACGCTGTCTGGCATTTTCAGACAGAGGAGTCTGTGTCTCCGTAGCCTTTTGTGTCTCCGTAGCCTTTGCACAATTATGCTCATTGACAGTGCAGCAGAGCCAGTCGGTACACCCTCCCCATTGACACAGAGACACACACTGGTTTTTGACAACGGCAGTACCTTCTCTCATTAGGATAACTGCTCATACAATGCAGCAGATTGTTCCTGGATGAAACAGTAAGAGGCACAGATGAAGGAAAATCTGTAAATTTGAATATTGTAAGTCAAAGTGCAGAACACCTTCTTTTTATGTAGCACACAAATCATTTGATAACACGATGCTTTAATCAGTCTCTCTAGCTCAAGCTCTGTTGATGTTTGTCCACAGTGAGGTCAGGGTCATATGCACTTCAGCAGCCCTGGTGCTGCTTCCGTGGTTTGCTCATTGACACTTAAGCACTGTGGGAGATTAAAGTCCATTCTTCATGTTGATGGACAGACTCCCTGTTCCCTGTCAGCCTGGAGCCTGTACAGCAAAATGACATGAGCAGGGTAGCCAGCTGGCTGAGATTTTCTAGTATCATGAAGATGGCTCACTTCTAACTGAGCTAAATCACTATGGTAACCTATGGTGCACTTGAGCCTGTTCAGTTAGTCAGAGAGTTAGATCAAAATGTGTAAACCCCCTACATACTGACCATCAGCTCAGTGGAATTGAGTTACTCAAGTCAACAACTTTGCTAACGCAGCCAAACCTCAAGCAAGTGCGACAACACGTTAAATAGCAATATTACTGACTAGTCCAACACACCATCCAGGATTCCAATGCTACAGTAGCTCTGGTCCCAGAGTGGCAATGACAGAGACACCGTACTCTGTCAGTGTACTAATCAAATGATTATGGAGCTGTTATTTTAAGAGAATTACAGCGAGATGTTGCTTTAAGAAGATGTTTTTTTCCGATCGTCACAAAACTCAAAAACACAAAATCAAAAAACTTTTTCCAACATAAATGATCAATGCCTCATCTTGTTACATTCTGTAAAATATCTTCTTTTCTCTTTTTTTGTATTTTTATATCCAAATCCCTCTTCTTCCCTCTGTAAAGCAAATGTTTTTGACGATGACTCTTTAACTTGAGGGTGGTTATATAAATGCCCTGCCCATCAAATAAAACAGAGCAATATCATAATAGGTGTGTGTGTGTGTGTGTGTGTGTGTGTGTGTGTTATTATCCTGCTTCTGATTTAACATGAGGGAGGTGTGTCACCTTACAGAAGCTGAAGACTCTCAGACACCTCACCTCACTGATGCTTGGTAGATAAAGTAGAAGTCCCTGAAGAGTTAGAGTCCAGATTGTGTTCCTCTATCTTATTTCTCTTATCTCAGTGGTGTGCTCAACATAAGCATTATTTGTAAGTTAGTTTGCTATCAGACAAATATCACACATCATTAAATATTACTCAACAAAACACCCTAAACTGTAGAACACATTGAAAAACCTACCTTATTTTAAAAGACTACATTGCCTTAGCCTTACTCCTACTGGTTCTTCAGGTTCTTAGGCGGTATATGGCAATTTATATTGGCCCCTGACAGTTCTAATGGTTCAGATGATGATGAATGTGATTGGCTTGTAATGAAGAACTCTTCAATATGAAACAAGCTAACCCACGGAGAACCAGACTAAATTGAATTTGCTTTGTGATCGAGGCCTCTGGGGTCTTAACACGTGTCGTGAGTATGTCTAATAGGACTGTCCATCACACATGTAGCCTGTCCTTGACCAGTACTCAGGTACGGAGCTCAAGGTGTGGAGTTCATGGGTCTACATGACGAGAATGCTGCCGTCACACAGGTGCACTTCCTCCCCCACCAGGTACAGTCCAAGAACATATACTACACACTCCCAACAGAAGTTCTGCTTTTTAATGTAGCCCGACTTGTTTATTATAAATGGAGTCAGCCTTTTGTATGGAGATGTATTCTCTGCTAGCCACTAGTAAATGCCTTTTAGCCTTTTTGACAGTATTAATTGATTTGTGGTGTTTATGTAGGTTGAACTGGTTACTCTACTGGATGATAACAGTCTCCACATGTGGACTTTAAAAGCCCACAAGGGACTTTCTGAACTTCTGGAAATAGGACGCTTCACCCTCACTGGACCACCTGGGTAAAACACGCAGACAAACTCGTACACGTTTCCCCTTTTCTCAACCCTTTTCCATTGTATGTAGTTTCCAAGGAAGCTTTTTAGGAAGTTGGGAATTTGATCTACAATTCAGGCTAGGGATATTAGTTCCACTTGTGGTTTCTGGGATGTAGTTTCTGTCCCTAATCCTGAGGTAGGACTTTCCAATTGTTTAGGAGCAATCAAGGTGGAGCCGACTGATCGGACACACGCCTCCAGACAATTGCATATATTCTGCATATACCTGCTGTATATTAGAGCTGCACAGATTAGACTGAAACTTAATCTGCAACTATCTTTATAATTTATCAATCGTTTCGTCGTGTCAAAAATTTCAGCCCCATGTTCAACTTCTCAAATTTGAGGCTTTGATACTTTTAAGGCATGTTTTATTTGAAACTTATCTTTTGGTTGAATAAAACAAACTGAACTGTTTTCCCTGTTGTCTGACATCATTTATAGACCAAAGAAGAAATTGAGAAAATATTTGTTACTTGCAGCTCTACTTTTTACAAACAGTAGCTGCGCATCATTCTGTGAAGTGAGCTCATCCCCCTCTTGTTCGTCTCCCCAGTGCCCCTCCAAGTGTGACCAGAGTGACAGCGGTGCTGGCTCACTCCTCAGGGGAGCTGCTGCTGTTGGGGACAGAAGGAGGACATGTCTTCGTAGTTGAAGTTCCAGGGTTCAGAGAGCTAGAAGAGCGAAACATCAGTGTCGACCAAGTCGCCAGCAGGTCAGCAGCTGCAACACACTGCGGGGGGGGTCTGCACAAAATTACAGGAGCGTACACTAATACTCGGTAGCTTTATTTGCATGAGATTCTCTTTTCTGCTTGTTTGTTTATTAGGGCTGGGCAAGTTAATGTGTTATTAACGCAGACAATTATTTTATCCCACGTTAATGTAGTTTTATTATTATTGTTTTCAAAGTCCGTTGCACACTGGCTCTGAATACACATACAGTCAAACCATGGGTCACTCACAAACAGCGCGTACAAAATGTTCAAGACAATTCAGCTTCGGCGGCGGGCATGTGAGTGAGGCGACCACAACCGCGACAGTTTCACCGGAACTCGCCCGCTTGTCGCTACACCTTGTGCTCGAGCACTTCACCTCACTCTCACAGGGACACTTGCTAATGAGCATAGACTGTTTACACTGCTCCCTGATAAAAGAAAAATGTTTCCGCTGACACCTGCTCAGGAAAAAAACAACCAAGAAAACAGATTCATATATGTTAACCTGCTGCTCAGAAGGTGCCTCTTATGATCGTGGCTCTGGACTCTGATGGTAACTTGTTTTACCAAGCTAGATAAATGGTAATACCCTGGCAGTGGCAAATAGCTTTGGTTTAATATTTGATTACATTAATGTTTATTTTATTGCTGCTGTGTAAAGGGAATACTGCTGGTAAAAATGCCCTTTTTTATTGAAAGAGTTTGCAAATCACATGTTAGTGCACTTTTGTGTATATAGCAGTACATTTAAATCAAAAGTGCACAATACACTACTTTAGAATTCATTATTCAATTTTGTGCATGACAATGCGATTAATCACGATTAAAATTTTGAATTGTTGCCCTGCACTATTTGTTTATTTTTTATCTCTTGTGTTTTCGCTATGGAAATGCAGTTCTGCAGTTCCCTCTATTTCAAATGGATTGACCATGAGCAACATAAGTGTGTAATCATCCAACTGAACCACTGTCGCATACACAGATTTCAATATATCATTGTCATCAACAAATCAGCTCTGAGCAGTCGCACACTGCCTCCCAGTCCTTACACCAGTCTCTCTCACTCATTCCTTCCTCTCTCTTGTGTTTATCCTCACTCGCCTGTCTCCTCCAGCGTACCAGATGACTACATCGGCCGCAGGAATCTAGAACACGTAGAGGCCTTACAGGAGAATGCGGTCAACCCAAACCAAGTAGTTATTGGCTATGGACGAGGTCTCATGGTCATCTGGGATCTGGAGAAAGAGCGTGCCATCCAGCACATCCTTGCCACACAGGTAACTGCTCTGTAACTCTGTGTAAGGCCTGGACCTGAATAGAATACCAGCCTGTCCTGAATAAACTGTGGTTAGAACCATCGTGCTGAATCTTGATATTTGCTTTGTGTATTTTCCACGTAACACTGTGTAACCATAGCAATTGGAGAGTGTGTGGTGGACAGAGGATGGAAGCAACATTCTCAGTTCACACAGTGATGGAAGTTACTGTCGATGGATGGTGGGTGGAGATGACCTGAATGAGGAGGAGGAGGAGAAATCAGACATTCCTTATGGTGAGGATAAAGATGTCCACAACCCATTTTTATTTACTGTCAGGCGTTTCTTTTTCTGGAGGCAGATGATAACTTGTCTGTCATCGTTGCAGGACATTTTCCCTGCAAGGCAATTTCCAAAATAGTTCAGCTACCTACAGAAGCAGGGTGAGTTCACTTTATTTACCAGTGAAAGTGATTCTAACGTCCACACTGTTCTAATGTTTAACTTTACATGACCTATTGTTACGTGTGTGTGTGTGTGTGTAGGCCTCCGTTCCTGCTGTTCAGTGGTGGGATGCCCAGGGCCAGCTACGGGGACAGACACTGCATCACTGTGATCCACAGTAAAACACACGTGGCTCTGGACTTCACCTCCAGGATCATCGACTTCTTCGCCATCCGAGACGGACCACAGCACACAGGCAGGCAACTCACACTGACCCAGTCACTGACGACTGCCAAACACTCCCATACACAGTTATGGAAAGGAAGCTATTTAGCAAACCGTGAAAGGCCTATAGTCAGTTTCCATCCCACGTAGTTAGTAGGTGAACATCAGGAAGTTATTTCCTAAGAAGTCAGATCCAGAATTTCCTTTTTTGAAACTCTGTGGTTTTCTTTATATTCCCCCTTTTCGCTCACTTTTGGGGGGACTTTTCACTTTATGTTAGCTGATTACTATAAGCTTTCTGCAGTGATCTGATTTCTTGAACATTGTTTAAACAAGAACAACAGTTTCAATGGTCAGGGCAGGGAATCAGAGAAGCCTGTTTTCCCCAGCTAGCTTTCTTCTGGTGAAAGATGACTTCTTTTACCCATTTACACCCGGCATTAACCAGGCATTTGTATCTGGATAAGGAAAAACATGTTTATGCAATTTTATAAATGCACCCATTGTGATCGGATCATCCAGACAACATTTGGAGGTGGTCTGACTCGCACTGATCTCAACCAGGAGTAAATGAAATCTGTACAACATTCTAAATTAAAAACAATCTGTTCAGCTAGCTCTGCCTCTTCCCGTTAGCTTAAACTGAATGTAAGGAAGGTACTCTGGCCAGTTTTGTCCTGACAAATCCAATAAAGGTTATTCAGACAGGACAGAGGCATCTTCAACAGTCTTGACTAAAAGAGAAAGACACCATGTCAAAACTACAGTTTAAAGCCACAACATGTTAAATTCTACTCCAGTTTATATCTAATCGTTCGACAGCAGCCATGTGGGAAATTGGAACATGGAACCGCCCAGACAGCTGAGCTGAATTGATGCCACTACAATCTAAAGATTTCCAAAAATACGGGATTTAGTACTTGTATGGTATACACATTATGCAATTTCTTGCCATAACCTGATTTCTTGTGTGCATGTAAATATACTCATTGTGACCGCCCGCTGTTGTCGCTGATGTCAACATATAAGCTCTGATACACACAGCAACCAGTTTTGTAGTGCAACGTGGGATAACAGACATTTTGGTTTTGCTTTCAGATCATTTGTGGAAACGGAGTCTTTGTCTTGTGATTGTGATTTCTTGTGGTGTGATTTCCATTACATTTATGTAGCTGAAGCTTCTATCCAAAGCAACTTACAATAAGTACATTCAATCATTTAGACACAACCCAAACACGGTGGGCAAGTACCAGTGTCTTGAAATGGTTTCAAACTGCCACTGGTAGCCAGCACTGAAAAGTCTTGACAAGTGAGACTAACCTGTCCCAGAACAGTGTGTATATTTACAGTATATCTACATATAACTACTGACATCGCTCTGTCCTGTCCATTTGCAGGAGACCCCAGTGCGCTAGTGGTCCTGGTAGAGGAGGAGCTGGTCGTCATTGACCTGCAGACGGAGGGCTGGCCGGTGATTCAGACACCTTATCTGGTTCCCCTCCATAGCTCAGCCATCACCTGCTCCCACCACGTCTCCGCCATCCCCCTCAAACTGTGGGAGAGGATCATCGCCGCCGGAGACCTGCAGAAGACGCACTACTCCAAAAAGGTACACCTTGGGCAGATGATAAAAACAGACTCAACTTTAGCAAGTCCATATCTTCTATCTGTTTGTGCCTGTAGAAAAGCCCCTCACACTCTGAAGCTATTCATATTTGGTATGCTGCATCCTGAACATGGACACATTCCTTCATTTCTGGTTGGACAGATGTTATTAAGTTGGTATTATTGTAAATTTTTCATTTCCCCTCTCTCCAAACAGCCATGGCCAATAACAGGAGGCAAAAACCTGGCCCCAGACCCTCCACAGAGAGACCTGCTGCTCACAGGGTCCGTTCAGCTGAACTTTAGAAATATCTGTTGGAACAAACCTTTGATAGATTTAATGATATTAAGTTTATTTATTTGTGCTTGTGTGTAGGCATGAGGATGGCACAGTGCGTTTCTGGGACGCATCAGGAGTGTGTCTGCATCCCATGTATAAGTTGGGCACAGCTGGAGTGTTCCACACAGACGCTGATCCCAATGACAACATGAACCAAGGCACTGAAGGAGATTGGCCGCCATTCAGAAAGGTGAGGCTGTAATACAGTCTGTAGAAAATTTCCTTGGTGTTTGTAGATTAACATTGAAAAAGGTAAAGCTCTGGCACACCTCACACAAAACTAAAGGGGTATGACAGAAATGTGTTAAGGGCCCCTTACAAGCTTTTCCTGGAGCTTTCAACCATAACTTGCAGTTACAAAAGCACAAAGTGACGATTTTCAAAACTGAAGTCAGAAAGCTACTGACACAACGATCTGTCTGCTCCTGGCAGTAGTACGGCTCAGCAGGTGAAAACAGTTGTAATCTGGGGCTCTAAAGTAGCTTTGTCAAGACTGATGTCATCAGGGAGTCTTCAAATGTGTAACAGAATGTTAGTTACAAATTGTGGTTTGAATTTGTAAGATGTGTGTTTTTTACCGTAGACTGGGCAACATCACAGACACATCCATGTTCTATACAAAGGTTTCTGAAGAGCCGTTATGAAGCTCCCGGCGACTCTGCCATCACCATCTTGGCAGTTTTTGGTACTTGGGCGTCGGCTTGGTTTTTTAGCCCAGTTTTTCAGCCAGGCACTTTGCTCTATAATGGTGGGTTTAGTGAAAGGACTTGAGTTTTATTAAGGGAAATGTAGGATACATTGTTTTTGTAGGTTGACTCGTACTAAAAGTCAGAATATCTCTGCTTATGCTGCTTTAAACTGTTATTATTCTTCTGTTAATCTGTGTCTTATAAGTCTCCTAAGATTATGGAAGTACAGAACTGAATTGCTGGTGTCCATATCTTTTATTTTGTTTGTCCAGGTTGGCTGTTTTGACCCCTATAGTGATGACCCGAGGCTGGGCATTCAGAAGATCCACCTTTGTAAATACAGTGGCTATCTGACTGTGGCTGGCACTGCTGGACAGGTGAGATGCCTGTCGAACATTTGTCGACACTTATTGTAATTTAGAACACGGGTAACAAACCAACATACCGTGTTCTCAGATCTGGGCAGTTAACTCTGCAAATACAGTACATTATCATTAATGCCAGGAATGACCAAAACTATGAAAATGTGACCCAGGTTATAAGAAATCACTACACTTTGTGTTTGATTTTTGTCAAAATCCACCATGAAAAGACAATTTAAGGCATATGAGTGCACATGACCAAAGTATAGTATTAAGAGAGAATGAAAGTTTCTGTGACGGTTCCTCTGGCATGTGCACTGTTTAGAGAGGAACTAGAGTATAAGAAATCAGTCTGGTGAAGACTGCTTCACTCCCCACTAAGTGACTTGAAATGGCCCTAACTAAGAAAACACTGTGGACAAATGTGCAGCTGACGGGGTGAGGGTGTGGTGCCCAGAATGGCACTGAGCTTCTCCTTTTCTATGCTTGATATCAGTTTTCACAGAGGCTTTGTTCTGCTTATTCACTTGTATTCCACTTTGTCTGATGTTTGTCTTTTCAGATCCTAGTGCTGGAACTGAATGATGAGGCCGCAGAGCAGACGGTGGAGGCTAAAGTTGTGGACTTGCTGCAGGGCCAAGAAGGCTTCCGCTGGAAGGTAAATAGGACTGGTTACTGCAGAAACAAATGCATTTCTCATAATTACATTGGTTGTTACAGTATTACTTTTCTGTTACATCCCAAAAATAGAACTATGCCAGCGCCACAGAGTCAAAGTGATCCGAGCAGTGTCTTGTTGGTTTTCTTGTTGGTTAGGGCCACGCTCGGCTGGATGTGCGAGAGGAGCCGGTGCTGTTTCCTCCAGGCTTCCAGCCTTTTGCTCTGGTCCAGTGCCAGCCTCCTGCTGTGGTCACCGCCCTCACTCTTCACTCTGAGTGGAAACTGGTAGCTTTTGGCACCAGCCACGGCTTTGGCCTGTACGATTACCAACAGAAGAATAACGTTTTCATCAAGTAAGGAGACGCAGAGAAAGAGATAAAACCTGTTTGTACATAAAAGCTTAACTGAGTTTTCACCATCCAGGAAGACTCTGCTCAGCCACATGTTTTGTTCTTGAAGATTTTTTTAGCTGGTTTGTGGATTCAGTCAGATCCCATCATTATTGTGAGTAAATGAATCATGATGGTATCGTATCATGGGTTACCTTGTGACTCCCATCCCGAGGGAAAGAAATAGTCCTAAATGACCACATGCCTTGGGGTGACACATGAGGTTTTGAAATGAGAAGTAGTAAAATGTGGAGGGAAATACAGCATGTACACACATGCATGATGGACTGGACAAATGGGGGGTTTCACTCGCTGATTCAGCGAGGTGTTTGATACGGGGGTTTTCTTGCTCAGGAGGGTTCTTCTGCATCACTAAAGTAATGTGGTTTTCAGTTACAGGGCTGTCATGAGATGCATAAAAAGGGAGTCGGTTCAAAGTCAGCTTAAGAAGGGGTTTTCAACCTTTTTGACGCAAAACAAACAGAACAAACCTTTTTTTAAAAGATACAATCATTTCAAAGACGATGAATATGTGAGCTACAAGACCGTGACTGTTGGGAATCTACTGCCCGAAGACATTTGGCAGCGGTTCTATATGCAGACGGATGCCAAAATAAAGGAAAAACCTGAATAAAAGAGTGGATTGTTTGAGTATGAAAAGGATGTGAATGAAATACTACGGCCTTTACAGTCATCAGATCTCAACCCAGTTATACACACATGAAGATTTTAGACCAGTGTATAAGACAATGCTCTGCAGCACCCTCTCCTATTTAAACCTAAACCTATTCAATGATGTCGGTGTCTGTCTGATGCATTATATTATTTTGTTCTGTCTGGCATGTTTGTGTTTATTTCTATTTGCTGTACTTCTTTTTCCTTTTAAATTTGTCACAGTGCCAGCATTTGCGCCTCTGTGTGTTTATTACTGTATGTGTGTAACTCAGTATTTTCCCAATTGTAGGTGCACCCTGAACCCCAGTGACCAGCTGGCCATGGAGGGTCCCCTGTCCAGGGTGAAGAGCATAAAGAAATCCCTCAGACAATCTTTCAGGAGAATCAGACGCAGCAGAGTCTCGTTAAGGAAACATCACGTAAACAACGCTGCCAAGGTAGCTCTATAGCTCTCTGCTCTTCTGTACTAGGGAAAACCCCACCTTACTGTGATGTCCTTAAACTTTTATTTCTTTTGAACCTTCATCACTCTCATCTCTTGAGTAGCTCCAGGAGGCGAACGCTCGTCTGGAGGCTGAACTGGCAGAGATGGAGCTGGCTCCTGTCCAGAGGAAGATCGAGGCTCGCTCCTCAGATGACTCCTTCACCGGTCTTGTACGGACGCTGTACTTCACTGACACCTTCCTCTCAGACAGTGAGTTACTCCCTCAAACACCGAATGTAGCCCTTTAAAAAAAAAAACGTATATACTATACCTCCATGTTTTTCACACATCTCCTCACTTTCTTCACATAAGGTACACACAACACACCCTCCCTATGGGCAGGGACCAATGGCGGCTGTGTGTTTGCATACATGCTCCGCCTTCCTCCCGCAGAGCACAGAACAGACGAACCGGTCACCGCTCATCAGGGTGAGACAGAGTTTTTGATGTTTGGGGTAGAGTGTTTTTTCGACTCTGTCATCATGTTGTAATGTTCCCTCCACTCCTTCTCTTCCTCCCTTTTATTCCAGCTAAGGAGATTCAGCTGATGCACCGGGCTCCAGTTGTTGGTATAGTGGTGCTGGATGGTCACGGGGCTCCTCTCCCTGAGCCCCTGGAGGTGGCCCACGACCTGGCTCGCTCACCTGACATGCAGGGCTCACACCACCTGCTGGTCATATCAGAGGAACAGTTTAAGGTCAGGAGCACAGAGAGAGGGGGTTTTCAGCGTCTTTGTTGTTTTTCTTTTGGAAGGTTGGCCTTAGCTCCAAGGTCATACATTTATCATACAATTACCTGGGCCCTGTACTACGAAGCGAGTTCAACACAGCCAGGATATGTTTTCGTTATCTGGCTTAATTAACCCTAACAATTGTTAACAACAGTGTGAAGGCCTAAATGAAGAGGCGTAGCCTGTAATAATGTGTTGACCTGTTCTTATGAGCTGTATGAGAATATCAGCCCTTATTCTTTCAGCTCGGCTGTGTGTTGGCGTTTCCACATTAAAAGACTCGGGGCCCTGAATAGCCTAAGTGTTCTCACTTGTTAAGAACTTCCTGTCACTTCAAAAATGAGATTAATTAATTTGACACACTCAAATGTTGTCAAAAATTGTTCTAAATTAATTTAATAAAGCAATGAAACTAATAATCCATTCGTGCGATTTCATGTGCTTAAATAGTGATTAAAAGACTGAAACTGACCATTTAGGCTTCTGGAAACTCCCCAACATTACCTGCGAGCAACTTTTGCAATGTGGGCGGTGTCTGTGATAGCCTGTAAGATATCTACTAACCTAAAATAAAAAGCCTACGTTCATATTAAAATTTATTTCAATATCCCTACCAAACTGCTCATAATGTTCAGCCTCACATAAGAAAAATGAAACCCACTTAATTTAACGGCTGCAACCGGCTGTGTGAAACGAACGGGAGCAAATAAAAAATATGAAACGCATTTCAAAGCAGTAAGTAGGCTTACTGTAAAAACTTGTACAATAGTAGCTTTTCAGTCAGTCTCTGTAGGATGATATCGTTCTAGCATAGCAAGAGTTTCTCTGTATCACCACAGCAAACAATAAAAGCAGCCTATAAAACTGTGGGATCTCCTACAGACGGTGATGTCATTCTCCGAGAGAGCTGACTGGTCAGTAGGCAGCAATATAGAGATGATCTCTTATATGGAACATAACCTGCTCCGGAACAGGTTAGCTGTTCACCATGGTGATATACCCCGGTAAGAAGAGAACCACCGTCGTGGTACTGAAAACTCAGGGTTAACCACGAAGTTACCTGGATAAGCTCAAATCCTGCTTCGTGGTACAGGCCTCTGGTCTAGCCAGGCAACACAGAATTAGAGGCACTTAATTCTACACTCTGGAACTTTTAAGAGGTGCTTACTAATATGTTAAAATATAGTCCACTTCTAAATAAATGTTTTGCTACCAAACTATACATAATAACAAATATAAGTGGTGCTCAGCTGTCTGGGGGGGGAAAACACTACACACTGATAGTTGTTCAGCTGTCCATGTCTGTGTTCAGGTTTTCTCCCTACCAAAAGTGAGCGCTAAGATGAAGTTGAAGCTGACAGCCGTGGATGGCTCCAGAGTACGGAGGGTAGGCGTGGCCTGGTTCGGCAGCAGTCGGTCGGAGGACTATGGTGAGAGCGGCTTGGTGGTTCTGACCAATCAGGGCGACCTCCACGTCGTGTCACTGCCGACAGTGAAGATGCAGGTTCAGTACCCCTGCATCCGCCGAGAGGACGTCAGTGGCATCGCTTCCTGTGTCTTCACCAAGCATGGCCAGGGTAAAGACATGCCTACACACACTCTCACTCACTTCTAAGACCTTTGGTGATTTGGTGCATTTCCTACCCCTCAGGCTTTCCCATTTCAACTACAAGTCTAACCCTAGAATTCACTCTAACCTAAAGCTCAAGCCTGAAACAGGCCTGTGAAGAAGGGAAGACCAGCCATAATATGTTTGTTGTTGTTTTATGTTGATGTTGAAAAGTCTCTCACCCTCAAGGTCAGAAACACCTGTGACAGACAACTAGCAGACACATCTGTTCCTCTGTTTTCTGGACAGACTGTGGACAAGACACAGGCTGACCGTCGCTATGTTATGCTGATACTATATAATGAAGATATCACAAATTCATGTATGCTACTACGCAAGTTAAATTTAAACAGGATAAATTAAATGCAGTACTGGTAATATAATAATAGAAATATTTCGTATTTGTCATGTTGATATAAGAACACATATAGGGGTGTAGGGGTGTCACAATTCTCCAAATCCAGGATTTGATTTTTGATTAAAACCTTCTTTTTTTCTGCACTGACTGCTTGTTTTGTAAAGATCAATAGGTATGCTCTGACAAATGTCATGTACATTTTCAAATAGTTGTCAAGTAGAGATTAAACGGTATGAAAATTTCATATCATTATTATAGTGACCAAAATGATCAGGGTTATCAGTATTGTACTCACTGAGTTTTATTTAGAAACAATTAAATAAAAATTTGTTTGCATTATTATTATTATTACAAAAATAACAGCCAATATCTTATGTAAACATGTAAAAACCATTTCAAAATGTGCATTAAAACATTGTAAAGTAGGACCCCATGCACAACTTAAAAAAAAAAAAGCTTTTAAAACCAATTCAACAACTGCCTGATTTTAAATGAACACAATATGTTTGTGTGACTGAACTACGGAACGTGTTCTCATGTGCAACAGGGGAATAGAATCTGCAGCATAAGTTTAAAAGCTGTAAGCAAGTCAGACAGACAAACCATACCGTGTTCTCCCTTTCCAAAGTCCACGCATCGAGCTAAAAGTTAACTTAAGCAACTTAGCATTCGCTATAAGGTAGTGGGTGTTGGTACAAAGATGACCCATAAGATTCTGGAAAAAAGAGGGGGGAGGCCAATGCTTTGAAAATAGTCCTCTGAGGAGGAAAACTCTGCAGCGCTGTCACTGCAAGTTATCATTGACCCAAACAAACCCCTGCTGCCTGTGCGCCAGTGTGTGGGAAATTGTTGCTGAATTCTGGTAACTGTTTCATCCCTAAATATTAGTTTATCTGTAAAATTTTGCCACTGAGATCCATCAGCCTCCAGACAAACCTTTTGTTAAACAATAACAAGGTTCATGAGGTCAGTAGTTGATGGGTAGGAGAGGTATAAATCACGGTGGTCACCTCCAGCCTTGCTCATACCCCCGCTGCTCTATAGTGTCTTAAATGATACTCAACCAGTATCGTCTACATGCTGTAATCCAGTCTTTTGGAACAATAAGACTATTTTTAAACGAGTTATTCCAAAAAAAGTTTGCTCTTATGTTTTTACCTTCACATCCACACAAGACATTTTTGTTCTAGTGTTCCCACTGTAGATGTCTGTTTTTACCAATACTACTACAGGTTCATTAGAGTTCCAAAAATGGCAATAACATTACTCCACGTTAGAATCTGTGTTCTCAGCCAAATGATTGCTCTGTTTTGATTGCACCTCTCAGAAACCCTCTGTGTTCTGTTGTCTTCCTTCAGGCTTCTACCTGATCTCTCCATCTGAGTTTGAACGCTTCTCTCTGTCCACCCGCAACGTGGTGGAGCCTCACTGTCTGGTGGAGGCTCCTCTACATTCATGCTCCTCCCCCCAACACAAACCCCAGCTTGATGGAGCTTCTTCTGCTCACAGGTATATAGACTTAAAGTTTCTATATCTTATGCTGGGAACTCATAATTTCTTTCAGTACTCATGCGGTCTTGTCCTCTCTGTCCTTCTAGAAACGCCAGACAAGACAGTGAGGATGCAGGTAAAATGTCTGTCAGGGACCAGCTTGGGTCTGATGTTTTTAAACTCTGTGCTTGTGCTGCCTGTTTTTACATAAACACCTTGTTTGTGGCTGACTGTACTGACGTGTCCTCTGCCTGCTGCCTGTGTGTTCCAGAAAAAGCAGCTAGACGTGTTATGGAGCATGCTTTGCTGAATGACGAGAGTGAGTACTTAAGAGAAAGGGACAGAGGAGAGAATGTATTTAAATGAAGTAGAAATATACCCTCGATATGATATATTATGATAGTGTGTTTTAACCCTTTGAGACTGGCTTCAGCTATAATGGCACCATGTGCTGCCCCTGCTAAAGGATATGTCAGCTTCCTGCTCCCATTGTCATCAGACACAGCTACATCATGTGTTACACCGCAGTGTTTACCAAACATCATCTCATCGCATGATTTGTATAACTTTGCTTCGATCCCAGCAAGCTGTATCCTAATGTGGCTGAATTGCTGCCACAGGGTCTTTATATGAAGTGCTGTGTTGAACACTGGTTAGTATCAGTCATGCTTTGTTTTCTTGCAGAAGTACTTCAAGAGATCCAGAAGTCACTAGAAGGAGAGCAGACGTAAGTATCATTAATAATTCAAATGGGGGGATTTGTATATCTGTTATGAAACTTGATAAAAGGGTGTAGCATGGCCCAGGAGAAGAGCCCAATACATTTTGGAGCGGATCCGGATCACAGGGCACATGCACAAATAATTTTACATTCTCATCAACTTTGAGAGATAGGCCAGTGTTACCAGCTACTTCAAAATAAACTGAATTTGTTGCACATGCAGTAACCCATTGCAGTTAAAGTGAATAGTAATATAATATGTGACTAAACATACAACAAACCACGTCAAACCTCAGTGTAGAAACAAACAAATGCAGTCTGGGATGGGGTTTTTCTGGCTCAATGCAGAATTCCGGATTTTGCGATTTGAGAAATACATGGGAAATTCACATGTGATACGAGGCTTCAGCTAGGCACAACCGTATTTTGCTGTAACTCTAATAGTGTTTGAAATATCTCCAGAGAGAGAATTTTCATCATGTCTTAAATGCAGTTTATGCCCCGTATTCCCAGTGACTGCTGAATAGTATTTTTATCTTTTATTTTGCTTGAAATGCCCATCCATATAGTCGCTATAAAAACTTGACCTCAAAGGGAAAGGTAATACTGTATGTCGATGTTGGCTTTAATGCCTGTTCTGCTGCCCCCAAGTGGCCAAAAGTATTTCAGAAGTAATGCTACCGAACAAACTAATTATTTGCTAACAAAACACACTTTTAATTTTTACTAATGACAAATGTAATTTGAATGTGAATAGTAGTCATCTAAAGTTGTCCATTGACACTCATATTTACTTGCCCCACTTTTTTAATATCTAGTTGGACAAATTCCCAGTCATAATCATGATATTGACGTGATTTACAAGTCTGAAAATTTAAATTAGGATAACTTCCACATGTAATGAATGCAGCATGGTCACTCTAGTCTGAAGGGAAACATGCAGTCAGTCCAGTTGCCTTTAAAGCTGGAACTAGTCATGTTAATGGACGCTATTTTCTGATTGCCACAGGTCACTCCTGGAAAATAATGTGAAGAGTGCTGTAGCTTGAGACATCTCTGGACAGTTGAGGTGAGCCCAAGGTAGTGTCACATTTTTATCTTTTGGTACTAAAAACTGACATGTCATTAACTGTTTTGGAGTCACTTATTTGCTCATTGTGTCTTTCTGTTGTCTCTCCTCAGAGTGAACTGACATGTTGATGTGTATGAAGCGTTCTGCTGTTCTGTAGCAGCACTTGCCTCCTGCTCAGTTGACAAAACCACTACGGACCCCTGACCCATTGCTTCAGTGACTGACCTCCCCTCTCCCAGCCCACATCAGCCCCTCGTAGAGAGACACCAAAGGGCTCTTGGCAGTAGTGCTTTATAAGCACCATCAGGCTGTTTGAAGGCTCACTAACAGTGCGGACAGAAGGTGAAAGTAGAGACACCACCTGTGCCTAAAGACCACACGCTGTACACATGTCATTACAGCGTGGTCCCATCCATTTAACCCAAAGCTACATGAAGCACATTCCTGACATGTGACAAATGCCATAATTCATCACACCAAGATCAACACCAGCATCAAACCAGCATCTCAGATCTGCCATAGATACCACTCGTTGAAGCTGTTTGGCTTAAATAGCAACCACAACCACTTTGTTCTGAAAGCCTTTGTCACCACCAGCCTTTTCATGTGGATTCTGCCAATGAAACGGTTCATCCTTTCAACACGCTCTCTGATGTGCAATCTCACTGGCCTTCATCTCCCCACATGGACATACACATGGAAGGAATGTGGGGGGAGATTTCTGATAATGTCGATGAAAATGTTTGTAGCTTAAGTTTTATGTGATTTGTGCCATCAGATTTATTCTATGGAAGCCCATTTCTGCCAGGAAAAGGAAAACATTTTTTGATTAAAAAGCTAGGATTGATTAGCAAAACACATGGTTGAATCAACATTATGTGAGACTAAATCAAAAATATATAAAGATACGTCAAAATTATGACATTAAGACGGACTCTTATCGTATATGAAATTATGAGTTGTGTTTTTGCAAAATATTTTGATAGGTCAAACATTTTGACTATATTTATATAATTATTTAGTTTATAATTTTTACTTAAAACCCCATAATTTTTTTTTTTTGGCGTAATTGAGCTTCCTTAGAATTCAGAGGAGCTATCAAGGGAAAATATTTTAAGTGATGCCACAGAAGAGAAGTTTTATGTATGTTGAACCACACTGATTGTTGACTTGTTTTTTATTTTTCAGTCATCACTTACAAAATGAGTAATAGCGTTGCAAACTGTATTGTACCCCTGTATACTGCTAACAAAGCCCTGTCCCCTCCCGTCCACAACTATAACTTTATAACCGGCCATAGGTACTCCACTACTGCAGGGCTCACAATGCTGTACTTTCTGGGGGGGAACAGCTTTCTATGGGATTAGGTTTTTAATTATTTTTCTGTAAACTTTTCTTTTTTATTTTTTTTTTATTCCAATGGATAATGTAATTTAGGAATGTAATTGTAAGCTATTGTAGTGACATGTTTTTAATATATACAGTATGTATGTGACTCAGTCTGTACCTGTGGGCCTGTTGTTATGGGGTTGGCTGCTATCGTACAAGGAAATATTTTGGTACTGTGTCTCAGAATGCTGGGTATTTTAGCATCAGCCTAGAATATATTTTTGTAGTGAACTGATTAAGAACCCTAATTTTTTTTTTTTTTAATTTGTAATTTCACACTACAGTTTTCTTGTGGATAATTATTACATGTTTTTCTCCAAGCATGAATGTGTCTGTTTTTATTTTCAGATATTTCTGATTTATAATCTGATGGTTTTCATCGTTCATCTCTGCTGTACTGCAAAGAAATACTTGACAGTGTATGACCGCTGTTTCAGAGTCTCTGTAGTTTTCAATTTCTGATTTCTTCTAAAAGCCCAGATAAAATCTTGGTCTTTGTGAGCTCTGGTGAAGTGGATAAAAAGAGGCATCAGTTTTCATACATGCACAGCCAAGAGTTTTGATCATCCATTATAGATTAAGGCACTTTGTCTGCTAATTGTCGAGAGTCATAATGGCGTCGTTGCAACCTGAGCTCTCTAAGGACCTGGCTCAGGCTGGGCAGCAGCAGCTCTGTTAGGGGATGACGTTGCAAGATAAGTTACTCTTATTTGCAACCTGAAGATTTTAAGTTCCAAAATAGTGCCTGAATACACTGTGGATTGAACTTAATGTGTTATATTCAGCTGACAGCCTGGAGTCTAGAAAGTTGATTTTCTCTACTGACAGAAAGTGGCTTAGGTACATTCACTTGGCATCAGTTGTTTGTAAATGAGGTGATGCAGAGTGTGTCCCCTCTTGAGGTCCTGGGTTATGATTGTGGGAAGAGGAAGGACTCCCTACAGTGTCAACAGCTCCAAGTTGTTCTGTCCTTACCAGGGCCTCATTTACAAACGTTACTAGCCAATGTTTGGGATGTTGTGTGTTTTGTTTTTTCTTACTAATTTGAGAGAATGTGCAGTCCTCTCTGACGCATTCATATGCACATAAACAGGAGGGGGGAAAAAGAAAGACGAAACTCAAAGATTTGAAATTGATACCATTGTGTATTCACTTATTATATAAAAAGAGTTTACATTTCAAAATAAATAAACCTTTTTTTTTATTTTAATTAAACGCACCTTTTTGGTGCTCCCTGGAGTGCAAAAGAAAACCTAGTATGTTGCACAGTTTAATCATGGCACATGTGCCACACCAACAAACACTACACCAGACAGAAAATTTAACATGGTCATGTGTGGAGCAGGTGTATGTAAGCACATCGCATTCACCAAAGAAAAAATTTTTAGACACCTTGGTTAGGGTTGGTTATTTGTCATCTAAAATAAGATTTAAGGTTTTTCTATCATCAGCTGTTTTAACACTTAAACAGACAGCGTGCAAATACTTGGCTGGCTGTATGAATTAACCTCATTTGAATTGAAGCGTATTGATAACTTTGGTACAGTTTGTGTGTATACACTGATCGGCCATAACATTATGACCACTAACAGGGAAAATGAATAACACTGATTATCTTGTGACCATGGCACCTGTCTGTTGGTGGGATATCGTAAGTGAACGTTTTGTCAAAGTTGATTTATTAGAAGCAGGAAAAATGGGTAAGCGAAAGGGTTTGAACGACTTTGACAAGGGCCAAATTGTGATGGCTTGACAACTGGGTCAGAGCATCTCCCAGTCGCAGTGATCAGTACCTATCAAAAGCGGTGAACCGGCAACAGGGTCATGGCCAGCCATGGCTCATTGATTCATGTGATCCAACAGAGGAGGTCTAGGTCAGTTGCTGAAAAACTGAATGCATGGTTCTGATACAAAGGTGTCGGAACACACGGTGCATCACAGTTTGTTGCATGTGGGGCTGCGTAGCCGCAGATCACTCAGGGTGCCCATGCTAACTCCTGTCCACTGCAGAAAGCACCTGCCGCATCTTGTGAGCATCAGAACTGGACGACTGAGCAATGGAAGAAGGTGACCTGGTCTGATCAATCACAATTTCTTTTACATCATGTGGGCCGGGTGCGTGTGCGTCACTTACCTGGGTAACATACAGCACCAGGATGCACTATGGGAACAAGACAATCCGGCGGTGGCAGTGTGATGCTTCAATGTTCTGCTGGGAAATCTTTGGTCCTGCAATTCATGTGGATGTTACTTTGATACGTTCCACCTAAGCGTTGTTGTTGAGTCCACCTCCCTTAAGTAAAGCCAATCTCCTCAAGGCAAGGCTAGACTGATGAATTTACCTTGTTGTTACTTACAACTGTGATGATTTCTCCCAAACTCCATGTGGTCTCACACATATGTACTTGGTTTCGCCTAAACTTGCTTGGAGTGATTCTTCCTCAAAAAAGTCAAAAGCACCCAACAGAAATGTAACCTAGTTACTGGAAATTGCATTTCTCAGGCAACAGGAATTGGACATTTATATATCTTAACATTGTTTGCATTCATAATTACGTGCGAGAGAATATTACATCCGCAAGTATCAACTCCACTATAATCGACTTCCTGATAGTGAGGTAATTTGACCTTTGGTAAGAAATGCTCTATTCCCACTGGCAACGCATGAGCTCCATGTTCAGGTAGGCCTCATCTTACAGTATTTAAGGTTGGATGTCTACTTTTGTTTTGCTAGACTATATTCTTGGAATACTGTATACATGAACTGTATATAGCCTACTATACAGCAATGGTGGATCGTGGAGTTCTCTGGGGCCCAATTTCAATTTCTTAAATGATGTCACCTGGTAATTGATTGAACGCAAGAAGGTGAAGGGCTCAATATGCGATAAATAGGAATGGGACATTATCAGGTTACCCTGACAATGCTGAAACATGTTGCACACTTTTTATTTTATGTTTTTCTCCGCAGCCAAGGCGACTGTCTGATTTATACGTTTTGCAGGCTCTTGTCCTACAGAGTGGACAAGAGGTAGCCGAATTGTCAATCATCTATATTTGTCAATAATCAATCCACTTTTGTTGGTCAAAACAGCATCATTAATAATTCTCCTCCATCCAGTATTTAGCATTTGTCTTCTATTAATTAAAATGTAAATATTCTTCATAAAGTCAAAGTTAGAAGTTACACCTCATAGTCATTTTTGAACTGCTATTTGCTGGGCAACAGAGCCAGTTCAAGAAAAATGTGTGACTAAAAACATTATAGCTTGCACTAAAATACTGATCATTTTGAAATGAAGCCAGTCCAGCATTCAAGCAAGGACGAAATCCCCCTCTCCCTGAGGAAAAAGCCAGCAAAAGACCCCCTTTTCTCTGTCCTCTCGTATTCTCTCCCTCTCTTCTCCATCAGCACCTGTTGTTGATCACTCCAAGCAGCACCTCTCACCTTTCCTCCCAAGCATTCACCAGCTGGCCATATGAATGGCAGCTAGGCTGTATGACCTGCCAGATAGAGCTGTATTATTCAGAAGGCACTTTGTGTTTGTGTGCGCGAGCTTCAGTGCACGCCAGCTCACCTTTGTCGATGGGGGCATTGTGTGTATGTCTAAACCACCCATAAACTTTTGTTGGGTGTGTATTGCATATGTGCCTTCTTGTATAATGTTAGTGGATTGGATATTGGTGTGTAACTCCCCATCAGTTCTCCTCCTGACCATGGATGCATGTTTGTATCAGTGACACCAGCTCGTGAGGACAGGCCGGAGCAGTTTGCGACCCCCAGCCATGCCTGGGTTTCACCTGAGAAGCCTGGTAAGCTATATTACACTGAAATGAGCTCTCACTGCGTTCCCCCCAGGACGTACAGGTTGTGCAACTACATTTAGGTGGATCTAAAGATAGCCTTTCATTGCAGTTTAGATCTAACCTGCAGATAATAGCTTTTGTGGGCTGTTACGGAAAGAAAAGGAGAGTCCTTTTCATCCAGCGTGGAAAAGCCACTTCATTGTGCTTTTGCCGTGTTACACTATATTGATTTACTGTTGTTTGTGTTTTGTGGGAGATAAATTGCAGCTCTCGATCTCAGCCTAGCAATGAAAATCCAGCTAATTGAGACTAAACTAGGTCTGACCTGGGTGTCTCTAGCCTCAGAACAAGGAGCAGGGACTTAAGTGTGAAACATAGTCTAAATGCTGATGGATTGAGCCAAGGGCCTGGTTTCACTGAGTTTGACAGATGTGTTACTCAGCTTACAGCCCTTAATTGTTATTTTTATTGAGTGGCTAACTTATCTGTTAAAAGTGTGACGTTAAAAGATTTAAATTTCCTAAATGCTTCACAACTAAAATCTGCACTTCTTTCCATTTCCCTAGTCAGTATGATCTCAAATGATAAAATAAAGACAATTTATATGGTTTTGTTATTCTCCAGGTTATTGCAACTTAGCAACAAACAACTGTAGAATTGATAACAATGGCACCAGTGAAGTCCCAAGGTAGAACACAGGCCACAAAGCAGAGGGCAAAGGCAGCAAAAAAACAGCAGAAAAATGTGAGACCAAATGATTCCAAAGCGTCTCAGCCTCCCTCTAAAGAGGTTAATGGGAAACAAAAAGGTAGAGGGAATTCACCAACTTTCAAGGATGGAAAGACAAATAAAGTGAAAAGTAAAGGAATAAATAAAGCAGATCTAAGTAAAATGGGAGGTACAGAACAAAAGGAACCACAGAAACAAGCGGGGAAAACATTACAATCTCAACATGAGGAAGATGGTAAAATAACACATATAAAGACCACCAAACTCAAACCTCCACCAAAAGCACCCCCAACCACACAAGGGAGGATCAGCAAGCTCCCCACTAAGCCTGAAAACAACAGAAGTGATAAAGAGACAGAGAGTGAGGAGGAGGAACTAGATTCAAGAAGCTCAGCAGAGGTGACGGAAGAGGAATCTAGTAATGATGAGAAGGAGGAGGAGCTGGACAGTAACGAAGAGCCAGCTGAGACGCAGGGGAGTGAGGAGAGCAGTGAGGTGGAGGCATCAGACACTCAAAGAGATACAGCAAACGAGGAATCAGACAAAGAGCTTTCAGAGGAAGCCAAATCCAGAATTGACTCCGAGGTTGAACCAGTAGCATCCAGTGAGGAAGAGGAAAACGAGAAGAAAGTTGAAGAATCTGAAGCGGTCAGCAGTGATGGGGGTGAAGACGAGGAGATAACTCAGGAAGGCACGTCTGCAAAGCCAACAGCTGTTAAAGCCTGCAGACAAAGCAGACAGACTCCTCATCCCTCAAAGCCTGCACGAGGGCCGAAACACAAGATGTTTAAAAAAACAAAGGAAGATAAGCAGGCCGAGAAGGCTGAGAAACAAAGGGCCAAAGCAGAGAAGCAGAGGTTAGAAAAGGAAGCCAAACAAAAAGCCAAGGAAGAGAAAAAGAACAAAAAGAAGCCACAGAAAGAGGACAATCCCGGTTCTGCAACAGATGAGATTCAACCACAGAAAGGTCTTTACTTCAACAAGGGCAACACAGCAAAAGGCAAGACCCAGTTTGCAAACAAAACAAAAAGTATCAACGTGAAAGATGCCCCTGTAGAAGCTGATCCAGATGAGGATGAGCAGAAGGCTGAACCAACATTAACCAAAGCCATCAAAGGCCAAAACCGAATTATGCTTCTCAAAGCCAAAGGTAAAGACTACAAAGCCATTCTGGAGCCTGAGGAGCAGCAGGACACTGGAGGTGTGGTCAAAGTGGGGCCACAGAGCTTGCTCCTGGGGAAGGTCAAGATGGCATCTCCTCGACATAAAGCAAAGCCTGAAAAAGAATTCGAAAGTGAGGCTGATGAAGGGTCCAGCAAACCCAAGGAATGTTTAATAGCACGAAGAAAAGGTATGACTACTCTTCACAGAGTATCTGGATGGATTCAGAAGAACATGCCACGGGGGTTAAACTTGAGAAAGAAGCTTTCTGCTTGTACTAAAGCCATCGGTGTCTCCCGCTGGCTCTCCCTTCAGGCGATTAAACAGAAACAAGGTCCCAGAAAATCTAAGGGCAATATCTTCAAACACAGAATAGCCATGAGAGTTGCCAGTAAAAGCAGCCTGGCTAGTAAGAAAAACAGGAGCTCCTCTGAGGACAAGCTGGCTAAAGAGAAAGCCAGCCTCCAGGGCATGGGAGGGGACAGAGGGGAAGAAGCGGCACTAGCTGGCGAGAAAGAGATAGAGGCCAAATACGCTGTGGTACTCCCCAGGATGAACAAAATGGGCAAGGCAAAGACAGCTATAGTGCCCCTGGCTCCTGGACCTTCTACACCATCAAATACTACTGGATCACCCGGAGAACCCACTACATCAGAGCCCAAACCCCCGAAACCATGTGCCAGGCTTGTGCTCTCTGTCAAACCGGATCTCAGCCACTTGAAGTCTATCAAGAGGCCCTTACCAGGATTAACATCCGCTGGAGATGTGGCAGAGAGGAGCCCTGGGTCCAGTAGTACACAGGAAGGGTCATCCAACGCTGAGGATAGAACTGGGAGAGCCGCCCTGCACAATCAAGATGGAGTCAGTGTGCTACATACTGCAAGAGGGAAAGTGGACACCTCGCAGATCAGCCTGACCAAGATGTCCTTGTCAGGAAGAACAATAGGAGGTGGACTGACTTGGGCCAAAGGACAAGACCCCGATGGAGAGGCTGCAGCTGGGATACCGAGGTCCACCACTCAGCCCTTACCCAATGGGGAGGCACGTGAGGTGATTTCAGGTGTCCAGACCTTGTATGAAGAAGAGGCAGACAGAGAAGTGGCCCAGCTGATGGGTGGTGGGGGTACATATGCTATCGCCCATCCAGAGGTGCACTGGGCTGGTAACCCCCGGATGAGTGGAGACCCTCAGGTATGTGTTACATTTTTGGTGGTAGACTTGAAATTGTGAAGATGAAGCTGCTTTCTCTCACTTACACACATCTTAGAAGAATAACAATTGATGAAGTAACCTTCTTTTCAGGTCACTCATCTATCTTTGCTTTGTGTGGTTCAGGACTGGCTGCGTGCAGAGAACCTGTTGCCCCACCAGACGGTAGAGAAGCTATCCAAGTGGACAGTCTATGACGATGAAAGCCAGGCCAGGACAGTTCCTGCCCATAATGGCAGGGGCCCCTGGGAATCAGAGGACCCCACACAGGAGATGCTTGAGAGTCGACTGGTCAAAGCACAGGTATTGATACTGCATCATTATAATGATACTTTACCATACGAAATTCTTTTAAGCACATTCAGAGTAAATTTCTGTCAAGCTTTATTTACCCCTTTTGCCCCTGGATTGATTGTACAGTTTATATTTATTCATGACAAATGTGTATTTGATGTATGGACTTAATCTGTGGCAAGCTAACAATTAACACATCTTTGAACCTACTGGGTATTCTGGTTCTGGTTCTGGTTCAACATTCACGAAACGTTTTCAACTCAAGCAGATACATCTTTCCCACAGTTTGCACTGCCTGGAGCAAAGTTGACATTTTTGCCTGGGGGGAAAGCTCAAAAAAGAAAGAAAAGGTATCATCCTTTCCCTTTTGATGAATTGATTGAATTGAACCTTATTTTACCAGGATAATTCACTCAGTATCAATACTGCCTTCCAGGGAGTTCAGCAGTTGAGAGATGCTTCCCTAGAATTGCTGTCAATCAGGGTGGGGAAAATTTCCTGGAAAACACCTACAGGAGAAGTGTGATTTGTTGTCATGACAGCCGTAATTGTGTTTTAGGATGGCTGTTGTCTTATATCCACCATTGGGGTTATGATTTTCCCTATTTTAAATACAAAGGAACCAAATACACTGATTACTAAGAATTACTTGTAAAGTAATTTATAAAAAAAAATCATTTGAAAAAATGAAAAACAAATCCTCCAATTTATTATTCTAAAAAATATTTTAAAAACATGTAGGCTTACTTAATAAATATAAAATAAAAATTTAATTATTGAAAGGTGTGTGAATGGGGTGAATGTGACATGTAGTGAGTGCTTTGAGTGGTTGAAAGACTAGAAAGGTGCTATAAATACAATCCATTTACCATTTGCTAGCATCCAGGCCACTCGCCTGCTAATCTTCAGTCTGCATCCCTACCTGCTAGCAACCAGTCTGCACTCTGGTCTGCTAGCAACCCACCAGATGTTCAGTGTCAGATAGCACCACACCAGCCAGTTTCCTGCCAGATCCTGCCCTGGAGTCTTTGCTGCCCAGCTCCTCATTCTCAGCATTGCCAGCGCCCCAGAGACTGCGCTGCCCAGTGCCACTGAGGGTGAGTTATCCTGTGCTCCAGAAACTGATCTGTCCTGACTTTGTTGGCCAGCTCCCCAGAGATTCAGGTGATTAGCTCCCTGGTGACCTTGCTGACCAGCTCAAGGGAGATTTAACTGTCCATCTCCCTAAAGTCTCAATTGCCTGGTATCACAGACGTACCTCCAGTCCTGTCAAGTTCCTAGTCGGCGGTCAGGCCGACATCTGCCCTGGTTCCCCTGCAGTTGTCCAGCTACCAACTCCCTGCTACAGCAGTCCCCAGTCCCTCAGCTGCAGCAATCACCTGTCCCTGCTGAGCTGCAGCAGTCCTCAGTTGCAGAGCTGTAGCAACCTCCCAACCAACCTCTGGTGCTGCACTCCAGTTGCCAACCTCTAGTCCTGCACGCCAGGCATCAAACTGGCTGGTCTTCAGTCACATCGCCGGCGTCCTGCCCGACCTCCAGAGGGTTTCTGCGTTTGCTACCGGCCTCCAAAGGGTTTCTGCCTTTGCCAACTGCCTGTGCCATTTGGATCTGCTCAGCCCTTCGGCCTTGCCTCCTGGTCGGCCTCCGGACCTGCTCAGGCCATCCACCTGAGGACTTCTGCTCCGCCCATGTACAGCCATCAGACCATCCGCATGAGGTCCCCTTTGGCCACATGACAGAGAGCACAAGCTCCCCTCTATAGCTCCCTGAAAACTTACCCCAGAATTATTATTTTGGATTGTAGTCTTGGAAATGTTTGCCTTTGTTCCGGACTGCTTACCAGGGTTTTTGTATTTGTTATGGATTGCATATTTTTAGATTTGATAGACTGTCCACCTCACTGTCATAAACTGTCTCTTCTCTGCCCGTTGTCCTGCATTTGGGTCCAAATCCACCATTGACCATTGCACCCTATTACATAGACTCTCCAGTTGATCTAGAATGCTGCTGCATGTATACTACTGACAAGAACCAAGAAAAGCTTCTCTACACAGGCTCCCTGTAGAAAAGAATTTAAAATCCTTTTGCTACCTTTCAAAACCCTGAATGGTCAAGCACCATCATATTTTAAAGAGCTCATAGTGCCTGATTGTGCTACTAGAACACTGCACTTCCAGAATGCAGAGTTACCATCCACATTTAAGAGTAGGCTGTAAGACTGCTGTGAGACTTCCCATGATGCACTGAGCTCCTCTCTCCTCCTCTCCCTCTCGATCTGTAAGCATTCTTATCCCATTAATGCATGTTGCTAACTCGACTTCTTCCCTCTTCACTGGTTTTGTGCTTTCTCGTCCCTCTCCTCTCTCCTTCTGTTGCTTTCTGCTTTGTTTCTGCCTCTGGAGCTGTGGCGTCTGGATGTGTGGTTGCAAGCCACCTACTGCCCACATGTTCCTGCTGGTCACCCACTGCTACAATTATTACTATTAGTCGTATTATTGTCATTATTATTGCTATCATTATTAGTATTACTGTTTTACATCTATCTCTATGTGAAACTTGTGTTGGGATACTGTGTTCGCTGTCTCTCTCTCTCTCTCTCTCTCTCTGTCCCTCTTACCTTTAACAGTTAACTGTCAACAAGTGTTTGCTCACGGTGGGAATTGTTGGGTCTCTATAAATATTATAAGAGTATGGTTTAGACCTGCTCTGTATGAAAAGTGCAATGATATAACTTCTGTTATGAATTGGCGCTATATATCTAAATACAATTTAATAAATTTAAAATCGTTATTTTTCCTGCTCCGTGCTTGACTCAGCGTGACAGATGCAGTAATGTAATGCAAAAGGTCAAAGGTCACTTCATTGTAACATCATAAAAAAACCCCACTTTTTTGGCCATTATTCAGCACCATAACTCAGGAACAGAAGGAGAGATTATGACCATATTTTACAGTTGGTGGGACACCGAGTGAGTGACACTTTTGACTCCAAGGTCAGACGCCATGGTGACATCAAAATAGGTTTTTAGTCCATAATTTAAGAATAAATTGGGTGATTCCACATTTCACACACACATATTGACTTGGACTACACAATGAATAAATAAGTAGCACAGTACGCGCTTTCCTCCAGTCAATCATTCACTTCCTGCCTCATTCGGAATTTCGAGCTCTGTCGGAATAACATGACTGCTAAAAATGTATTGTTGCGGGCGAAGCTAATCGTGATCCTATGAGTGAGTGAGTTTCACCTACAACTCACTACATTCAAAAGGCAAACAAACAACAATTTGTGTAGCTAACCTATATAATCTATAATCTCTACTCTTTGTCTTTACATAGTAATCAAGTACATATGTACCTGTTTAGCCAGTGCATCTATGATGATTAGGCCAAAAAATACACTTTATTCATTTTAATTTACACTACATGTCTGGACAGATATCGATGGAAACTGCAACTTGACTGGTTGGCAAAGTAAAGCCTGGCCCTTTAAAGTATTAGTTGTCCTGAGAGATGCAGATGCAGCAGAAAAATGGTGGTTACTGTAGTTGTGTCTGTTGAGTACCTTGTTGTGATTTGACAATACATTTTTCAATTGAGGCAACTGGCCAAAATAAAGCCAGTCTTTCTAGGCAGCAGTTACCACTCGGTTAGATTACTGTAATGCACTGTGTCGTGGAAATTATATTCCTGGTGAGAGGTTGAGCAAATAATTGAGTAAAAACAAACCGTTGTCTTTGAAGAATTTATTTAACAAAAGAGAATAAACAGAGAAGTACTACAACAAAATCAGCTGGACTAGAGGTTCTGTCTCCTAAGACAGTCACTAACGTCTGGCCCAGAGCAAAGGGATGCTTTATCATTTACACAGTCTGAGCATCTATGTTTTGGGGAACAAAAGATCCTTGACTAGTCCCAGTCAAGGAAGGAGAAGAACAGCTAGTGAGGAAAACAATCAACAACCCCACATCCCTGACCTAAACCCCACACATGTGGACAGACTGGAATAACAAGAACAACAATAAAGATGGAACACGTTAAAGATTTAAAACAATATATACGACATAATAAAGGAGAAAAATAGCACTCTTATAAGTACTTGCATAAAGGATTATAAATAGAGAATAAAACAATTTTCTGCCCTTACACACTTTAGTTGGGGGTCAGTAGGTTTTCTATTGCTCGTCTCCAGCGCGTCTTTTAACCGGAACACGTTAACACGAGCACATTTCCCCTATTTTAGCCTCACTCCACTGGCTGCCTGTACATCATAGGATCCATTTTCTTTTATTTGCTTTTTAAATGTTTTAATGGTCTTGCCCCACCCAACATCTCTGAGCTGCTACACCCCTACAGACCCACCTGTTCCCTCAGGTCAGCTGATCAACTGCCTCTAAGTGTGCCCAAAACAAAGCGCAAGCTCAAAGGGGACCGAGCTTTTGCTGCAGCAGCTCCTAAATTGTGGAACGATCTACCTCTGTACATTAGACAGGCATCTTTACTGTCTGGTTTTAAGTTTCGTCTTAAAACTCACTTCTTTTCCTTGGCCTTTGAAAACTGAAATTGACATTTCTTGTTTTGATTATATTGATTTTATTGTGTGATTGTTATTGTTTTACTTGTATTTTATGCATGCTGTGAGCTTTGTATTTAGTGTCTTTTATGTATTCATTTATTTATTGTTTTTCTGTACAGCACTTTGTGTCCACTTTGGATGTTGAAAGTGCTCTATAAATAAATTTTGATTGATTGATTGATTTCCCTGACCCGTCCAGTTGACAGTACTTGCGGTAACAACTGTAAGTACCTGGAACTTCCAGTTGTTGCTTAGCACTTAGCATCAGCTGTAATTCTAGGAACTTGTCTTCAAACAAGGTGAACTGGGGAAACACAAGCAGAACCAGTGACAATGGATACATCTTATGTTACATTTTAGTAACTTCCTGCAGTGGAAAAAGCCTAAAAGTGGTACAAAGTGTTTGGAAAGGGCTGATCTCCATGTTGAACATATGGTGGCACTAGACTCAGAGAATCATCTTCTTTTTTAATATCCTTACATTTCATAACTAAATGGCCAGTATTTGTCTGGATTTCTCGCTCTGGACCAAAGTGTTAGACAGAAAGAATGACCACCATGTCCTCAAGCTTTGGACCTGCAACTGGCAGGGAAAGACTTGCACATTGGCCATTCTCTACGTTACTATAACATTCTAGTGGTGAGCCTCAGTATTTGCCATTTTACTCATTTCTCATTCTATTATGTCAAGTGGCACTGTCCTAAAAAACATATTAATCTCAAATTCAGAGAAGTTAATCTGTGGTTGTCTAAAGTCTAAGGATTGGAGTGTCAGCATATCAGTTCTACGTTATCACTTATGCTCGTGTTCACACAAGACAATAGGACATAAAAGACTTGCTGCTGGTTTATTTATTTCCTGGACTGTGCAAATACAATAGAGAATACAACACACTGCAGCATGCTGCTATCAACTGTCACACTGCTCCACTGCTGCAAGTGGATTGGTTACCTGCTGTGGAAAAGTGGAGTGGAGGGCTAAAACAAAGTGTGGAGATAGGTCTGGCTACGCAAGACTATGGACAATTAGCAACAGGGAAGTGCAGAAACAAAACATCTTAAACCATTAAGGGATCTGGTAAAGGTGCATTCCCTTTTTGAAAAACTAATTTAATTCAGTGTAACCGAGCTAGAAGATGGCTTTGGAGAGAAGGTAAGGCAAAGTTTGTGGTCCTGTCTTGAGGGATGTTTTAAAATGAAGGGTGGCAGAACTTTAAAGGGTAATTTGGATCATAACCTGGGTCCTATTTTCCCATATTTTGGTGTTGAAATGATTAGTATATACAAAATGTTTTAGCTGAAAACCAGATGCAGTGGCTGCAATGTATTACCTTGTCAAGAAGTGCTTCTTTGTGACACAGACATGCTCAGACTGTTATACCAGGTGTCTGACAACATCATAGAAAGGATCCCTACGACTGACTCCCGGTGATACCCTTTGTCCTGATAGACGAGTTGTTGCAGGAATAAACTTAAGTCTAAGTTACATTGCAGCCACTGCAGCCAGTTTGCGGCTGCCATCTGAGCCATCTACAGCACGGATTCCAAATATTTTTGGACTTAGTAGTCATTTCAACACCAAAATATGTGAAAATAGGGCCCAGATTTAAAAGTGCCAAATGATCATTATCCTATCCTTCTTATCCATTACTTGTGTCCTCATATCTGCACATGTCTCTGTCTTTTTCAGGTTGTGATGACCGGCCGCAACATAGCTGTAGAGGTGGATGAGGTAGAGGATCTGTCTCAGCTGGAGTGAGTTCACACACACACACACACACACACACACACACAGTACTTACATTTCTGTAAAAAATATGCACACTTTCTCAACCTGTTTGTCTAATGTTTTTAGAGAGGTGTCCGAGAGTTCTGTGCTTCTGAATCTGAAGAAGAGGTTCCACCGTGACTGTATTTATGTAAGAAATGACTGACCTCACACTATGTTCGGAAGCATTTTAAAGATCATAAACTGTTCTCATGTAATTTAGGTGAAATGCTGCAACTGGGATTTTATGTTAAAAGACGTTTTGGAAACAACATACATGTATATTGAGACAAGGCAGAAAAAAGTAGTCTTATAAGAATTCACAAGAAAATAGTAAAATGCAGAAGATCTGTTTTTGTAAATCAGATGATAGAGTAACCCTTAAAGAGTAACTTGACATGATGCTGGAAAGCAGTGTTTCACTGCCCTCTGTGGTTTATTGTGTGATTGGGTGTGGTCTGAAGTGTGCTCTGTTGTACCTGTAATCACACCCAACAGTGACATCACAGTGTACTCACACACCCTGGAGTATACTTTTATGTCACTGCACTGGAGGTCAGCATATATTTTCTGCTGCTTTTAAGTTGCTCTTTATATGTGAACTCTACTTCAGTTTTCTTGGTTAGTGCTTCTCAGCCTAAACAGTATAATTTTTGGGATAAAAATACTAATATCAAGTTTCACTTACTAAGCTGTTCCCAAAGCTTTCTGGCCTCTTGAGTAAGCAAACCTAAAAAGCTAAAAAGTGAACCCTGAGTTTAGAATTTTCATCCCAAAATATATGTGTTCACAGGTTAAGAATAAACCTCCACACTCATACTGTTTGAAAAACTTCTTTGGGTCTGGAGGGGCTGTCAAATCTGGGAAAATAGCCCTGATGATGTCATAGTACTGTCATCAAGGTTATCTCAGCTTGGGTTTGAAGACACAAGGTCCACTTAGCAGTGGACTTAAGTTGACATAAGTGGACAGCTTAACTCAAGGTCCCCTGTTCCCACTTTTTCAGAGCTTTCCATCGTATCTCACAGCCTTCCTCAGCTCGATGGAATTTTAAACAATCCATCCACAGAGACGCGGTTGAAAGTTCTGGAAAAAAGTAGTAAAGGGGACCTTCTTAATGCCATCTAATAGTAGTGAGCATCTTGGTAAATAAAATACAACAATGACAAATCAAAGTATATATAACAAATGTTCAATAAATATTTTAATGAAAATTTTGAATAAAATGTATTCACTTCACATCAAACACAATTTTTTTCTGTTAAGATGTTTATTTTGTTGAGGAAAAAGCTTTTACTTAATTTTACTCCTGCATATTTGTTGACAGAGATTTTATCATAATTGTTCTGAATGTTCTACCTCAGATTTGTGAAGTGATCCACTGTTTGGCATCAAGTGTTGACCACAGAGAAGAGTTTAAACCACAATAAACCAGCAGGTTTCTTCAGCTTTCACTCAGGAGCAAAAGTCAGCTATTAAACTTGAAAGATGATGTGATAACATTTTTGGCCGTATTGTCCAGCTCTAGTGCACTACCATCAGTATTGCATCTAACAATACCTGTTATCTGTGCTCAGTGAGACTTGTTTTTTAACCCCAAAACTTTTTTTATTCATCTTATGCTGAACGTCCTTTTCTCTTCAGACTTACATTGGAAACATGCTGCTGTCCATTAACCCTTTCAAGCCCCTTAACATCTACACAGAGGAGCTGAGACAGAAATACCAGGGCAAAGAGCAGCAGAGAAACCCACCGTGAGCAAACACTTCTCACTCTGACGTATATCATTCTGCTTTCTCTTACTGTACTTTGGCAGCAGAGTGTCTCACCAAACGTTTCAGTCCCTTTCAAAGATCTGTACCCCTTATTGTTTTTTGTTTTTTTAACTTGTTTGTGTCTGCTCTTTGCTTCAGCCATGTTTATGCCATAGCAGACGCTGCTTTCAGTCAGTCTCAAGCCTCCATACAGGAGCAGTGCATCATCATAAGGTACTGACCAGCTTCATACATTTGTATAGGCTATTTCTATGACAAAAGACCTGCACTTTTCTGTTACAGATTTTACAGATACACTTTATGCGCTAGGCTGCTGATGGATCATATTTTTCTTATGGCCAGCAAATCCAGTGATTTATCCTGACAAGCAAACCATTGGTTTTGGTGCACCTCTCCACTTCCTTTAAAAAAAGCTGTGTCTTATTTCATTTAATCTTTATTTATTGTGTAGTGGCCAGAGTGGTTCAGGGAAGACTGAAGCTACCAAGCTGATAGTCCACTACCTCAGCACCATGTATCAGGGCAGAAACGCCAAACTGCAACAGGTATTTCACGGTGGAAAACACAAAGGAACCTTAATGTACAAGTAATGATTTATCACTTAGCAATACTGCACAGCATTGGTTGGTGTACCTTTCAGTCCTCCCCCCATTTTTGTCTCTAGCATCTTTTTTTCTTCCTTGACCAGCCCATGGATGTCTTTCCCATCCTAGAGAGTTTTGGGAATGCCAAGACCATCCTCAACAACAATTCCAGCCGCTTTGGCAAATACCTCCACATCCACATTCGCCAGTAAGTCCACCTTATATTACCCTCTTTAGAAACATCTTATGCTGTTTCACCATATGTTCCTTTCTTGCTCCCCCTGACCAGATTGGTTTCAGTTGTTTAATTGGTCAACTGTCTCTCGTCTTGGTTGACAGTGGGGTTGTTGTAGGGACCTCGTTGTCCAAATATCTCCTTGAGAAGTCCAGGGTTGTCTTTCAGGTGAGAACACTGAGTGAGGTGAACTGTTTGCTCAAAACAGACATCATGGACTCCTCCATGATGTTACATTTGCTGGAGAAAATGCTGGACAATTTATCACTGTGTAAATTATCACACGACTGCTTGTGTTGGCTTGTAGGAAAATATCTCAAGTTACTTTTCTGGTTGAATGCTTTTGCTTCTTGGAAAATGAGCGGTTTGGAGGCTCAGCTTTCCCAGCTTGATAGAGGACACTTCTACCTATAAAACTGATCAAATAGCTTTTTAATCCTCAGTTTTTAGCCATGTGACATGATTCTAGGGATGAAAATTTTGGTAGGTTGATCTTTCCACAAGTGAAATATCTTGGCAAAGGTTTAAATGGATTGCCATGAAATATTTTATAGACATTCATGATCCCTAGAGGTGGAATTACAATGATATTGGTGATCCTTTGACTCTAGCTCCACCAGCAGGTCAAACTTTTCAGTTGAGAGAAGAAAAAAAAAAGAAAAATAGAGAGAAATATCTCTACACAATAAGGTTGACATTTTTGTTTTGAATGAAGTAACTCAACAACTGTTAAAGGGATTGCCATGAAATTTGCTACACATATTCAAGATCCCCAGAGAATCCCAAATGAACATGGTGATCCTCTGAACTTTCACCTAGCACCTCCAACAAGTATTCAATTATTGAGTGAAGTATCTCAATGACTACTAAATACACTGCTCAAAAAAATTAAGGAACACTTAAATCACACATCAGATCTCTACAAACGAAATAGTTCAAAGTTCAAAATCTTTACAATGTACAATGTAAAAGTCATTTTGAACCAAATGACGTAACAACGGTCACTGGAAACCAAAATCATCAACTGACTGAAGGCTGGATTCAAATCGCACTGAAAAGTATCTGATCTGACCTGAGTTGTCTTGAGTCACATCAAGACAGTAGAGTGTAAGGCCCCTACCTGCCTGTATGCACTCCTGACAACATCTGGGCATGTTCCAGATGATACAGCGGATAGTGTGCAGGGGGATCTCTGGATCAGGGCATCAGTGAGCTCCTGGACAGTCTGTAGGGCTACTTGGTGGCGTTGGATTCATCAATACATAACGTCCTAGAAGTTCTCAATTGGATTAAGGTCTGGGGAACATGTGAGCCAGTCGATGCATTCGTCTTCCAGGGACTGCCTACACACTCTGGCCACATGAGGCTGGGTATTTTCCTGCACCAGGAGGAACCCAGGGCCTACTGTACGTGGCTAGCACGTGGAGGTCTGTGCGACACTCCAAGGATATGCCGCCCCAGACCATCACTGACCCACCGCCAAACCTGTCATGATGGATGATCGGTGATCGCCCACAGAGGAAAGAGAGCAAGAGATCAAGCTCTTGCTGGTGGACTGTGTTCTGAGCTGACAGAGCAAGACTCCAGCAAAATGAGAGGAGGCAGACTCTGTATTTTACTCTGATGATCCTTGGTGCTCAAACACAGTCAAAATGGACACTATTTCCCAAATGTGACTTTTTTATGTGAAGATGAAAACTATATTATCAACTTGTGGCTGCAGTTCACATTCACCCAGATGCAGATTTAAAAAAATGCACGGCAGAATGTTCTAGGTGAATACTGTTAAGCATATACAGGTGCATCTGAGAAAATGTGAATATTGTGGAAAAGTTCATTTTTTCCCCTAATTTAAATCAGAAGGTGAAACTTCAATATATTCTACATTTATTACACATAAAATGAAATATTTCAGGCCTTTTTTTGTTTTAATCTTAATGATTACGGCTTAAAGCAAAAATCCATGGCTGTGTTCGAAACGGGCAAAACTGCTGTCTCAGAAGGTGTCCAACAGGACAGCGAGGCAGCGAGTACTGTTCGAAACAGCTCGAACGATCTCTTCCTGTCGCGTAAGATGCCTTCGAACTGCCCCAGTAATGGCCAGTTTTGAAGGCAGCATGCTGCCTATTACCCATAACCAGTGCGGCTGCGGCCGCCGTAGCTTTCAAAAACTGGTCAAGATGGCGGACAAACAAGCTGAATTCGTACACAAATAGACCTTTTTAAACCTTTGTAATAGTTTTCTCATATGATTTCTGAGGCGTCTGTTAGCCATTTGGCTTTTCAGTAGCTAGTTAGCTGATGCTATGGCTAGCATCTCTTCTGATAGCCAGAAGACACACAAGACAGCGTGCTGACGTCACGGGTTGCCGTAAGTGCTGCCCTAGATGGCTGTTCGAAACCAATGTAAACAGAGATGCCTTCACTTGAAAGTGATGCCTTCTGAGGCAGCTGTCTATAACGGTAGCGAGGCAGCGAGGCAGCGAGGCAACTGTCTTTCATTTCGAACACAGCCCATATCTCAAAATATTAGAACATTAGAATGTAGAATGTCTTGGGTCTGCTGTCTCTCACTTTCCTCTTAACAATACCCCATAGATTCTCTTTGGGGTTCAGGTCAGGCCAGTTGGCGGGCCAATCAAGCAGAGTAATACCATGATCAGCAAACCAGTTACCAGTCGTTTTGGCACTGTGGGCAGGTGTCAAGTCTTGTTGGAAAAGGAAATCCCATTTTGTCTAGACCAGACCTTTTGGAGCAGCCTTAAGTCCAAGCTGGACCAACATGACTCCAATCCTAGTTCTCTATCCCTTCCTCTGGGCAATCATCAGCAATGATGCCTGGTCCGGTTGATTGGGTTGGGTGGATCATCTGAGGTCCAGCGCTCCTTAATCAAAAACCCTGGCTTCCTTTTCCAAAGACTGTATTTCTGTCATAAGTAACACACGTTGCAGCAATAAAGCTGGAAAAAACTGATGAAAAACAAAAGTGTAGCAAAGTTTGAAGGAGCTACCGCTGCATCTACATGCACTGCCATTACCATATGCTTCCTAACTGGACAGATTGATATCCCTGAAGTTTAACTAACTTCATGTTATACTTTGATGATCAAGTGTTCTCATATGTTTTTTTGAGCAGTGTAGATAAGATAGTGTAGACACACAAGTTGGTACAGTCATTCATGGTTTCCAGAGGACCAATCTCAATTACATTGATGATATTCTGACTTATCCTCTAGAACCATCATAAGGTCAATATGTCAGTATAATAGTAAACCTGGAAAGCTAAAGACATTCCTATCCGTCTCACCTGTACTTTGTGTTTAGAGCTAATTAGCAAATGTTAGCATAATAATACACTAAACTAAGACAACATTGTCATTGTGCGCCTGTTAGCATGTTGTTGTTTGCATTTAGCTCAAAGCAACACTGTTTCTAATTGAAGTCTCACAGAGCCTGTCTGTAGAGTCCTAATCTTATCTCCAGTTACCTTTAATGTTAATTTCTCCATTATTTTCTACTGTAATGGAAAGTAAATGTACAACGCAGCAACAAATGTGGATGTGGTTGTGTGTTTCGTGTTTTTTGTTTCTGGCAAGGTTGTATATATACTGTAAGTTGATGGTAAATCATCAGAACTCATGAACTTGATGTCACTGTCACAGTTATTGTCTCATTATCCCTTTAGGCCAATGAGGAGAGGAACTACCATGTGTTCTATGAGCTGCTGGCAGGTATGAATGACTGGGACAAACAGGAGCTCTACCTGCAGGGAGCCGAGACCTATTACTACCTAAATCAAGTACATCAAACATCAGTGAACACAGAGCTATTCTCCATCTCAGGTTTTTGTAATATTTTCTCTTCCTCTTCACTCATTATAGATGTTCTATGTCCTCTTCTAGGGTGGTGCCTGTGAATTGAAGGGGAAGCAGGACAAGCAGGACTTCCAGCTTTTGGTTCAGTGCTTTGAGACCATCGGTCTACATGCTGACCAGATCTCAAACGTCTGGGCCATCCTCTCCTCTATCCTGCAGCTCGGCAACATGTGCTTCAGCTCATACGAGGTGTGTGTATAGGAGAGTGGGTAAGGATTAGACAGATCATTCATTGATATGGGGGGATGACAGGACAGTGGATAAGACACATGGTTCGATTCCCCCTGCAACACATCCACCAATGGGTTCCTGAGCAAGACACTTAACACTAGTTGTTCTAGAGGTGTGTGACCTCTGGCATACAGTATATAGCAAATGTAAGTTGATTTGGATGAAATACCTCATTTGGTGTTTTTGCTTCAGAGTGAGTCGTTTGAGGTGGCTCGTATCTTCAGCGAGGCTGAGGTCAGGAGGGTTGGCTCCTTGTTGCAGATTTCGTCCGAGGCCCTTCAGACCGTCATCACTCACAAAGTCACAGTCAGTAGCCTCTCATGCACCAATCATGACTCTTGCTCCGTCCACATTTCTGCATGTGTGCACCGTGATTAGCTTTCTCATTCACAGGAGACGACCTATGACAGAATCTACTGCCCATTATCTGTGGAAAGTGCCATAGAATCCAGGTAAGACAATGTTGATGCATGCTGGATGTAAGCACAAATAGCAGACAAGTCTCTCAAACCTTAATAGTAATTTCTCAATTGGAGAAATGTTTTCTGCCATTTGTTCATCCATCTTTCCCATTATCTGTTGCCTGGCTGCGGTGGCAGCAGGCCAATAAACCATTTTCCCTTTTCCATCTTCCTGATTGATCTTGAGGCATTCCCAAACACTGTCAAAGGAAAAAAATAGTATTAAAAGGTTGGTATAGTGCTTCAATACAGCTGGGGGACTGATTAAAAAAGGCTGTAGCTGTGGTATTGAGGTTTTGCCCGTACAGTGGCTGTGGCTCAGGAGGTAGAGCGGGTAGTCCACTAATCAGAAGGTCAGTGCTTTGATCTCCAGCTTCTGTAGTATGCATCTCGAAGTGTCCTTGGGCAAGATACTGAACCCCAAATTGCATCCGATGGCTGTGCTGGATGTGTGTGAGTGTGTGTGAATATATACGTTTCTGTCTCTGAGCAACTGGAAGCCACTGCCATCAGTGTATGAATGTGTGTGAATGTAACTAACTCAATCATGAGGAGGGCTGAACTGTCAATCATGACGTGAAACCCTATTTTATAGCATCAAAGAACAAATTTAAGTCACTGAAATCTTTCAATGTGTTTGACATGTTTTTGGATTTGGCCCATCTGCTAACATAGAGGGGGCAGGGTTTATGACCTATACTGCAGCCAGTCACCAGGGGGCGACCAAGCTGTTTTGGCTTCACTTTTGGAGAGCTGTCATGTTGTACATCTTTATATACAGTGTATTGTCAGGCCTCAAAAACACTGGATCCTACATTTCCCATAATACAGCCTTTACCGCTCCCTGTTTGTTTTCCCCTGTCTGTTTCTATCTCTTCCTGTCCTCCACCTACATGTCAGACCCTCCCTGTCTGCTTAACTCCCACTTCTTTCAAATTCCCCAGCCCTAGTTTGGAGTGCCCTTGAAAGAACTGTGAATTACAGTTCTTTGCACTGAACAATGCAACTCCCATTCAAAGGTACACATCCCCTTCTCCTCCTTGCCCTCTGTTGCAGAGATGCTATTGCCAAAGCCTTGTATTCAGTGCTGTTTGACTGGTTGTTGGAGCAGATCAATGACTGGCTGAGTCCCACTGAGATGGACAGCACGGTGGGCATAGTCGACATCTACGGGTTTGAGGCTGGTATTCTTCCTTCCTTCTAAAATTTAAAATAACTGAGCATTTGCATCAGGTGTTGGATGTGACGTCACAGCTCCTCTGTGTTCTTCTGCAGGACCTGGGAGTGAACAGCTTTGAGCAGCTGTGTATCAACTTTGCCAACGAGCAGCTGCAACACTTTGTCAACAAGGCACTGATTTCCCAGGAGCAGGTCAGTGGGCGGTACACTAGATCCAACAGGGCACCGCTTTCTAATAAGTCACTCTTATATGGTACATAAGCTGTGACTAATAGCTTTATCAGTGTTCATTTGCTAATGCCCTATACTTTTGGAAAGAATGTGAATAAGGGGTTTTCACAACCTGGTAACTCAGAAGTTGTTCTTATTAAGGGCTTATAACTGACCATTAATAAAAAGTTTATTTACAATTACCTAGGCAGTTAGTTACGATATATAACCCCCCTCCCGTTCTGTGGATTGTATTTGCTGTCTGTACTTAGAGGTCATTACTGAGGTAAGAGAGCTTTTAGCTGCCGCGCTCCCTCCACCTGGAATACACTGCAGACTGATATGTAGCTGAGCTAGCTGTCTAATTGGTGATTTTAAATCCCGGATGAAAGACTTGAATTAAAATCTATAAGTTGTTGTCATTGTTTCTAAAATAACACATTTACTTTAAACAGTTACACAAATTGTATTATATGTGGTCTTCTTGTTGTTCTTTTTAATTTTGTATCTTAGAATCTTTGAATGTATTTTGGGTGTTTTGGGGTGTGTTTGGTGTTCATGTCTGTTACTCTACTCTGTCAACATTTCCATTCCTCTCTTGAAAAAGATGTTTTAATCTCAATGAGATCATCTGGTGAAAGAAAGGTTAAAAAAAATAACATCTGAGTATTGACTAATAATTCAGAAAGCTGAACTTAGAGTTTTATTAATGTTTGTAATGGTATGGGATGAGTTTTAGAATCATTAATTAACAAGACACATTGTGTTATTGAAATGAATCACCTGGCCCAGCCAATGCACAAACAGCAGCTTCAAACCCGGGGACCAAAGATGAAAATGTGCCTTTCTGGCCCACTAACACTGGTATATTTTCAGAAATGTTTTTAATATGGACTGTACCTGTCAAACAAGTAAAACACTAAATGAAAAAGAGAAAACCTGGATCTGTCAAACCTGCGCCTGTAGCCAAAGACATTACCAGCTGCAGCTATTTAGACCTAGCCAAGAACTTATTTTCCTTTAACTAAAGTGTGTAGTCTGCAATATTACTGTGTGTGTCCTGCAGGAGGAGTACAGTGCAGAACAGATCCAGTGGTATCCAGTGCCACTTAAGAACTTCCACTCCTGTCTGGAGCTGATCTCCTCCAGGCCACACGGCATCCTCCGCATACTGGACGATCAGACCTGCCTCCCACAGGTGCATACACATGCAAATATGTTTCCACCTCTATGCTTGTGAGGACCTTTATTGACATAATGTATGTCCTAACAATCACAAGTAAATGTCTAACCCCAACCATTACCCTAAACCTAACCTACTCCTAATTCTAACCTAAGTCTTAATGACCAAATGTCCTCACACACACATAACCAGAGCTTTCATCTAAATTCAGAGGTGTTATGATGAAATGTTTCCATGTTGTTCTATTTCTGACCTTGTGTGGTGGAGTGTAAAATATTAAAAACTAAATCTCTTTGGGTATTATGTATTGTTCCTCTGTGTTTATTCATCAGGCCACGGACCACACCTTCCTCCAGAAGTGCCACTACCACCACGGGAACAGCCCCTACTATGCCAAGCCCAAGAACCCAATGCCAGTCTTCACTGTCTATCACTATGCTGGACCTGTCACTTATCAGGTGTCGGGCATAGCACGCTACTTTATACAGCACACCCATCAAACAGCAGCCGGTGCAGCAAAACATTTGTATTAAAAATAATTCTCTTTTTCCAGGTTCACAATTTCCTGAATAAGAACCACGACCAGTTCAGGACAGAAGTGGTGGAGCTATTTGCCAGGAGTCGGTTAAAGGTGAATCAACTGGCATTAGAGCCGTACAGATATGCCTTTTTGCATTGCATAGAATAGCATACCAAAATGTGTATAGCAGCCACAGAGGAAGCCCTTTGCCTGAATTGGTTCCATTAAGAGATTTACATTAGAGAGTATATTAGATTACATTATGTAATCAGATTACACAGGTTTGTGTATCCATATATCACGTTTGAAGTTAGTGCAGTTTAAAGTGCTTAACATGCAACTAACAAGCTAATAAGCCTATTAAGACAGTAGAAAGATAAACAGTTGAACAATGGAAGACTGATCCACACTAAAACTAAAAATATAGAGACAGATAGGAATAAAAGTAAAATAAAATAATTAAAACCAACAAATTTTTAATAAACTTAACTTTTTTAACGTAGTAACCTAGACATTACGAGATCAAAAAAGTCAAAATTATGAGAAAATGTTTCTCCTGCTTCCATATTCTTTTCTATACAATAAAAACAAGTAACAAGCACATGAACTTTTGAGGGGAAAAAAACAGTCTGACGATATTGTACATCAACATGAAATATACAGGTGCATCTCAGAAAAAGTGTATATCTGTACATTAAGTGTACATTTCCCTCCATAATTTAATTTAAGAAGTGAAACTTTCATATGTTCTAGATTCATTACACATCAAGTTAGATGTGTAATGAAGAGCTCCAATCAAAACACCTGCCAAGGTTTCCCTAGCCTTTAGTCTCTCAATCTGGTTCAGTTAAGTTCAAATGACGATATTCAAATTTTTAGAGATGCACCTTTGTTGGTTGCTCCAAAAGCATAAATGTAGACTTTCAAAAACACACTTAGAAAACTTGAATAAGAACTTTTTTTGACAGTCTACCTGTGAATTTGCGTGTTTTCTTGATCCTGTTTGTCAGATGGTGTCGGAGTTGTTCCGTAAGGTTCAGGATGGTTACATTCAGCAGCGAGAGCTTGGCTGGAGAGGGAAGGGCCTCCGTCAGCAGCCCTCTACTGCTGCCTCACACTTCCTTCAGTCCTTGACTGAACTCATCACCCGCCTGGAGAGGTACCAACACACTGACCAGACTGACCGACACTGACACTGGGCTTGTTATTACCAAAGCTGTGGATCAGTGTGAAAGCAAACCGTTTCACTGCATGTGCAAAGAATGTGGGTTTGGTAAATGTCATGGAAAGAAATAAGGACATTATGAAAGTTCATAATGTTTTTGTTTGGTGTGAATCATCACTGAAAGAAATTCTGCAGGACACTGCAGGACAGAACTGAATGGGTCAAATCAGGAATATTTATATCAGTTCTACAAAACAGCTGTCTGATGCTGCTCAGCCTTTCTTTAGTTGCTTGTAGGTCTAAGGTTAAGCACTTGTCTTGATGAATAACCTGTATCAATATTTTGTCCTTCTACTCTTAGATGCAAAACCACTTTTATTCGTTGTCTGAAGCCAAACTACATCAAGGTAGCACCAGATACTTTACATTGATGCTTAACTAGTGTCTTAACATCAGCTGACAATGTATGACCATGTACTGTGCCTCCCGTATCCTCTGTCAGGTTCCCGGCATCTTTGACATAGACTATGTGTCGGACCAGCTGAGGTATGCTGGGATGATGGAGACCATTCGCATCAGGAAAGAGGGTTTCCCCGTACGGATACAGTACTCCTACTTTATTGAGAGGTGCTGCAAACATACATAGCATCCCCTATTTTTTTATTGGTCATATTTTACTGTGGATTTAGGTAAAACCACATAAACGTGAGGTTAAAATAAAAAGGGAAAAAACTTTTCACCCGGCTTGTCAGTATGGGCTGCGTGGAACTCCTTAACCATGTCCAAAATGGCCATGGCCATGACAATTGCTGGACCAGAAGAAAGTGTAACCAAATTTTAATAAGTTTATTTATAACAATCACAACATACGTTTAAATTAATTTTAACACAACCCAAATAGCATAACACTCCCCTCCCACTCATCCATCAAGGGTCAGAGCGAGTGTGTTTTACCTTTCAGTATAGTCTTTATTTTCCTGTGTGGTGTCAATACTTTACCACATGTCTGGAGTTTGTGGTGCAACTTGGAATTATTGTATTATTATTAAATATTGTGGCTCCAATTAATTATCATATAAATCTTTTTTAAGCAAATTCAATGCAACCCTGCACGTGTTACATTGCAGCATACACACAGATTTGGCATTGCGGCTGGTGTGATCCCATCCCAAGATGGTCTCTGGTTGTTGATTAGCCTGGTTTACTGATAGGTCAGGGCATGCAATAGGTCGAGCTGAGCACCCTCTGCTCTAAGGGACCTCCTAAGAGAGCTTGAAGGCAGCGTGTGTTCTTGTTTTACAGATATGGAGTGCTCCTGACCCAGCGGTTGGGTGAGGTGTCAGACAGAGAGCAGACGATGGCTCTACTGGACATGTTTTGTGCACAGGAGGGACAGTACCAGCTGGGACTCACCAAGGTGCCTAACTGCCCATTCATGACACTGATGATTTTACTCTACACATCAACATGTTTGGATATTTGTGTGTGTCTGTGTCAGGTGTTCCTCAAGGAGCTTCTGTATCAGCAGCTGGAGGAGAAGTGGATCAGCACCCAGACCTGGGCTGCCATCACCATCCAGAGGAACATCAGAGGCTTCCTCTGCAGGAAGAACTTCAAGTTCTTCAAACAGAAAGCCATTGTGATCCAGAGCCACATCCGAGGACACCAGGCCAGGTACCATAGTCAGATTCAGAGTCATTCTTTATTGTCCTCAGTGGAGGAAAGGGTACAAAACTTTTTCTGAAGCGTGCCTTTTTGTAGAGCAGCTGTCTGTATCTACGGCCAGAAGGGAGAAGCGTGAAGCATGAGTTGAGAGGGTGGCTGGGATTTTGTACTAGGGTAGTTGCTCTAGGAGCAGTGGCAGTATTAATGAGGGCTGGCAGGTTGGGAATGGGACGTCCTGTTATTTTGGAGGAGGTGTTAGTAATTTTAAGAAGCTTATTCTTATTGGTGAGAGAGAGCATGGTGAAGTAGCATTTAGCACAGTACAAGAGGATGGGTTCAGTGACACTACAGTACAGGAGAAGCAGTAGGTTTGGTTTGACTGACTGAGTCCTGAGTTTATGAATGACTAAAAGTCTTTGTGGACAGTGTTTGTGGATGTTTGTGATGTGGTGATCAATACTCAGTTTATTGTCCATAGGTGTCATTTACACTGGTGACATGTCCCCATCACTTTTTGAAAGTAAAATGGTTAAATGGTTCTGATAAATTGCTTGCAACAAGAACTGTTAAATGAGAATGCTTTGAGAAAGGTTTATTTGCACAATAAGAAACATGCAATGTAAATATCTAAGAAACAAATGTGCATTGTCCAAAAAAGTAACTTAAGCTAAAAAAACAAGTGGCTGATTAATATTATTTTATATAATTTTTATATTTTGTATTGTCACCTTACACCGGAATTTTGTGTTTCCTTTTATATATATATATAAAAGATATTTCAACCATAAACTGGTCTGAAGGACCCCCAGAATCAAATATCACAGTAGTGAATATTTATTCTAATATCGAGCAAGTGTATCACTGCATCCCTAATCTGAGCCTTAAATGTCCCCACCACTTTTCAGCCCAAAGAAACGCCCTTGCCAGTTACAGAAAGGAGAGAGAACAGAGAGGAGAGGAGTATCAGGTTGATAAATCTGTCCCTGCTTCTAGATTCAATACTGTTTTTCGGAAAATAGAATTTTTTAAAATAGATGGGTTTTTTTGTCATTGTTTCTTGTTCACCTCTTTAATAACAAAACTACATCATCATACAGAATTGTATTTCTCAGGGTTAATTTTATTGTTGAACAAACACAATGCCCTCAGTCAATCCAAAATATAAATGAACCTCGAACCTGAATGTTTAACTAAGGAAAAGTGATTTTCTTTCTTAATTTTTAGAGTAAGTGTGACAACACAAAATGACAATTATATAAAATTTAGGGCCTTTCAAAAATATTTAGTAGGGCCACCCTTCTTTTCAATAACTGCTATGGGCCATCCATCCATGGAGTCAGTTTTTTGATCTGTTCTTGATCAACTTTCACTGACGCAGCATCTACAGTCTCCCAAATACTGTTCAAAAAGGTGTCTTGTCTTTCCGACTGTAAATCTGACATTTGAGACAGGCCCACAAGTTCTCAATAGGATCCAAGTCAGGTGAGGATGGAGGCCAGGTCATTATTTGGGCATCTTTAGGGCCCTTGCTGGCTAGCTAAGCAGTGGAGTAATTTGATGCATGTGATGGATCATTGTCCTGCATAAAGATCATGGCCTTCTTGAATGCTGATGACTTCTTCCTGTACTACTGCTTGAGGAAAGTATCTTTCAGAAAGTGGCAGTAGGTTTTCAGTTTTTAGTGTCAGTTAAATCTCTTTTTTAACCCATTTTACCTAAAGTAACGAAGCTGCCTAATAATCTTGCACAGCTTGATATAAGGTGTGATTCACTTTCACCATACCCTCCCTCATGACACAAATACATATCACCTGTAAATGATTAACTCCAGTGAGCATTCAAGTTCATATGGTTTGGAGATGGAAAATGTGCATAAGAAATAAGTATTCATAATACTTACTTGCCTAATAATAGCGTTAAAAAGTCATCAGAACAAAGGACCTGTGGTAGCACTCCTTCTTACACTGTGGGTGTAGCAGTCTGTTGCAGGAGTAGCTGCTTATAGCTATCTCATGACGGGGGTGAGGTGTTGTCCATGATTGACTTCAGTTTGGCAAACCTCCTCCTCTCACCCACCACCTCTATGGAATGTAGAGGGCAGTCCAGGACAGAGCTAGCCCCACTAACCAGTTTGTTAAGTCTTTTTCTGTCCCTCTCCGTGCCTCTACCTAAATTGTTCGGTCGCAATTTATTTTATAGTATGCCTGTAAGATGTAAAAAGCTGTACTTTGGATCAAATGAGACCAGACCTATATGTAAAAATGTTCTTTTTGAGGCAGTAAACAAACCTTTATTTAGACACCATACTTCTACATTTGACTATAATTGGACAACACATGTAATAACTATTAGACCCAAAATATACTTTACTTAGACACTATTCTATCAAATTATACTCCAATTAGAAATCAAATAGAAGAACCTAATATTTTACCATTTTATAAGATCATAGTCTGATTAGAAATATAATAATAATAGAAATACAATGCAATGTTAGATCCAAAATATGCAACAGTTTGACATTATTCTACACTTCCTACTAAATTATTCCAACATTGCATCTTTATTCCCAATCGTTAGACCCTTATTAGACTTAAAGGATGCAGAAAGCTGAGCTGAGAGGAAGTTTAGGTTTCAACTGAGGGCTGAAATGAGGTCAGGGAGTGGTATACTAAGGTGGAGCACTGTGTGATTGTGTGTTGCTACCCCCTGTCTTCTTCTAGGAGGTACTATAAGCGTCTGAAGCAGTCCTTCACCCAGTTCTGGGCGGTGATGATGATAACCAGGAACACCATCAAGAGACGCCATTGGAGGAAGGTAGATATGACAGAGAGAGAGAGAGAGAGATATCCCCACCACAGAGTCCTCGGCTGCGTTTCCTGACAACCTTATCTTTGTTGACTTTATTGTTCTATAAATCTTTGCTCCGAATGTCTCTTGTGCAATACTAGCAGCTTAACGCAACACCATATGAGTTGTAATAGGAAAAATATGTCCGTGCCCTCTGGGCGATAAGGCCCTGATATCCATGTTTTGGGTCAAAGTTTAGTTTGCTGTACGCCATTCTTTTTTATTTCCTCTCAAATGACTTCACCAACTGTGCTGCCTGTATTGTTTGTCCATGTGTGTTTGCAGAATTTCCAACTAAAGGCAATTCTTACCTTATCATACAGAACAACATTAGTTTCTTCAACCAAACTAAAATCTCCCTTACCCTTGTGTCTCTGTGTCTGTTGTATGTGGAAACATGAAACTGTTAAACGCATTGGCCATAATACATGTATAAAGTGACCTTACATAAATGTTGTGTTGCTGCTCCACACATACACTAATCAATATAAAATCAAATGTGTAGGTGTTGCTCATAGTGACAAACCCAAAGAGAATTATGTAAATAAAATTAAATCATTCATACAGACTCCCGATGGGGCGGCCTTCAGTATCTTGCCAAAGAACTCTTTGACATGGAGGCTGGGGGGAGCCGGGGGATCGAACCTGTAAACCACAGCAATTATCATCAATTCGGCAGTTCTCTCCTAAGCTCAGAGCCTTATAAGTTCTTTTTGTTCTCTGCTTTGGTTTTATAGACTGCAAATTCATTAACCTTTGAAGAGCTCTGACAGACCCACCGTACACTACCTGCTCAGCACCAAACAGCACAGACACAGTTAGAGACTAGCTGGTGAACACAGCGGAGTAGTGAGCTGAAAGTAGAGCTGAAAGGAGAGAGGAGAATGTTGAACTCAAACATGCTAATATACCTCTGTGTCTGCTGGATGTGTAGTGTACTGGCAACCTTTTACAATTTTGCTAACCTGTTATGACTTTATAAGAGGATCATTTGTCAGTGTTGTTCTGCTGCCTCCAAGTGGTCAAAACAGAATTATACATATGTACATTATACACGATTTAGCTAAGATTTAATAACAATGTGTCTTTAAAGAAACATGTCTCTGTTACTCTGGTTAATCCACAAACCTTGCATTGAACAGTTTTTAGTGGAACTTCTTTCTACTGATGAAACCAGTTGACAGTGTTTTCTGCATATCAAACGCCACAGGAAACTGTGCCTAGAAAGTAATGTTGCTGTTGAATCTTTTAAATGTCATCTCTTATTACTAAATTAAATTCCAGCCACCATCACTGTGTGGAGGCCGAAATCTCAGATAGGTATCTTAATTTGAGTGAACAACCCCATGGTGTCTTTGCTTTTTCCCGTTATGCCATGCAGAGTCAGGACTTTGTTGATTTAATAGTTGCAGTATTTATAGCAATATGTATTTATTTATTGCAGATGTTTGTGGTCACTTTCTTGTAAGCTATGAGAACATAGTCTATATTTAATATTTTTCTTTTTCTTTCTTGTAAATTAGTTGAAATGTGGAGTGTCTTTGATTGAATAAGAGATTTAAGGGAGATTTCCAGGACATGTTCCCAGGGAAATCATATAATCAAGATCATGACTTTAGCAAAGGATTTTCTTCTGAAGGCATTGAACTGTGTGCTTTGACAGACAAAAAGTTATAGAGTTAAATGCATGACTGACGACTGCTGTGCCCTAAACAGTGCATTGGGTGTGTTCATTCTTGTACACATTTCAGCACTGGCAACATCTTCCTTGACAATAATACAGCCACTTAATAAAATGTCATCGCTGTCCTTTAACTAGCTTTCTTATCTTGCATTAATCATGTAACTTGGACACATACACACACACCCTGCTTAAACCTCAGCCACACTCCGGTCTTGGACTTCAACCTCTCTCAGTGAAATTTGAAGCAGTACTGCATCACTCCTTCCGCCTTCTGAAACCTGTCTGGCTTCCAGCTCACCAGCTCTGACAGGTAGGCTGCTTCTCTTTCTTTTTACCCTCTGCATCACATCACGTGCAAAAATGTCTTTATTTCACTTGAGAAATAGCTCGCACCATGAATGTAATGAAAAATAGGCACTGGAATAGCCTGTATCAAGTTTCAAAACAGTCTGGAAAAAACGTCTTTCATGTTGTGCTTCCTGTGTTTAATCTGCTTTTTCTTTCTTGTCTTGGCTGCGAACTAAACTGACAATTTTGATATGTTTTTATCCTTTTGCTTCAGTTGTATTACTGTCAGTATTTGGCGTTAGTGTTTTATGAGGCTTGGACTATGAACAGTGACTTTGCCAGGCTCCAGCTCACAGGCTGCCTATGTCAGCTTTTAAAGCCTAGGTGGACTCATCATGAGCTATACCTTAGAAAAGAAGTGTAAGGAACTCAAAAACAAGATTTGGCGAGAGTTTGACTCATAGATTTGGGGGACAGTGTTGGATTATGATAGGATCATTTTGTGAAAATGATTGGAAAATGGAGACAGTGTTCATAGTTTCCACCTGAACTGCAGCTACCTCTGGTTTCGTTTACGGTTTATTGATACCAATAATGCACAGTGTTACCCAGAGAGTCTTACATAGGGTCAGTTTTTCTACGTGGTTGCAGCACACTTTTAAAATATAATGAAACAGCTGAGGCTCAGGAGGTAGAGCAGTTCACCCACTAATCGGAAGATCTGCAGTTTGATCCCCGGCTCCTCCAGTCTGCATGTCGAAGTGTCCGTGAACAAGATACTGATCCCCAAATTGGTTCCAAAGGCTGTGCCATCGGTGTGTGTGAGTGTATGTGAATTATTCGTTTCTGTTTCTGATGAGCAGTTGGCACCTCGCACGGCAGCCTCTTATTACTTTAGCTGTTTACTTGGTTGGATTTAAGTTGAAACCACTTTAGTGGTAGTTTAATATATAACAAAGTAACATATTTTATCCTTAAATACATAAGAATGTCGATAATACACAATAATACAAAGTAAATAGTAACTGTGAAAGAGCTGTGAAATATGTAGTAGAGTAAAAAGTAGTATGTGTATAGTGGTATAATTGTAATACTCAAAGTACAAGTACCTTAAAAGTATACATTCCACCACTGCCACTGTGGACCAGATCTTTTAATCTTTGATGCTGCTGGTAGTCAGGAGTACCTTAATGTCATTAGGATTCATCCTCTAGGGACCATGAACATCTCTGGAAAATGTCTTAACAGCCTATTCAGTGATTTTTGCGACATTTCAGTTTGGACAGAAGTAGCAGACTGACTGATGTTAGTCCAATCCAATCTTACCTTCAAGCTAACCTTAGACAGACAAGTCGCCATCAATCAGGAATCCAGAAGACCTTTACCGATGCTCATCACTCCTGTTTCATCCTATGCTGGCTCCCAGTATGCTTCAGAATAGAAAAGGTTTACTGGTTACTTTTAAGGCTCTTCATGGCCTCTCTCCCTGCTATATGTTGACCATTTATTACCATACACACCGGCATGTACTTTAAGATTCTTGGGCAGAGGTCTGTTGTCTGCTCTAGAAGCCCGGCTGAAAACTAAAGGGGACAGAGCGTTTGCTGTCAGGGCCCTGAGGCTCTGGAACAGCCTGCACAAGGAAATCAGATCGGTTGAGTCAGAGAACTCCTTTAAATCTTTTCTTTAAACACACTTTCAGGAAATTGCCTTTCCTGATTTTACTAGACTTTTAATTTTCTTTTAAATACATTTTAATTCCTAAAAAAAGTTGTTTTTCTTCAAAACCTGATGGTTTTATGACTTCTGTGTTTTATTGTTCTGCCTCTGTGAAGCACTTTGTCCCATGGTTTTAAAAAAGTGATCTATAAACAAAACAAGTGGGGTTAAGGTAATGCTAGACAAGTGAAACTAATCAGGGTGTGGCGAACGATCAACAGAAGGGCAGGAAGTGAAGTGATCAGCAGTGAGAGGAGAGTTAAGAAACATAATCAACTACAGTATTGTATTAGTATCTGTTTCTGATGAGCAGTTGGATCCTTGCATGGCAGCCTCTGCCATCAGTATATGAATGTGTGTGAATGGGTTAATGTGACGTGTAGTGTAAAGTGCTTTGAGTGGTTGGAAGACTAGGAAGGCTCTATACAAGTCCATTTACCATTTAAATATTGGCATTTCTAGATGGACAAACCCATTTTTGAGTTTTTGGTTATTGGTCCGTGATCCCAGGTGGTGACCATATTTATTAAGCTTTATTTATAATCGTAATAATATTAATACATTTATTAATTATCTTTTGATATTAGCCAAATCTATCTCTCTAACAGTGCAATTTCCAGAGCAGTGGTTGGGACAAATTCAGTCCTCCAACAAAAATACTGAAAACATTTTCCCTTTCATAGTTGACATTAAAACTTTTACTTCCCCCAATAAATATGACTTTATAACTTTGTGAAACACTGCGATTTGGTTAGGTTTAGGCACCAAAACTACTTGGTAAAGTTTAGGAAAAGATCATGGTTTGGGTTAAAATAAGGATGGTGCTTATGTAAGTTAAGTTACGTTACTCACGTTGCATAACTAAAAAGTCAAATCAAAATCATAATAAATCAATGTTGACTATTTGTTTCTCATGGGAAACAAACAGCTGACGCCTGGGTTAAAGTCTGGTTCCTAAAATGATAAAATAAAGTGTCGATGGGTGTGTGTTGATCTGCTATGATTTGTGACACACTTGTTTGGTTTGGGTAGGGCAGTCATGTAAATCCTCTCGTGTTAACATAGTGCAGGGTTGGGCTGCCTGTGTGTTGCAGAGACCATTTCTCTTGAGTTATTGGATAACTGTGATTATTGAAGGGATGCCATAATAAAACATATGCCCACCCATGTTTAATCTGTCCTGCAAACTTTGTCCGATACCTACAGTATATTCAGGAAGATCAAGAGCAGATTAAACTACTGACCATGAAAAACAAATGCTCAAATACTTTACACAATGGTAATGACAGAGATACATTGGATGGATTTGGTCATCGCCATCTGTAGACATCAGCTGTAAACTTCCTGAAAAAAAAAACCTTTCTGGACTTTGTATGAGGTGGGGCATCAGGACTGTGGGTGTGCGCAAGTATATAATAAGACGTGTATCTAAGAATAGGACTGACCACACTTCTCAGGCAGAGATAAGGGAGTGTTGAGTGTGCCTGAAGTACCTGGATAACAAGAGGATAACTTATATGAGGAGTTACACACTGGATCAGCAACAAGCTTCAGGTGACGGATGCTAGATCCAGGATTTATATGATTTAAAGATTATGAGATGAAATCATACTGGCTGCAGGATGACAAGCAGTATCAGTGACTTTTCATGTCAATGACTGACATGTGTGTATGTCAATTTTAGGAATTTCACGAGAAGAACCAAGTCAAAGCGGTGGCAAAGACTAAGTCTGTCTCTCCGGGAATGGTAAGGCAATTATTTAATCCTGTATCATAGAGAGCCTGTTGTAACATTCATCAGAAATACAACTTTCAACCTCAGCAAACAGACTGACGTTCTAGTTTTATCTTGTATTAACTGTACTGTAACATTTGCTTAATCCCTATTGCTTGTTTTCCTGTTAGGATGTGGGGATGTTGGAGATCCCTGCTGAGCTGTCAGCCAGACTTCACAGTGCAGCAGGTCAGCTCTATAGAATGATTTGATAATACTACAATCTGCACATGTGTCACTCTGCTGCCAGTGTTAGGCTAGTTTGTGATCGTCTTTTCTCTCTCCACCAGCGCGGCAGCATGTGTCAGGGATCACAGAGGTTGCACGTCCTCAGGTGAAGGCTGAACACAACCTCACTCTGCCTCTGGATATAGACAGATACCCATTCTCTCGCTATGCCAAGTCCATATTAAAGGTGAGCCAAGTGGGGGCACACACATGCAGACATTTATAACCCAGTCCTGGTTTATTACACTGTAAATCCTGCTCCACCTCACACTTCAGATGGGGTTATGGGATGTCTCAGGTGTGTAAGTTAAAAAACAAATAAAGTAATTACTCCATATGATGCCAGTCGAAAAATTAAATGATATATAAATAATGTGTTTTTCTTCAAATAATATATCATGTAGTTGCTCTTAAACCTGTATTAATGATATGACATATTTTCACTTTCTTTTCACCTGTATCATACAGTTATTATGGCAAACATGTTAGCAAACAATTGCCTGAGGTGTTTACACATGCATTAGACACAGAGCAACACTAGCATTCATGTGGAGTGGTGTTTGTGTCCACCTGATGAATGTAAATCCAAGGCTTTTGCAAGCCCATGAGTCTTGGCAAGCATCGCTTGCAGCTATTTCTAATAGCAGTCAGTATGGTATTGCTTAGCTGTTATGCTGACTGCCATGGTGTTGACTGGTGTGCTTTGTAGGTGTGCTAAATGCTGAAATAATTTTCTTACCATCCCGATGAAAACTCATTTGGTGTAATAAACACACACACTTAAGGATCCAAGTTTGGGAATTTGAAAATATGGTCACATTAGCTCAGGACTGCTCCTCAGTTCCAGTTTTAAAGGAAAGTCATTTTGTTTCTTGATGGACAGATGACTTTTCTTGTTAATAAAGTAACCGCTAACAGGTAGCTGCCACTAGCTGTGACCTGTGTTGTAAACATAATAAAATAGTGCCTGTTAATAAAATAAATAATAAAAATAATAAAATTATTATTTGTACTGAAAACATGGAGAATCATCTTGCACCAACATATATGGAATAAGAGGGATTGTATTTCTTTGTGCATCCTCTTCAGGATACATGGTGCCAGCCTCAGGGATACCCCCTCCAGAGACCCCTCACCTCTCTGGAGCCTGAAGATGCCAGAACTGCCCTGGAGATTTATAAATTGGTATGTAGAAGCAATTAAATGTGTTTGTGTTAAGATACATTCCATTCTTTTTACTCTCATTTATTTATTATTTTCAATCCTTTTCTTCTCAGATTTTGCGGTTTACAGGTGAGTCAGACCTCAGTGGCTGGCAGGAGCAGATGTTGGGTAACTACATAGTCGAGAAGGGTCAGAACCGGCCAGCCTTGAGAGATGAGATCCTGGCCCAGGTGGTTTACCAAATGTGGGGCCTGCAGGAGAAGGACAATCTAAGGGGCTGGCTGCTGCTGGCCTGCTGTCTCAGTGCCTTCACCCCCTCACCAACAATGGACAAACCCCTGCTCAAGTAGGTGTTAAGCTTTTTTTATCAACAGGGAATGGCGGAGAATATAAATTGTGCACTATTTGAGGCTAAACTAAATCTTAATGGTATGAAGTCATACTGTAGTACATATTGAGTATAAGGCTTATGGCAACAACATATTGGCACTATAATTTATTTTCTTCATATGCAGTGGCAGGAACTAACACAAGCAAAGACACAAAAGATCCTATATACAGTGGTAAGACACAGTAATTACCACTTTATCACACAGGAACCCGGCAGTGAACTTGAATGTGGCAGTGGTGTTACTGGATTTTGGTCAGGATAAAGCGCAGTTATTGGCTCCACACACAATGAAACGTGCTAGGCACCAAAACACACAGCAATAAACAGGATGCAGCAAAATTAAAATCACAACAATGAAGCTCAGGTCACAATAACACAGTTAAAAACATATCTCTGCCCAGTTACAAGACTTGAAATCACTATAGCTGTTATGTGGCGTATAACGATCTTATTCCGGATTCTAAATTATATGTTCAACAAACACAAAAACAGTCTGTCCTCGTCCAGCGGGGGAAATAAAAGTAAGTTGTAGTGGACTAGTGTCACACACCAGAGCAAAAGCTCTGAAAAACAAACACTGTCCACCCAGCACCAAACATGCACTGGCTTTTTGAGAAAAATGTTAAATAATAGTAGGAAAGGTGTGGACTGCCACAAGCTTATAGTGGGATTTACCATTTTGTTACTATACCCTGTCTGAAAAACACTTTCAAACCACATCATCCCTCTGTATGTGACTCATTCTACAGTATTTCCTGTGCAGGTATGTGTCTGATCATGGTCCAGGAGAGTACCGCTCATTGTGCCAACACAAACTGCTGACATCTCTGCAGCTCCCAGCTCCCACTGCCCGCATCTACCCCCCTATACAACTAGAGTGGACCACCAACCAGAAGAAGGGCTCCATGCTGCTGGAAGTACACACCTTCAATGGTGAGAACTTCTTTAGAAAAACAGTAACCAATTTACTGTGAACTGGACCAGTTTTGTTATTTACAACTCCAGTATAAAAAATATCTGCCTATAACAAGCCTATGATATGTTTTCTCAGATGAAAAACTGACAACTGAAGTAGAATCATGGACCACAGGAGAGCAGCTGGCCTCATGGCTTCTTCAATTCAGGTACTGCTCTACTTCTGAACATGCAGTGTATTTACCTCCATTAACTTGTGTTTCAACACATACAGGTGCTGGTCATATAATTAGAATATCATCAAAAAGTTGATTTATTTCAGTAATTCCATTCAAAAAGTGAAACTTGGATATTATAGTCATTCATTACACACAAACTGTTATATTTCAAATGTTTATTTCATTTAATTGTGATGATTAAAACTGACAACTAATGAAAATCCCAAATTCAGTATCTCTGAAAATTAGAATATTACTTAAGACCAATACAAAAAAAGGATTTTTAGAAATGTTGGCCAACTGAAAAGTATGAACATGAAAAGTATGAGCATGTACAGCACGCAATACTTGGTTGGGGCTCCTTTTGCCTGAATTACTGCAGCAATGCGGCGTGGCATGGAGTCGATCAGTCTGTGGCACTGCTCAGGTGTTATGAGAGCCCAGGTTGCTCTGATAGTGGCCTTCAGCTCTTCTGCATTGTTGGGTTTGGCGTATCGCATCTTTCTCTTCACAATACCCCATAGATTTTCTATAGGGTTAAGGTCAGGCGAGTTTGCTGGCCAATTAAAGTAACACTATGTAACTTTTGCTCTTGGGGTCCCCCTACAGTTGGGAAACAGTATTGTCTTCTACCACTGTTGTAAAATCTGTCATGAGGTGCGTTTGACTTCATGCGGCGCTGCGCAGCGCTGACTTAACATGATGCGTGCTGGACTTAAAATAAGGCATGCTGGTTAGAAATTGTGTGCTGCAAAACGTCACCATGTCACATGACATTGAAACCAAGCCGGAGCAAGGTGGCTGCAGGCGCCTAGTCCAGCGGCCGCAGTTGCTTTTCTCCGGCTGCACAAAGTTGGAATCACACTTTTGCTTGATTTTTCTTTGCAAATGCCGCGAGATCAGTCATTGATCTCAGCTCACAGTAAGCTCACGCTGGCAGAATGTGTCCAACTTGAAATTTGCATGTCATCAATTGCAATGCTCAAATCAGAAATGAATGCTAGCGATAGCCAGACAGACAACAAATTCAAAAAAATAGAGATAGTATGCAAGCAATATACGTTATTTACTAGTCCAACAGCATGACGGTCAGATCAGCATCGGTCGGGCACCCCTCCTCCTCCTTTAGCTCACGCCAGCGAGCAAAAGCTGGACCAATATTGATCCTCGTCCGGCCTTTTATTTAGTCACTCTCCCTTTTTCGCTTTCTAGTCTCCTCTGACAAAACTTTTGCCTTCTTCCTTTTACTTGCTGCTTCAGCCATGACAACAACATAGAGACGGGCTCTCGCGTCAGAATTTGAGGAAGTGAGGTATGCTGTAAAGCAGTCGGATTTTGTAGTTCTTTTTGTGCTCGGATTACTGCTTGAACCCTGAAGTTACGTAGTGCCAGTAAAAGCGATACAGACACCGTCTCAAGGGTCTTGGAAATATGTTATGAAGGTTGAAAAAACTACATAGTGTTGCTTTAAGGGACAGGGATACCATGGTCCTTAAACCAGGTACTGGTAGCTTTGGCACTGTGTGCAGGTGCCAAGTCCTGTTGGAAAATGAAATCTGCATCTCCATAAAGTTGGTCAGCAGCAGGAAGCATGAAGTGCTCTAAAACTTCCTGGTAGACGGCTGCGTTGACCTTGGACCTCAGAAAACACAGTGGACCAACACCAGCAGATGACATGGCACCCCAAACCATCACTGACTGTGGAAACTTCACACTGGACTTCAAGCAACGTGGATTCTGTGCCTCTCCTCTCTTCCTCCAGACTCTGGGACCTTGATTTCCAAAGGAAATGCAAAATTTACTTTCATCAGAGAACATAACTTTGGACCACTCAGCAGCAGTCCAGTCCTTTTTGTCTTTAGCCCAGGCGAGACGCTTCTGACGCTGTGTCTTGTTCAAGAGTGGCTTGACACAAGGAATGCGACAGCTGAAACCCATGTCTTGCATACGTCTGTGCGTGGTTGTTCTTGAAGCACTGACTCCAGCTGCAGTCCACTCTTTATGAATCTCCCCCACATTTTTGAATGGGTTTTGTTTCACAATCCTCTCCAGGGTGCGGTTATCCCTATTGTGTCTTCCCCATGATTGTGTAGCCTACAGAACTAGACTGAGAGACCATTTAAAGGCCTTTGCAGGTGTTTTGAGTTAATTAGCTGATTAGAGTGTGGCACCAGGTGTCTTCATTATTGAACCTTTTCACAATATTCAAATTTTCTGAGATACTGATTATGGGGTTTTCATTAGTTGTCAGTTATAATCATCAAAATTAAACACTTGAAATATATCAGTCTGTGTGGAACCTGTACATATCCCCTGGTTTATCCTGCTACACGTGGGAGTTTTCATTCCCCTCTTGTGTGTTTGTGTGTCATAGAGGTGTGTCGGAGGCAGTGCAGGGTTGGTCAGTGTCTCTTCTGACAGATGAAGGCTGGTCAGATCTGTCTGGCTCAGACTTTGTCATGGATCTTCTGGCTGGAGCTGAAGCTGAAGTGCTGCCACCACCAGGGACTCCATCCTCTTCAAACTCAGACTACCTGTTTAGCAGCCCAGTAGACAGGTAGAGCAGTGAATAAGTGATTATTTTGTGAATAAGTGATAGATTTTGTGTCCAATCCAGAATTGTTTTAGAGAATTATCTGTGTCTCTCTCTTTCTCTCCAGGATGCCAATTATAGATCAGGATTATTTCATCCCACCAGCACCTCCTATGCAAGCTCCTGCGCTGCCTCCTTTTGAGGGAAACCCCTGGGGAAGAGATTATCCACAGGAAGGTATGTGTTACATTGTGAGATGTAGGCATCAGTATGCCTCAAATGTAATGCTTATATTTGATCATCAAACAGTAGTTTGCAGTCTGCAGATGCAGTGTGCAAAGGTGTGAAAGAAGTATTGTTTGAATTTACTATTACTACTATTATACTACATCCTTCACTTTTCATGTGCACAACCAGTTGCAAAACCATAATTACAGTAGTGCTTTTGTGAACCCTTTAGAATTTTCTATATTTATGCACAAGTATGCTCAGATTTTCACACAAGTCACACAAAGTAGTGGTTCACATCCTTTTCACCATGTCTTTGAGTGTAGCCATTTTACTATATTGCCTTCAGAGGTGTTAAGGTAACACAAAATAGTTGTTTGAAGCATACTGAAGGCTTCCCCAGAAACTGCTTTACACATGGCCTACCTTCCACCTAATGTGTCTACTACCTAAGAGCCTGGCCATGCAGATTTGTCCTGCAGTCTCCTGTTTCCCTGGCTCCACCAGCTCACCTGCCAGACTCCCAGTTGTCACTGGTTTCAAGTTCTGTACTCCACCTGAGGTCTTCTGCACCACCCCTGTTCTACTGTCTCCAGGCCACGTACTCCTCCTGACTGTTGACGAACACAAATAACCCTGCGTTAATAACATTTTTTGTCCACTTGGGGGCAGTGCAACAATCTGTAAACATTGACATATTTTTAAAGTTGATAGGGCAAAAAAGGCAAATAACTCCCTATTTGCACACCCAACAGACACACAATAACAGTTAGCAATTTTTCTGGAGTGGCATTTCGGGACATCTCACAAATTAAAGCCCAAGTTTTACTCTTTCTTACCTGTTACTCCTGAGAAAAACATTTTAGCTGCAAAATGCTCCACTAAGTTCAGTGGCTAGGTGCTGTGTGCCGCTTGGTCCTGGGATAATGGACTGAAACGAATAGTAATTCATACAGATGATTATGCTACTGAATCAAAAACTGGTTTAAATACCTTTTAATATGTAAGTTTATAGTGTGTTCACACAGTGCATATCCCTAAATAACCTTAATTTGTTTAGTTAAAGGTGATAGGATACATACACAGTGCACTCAGAGGTAGTAGTGGTGGTGGAGGGGGTGTCACAGCTCAATTTAGTCCCTGGACCCACTAATGAGTAATTTTGGCCATCCTCATCTACATCATTGTGTTGTCCTAATCTCCCGTTTCTTTTTGTCAGGCCGTGGTCGACAGATGGATGCCTACGTTGATGACTTGTTTGAACCTGTACTGGACCAAGAACCTCCGGTTAGTAAATTAATTTTATTATTTAAACTTTAATTAATGTAAAGCCTATTTTTGCCTGTTCCTAAAAAGCATTAAAGTTTTATACCATAAGGTGTATTGAGCATGCTCACTGGTCTCTGGTGGATTGTGTATCTCTGGTTGTATCTTATTACTTAGTGGGGTTATGTTTCCTTCTAGCTTTCCAGTAACTGTACTCCTGTTTGTGGCAGCTTTCACTCACAATGTCATGTATCACTTCATCGTTTATTTTTATTATTCATCATTATCACACATCATTTCTATGTTTGCATAGGACATGGAAAGAGTAGCCATGTTAAACCGCAGGATGAGAGGAGGAGGAGGGATTGGACCCATGCAGCCTGGCATGTATGGAGCTGGTAGGTAAAACTGGATCTCCTACTCCATCTCCCGAATACAATTCATTCACACCATGTTAATCATAATTAGTTCCATAACTGTACAGTCTAGTTGCATTATAAAACATTCTTGAACCTGAAAGAAAGAGCATTCTGCTGCGTGTCTGCTCCGAGCAGGACACGCTGGGAGACAGCTGCGGCTATCTCAGTGGCCGAGTCCAGGTGCGTAGATGACATCAGGATCATAGCCCACACTGGCCAATCCTAACTCTATGGGCAGAATTCCCACCTAGGTGTGATTTTCTTCAGAATTGTGGGAGTTAAATGACTGAAATGATATAGTTCAGTTTAGATCACAAATGAACAGCTTCACCTGTGAGGATGTACAGTACATTTGTTAACTTTTGGTTTTTTGACAAATTTTTAGAATATTAGAAGTGGATATCCAACACTTTCTCATCTCAGTGCGTCATTACCGACGCTTTCAGACAGTGTGACAAAGCATAATTATTTTACGCTAAAGGTACTCTTCAGCGTCTGTAAGAAACGCTACAGTTTGCTTCATCGCAGCAACACAAAGGAGGTTAACGTTAACCCTACCGGCCAATGTGCACAGCTGTAGGGTTAGCCGGTCGACATGCATAAAGTCAGTGACTTAGGTCTAGGCACTAACATTACTGATGGTAATGTCTTTATTTTAGTTTTTTTTAAATTTAACCTTTATTTAACCAGATGATGTCATTGATATTTAAAACCTCTTTTCCAATAGAGACCTAGCCAAAATAGGAGCATATTGACAAAGCACAGTTACAAATATGAACACGAGCACATGCACAACAACAGAGAACAATTAACAAGACCCTTACAATACATAAACAAACGACATTAGAACCATTACAATTTATACATACCGTAAGTTTAAAGTATTTAGTTATTTTAAAAGCAATTTATAGCGTCTACTTCCAGGTCTTTCATGCGGTGTTTAAATTCACCAAAAGGGATCAGATTTCGCAACTGCAAATCAGTCTGCAATGTGTTCCAGGTGGATGGGGCAGCATAGGTAAAGGCCTTTTTACCGAGCTCCATATGGACTGGAGGTACAGATAACAAATACAAATTACCAGAGTGCAAATTATAGGGACTGATGTTGCATGATAAGTGCAAAGATAAGAGGGGAGCATATGCAACATAGACTTATAAATAAAAGCGAGCCACTGATAATGAGGGCCACTTTATCATTTTGTACAAGGTACAATGGTGTGTTGATGCTTTACATCCAGTCACAAACCTCAAAGCACTATGGCAGACAGTATCCAACAAAGACAAACATCGGCCAGGCGCATTTCTATAGAGCAGGTCACTGTAATCGAGTGCAGTGAGAAAGGTTGCAGCAACCGATCTCTTCCTGGTTTTCCAAGAAAAACAGGCTTTGTTTCTAAAATAATTTCCTATTTTTAGTTTGAGCTTTGGTACCACTTTGGTACCACTTTTGGTGTTTATCAATGTGCGACCTAAAAAAGAGCTGATCATCAATTAATATACCCAAATATTTGTACAACTGGACTTCGATCTGCTCACCATGTATAGTAAAAATACTTGGAAGACTTCTTAGATTTTGAAAAAAGCATAATCTTAGTTTTCTCAACATTCAAAACGGTAAGGGAAGGGGGGCTTCAGGGGGCTGTCAACACCTTTCACAAGGACGTAGCTAGCACTAGCTAGCACTTCTGGTCTGTATGAGACGCCCCAGAGCGTCACGCTGAAGGGTATCTTTAGCGTCAAATAACTACGCTTTGTCACTTTTTCTGAAAGCGTTGGTATTGGACGCCCTGAGAAGAGAATGGTCTGGGATACCGGAGCCAAAGATGGCACCTATTGGGTGCCTGACACTTTTGCCAAAGAACTTTTTGGCTTCCGGGTTTTCTTCCAGGGTTAGGATTAGGGTTAGTCCATAGACCTTACATTGTGATGACTTCACTGATTTTTAAATCACTAAATATGGCTTGAAGAATGTTTTACAAATATAAAACTTCAATGGATTAAAAATGCTTTTTTGGGCCCCAGGTGAATATTTAGCTGCAATACTAGGAGTGGCCACTGGGTACTGGGCAAAACTGGAAGGAAGGCTGAGTGGTGGCACCCTATCCAGGTCTTATTATACATCGATGTCCCGACCTCATCCCTATGCAGACTTTGTCGCTCTTTACACTACTTCAATTCATGCATAAAATAATGTGTGAAAAGCAAAAAAGGCATTGTGGTAAGACTCAAGATGAAGTGGAATGGATCAAATTCTGATAAATGAATCATTTTGTGGGGGTTGTGTCGCTCAAAAAAATGTATCTTGGGGCCAGTGTGTATAACGTATAACGTGACAGACCTGGAAGTTGTAATTTAACGTTTTGGCCACTCACGCAAGCATGCTGCACTTCATTGGTGCTTGGTTTCAGCACCAAGCCAAGACAGGCCAATGAGAAGAATGTGGGCTTTTAAGGAGGGGGGGCTTAAAGAGACAGGAGCTAAAATAAGTGTGGAGACAGATGGTTAATAGAGGTGCTAAAGCAATGGACAGTATGAGAAAAAAATGTCTTTTTGGAATATTAAATTAAACATTTTCTTGTAGATACCCAAAATAAAAGCATGAGCCTGAAAATGAGCATAATATAGGACCATTTCATTTGGTGAGCCCTGCAGAAACTTAGTAAAATTACACTGAACAAAATTATAAACGCAACCCTGTTTTTGCCCCCATTTATCATGAGCTGAACTGTGGCCAGCATAAGGCACACCTGTGCAATACCTGTGCTGTCTGATCAGCATCTTGATATGCCACACCTGTGAAGTGGATGGATTATCTCAGCAAAACAGAAGTGCTTACTAACACAGATTTTGACAGATTTGTGAACAATATTTGAGAGAAATAGGCCTTAGATCTTTGAGTTCAGCTCATGATGAATGGGGGCAACAACAAAAGTGGCGCGTTTATAATTTTTACAATTACAATTGAGAGAAACAGTAATACAGAGTACACAACCAAGAATCATAAATAAATAATAAAACAATAATAAAATATTGGGAATACAAAATATCAGAATTACATTAAGAACTGCAAAGTAACAGAGCTGGTGTCAGTACTTAAGCTAAGAAAAGCTTACTTTTCAAAATTATTTTAACTTTTCTCACTCTGCGAACTGTGATTTTTCAGGTATGCCTATGACAATGCCAAGCTATCCTATGGGTAAGCAAAAAATATCAATTTGTGCCTCACGAATCAAACTTTTGTCTTGTTGGTGAAAATGTCTTTATCTTACTGTCTTGCCTCTGCTCAGCAACTCCAGTTAACCCATCAATGCCCATCTATGGTGCAACTCCCATGATGCCAACCATGCCAACCATGCCAGGTAATCCCCCTACATGAACCTATCATTCAGATAATTCAGTAAATGCACAGACAACTCCAAGTTTGATATAGATATTATTTAACACAGTGTAGGTTAAAGAAAACGAATCAAATGACACACATGCTATGACTTTGGCTTATGTAATTGATGATTTGATATAGGAAGAAGGCTATAAACATTGCCCATCCACCCCCCAAAATAAGTCATGGTATATGCATAGAGTGTGTTGATTGCTATGTCATGCCATGGAATGTTATCGTTACTTTCCTCTAATACGCATTTGAATGTGGTTCATTTCTACCTGAAAAATTGTCATATTCATGCCTACACAGCCATGATGATGCCTCAGACTCCCATGGCTGCCCCCCCTGTCACTGACCCCATGCAAATGGCAGCAACACAGGCCCTCATCAACCAGCAGGCCTTTCTCATGGTGAGGACAAGAAAACTTAGCATACTACTCTTATAGCATGATGGTACATTTTTTCATCCTGTATTTTCCCCTCTACCCGTGTCTAACTTCCCTTATTCTGTACTTTGCTGTCCTCTGTCTTCCTCCTCTTCAGGCCCAGCAAATGACCATGCAGGCAATGAGTCTGTCCCAGCAACAGACACAAGAGCAGCAGAGGAAGCAGGAGCAGCAGAAAAAGAAGGAGGAGCAGCAGAAAAAGAAGGAGGAGCAGCAGAAAAAGAAGGAGGAGCAGGAGAAAAAGAAGGAGCAGCAGGAGAAAAAGCAGGGGGAGAGGCAGCAGAGACGTCAGTCCGGGTCAAGGGAACGCTCGCCCTCCCCCCCACCTGTCCGACCCAAAGTACCTGCACCTAAACGCACTTCCAACTACAAGCAGCCTGAACCAGAGGTATTTCAGTCTTTATTTTTGTAGTGTCCTCTAATGTTGCTTTTTTGCACGTTATTATATTCTTGGTTATTTACTGCTTTCTTTACACATTTCTACAAACTGACCCTATTTGTGTTCAAATCTATACCCTCCCATTTGTTTTTGTTTTTTTCTTGTTGTTGTAGCCTCTAACGTCTATTAGTGTTCATAAGTATCATACTACTGTTTTACCTGTTACTGCTGCAGTGGCCCAATTTCCCCATAGGGATTATTTATATTTTTTCCAGTCTATGTGCTCAAGTTGTTTGCTGATGATACTCTGTATCATCATATATTTTCCCCATATGTCACTGTCTTCATCATCTAAATGTTAGCATATCCAGTGAAAAAATCAAAACCAAACTTTTAGTCTACGTCTCAATACTTTCTGACTTCCATACATTGTCTGTGGCTTTCAACAGCTGAGGACAGAAACATTTAAAAGCAATTCAGAAATACATAGTGCCATTTAAGAAAAGGTTAATTTCCTAAAACAGCTGGATACTATAGTTTTTAGCAAACATTACTCAAAGAGGAGCAAATAGTGCATTTGTTGGGGACTAGTTTCAGCTGTGGATTGGAGTCAAAATGCGTGTCCGTGGTAATGAAGGAACATGTGTTGCACAGTGATGTTTTTTTTAATAGTTTTTGGACAACATTGGTGCTCTGTGGCACAGAGGAATAAGATATATCAGGCTTTGGATACACACACAATACTTGTTTTAAGGATACATTCATTGCTGGTTTGGTCCTGCATATTAGAGTTGTTGTATTACAACCATATCCCCTAATTCCCTATATGAGAAGCACAATTATCAGTGGGTCAGTTAATATCTTGCACAAATGGTCCAAATGCAGGACACATCTACTGTGGCCTCCATGAAACTTGTGAAAATGACCAGGGTTCCTCCCCAAACAGTTCACTAATGGCTTGAGAAACTTGAGGCAGACAAGTGGCCGGCGAGTAGTTGGCTTAGGACAGGCAGGTTGCAGGCTCTAAAACCTGAGCTTAATCGATTGGAGTGCAGGCTGGAGGCTAGCAGGCCAGAGTGAAGGCTGGTGACTAGAAGCTTGAGTCTGCTTGGAAGCTTGCAGACTCAGAAAATGAATCTAGCAGGTTGCTGGTAGGCTCCATGTTATGCCCAGCATCAGAATTGCTGGGTAAATCCAGGGCTGCAAGCCTTTCCAGAGGTTGGCAATCGCCACTAAATTCTCAACCATGGCTATACGTATGTTCCAAGAGTCTGAGCCTTGACAAAATTGTTCTCTCCTTCAAAGTATATAAAAACAGTAGGACAAGGCAAGTTAACATTATCGCGTTAACACATTAATTAATTAACACTGACAATTTTGCTCACTGGTTCTGAATATCCATACAGTCAAACCATGGGACACAGGAGGAGTGGGATGTTGATCAGCCTGCAAATCACCCACCCAAACAAGCAGTGGAGGGAGGCTTTGGCAGTCTAGGCTACGTTGGATGCAGAGTGTGGGAGAAGTAGATAAACAAAAGCAAGACAAGCGATCAAATGCCACAGCGAAGTGGATAGCTACACACTGCATGCTGATTAGTATTGGGGAAGATGTCGTTCTGAGGAACGTCCTTAAAATCACAACGCAGTCGCTTAGCCCCGCAGGGTTGCTCTGCGCTCCTCAGGTGAACAACATGGAGACAGATTTATTACAGGAAAACAGATTTATATATGTTAACCTGTTGCTCAGAAGGTGCCTGTTATGATGTTATGATCATGGCTTCTGGACTCTGATGGTAACTTGTTTTAACAATCTAAATAAAAGGTAATGCCCTGGCAGTGCTTTGGTTTTATGTTTGATTTGATTACATCAATCTTTAAGTTGAGATTTACAATGTTTTATTGCTACTGTCTAAAGGTAATACTGCTGGTAAAAAGCACCTTATTTATTTAAAGTGTTTGCAAACCACATGTTATTGCACTATGGTGTGTCTATAGCATTACATTTAAATGCAAAGTGCGCAATACACTACTTTAGAATTCATTATTCAATTTTGGGTGATTAATCGCAGAAAATCATGGGAATAAATTGCAATAAAAAATTTTATTGTTGCACAGCACTAAAAAATGTGTATGAATGTGTGTGGTCAGAAGACTAGAAGGTGCTATAAGTACAGTCCATTTACAATTTTACCATAACAAAACTAAAACATTAGACCATAACAGGGTCTGTTTTACCTCATGATGACATGTGTACATGTCCACAGCCAGAAAGAACAGTGGATTTGCCAGATCCAGATGACCTGCAGTCTTTCAGGGACAAGAGGGAATACTTCCAGAAGATTGGTAAGTAGAACTGAAAAGCAACTGTTAAAAATAGGCCTATGTGTAGCCTCTTCTTCTGTACTTCATCTTATTTTTTTAACCAAACCATTTTTCATACTCTCACACTGCCTCTCATGTCCATACAAACCTCACTGATTCATGCGTTCCTTGTATCTTTGACTTTGAAGAGGAGTAAAGAACATCAACATAGTGGCAGTGAGTTGTGCCAATCCTCCAATTGCTTAAAACTTTGAACACATATTGTGTGTTATATAGTAATCCGGGAGACTTTCTACCATATCTAACTTAATATAATATGCAGGAGAGGCTGGGGCTACAAACGTTCTCAGGTGAATGTCTTTACATCTTATTAATGTTTTAATGTCAACACCTTTCAAAGTGCTACTTTTAATGACTTAAAAGTAGCACTTTAAATGATCATGCTTTCTAATTTAATTTATGGGTTTCCTCATTCCCAACCAGAGGTGGATGTATTCATTAAGTAAAAGTACAAGTATTTAAGTAACACCACACTAAAAATACTCCGTCACAAGTAAAAGTACTGTATTGGAAATGTTACTTAAATAAAAGTATGTGACTATAATCAGGAGAATGTATTTTTAGTTAAAGCAATCAATGTAGAAAGAAAAATGTACCCTGTGACCGTTACTACTCATGCATTACTAGTTGGTTGAGGTGAATCAATTGATTGTTTTTTTGGTTTGTAGAAATTCTAAAATCAGAAATTATGCCACAGTTACCCAGAATCCAAAGTCAAACACTGACAATCCTTGTTTTGATAAACATTAGTCCAAACCTAAAATAAAAAATTCTAATTAAATTCAAATAATATAAATGAAAGCAGAAAATCTTTACATTTGTGAAGATGGAACCATTAAATGTTTATACATGAAAAATTACATTTGAAACAGTTGCCCATTCATTTAATTGTCAATCGACTAATCATTTCAGCTGTACTTAGTTGTTGTGTAGTTTAATTTAAAACAAAATTAAACTACTGTCGCCTGTCCCCGACCAAGGATTTACATAGTCGAATCAGAATCGTGAAGTCCTGCCTATAGTCGACTGATAGTCGAATCATGTGTTTTTGTGCACAGCGATTACGAGCCGGGGTAGCTCAGCTTTAATCTTGAGAAGCTGCAGCGCTCAATCTCTTCATCTTACGCTGTAAAATTCCAGCTAAACTGAGGCTTTTTGAAGACCCTTTTCTCTCTCTCTCTCTCTCTCTCTCTCTCTCTCTCTCTCTCTCTCTCTCTCTCTCTCTCCAAAATCACCAAAATGGCATGATCCTTGTTTTGCTGCGAAGCTTCGACTATGAGATTGACAGTCGAATCAGGCTCTGCCCATCGAAGCATGGAATCTTTGACTCTTCGGGGTCAGCCCTACAAGACATCATGTCTTATAAACTTTTAACATCTTTTCCTCATAAAAATTTTATTGAAAAGTAATAGTTAGGAACTGGTGGCGCAGTGGTGCCGTGGTTAGCACTGTCGCCTCACAGCAAGAAGGTCGTAGGTTCAAACCCCAGTTGCCTCAGCCTTTCTCTGTAGAGTTTGCATATTCTCCCCATGTCCGCATTCTCTCCGGGTGCTCCTGCTTCTTCCCACCATCCAAAGACATGCAGGCTAGGTTAATTGGTGTCTCTAAAATTGTCCTTAGATGTGAATGTGAGTGGTTGTTTCTCTATGTGTGGCCCTGTGATGGACTGGCGACCTGTCCAGGGTATACCACCTTTTGTCCAATGTCAGCTGGGATAGGCTCCAGCACCCGCGACCCTGTACGCAGGATAAGCGGTTGTCGATGGATGGATGGATAATTAGTAACTAAAGTTGTCAGATAAATATAAAAATGTTAAAAGTACAATATTTTCCTCTGATATGTAGTGGAGTGGAAGTAGAAAGTGGCATGAAAAGAAAACACTCAAATTTGTACTCAAGTGCAGTACTTGAGTAAATGTACTCAGTTACTATCCACCACTGTTCCTAACCATCTATCTCCTCTACTGTCCTTCCAGGCACTCAAGGTGAATCCAAAACCCAAAAGCCTCTGCCAGCACCCAGCAGCCCACCCAGCAGCCCACCCATACAGCAGCAACGCTCTCCATCACCCCCGCCTATAGCACCTAAGCCTGAAGGTATGAAACAAGTTCAAGGGGCTAGATAATATTTTGCAGAAAAATGTAAAGGATAACTGTCCCCCTTTACCTTCAGATAGGAGGAAAGAGAACATGCAGTAGCCCAACGAAAGTTACACATAGAGATTACACATAGTCAACAAAGATTAAGGGAGAGGTGTAGAGAGTAGCTCAGTACATCATGGGAAGTCAGAGTAGAAAAGCTAAGACAGGAGAAATTTGATCTCTTTTTATGGTTCTTGTCAGTACACTTTCCGCAGCATTCTTGATCAACTGGAGAGTCTTAAGGGATTCATTTGAGAACAAATGCGTGGCCTCAATCAGTTTTTCTGTATCCTTTTGAGACAGGATGTTCCTGATTTTCGCAATATTACCTTGGTGAAAAATTTGAAGTTTGTTTTACGTGGGAGTTAAAGGACATATCCTGATCAAAGATAACTCCAAGATTCCTTACAGTGGTACTGAAGGCCGGGGAAATGCCATCTAGTAAAGTAACTACAGTATATCTTTATTTATGGGGCAGAAAATTGTATTCAGGTTTTTACATCCAGGCATGCTTGAAATTTAGCTACTGATTCATCTGGCATGACTGATAGATACAAGTGGGTATCATCTGCATAACAATGAATATTTATTGAGTGTTTCCTGATAATATTGCCTAAAAGGACGCATACATATATAAGATGAACAGGATTGGTCCAAGCACAGATCCTTGTGGAACTTCGTGACTAAGGCCCCATCCACACTACTTCATTTTAGTTTACAAACGGAGACTGTTACTGAACATAACACGGGACTGTGGCGGCGGAAAACAGACTGGGAGACAAAGTAAACGACGACATGCAGTAGCCTACAAGTGTAGGCAGATAGTCCTACAAAGTGTTATTTTCACGGTACAGAATATTTTAATAAAAATACCAACTTATGTCTTATAAGACCCAATCAGAGAGCTGAGCGTGAGCGTCTGCATCATCGTTTCTCCGTTTTTGCCCGTCTTCACTAAATCTCCCTCCAGAGTTTCAAAACGCTAAGCGGGATCGGCAAGTTTCCAAACTTCTCCGTTTTAGGTCTTCGTTTTGGCCGTTGTAGAAAACCAGTTCAAATCTGTCAGTAGTTGTGGAGCTCCAGTAATGTTAAGCAGGCTGGCAGGGCTGTTTTATGCATTTAAACATCGAATGAACTGATTCTTTTGTCTTTAATACAGATGATGCTGGGTCATTAATAAATTAATCATGACAAAAAGTTACGATAACCGATTATTTTTCCATGGGCCCACTCGGTTATTATAACATTACCTAGCTTATTTGGTAGCTTGTTTAACAACTTATTGGACTGGAACTCATCTTTTACAGCTAGAGATGCGCAGATTGATCAGCTGGGGACTGAAAAAGACTGTTTATTTTCGCTGAATCGGCTCCAACCAGTGACCGGTGCGAGCAGTATGAAATATCCAATTTTCTGCCGGTCACATTGAACGTTACAAACACGCTTCACTGCTCCGTGTTTCACATGTGTGCATAGACAGTAACCTGAGGCCTGTACCACGAAGCAGGATTTGAGCTTATCCAGGTAACTTCGGGGTTAACCCTGAGTTTTCAGTACCACGAATGTGGTTCACTTCTTACTGGGGTAGATCTCCATGGCAACTTATGCTGAACGGCTAACCTGCACTGGAGCAGGTTATGTTCCAGACAAAAGATCAACTCTGTGAGAACACCACCTACTGACCAATCAGCTCTCTTGGAAAATGACATCACCATCAGCGGTGATGTGAAACTCTTGGCTGTAGCGATATAATCCTACAGAGACTGATTAAAAGCTTTAGGCTATTGTTGCCTACAGGTTTTTACAGTACAGCAGGATAAGCCTACTTACTGCCTTTAAATGTGTTTAATATTTTTTATTTGCTCCCAGTTCGTTTCACACACCCTGACATAGCCGTTAAAATAAATGGGTTATTTTTCTTATGTGAGGCTGAATATTATGAGCAGTTTGGTAGGGATATTGAAATACAAATTATTAATATGAACGTATAGGCTATCTATTTAGGTTAGTATATCTTTCTTAGGCCTGCTACAGAGACTAGTCATGTTCCTCCCCGCCTTTTGCGAAAAAGGACAGTGAGTTTTCAGTAGCCTAAATGTTGAGATTCAGTCTTTCAAACATTATTTGAGCATATTTTATGGCATGAATGGAGTGTTCGTTTCATTGCTTTATGAAGTTAATTTAGAACAATGTTTGGAACACTTTTGAGTGTGTTAAATAAATTAATCTAATTTTTGAAGTGAGGTAGAAGACTTATTCAGTGCCCGAGTCTTTTCATGTGGAAACGCCGACACAGCCGAGCTGAATGTCATAGGTGTGTGGAAGTTATTCACGAGTGTGAAAAAGACACTCACTACATGTGCAGAGAAACACACAGAAAGAGACGCTGTGGATATTGTAAAGCAGGGAGCAGGTAAATCAACAGTGAACACAGCTGTTGGTGATGATGTCAATCATACTACGGTGGTCTCTATCGGTAATTAACCAAACGTGAGTTCTTTAAAATAACACTGCTGACAAATAAAGTCAGAGCACACAGAGGGAGACAGACAGACAGGTGTAGGAGTGTGCTTGTGTGTCGGGGAAAAGAAAGGTGAGCAGATTACTGTAGTTTGTGATTAAACACAAATTAAATTGGAGAATAAAGTAGAATTAAAATGGTGTGCAATTTATTTTCAGCTCCTTCTAGTGAACATTCTCATGTTATTTTATAATCAATGTTTCATTATGACTATACAATTGAATGGACCCCAGTGAGAATAGCTAACAGTTATACTGGTGCTGATGGGGATCCTAATAAAAATAGATTTTTCCAATAAATAGTTACAAAAATGTTTGTGTATGCTGTCAGGTATAGATTTTAGAAAGAAATACAATTGAAATCGGCAGGTCAGACCTTTTAAAAAATCAGTAACTGATTTTTTGAACAGCCAAGAAAAATGTAATCTGTGCATCTCTTACTACAGAGATAATCCTGTGTGTGAACCGATATTAGGCTGATACCGTAGATCTACCATTGTAGAGGTAGATCAGTAGCCTGCTGCTGTTAAATATCTAATATATATATGTATAAACAACTATTGCTTTGTGTTGTTGGCCAGAAAAATAATAGTAAGACTTCCCTCTGTGTACAAGGTAAATAGTTTTTGTGTCTTATCTCCCACAGTGAAGCATCTCTGTACCCCTCCTGCTAGAGAAGCGGATCCCCCAAAAGTAACACCTGCACCAGCTCCTCTTACTAAGCCCGAACCCACATCCAGCATCCGGGAAATCATTAAACAGTATAACAGCCGACCACAACCAGAACCCAAACCTTTTGAGCCTGTCAAGTAAGTTTCAACGCTGCTCGCTGAGAGTTATGCACTCTTCCCCATCATGAGATTTGACAAGTTAAAGTAAGTTTTGAATGTTTTAAACCCAGTTTCAAAGGTGAAGTAGATGAAAAGAAAAAGAAAAGTTTGCCGTGTAACATTTTCTCTATTACAAAGCGTTAAATTCAGTGCATTGAACAAAGTACGTAAAGAGTATCAAATTGGTGCAGCTTTGTCTCAGCCAATAAAATGCAATCAACCAATATATTTTTAACAGAAATCCTGAGACATCAGATATCCATCAACACAAATGTTTTCCCTCTAAGAAACAAGTGGGAAATTAAGAAAAGTGTGGTGTTAAGAAACTCAAAAACTATAAACATCAGACTGCACTGTGTACAAAGCAGTAATAATAGACATTTACCGGCTTGCTCACAATAAACCAGTAAGTATAAATATTAACTGAACACTGGTGGTGTCATTCTATATCATTATATTACATTTACATTACATTTACTCATATGGTAGATGCTTTTGTCCAAAGCGACTCACATTTGAGGAACAACATACAAGCATCAACAAAGCGTCAGTACAACACGAGATTTACAATTGACAATACATACTAGTAAGAGCAGCAATAAATACTTGTAAGAGCTTACGGCATGCATGGCATCAGTTGTTAAATACCTAGGGAAAGAAGTAAGAGTTAACAAAAAAGCGCAATTAGGCCTAATACAAGAGAATTGTAAGGGGATAGAAGAAGAAGAACACAGGAAGTGTATGTTAAAGGTTAGAGGTGTTATAAGACGACGTGTTCTCGGAAGAGATAAGTTTTCAAGAGCTTCTTGGAGTGAGAGAGGGACGCCCCTTCTCTGACGTTGTGTGGTAGCTCGTTCCACCATCGTGGTGTCACAGATGAGAACAGCCAGGACTGAGATTGCTTTGTGTGTAGGGATGGCAGAGCCAGGCAATGTAAATTGAAGGAGCGCGGTGGCAGAGAAGGAACATAAGCTTGTATAATGGAGTTTATGTAGATTGTTGCAGACCCAGTAGTCACTGTATGCAAGCATTAGTGACTTGAATTTGATTCGGGAGGCCACGGGGAGCCAGTGGAGGTCACTGAGTAATGGAGTGACATGAGTCCTTTTGGGCTGATAAAAAAACAGACGTGCTGCTGTGTTCAGAACCATTTGTAGGGGGTTCACCGCACAAACTGGATGACCCACAAGGAGGGCATTGTGTTAAAAATGTATATATATATATATGCTTCCTATGCACCCAGGGCACCCATAAATTTTTTTTTTGCTTAATTTCCATTCTATTTTTAATGATTGATTGAGTTTCTCATTCATTTAGTAAATGTGTTTTCCTCCCATACTATCACACCAGAGACTACCCGGTGTCCTGGAAGAGGTTAAATAAGAAATAAATATAAACCACAATGGCCTCATTCACTAGAAATAATAACTTCTAGAAAGTTTCTCATTTACTGTTTTACTCTTCTTCACAGACCTCCTGTACGACATTTTGTAAAGAAGAATGACCCCAAAGAAGAAGCTTTGGCCAAACTCAAAAACATAGCACCAGTGCCACAAAAGAAGGTGAGGATGGTCTGGAGAGTCTAACTACTACGAATAAAAAAAATGTTGTGTATCTCTGTCGGGAATATAATGCATGCTACATCCTGACATTTTCTACTTCTTCCTGCTTGCAACAGCCGATGCCTCCCCCGCCACCAGTCAAGGCTAAGAAGGAGCAAACTCCTCCCAGGACACCCTCCCCACAGGGTCCCCGCGTCATCTCCAACAACATGAAGCAGAAACAGCGCTCCCTGGAGGACATGTTCGGCTCGCAGCGCTCCCAGCATCCTCCGCCTGCTCCCCCCGACTTCCAGCCACCTCCTCCACACCCAGAACCCATCCTTCAGAACATTCCAGACCCACCGCCCATGGCTGCCCCATCACTTGGTGTGTGCTGCTCAGATAATGTTCTCCAGACATTATAATTATGTAGATTACAAGGCCTTTTTGTATTATGTATTTTAGCTGGCAAATGCTGCTTACTAGCAGTTAACCCAGTGTTACTCAGTGTGAGGAAGTTCATGTCAGTCAGTGACCTTCATCTGCTGTTAACTGTAGATGTGATGCCAGATGAGGAGGGCAATCACTCTCAGCTCCACCGCTTCTTTTCTGACGTTTACTTCTCTTACTCTAACATGCCGGGAAAACTGTTTCTGCGAAAAGAAGTAAGATATACACAGACACACATACACAAACATACAAGACAATAATAAATAAATCACTTTTTTATTTCCTGAACGGCTTGTAAACTGACATAAATATGAATCATGCACCTGCTTTCTGACTGGCTTTGAACTGCCAATATGTTTCTTCCTATATGAGGAAATTCTTATTCTTACCAGGAAACATTTATCATAATCATTTCATATCATATCATTTCATATCATTTCATATCATTTCATATATAGTCATACACAGTATCATTTACATAGTTTATAATAGATTATCAGTGTTTTTTCTTGCCAGATTTGCTTATGGCAAGCTGAGAAAATTTAACAGAAACTGTCACTGGGGATCGTGAGCCAGCTGTGTCCTGGTGTGAGATGCGAGCCCACACAGAGCTGATGCAGACAACTGCAGAGATCTAAATGAGAGCTAGGCTATCTGTTGTGAGACATGTACGATTGTGGACACGGAGCGGGCAGAAATATCAGTTGCATTATATGGGATACAGTGATTCACGACTAGTGCTTTTATTACATTATTACTTGGTATCAAGTGGAAATGTGCTCATACGTCCCACTAATGTGCTGATCACAGAGTTTAGCTTTTCCAAACATGTCACACTGAATGAAGGCTTTCTGACAATAAGTTGTAGCTGCGGCCTGTAGTACCTCAACTCGCACCTCCTTAATCTACAGGAAGAAATCCTGCATCCTAGCTGGGTTGATTTTAAACGATTTAAACGAAACCTACCCTTTGCACATTGAATTTCAGCTTCTTCCTTCTGGACGAAGGTTTCTAATCACAAAGTGCAGAACCAAGTAGTATAAAAATACATTAAATTACAATAAATTTACATTTACATATTTGGCTTTTTTCCAAAACTTAAATTTGAGGCAAAACATACAAGCATGCAATAAAGCATCAATACAGTAAGAGATCTGTAATTAAGTAATATTTTAATATTCACTGGCAACTATTCATCCATCACTAACAAGGTACAGCTGTAGACTGACACAAGTGCTTTAGTTAATCAATCAATAATGTCTTTCACTACATGCGGGATTTGAACTGTAAATCTTTGTGTTAAAAAACATTCACTAACTTCAAGTTATCATTTATTTGTGTGCAGGTGTTTTACCCCAAAGAGATGTTCAACTGGCCCTACATCCTCAATCTGTTATGTGAACAGGTTAGCATACAGGTGTCATCATGCTGAACCTATTATGTGGTTCACTGAGAGATCCTAATATCTCCAGTACTGTCCAGTTCAATCAATTCAATTCAAATTAGCTTTACTGGCATGAATGTATAACAACAATATTGCCAAAGCATCATACAAACTACATAAGATCAATCAACCCCATACATTTCAGTCTTTATCTCCGTTGCATTTTAGAGGCAGTGGACATCAAACTCTTTGCATTGTGTGATGTGTTTTAGATTATGAGGGACACCTACTCAGACAGCTGTGTGAGAATCAGCAGAGAGGAGAAGAGGAAGATGAAGGACCTGCTGGGTGAGAGTTTCATCAGATTGTCATAAAGCTGGAAGCTGCAGTTATAATGTTGATTAAAATTACGCTGTATCATTTCTTATATGTTACTGCATTAGTTTTCTCTCCATTATCTCATTGTTACCCTTTGCCCTTTATAGCTAATTTCAATGTGGGAACGACTATAAGCACAATCCAGAATGACAACATGAAGAAGAGAATTGTAATTGCCGCTCGAGACAACTGGGAAAACTACTTTACCCGCCTGTTTCCTGTTAAGGTGAGCATGACAAAAAAGACATCAAGTGTCCATTGTTTTATGACATTGCATGGCAATCCAAACTACGGCAGCTTCATGCATATAGCACATCTGAAACGCAGAGGCAATTCCAAGTGCTTTACATTACATTACATTTATTTATTTATTTTTTCGACTTTCATCGAAAGCGACTTGGAGGAAGTGCTTTTCAACCATGTGGATATAAACCAAAACTTGTCTTCTTAAAATATGTTGAACTGAAGAGATACAGAAAGAGTTGTTTTTAATGGGCCAAAGTGCAGTGTGAACATATGAGTTTTCAGTCTGCGCTGGAAGATGCTGTCCTGATGTCAATGGAGAGCTTGTTCTGCCATTATTGAGCTTGTGTGTTGAGATGTTGTGTAGGATAATTCTGCAGGAGTGGGTTGTAGCAGTGATGTTGGCAGCGAAGGTTCCTTGCAGTCTGAGCTTGGGATACCACAGAGTTCTCAATGGTAATGAAGAGGTCATGGACTGGAGATACATTCCCCGGAAGGAAGAGCAGTTCAGTCTTGTCAGAGTTGAGCTTGAGGTGGTGTCAAACCCTGCTGAAAGTTTCAGCAGGATTATGACAGAGGAAACTGTGTGCCTTGAAACCAGATTGGCGGTGGTCAAGAAGGTTGTTCTGGTGGAGAAAGTTGAGCGACAGCATGCTCAAGTGATTTAGAAAGAAATGGAGAGACAGATCAGTAATTAAAGACAGGTAGAGTGGCTTTTGAAAAGGGGTCACTCTAGATACTATTAGAGTGTAGATTGAAGAAGGTTAGAGGGGAATAGAATCCAGAGAGCGGGCAGTTGGGCAGTGGGAGGTAAAGAGGTTGAACATCTCACAGTGAGAGGAGGAATGAAAAGGAAGTTGGAATAGGAGATGAAGATGTGGACAAAATTCAAAGGAAGAAGGAATGAAGTATGGAAGCCAGTAGAGATTTAATGGGAAGCAAGTGCTGTTTAAATGCTGCATCACCACATGCCAGGCAATGAAGCAGTTGAAAAAGGGAGAGACAGATATATACAACATGTCACCCATAGGTAAACTAATCCAAAAATGGGCAAAGAGGGGGGCCTAATGAAGCCTTGTTGCCGAACGACTTAGCAACCAGCCACCTGAGAGGGCACCCACCTGTCACTCAATCTGGGATTTCTGTTTGTATCATGCATCAATGACATTAGGCCAGACCACTAACCACTTAGGAATATTAAGAAGCATTTCCTCTATGTATGTATTTGTTGCAGCCAGGCAGTGGGGATGCTCAGGTTCTGGGTGTGTCTCATCGTGGAATTCGTCTCCTGAAGATCGTCAGAGCATCGGGTATCAACCCCAAACACCTCAGTCTGCTCAGAAGCTACAGGTAAACATGCAGCCTTCATACATAAACACAACAGAAACTCAGCAGAATCATTTAAAAAAAAGATTCACTTCTCGGTTTCATCCAGGTTTTCCACATAACGTGGTTCAGGTCTTATCTACAAGACAGGAAGTTAGTTTATTTTTATTTGTGTCATATTAAATATTCGGCCCATCCTAAATGTGATTACAACTCTTTGGATTACTAGATACAGATATTGGGGGCAAGGTAGTATTCAAGCATAGACAACTGGTACACACTGCACAGGTGGTATGAGCAACAGTGGGTTAATGGGGACCTAGCAGGTCATTATTGCCTCAGGGCCACCTGGTAGGTTAATCCGGCCCTACCAAGACACAGCTATGTATTAAGAAGTCCAAAGTATTACAAGACATATTAAAGTAACACATACAAAGCTAAGAGAAAAGCATCTGTTAGATTATATACTACTATATACTTACACATACTTTCAACTGACATATGTTGCAGCTGCCTACTGCAGGAAACAATGTTGATGGAGCTATTGAGAGTGAACAAAAACAGTAAAGTTGTGGGCCATAAAACCACAATACTGAGCTGTAATATGCTAAAAATTTATTAAGCTTAGTTCTAAAAAGGCCCAGCTTAATGTTATGAATATGCGGTGATGCTAATAACACTGTCACAGGCAGTGTTTGCTAGTCATTCTCTAACTTCTGCTTTCCATTGCTCGTCTGATGTAGTCAACTGTTAACTTGGGTCAACATGAATGTAGTTTTGCAGAGTTGCTGTCAGTTGACCTCCAGGGTACAGACAGAGTGGAACTGGAGCTAAAGAATGAAAACTTGGTGCTGCAGTCATCCAGAGCTCCTCAGATCACTGCCATGGTCCGATTCTTCCTTCAGGAGCTCATCAGGGTACTTCTTTGTTCTTTATTTGTCATATTTGCTTGTGATTCTTTGTGGCATATTTTGGCCCTATGACTCCATGCTTGTGTTAGAGCCCCATCACTATTAGTCCATGTATCACTCTCCCGGACATTTTTCTCCGTGCTCTCTAGGACTCAGGATATGTGGTAGCCCTGAAGAGTTTTGTGACAGATGACAAAAGTCTGCTGAGTTTCAGCAAGGGTGACATCATCAAATTGCTGCCAATGGGAGGACTTGAGACAGGTGAGGTCTTTTATTGGATGTGATAGTTTTTAGGGTTAGACAGGCCTTATTATGATCATCGTTTAATGCATGTCAAAATCTGCTTTTCATCAAATAACACCGTTGTGTGTGTTTTACCAGGCTGGTGTTTTGGCACCATGGGAGGGCGCTCTGGTCTTTTCCCAAAGGACCTCACCCAGCCATCTGCGGCCCCAGACTACCACTGTCTCCACCTTGACCGAAGAGATACCAGGAGGAAAAGCATGAGGGGTGCTACACCTGTCAGTCCACCCAACGGCTCATCTCCAGGTCCCGTCAGCAGACACATGGGCAGTGTTGATTCAGAGCCGCCCAGCAGAAAGCACTCGCTCCAGGGCTCGGTACCCTCAGTTCAGGGCTCAGTCCGCGATTTGGAGGTCCTCTCAGCCATGGCTGAGTTTGCAGTGAAGTACTTTAGGTATGGTAGTAGAATGATAGCTTTTCTTGTTGATCATGTTTAAATGTTTTGGGTTCATATAACAAGTTGTGGCTAATTTTGTGCTACCATTATTTGTTTATTTAAGAGTGGGAACTACCGGTCTGCCAGCAAGTGGAAGGAATTTTGTAGAGGCAGTTCAACACACACAGGTAAGACAGTACATATCCCATGGTTTGTAATTGTTGATACTACAGTTACCCTACATGGACATTATTGTATCTATGAACCATAAGCCCAAATCTAAGCTGTACTGTCTGTCTAAAATAGATAGTACCTCCTAGGATCACTTGTCAACTCACAACTATGTGCCCTTCTGGAAGAAATTAATCTCCATCAATAACAGCAGTCAGACTTTAGACCCACCCATAGTCATCATACATCATGTGCTGCCACTGCTGTTGCGAGTTAAATTGTTAAAGTGATTAATTGCGACAGTGATCTGCACTCTTTGTAGATCTGTCCAAGGCTTTTTATACTTGACCCCAATGTTTTGTTAAACCTGCGTTCACTGACATGTGGCCACTTTGGGGAAGCGGAAGCTGTAAACACAACATATTCAGTTAATATGAAAAACCTGTTAGTGAACAGTGGCCAGCATTAGCATAAGTCCAATATTTCACCTCCTTTTAGCTCTGTTTTTGGTAACCGCTAACTTCTGAGGCAAATGTTCCATTGTCTTTGATCGGCTGCTGACAGTAGGCAGGTAGTGTACAGTGGGATTTTAGAGCTTTTTAGCTGGTAAGAGCTGCCTTCTGTGACTGGGAAGGATGACATGTGAGTAGCAAGAGTGAGTGACAATTCCGACTGTTGTTGCTGATAGTAAAAGTCCCTAAATAACTGTTCATGGGTTGTCCCACAAGGATCGATATCTTGCCCCCTCTCTATTAACTTTAAACATAATTAATTATTTTCCAGCTGAACACTCAAATGTCCGTTGGAAAGCTGATTGTATAGAGGCAAACAGGAAACAATAGGATACAGTGGCGCCCTTAGTAGAAATCTAATAAATACAGAAATACATTTAAGTACTTAGGAATTAGGTTAGACATCAGATTGTCCCACAAAACTCACGTTGAACTTCTCGCTCAAAAACAAAAAATTCAAATTGGATTCTTATGGAACTTGTTTCTCCTTTTGAAATAGAAACAAATTATACAGTTCACTGTACTGTCTACACTTGATTATGGAGACATCCTGTATGCTCATGTGGCTTTCACCACCCTTAATCCACAGGATGCCATTTACCACACTGCCATTCAGTTCATTACTGCAGACTGCTATCGAACTCATTACTGTGAGTTATGTGAAAAAGTCAGAGGTCATTATTGACATCCAGAAGGCATTGGTGTACTTAGAAGGCCATGTTCTCTAAGTTGTTTCTCTAAGAGATATTTAACATCATTAGGTGAGATTAAAGTGAACAAGTCTGACACCAGATGACTGAATTGTCTTCTTGTCAAGACATGTCCCTGCGTCAGTTGTTCTCAGGTCTCTCTCAGATGTTGATTTAAGTGAGACTGATCTGATCTGAAAAAATTATAAATAAAATTCAACTAACTACTGCATTGTGTTTTTTTTAATCCAGGTCCCCATACAGGAGTCCCTCATTTTCTACAATGATCCTGAAATCAAAGATTTATCTGTCCAGTGCTTCATGAGTGAGTGCATTCACACTAACCATACTAACACACACTTGATGTGAACACATCATGGATGATGATTGTTCATCCATCATCCTCCCGTTTATCTGTCCCTCCAGACCTGATGCAGTTCATGGGTGACATGCCATTAACGAAGAACAACACACAATCAGACTGCCTGAGGAACATCTTACTGGTCAGCACTCTTTCAAATAGTGTATCTAATGGACCTCATTTATGGAGCACTCGGTATATGAGTTTGACAGATTTAAAGTAAGACTTTAAAGAAGAGTTTCTGTTCTGCTCAGTTAGGGAAGGAAAATGAGCTGATGAGAGATGAAATCTACTGCCAGATCATCAAGCAAACCACCAACAACCCAACCAAGTGAGTGTGTGTCATTTGTTTCAGAATTGTCTTAAAAACCCACTGTACACTGCCCAACCCCAAACAGCAGACAGACACAGTTAGCCACTACCTGGTGAACTTAGGCCCCATCCACACAACTGCGTTTTTGAATTAAAACGGAGACCTTTTGCTACGTCTGCACCTCCCGTCCAGACTACAACTATGAAAACGAAGACCTAAAACGGAGAAGATTGGAAACGCTGCCGACCCCGTTTCTCGTTTCAAAACTCCAGAGGGCGTTTTAGTGAAGACGAACGGAGGGCTTTAGAAACGAGGACGCAGCCGCTCACGCTCGGCTCTCTGACTGGGTCTTGCAAAGCAGAAACATGATGCTTGATCGTATTGTTATTAAAATATTCTGTACCGAGCAAATAACACTCATCTGCCTACACTTACACTTCGGCGTTTACTTTGCAACAACTCCCAGTCTCTTTTCTGCCACCACACTCCCGTGTTACATTCAGTAACAGTCCCAGCTCGGTATTGATCCATGCAACAAAAAATAAACTGGTCTGATGCTTAGTCTGTATTTATTTATTCTTTCGCCAAATCTTCTGTAACTACAGAATAGACCACCTGCTTCATGTTTACACTGGCACGCGCATGCCCGGTGCACCTGAACGGGTCCTAGCTGTGCGTTTTCAGTCGTTTTAATGTAGATGGAGATCAACTCCAAAAACGCAGCGGAAACGCTGGTGTGGACGGAGATCGTATTCATTTAAATTTTCTGTTTGTAAACTAAAACGGAGTAGTGTGGATGGGGCCTTATTAGAGCATTTAGCTGCAAAAGAGCCAGAATAAAAGCCAGTAACACTGAAAATGAATGCTAATGTTGCTCTATTTCTGCTGAAGGTGTAAACAGGCAATAGTTTGCTAACATGTTAACTCTATATAAACTTTACGAGATCATAATATGTCAAATGTGTGTGATTATTTGCCTATTGTGAAGTTGACATGGGGGACAGTCTAGTTCAAAAAGACAGAAAGCTTCTGCATGCTGCATTGATTCAGCACAGAGGGGCATCCGTTACAGAATTCGGTGACACTATTGACACTATTTTTTTTTCATTTATTCAATATAATTTTATATTTTCTTAATCTCTGGATACAGTACACTGTAAACAGAGCCAGCATTTCCCAGGGCATTTTATCTATTGTAATTTAGCATTTCAAGGATATTTTTATTATGTTCCTCAACACAGAAACATAAGAGCATGCTGGATAACTTAACTATATTAGAGGGTTATGTTAGGGTTATTAGTTATGTTTTATATTTGTTACAAAGAAATTAAATTTTTTCCATCATTGTTATGTTGCCGTACTTTATTGGGTACTCATAAGCATCAGAAACAATTTCTACAGAGAGGACTCAACTAGAGCTGTGAAATCAAAATATTATATCCAGAATTGTTTGTTGAGGAACAAAGCACTGCATTATAGTTGCGGATCTGCAAAATTTACTGTGACCCAGATTAAAAAAATTAACATTATCATTATGAATAACAGCTCCACCCAAAATCTAAAGCCCATAAACAGTAAAATGCAGGTAAAAGCAGCCGTAGGCTTGTGAACCAAAACAGAAAAAGCAAAATCTTAAGGAGCTCCTAAACTTTAACTTTTTAAAATGTTTTGCAATTATTTTCTGTTTGTTGTTTGTTGTCTCAGATCCATCTGTACTCTCGGCTGGCGGCTGCTCAACCTGGTGACTGGGTTCTTCCCCTGCTCTGGTACTCTGCAGCCCTCTGTCACACGTCACCTACATGGCATCTCTCAGGATTACGAACACCCATACCAAGGTAGAGGAAAGACAGTATTTACGCACAGACATTAGACCTGGGTTTCAAATAAAACACGCTGACACAACAATGCTTATCTTTACGTCTCATTGTAATGTAAAGTGTCAGCTATATATTTAGACACATATAATGGTTCTTTCAGTGCACACACTCTTTATAACATATCTGTCCTTCAGAGCTGGCGTGTGTGTGTCAGGAGAACCTTCAGCGATCTCTCAGTTTCGGTGGTCGCCGTAACATCCCCTCTCAAGAAGAGATGGAGGCCATTCTGGCAAGTCAACCTACCCACTCGAGCAAAAAAAAAAAAAAGAACATCTTCAACATCTTTCAGGGTGTATTTCAACTGTTACATTCCATCATTATCTGCATTTGCATCTGAACAGTTTCTTTTGGCTTTCTGTAGGCTGGCAAAACCTCTCGACGTATTCCCATCCAGCTGCCAGGAGGAGTGGATTTCCCCATCAAGATCCGCAGCTTCAGTGTAAGATTCTGTTATACCAACTCACCCATGAAAACCAGCAGTCTTTTTGTTGATCATCAATATCTATTTAGTTTTGTGTTTTATCTTCCTCTAGATGGCATCAGATGTAGTAACAGAGTTCTGTAAAGAAATGGGAGTCTCAAATCTCTCAGAAATCAAAGAATTCTCCGTCCTCGTCAACCGACGTCAAGGTAAATCAGACTGACACTGCCATCATCCTGAGTGAAATGCAATAATACCTATGAGTAGCTATTCCTTCTTCTTCCTCTGCTTCTGCCATTTCTACTTTTTCACCTTCTACAGTTTGCTTTACAGACAGATTCAGTGCATTTCCCACTCTGATAAAATTTCTGGAACATGTAACACCGAAAAGGATGCTTTTGTCAGTCAAATGGTCAAATTTAAATGGCCACCCAAATTACATAACTACGCATTTTCTCAACAACACATGACTTGGACTTGACTCAGATTTGAGTTATGATGTTTGAAGAAATGTACCTGTCTTTGTTCTTTCCTGTCTGTGTGATATGCCCCTTTTACACGGCCTGTTCAAAGCCTTTATTCTGCCCTGCCGTTGTGTATAAAACATACAAACCAAAATGTGGGGGCATTGTTGTATCACCTTTGAGCCGGCGGCTGAGGTAGTATGAGCCGTGACGTTGTCAGTCTGGAAGTAAATGTACAGTGTAGGTTACAGTTCGTAAAGGCTGGAGCTTCTCAAGTGTAGTTTCCCACCTGCTGGAATAGTTCCACTATGATGGTCAGCTCAGCCAACTTTGTGGGGGTACTGTCAGCAGTGGAAAACAAAGTAGAGGTACCAACTGCGAATAGAGTCCAGTCGAGAAATACCATGCAGTGAGAATACGCAGACACTTCCATGGTATTGACCTTATCATCGACTTTTGTAAATGCTCCGTACTTGTATAGCACCTTTTACACTACATCTGCATTCACCAGTCACACACATTCATACACTGAGCCTAAGCGCTCAAACGGAAAATAACAACTAACAACCAACCAGGGGGAGCCAGGGATTGAACCGCCGACCTTCCGATTAACGGCCAACCCGCTCTACCTCCTGAGCCACAGCCACCCCTTGACTTTTGCTGTTAAATCATTGTACTGCATAAGCACTGCCTCTGAGTCTGCATTTGGGTCCTATTCCTCGTGTTCCTGGTTACCCTGCTTGCACTATTGTGACGGATGAAATAGCCAGTGTTGGACCTAGCAGATGTATGTTTTTTCTTATATCCTCTGGGGCTCCAAGGTGTTTTGGAAGAGTCCCCCTAGTAGGGATTATAGAGAAGCAGCTCTTACTGGCATGCAGGGAAGTGTCCTCTCAGCCTTGCCTGAAGAATTTGTTACCTGGGTGGGTTAAAGACGTTCTCATCAGCCCTGATGCTCAGCCAGCTTCCTGGCCTGCTAGCCTTCAACAGGAACCTCATCCTGATTTCCAGCATGCTAGCTTCCTGGCTTTACCCCGGCCTGATAACTTCCAGTCAGCTGGCTCTCAGTCTGCTAGCCAAGGTGGGTTAAAATCAAGGCCAGCTGGACTTGGTTGAAGACATTTTGCCTCTCATCCAAGAAGCTTCTTCAGTTCTGACTGACTGGCAGCTATTTAACCTCTGTGGGGTCATTATCAAGGTGATGGATACTGCCTGTGTGACAGAAGCCAGATGGCTTTGCAGGGAGTAAACTTCACTCCCTGACGCCTAAGAGACTCACTACCGACTGACGCTAGTGCCCATGGGGTTTTAGCCTCTTAGTTTCCTGTCTGCACCACTGCAGTGTATATTCCATTTGCCTTTATTATGTCTGGGTAGCAGCACAAATCTCAGAGAGAAATATCTTAAAACCTCAGCACATAAAACCAAAAAAGAGGTTTATTATTATTATTTGTGTGAACTGACACGAGATATGGAAAATTACTGAAAGAGGGAACCTCTTACATACCACAGATTACACAGTGTAAAGTGACCTGCACCTCCTCCTCACTCCTTTGCTCCTTGTATGTCAGATGGCATTGTGCGTCCCCTCCACGCTGAAGAGTATCTGTTTGACTTCCTACTGGATGATGGCTCCATCTTCTTTTCCCTGAGAAGAGTGATGTGGCGAAACCCTCTGTCCTTCAACAGTGACCTCTATTTGGAGTTCCACTACCAGCAGGTGACATCGTCCGTTCACAACAGTCAGGAGCAGTAGCAGTTCATTTCTAATCACTGGCTCAATTTCCATCTCACTGTTATCTATTTTGTGTGTGTGTGTGTGTGCGCGCGCAGCTCCTGGGTGACTTCCTAAGTGGGCGGCTGATGCTTGCTCCTGTTTCAGGTGGTTCCGCATCAGTCCAGCACATAGCAGAGCTGTCAGCCCTGCAGCACCTGGCTCGGGGACTGAAGCACCAGCCCTCACTGTGAGTCACAGACACTGAGAGTCACAATCGTACACCGATCAGTTTAGGAATAGAATATTTTGGGAGATTGGACAGCTCAGCTTAACAAATGGCTGCCTAGAACATTAAAACAAATGTGCAGGTAGCATTTATGTGTTAATGACATCACTAAGATAGCTTTCTTCATCTCTGCCATATTTCCTTTTAATTTTAAAGGTCACACCACTGATTTTATTTGTCAAAGTCATTTCACTTGTCAAAGGAGGTCCCACTAAGTTTTACACAGTAAACTCTTTTTCACAGCTTTACTTAACTTGAAGGTATACGCCTAACTCTAAAACTCAGGGATCAACATGTTGCATCTCATTTGTTTAATCTTTACACAAACAGAAATGTAAAAATCAATTAGTGGTGTTAGGGGGAGTTGAATGCTGGAACTATTTCTTGATGAACAACAGTTTATTCATCTGCCCAGTATTTCTGTGCAGCATCTCTGGCTATAGTATGGGTTTCTGGGTACAGTTTGTGAGCACAGGTTTTGGTCTCTGTTCAGGCATAATGATACCAAATCCTTGCTGTGACGACAAGACTCCCGTAAGCTGCTCCTAGTCACTGTGCCTGGCTGATCACCAAGAAATAGTTCCAGCACCTAACCAGAAATTGTAGTTTTTACACGCCTGTTTGTGTACGAATTAATGTTAATTACTGTGTACTTTTTCACTTAGAACAGAGCCAGGCTAGCTGTTTCTCTCTGCTTCCAGTCTTTATGCCAAGCAAAGCTAACCCCATCCTGACTGAGATTGATATTGATCTTCTCATCCCACTCTCGTCTAGAAATCGAATGAGCCAGCTTTATGAAAAGTGGAGTTGTAAATTATTAAATACCCCTTTATAACGCTGAGCCACTGGGGCCATAAATTATTTATTTGAAGTTGATTCGTGTCCAATGCAAAGAACTGCATGGATCAACTCCATACTTGGCAGCATTTATCAGCCAATACATCCCAGCGTTCAGTTATATCACAGTAACAACTTCTTCTGGTGACTGTGCATTATTTTGGTCTGTATGTTGTTATTGCTTAACATTTAAGTTGGCTTATAAGCCTAACTCTTAACATCACCTAAATGTAAGTATGTGTATAGTGACACTTGGTGATTGTATTTCTCTGCAAGGCCGGAGATAAAGGACTACCTGCCCTCACAGGAAGGGCTCAACAGTAAAGTTGAGGAGATCCTCTCCTTCTGTCAGGGCCAGACAGCTGCCAAACAGTCCCTCAGCCCTGAAGATGCCAAAATACAATTCATTGGTGGGTAGTACCTCTTCTCTTCTCTACTCTTCTGCTCTCTCTCTCGTATGAAACACGCAGTGTTTTAAATGTTTCATTGTAGTGAAAGTTGGTTAGTTTTTGTCTTTTTTTGGCACGCTGGTGGCTATGGTCACTCCAGCCAGAGAGGTGGAAGATGAAGGTGAGGGGATAGGTGAGGATGTGCTGCTTGCTGTCGGCGAACAGGTTGGCTATCAACCTATTGGTTATTCAAGGAGGTGATTGTGTTCTTGAAGCAAGAAAGTTTGGTGAATGGGGTTTTAGCCAGAGGTTTGTAGACAACGTCTGCAAATGCAGAGGTAAGGAGAGCAATCATTAGGATGGGGGATAGCATACATCCGTTATGTTTTGGGGTTTTCCGTCCGTCCATCCACTCGTCAGTTCCATTCTCGTGAACGTGATATCCCAAAAATGCCTTGGAGGTATTTCTTCTCAGAATTTGGTGGTCAAAGGTCAAGATCCATTCCACTACATTTATTTGACAGAAACCAGTTAGATAGATAGATACCTTGTAGATTCTGATTAATACACAACAAATAAAACGTATATACAGTAATTATAGACTGATCTACCCCACAGTATATGGGATGATTAGATCAGCTCCACCTTCATCTGCTGCAACACTGAAGTGACGAGCACATTGATGCATTAGTAGTTATAATAAATAAATGTAATATAAATAAATCACTGTTTGGGCCATTTAGCATGATGAGTGATTTTGCGTTTGATACTTGTACTAGTACTAGTTTGATGCTGGTACTTTTGCACTTTTATTGGGTGCATTTTTAACTTACTTGTACTTTTACTTTGGTGAAGTGACTGACTACTTCTTCCACCTCTGACAACATGGGTAACAGGCATTTATTTGAAAGCATACATATTTGAAATTTGCCTGTATTTGCTATTCCTCTGTCTGATAAGGTTTTTTGCTCATATCCAGCATTAAAAAAATCATCATTGTCATCGCAGTCATCCTGTCAAGTTCATTGTGTAACTCATCAAGCGAGTCATGGTCAGTTGACCTCAATCGCCAGTTTCGAGTTATTGTGACCTCATCACTAAACATCAGAAATCAGACATCTAGTTCTCACAAATGTGTCCATCTGTGGGTTTTGGGGAGAACTAAGGCATTTCTCCCTAGTCAATAGAGTCTACTGTCTAAATGTGAAGGTGCTTACTCTGTAAATGTGGCTTGCATAGATTGTCTGATACAAAATGCATATGGCAGTGTTTAAGTTTCACAGCTTTTTGCTGTATACTGTAGATGGATATGAATCCGTCTTAACATAATCAAGTACAGGTGGACCCGCCAATACATCTATAATAATTCTTCAATTATCAGTTCATCAATGTACATTTACTGGAATCATACATGTTTAATCAATAAACTTCCATTTAGCCCCCAAAAATCACTGTATACTTAATTTATTCACTACATAAAATATGAGTCTGGACAGACATGGATGTAAACTGCAGCTGGTTGGCAGAGAAATACAATAGCAGGGTGGTAATTCTTGTTTAGTGTGTCGTACATGTTTTAATAAAGGAGGTTAAAAGTCAAAGTCTTCTCTCCTCTTCTCTCTCATGTAACTGATAACTGTATTTATCTTAATCCTCTGTCTTTTAGAGTTTCTGAGCAGCCTGCCTCTGTTTGGCTCCAACATCTTCTTGACTCAGAAGGTCAGCCAGCGCGGCTGTCCCTCCCCATGCATTGTCACTGTCAGCCAGGAGGGGTTGCAGTTCCTTCACCCCAAAACACAGGTACCCTCAACAGCCATGGTACTTACACTCCAATGTGTATCCCTAATTTAATCTCACTGCCTATCTTCAGCGAATTGTATCCCAATTGTATGAGGATAGAGGATTCATTTCAAATGAAGATGATAGGATTCCTGTCCTTTTCACTTTTCATCTGTGCCTGTGTGACCGGGTACATTCTGATTTGATCCAGTTTTTGACAGTCAGCAGTGGTGTTTGACATTTCTGCTATATTCATAAAGTTCAAATTGAAACTTTCCAACCTGCTTTGTTAAACCTGCTTTGTTAAACAGAGTTGGAATTCATGCCCCTTAAGAACGGAGTTTTGTCCTTTTGCTTATCCTGTCCATTTCCACATCATTTAAGAGTTTAGTCTTTTCTCAGTCTGAACTAGGCCTTGCAGAAACAGGTTGGCAAAGCTTCAATCTGAAATAGTGTTTGGCCTGTGTTTGGAGCTAAATGTGTCGACTAAAGGAAAAAAAATTCCAGCAGCAGGTCACCATCCCTGGTGGATGTATGAAGCTAATGCTCAACATGCATTGTAAATAAAAAGTCAGAATCAGCCTTCTGATGAGTGATGTTTCTTTCCTCTGCAGGAGCAAGTGTTTCTGATTCCTCTGGCAGACGTGCAGTCCATCCGCACCATCCGCCCCAAGAAACAAAGCAAAGTGCCAGCTGTGGACATCAATTATGGCTATCCAGGTCGTACCAAAAAAGTCACCATTCATCTCAAACAGGTAACAACCTCAGCTGTGACTACATGTTCACGTTGATGGGAATTGCAAAAAAAATACACAACAGCATTTATAAATAAACACTGCCGTGGTCCATCATGTGTAAGTATATGTCAATCAAAATGTTTTACGCATTGCATTTAATGTACATTAAAATGAAAAGTTATTTTTCTTTTTTTGGTTCTCTCTATGAAACATGGCAACAAATGCTGACAGTAAAGAACAGTAGGACTTTCTTGCTTCTCACATGCTCTGCCCAGTGGAAATTATTCCTAGAGTTACCTAATGTTTTACTCAAGACCCTGGACCCTCCTAACCTCTTTGATTATTGTTCAGCTTGATACTTAAAGACATTATATAATTCTATGAATTATTAACTTTCTCAAATGTGCAAACATAGGTTGGGGGAAATAAAGCGTTAAATACATTTCTGTATATAAGGAATATTCCTTTCCTTTATTTTTACACATACAGCAAACAATGTTGAAGGAAGGCAAAACACCAGGGTTATGTAATTACCAGTTAACTACTGTGGCTTCTGGTATATGGTGCACTCGTCAAATATAAACTATTTGTAATAATCCCGGGGATTTGTGCATTAATGTCTGTTAATGTCTCTTTCAGGCGAAGGAGATGTGCCACGTCCTTGCTCTGATAATGGAAGAAATGATCCGACCATCAGTCAACAGCTCCATTTCAAATCGCTACTAGACACACACACACACACACACACACACACACACACACAGTATAGTGCTGTAGTTCAGATCTGGCTTCTGTAACTGTCTTTTGTGTTTTTCCTTTTTTATTAATTTATGGGGGGTTTTCTGTGTAAAGTCATGGATTGTGTGCTACTGTTAAGAAGGGCTGAATAGAAACATAAATATACACACGCGATGCTGAAAAATCTCTCCAGTGATATCTTACAGGACATGATACAGAGCTGACATACTACTCTGATCAAAGAACAAAGGTGAATGGAGGAGGGATTAGAGCGAAGTTATTTGTATGAACTCTGTTCACTCTGTACTTCAGAAACGGTTCCATGAGTGTATTCAAATTCTGATTCACTTGTTGAAATATTAAGTTTGTTAATCATTGTTGAAAGTTCGTAAGGTTGTCATGTAATATACGCGAATAATTTATAAGAATTAAAGAAATTGATTAATACATTGATTCACCTCATGAGTTCAGTTTTTTCTTACAAGGAGTCTTCGACGAGTTAATCAAAGAAAGGTTTCTGTATAAAATAGAATATAAACTCATATCATCGTGTGAATGAATCTCTGTCACAACTTTAAAAGAAGCACTGAAGCATTTAATCTTCCGGATAGCGCCCCATGAATTTTATACAGGACTCAGCTTGCAGCAGCAAGTCAACATTTTTTACACTGTTGAATCAGTTAATTAGGCTCTTGCATTGTCACAGAGAAGTGGACCCCCTCAGATAAAATTGACTACTCCCCCTGTTGGACTCACAAAAGGTCAAAATCAGTGCAGCACAACCATAAATATCTTTTTTATTCCACCATTTTTCTTCCTTGTCAAGACCTGGCGTCTGCATGTCTCACAATGCAATTTGACTGCCAGCAGCTCAGTCGGTGATTCTGGTGTATTATGCTAGTAGCAGCTAATGTAGCCTAGAGCCTCTAGTCTCAATCAAAGATGAGCAGTGGGCTACAGAGATCTGGTGAGTTTTTCAGACTTCACACAGCTCCCTCTGGAGCCACAAACGGCTTTATACATCTTCTTCTACATATGCAGTACTCCCCTGAACTCCTGGAAACAGAATTTGATGGGACACCTGTCCTTTTACTTTACACCAACCATAATATGTCTATTTATTTAAAGAGGCAGACACATGCAGAAATATGATTTCACTTTTATTTTATTGTATTTGAAGTATTTTAAATGTATTTGGGGGCAATTTGTAGTTTCCAATGAGCCTAACGTGCGTGTTGGGGGATTGGAGGGTACAGGGTAGAGGGTGATGGGGGCCAGGATGAGGAGGATGGTGGAGGAGTGGACAGAGGAGGGAGGGTGGTGGGGTGAACCTTTAAAAATAGGAAAGATGGTGTTATATCCATTAGGCTAAAAAGATAGCTTCATCTTCCTAATCAAGTCCATCAAATTTTGTAAGCCGATAGGTTGGAAACATCCAATGTAGCAGTAGTTAGAATTTGAGTATCATAGTATTTCAGAAGGCTAAGCGTTGACTTCTGTTTCCTTTTTCCTGTCAATTTAATTACTACAGTTTTCAGCTTTGCTGCTTAATCTTCCACGATATTTGCTGTGACACTACCGCACATGCAACATTTAAAACCGATTACAGTTTCTCTAAATAGTTTAAATTGTTAAAGAAATCGTGTCTGTGTGTGTGTTAAAACAACACACAATAAAGATATTACCTACAAGGACCGGTGTCAGTAGAGAGGGATGTCTATACAGTCACTGGTCTCTACCAGAGAAAATGATTTGTTCAGGTAGAGGATTTATGCGTAGTCTTTATACGGATTAAGATAATGTCAGAGCTGATCCTCACATCACACCAATTCAACTGCTGATTTGGCGAGTGCAAACGGCTGCTAATGTTCAATTTGTTGTATTTCATGTTTTCCTATAATGCCCATTGTGTAGTCCAAAATTCAAACTGTATAGTCCTGTGACAACAGGTGCACTTAGGGCTATAGGCCACATTTTAGATTTTGTGGTGTTATTTCTACACTACAATAATGAAACAACCCTCATTTCTCAGTTTGTGCCTCATCTTCCTCTTCTCGATGTATTGTCAAGATGTATTTTAGGGATTAAGGCGCCACTTTAATGCCATAGGTACCCTTTAGTGTTGTTTTTGTATGTGTACTGCTCCGCAACAGAGTTAGCAATAGCCTAATAAATATGCAGTGTCCAGTTATACTTACAAAATAAAACTAAGTTAATGTTGTGAAACGTAACAATTCGGTTTAGCTTAGCCACAAGAACTTTTTGGAAAATTATGTGTGAGGACCGAAATAAATTTTGTTGATTGATTGAACTACTTGGTTAGGTTTAGCAAAATATTGTGGTTAATTAGTTACTAAGTTTAAGTAATATTGCTTACCTAAGTTACAAAACATCACTAAACAGAATCAGTGTTGACTTTTTGTGTCACAGGGGAAACGAGCACTGGTCTCCTGGGTGAGCCTAGTTTCTGACCCATCTGTCCACCCCAACCACTGCCTTACTCTGACTTGTGTTATTTACACTAGGCCTGTTTTTGGCATTGAACAGTGACGCTATAGGCTGCCATGTGCGTTGGTACCAGATGCCGAAGGAAGGTGACAAAGCAAAGCTATTTGACGCCCTGGGAACAGGCTGGATGAGATCAATTTCCGGGTTGCAGGTGGATGGAGGAGAGAGGAAATGAGTTTTCTGCTGAAACACACCTTTTTTCTCTGTGTGTGGCCTTCTGACATTTTTGTAAGAACACCCAGGACAGGTCCATCGCAGGGCCACACACAGACAAACAACCACTCACACCCACACCTAAGGACAGTTTGAGACACGGGGAGAACATGCAAACTCCACACAGAAAGACCGGGGCAACCGGGGTTTGAACCCACGACCTTCTTGCCTTGAGACAACAGTGCTAACCACTGCATGCATAATACAACACCAAAATAATATTTATTGATCGATGTTACAATTCAGTCTTTATTTTATGTAGAAGTGTTGTAGGGTAAATTAAACTATTGTTTTGACATGTGTTTATGTGAAGGTGGGTTTTACCATAAGACCCACGAGGAGGAGCAAGACTGGATCCATCAATCAATGTAATACGGGGTTTGATGAGTTCTGCTCCTGGGGGCAGCTCAGGTACACATGTATTTGTATTCTTCCTTTAAATTATCACTAAACTTGTGTTGATTTGAACTCTATTGGAATCCATGTCTCATTGAAAAGAATACAATCTACAGTGAAAAGACAACAGTTCACATTAATTGAGTTACAAGTTGCATTGAAAACAATAAGTGTCAGTGGGGACCCGTAAGGGCTCTAGCCTGGTCTGAGGGCTTTTCTTCCCAAATTATGAAAGAGAGAAAGAGCGAGTTGAGTGGAGAATAGAAGAGATGGGGAAAGAAAAGCTGAAAGAGGAAAAAATAAATAAAAATAAGAAGAGGAAACAAAAGGGTAACAAAACAATGTTTCAACAGCACACAACCTCTTCCATCGACCTCATCTATCATTCAGCCGTGGTATACCATTTATAACATATTTCAAAGGCTTTGGATTGTGTTCTTCGGGTTTGAGATAAAACTAACTGTGGCCATGGAGATAAGCACCACAGCCTCACGGAGACACAGGAAATGCTTCAACATGCTGTGGCTCTGAGCTATTATCTGCAGTTCATTTTATAGTGCTGTCTATTACAGTAATCACTTTGACATAACTTTATTGATTCAAAGATAAAAACTGAATTAAAAAAAACAACAACATGAAGACATTAAAATGGAATAGAACTAAGCCGTGGCCAATATGGTAATCAGTTACATATTTAACTGTGTAGCACACTTTTTCCTAAACATTTATGCTTTTAATGCAAACTGGGAGAAGACAAACTGGGAGACATGGAGTACAGGCCCACCAGTATTTTGTATTAGTCTGTGGTACATGGAGTGGTGGAAGAAGAAATAAAATGTGAAAATGCAATAATAGGCATGTATTTAAAGAGGTTTGTGTAACTTATTGATTTATTTAATAAAAGGGTTGAGAACCCAAGTGCAGGACACCAGAGCTGAGCAGATATAGTCCAATAATTTATTAAGAGAGTACACTTACAAACTGTGGCTAAGTCCAAATAGAATCCAAAGGGGTGTAAATGAAACAGAGGTCCAAAAACAGCAGGCACAAACTCAGGCAACAGACCAACACAGGATACACTCAACAATGGACCAACACAGACTGAACCGAACACAGGCATTAAGTAGTGAGGCAAACGAGCGGGGCGGGAACATAAAACAGGTGGATCACATCAAGGAGACCAGAACAGGAAGCAAATCTAGACAAGAACACCAGGCACAGAAGATTACAAAATAAAACAGGAAGTAAAGTACACAAGAACACAAAAGGTTAGATCTACCAAAGTAAAACACAAACATGGAAAGACCACAAAATCAGAGCATGGACAGAACTAAACAGGAGACAGGACTACATGGAGACACAGGACTAAGGACTAAGATAAAAGACAGGACAGATACTAAGAAAACTTAAACATGCGAATGAACAAAAAACTAAACTTAGCTACAAAACCCCAAAACATCCATCCATCGTCAACCGCTTATCCCAGCTGGGATTGGCTGGCGGGGTACACCCTGGACAGGTCGCCAGTCCATCGCAGGCCCACACAACCACTCACACTCACACCTAAGGATAATTTTAGAGACACCAATCAACCTAGCCTGCATGTCTTTGGATGGTGGGAGGAAGCCGGAGCACCCGGAGAGAACCCACACGGACAGGGGGAGAACATGCAAACTCCACACAGAAAGGCGTGTGTCTGTAGCCTTCTTGCTGTGAGGCGACAGTGCTAACCACTGCACCACCCACCCAAAAACATGACAAGATCAAATAATGAACACAGAAATACACAGACCAGGAATAACATTAACATGAACTAAAGCACAGTGTGTTTTTATTCCTTGTAAACCTACTTCATTTGCAGGTTACTGTTTTTTAAGTATGCTGCACACATCTTTTCCATTTCAGCTTCAATAAATCTGGGATCGGCCGTGTGCTCTCTTGAAGAAAGCTGCTGACGCGCATTTATCTGAATTACTTACATCGGGGCTTGACAAAGTTGCTCCTCCCCAGGCTGGTTTGACCTTTGTGAAACGGATAAAGCCAGGATGCACTGACCACTCTAGGTCAAGCCTTGCTTTTTCTGTTATTCTGGATTTCTAAATTCTGCTTTTTTGATACAGCCCTCAGGATGTGTTATTATTCATTTGTATATTGTAATGGTTGACTGTACAGCGTACCTTAAGTCATTCAGAGTTTGCCTTGCCATCTATATTTTATTTTCTTTTTTAACTTTCTTGTGTTATCCTTGGCAGTTCTAATGATTGCATATTGTCACTTTGGATGACATTTTTATTATGCATTTATTTGTGTTGTGTTTTGTGTGTTTAAGTGTGGAATTTGGGCTGTTTGGGGTATTAATTAATAAGTTAAGTTATTGAATAACAACAATAAGTTAAGTTATTGAACAAGACTGTGTGGGAACAAGGAGAAATGGAGTTCTCACCCATATATCAAAAAGTTCATGGGAACTTTTAGAAGGCAAGGTTCCTGTGCCAAGTTCTTGTTAACTTTTACAGAGGAGCAATATATAGCATTCTGGCTTGAAGTATCACAAACGGGCATGGGATGTGGATGGCCCAGGACAGGAGACCTCTGCAGCTGGGGATTAAAACTGCTCAGAAGATCATTGTACCCATCTACCAAGCATTAGTGATATTGGTGAGGTGAGGTGCCTGCTGAGCCCAAAAATACTTAAAGACAGTGACCACCCAGCTCAGCCTGTTCACCCTGCTGTCATCTGGCAAGAGATCCAGAAGTTTCTGCTGTCGTCCCAGCAGACTACAGAACATTTTCTTTCCTAAAGCTGTGACATTGCTTAATTCATCCACAGCACTGCACCATATTTTTATTACTATGACTTGTCATTTATCTACTGTATATACTTTTTGTATATAACATTTCCTTTTTGTGATCAGCATAAAGGGAGCTACAACTTCAGAGTTCAGTGTGGTAATGTCAGTGAGCTGAGAATTTAGTTGGATAAAAATAATGTTTGCAAAATAAACTGCAGAACATAGCCTACAAAGAGAGAGAGAGAGAGAGCACGTGGCACGGAGGGGATGAGGAAAAAAATGGAAAATCAAAAGGTGGGGGTCATATTGATGTTGTGGAGGGCCGCCACAAATAAATCAATGTATGGGAACACTTGACTATTCACATCTAATTTAAGGAAACAGTTTTTTGATATGTTGAGCATACTTTTCTTTATCACTAAGAAATCCGACAAAATGATTTTACGCACATAGACTATAAGAGCCTTTCCAGGCAAATGCTCACAGTGAGTAATACCTTAGCCAGTTAAAGGGAAACGGGGGGAGATTATTCTTCAATGGTTTTATTCTTTAATTTGTTTGGATCTGCCACCAAACAGACTACAACAGACAGTCTGGACTACAGAATAAAATGGTGCCAACCTGCTCTCCATTCAGGACTTATACATCCAGAGCATAAAAGAAGGTACAGAGTCAGGAAATGGGCACGGCAGATCCATCACACAACGAACATAACCTTTTCCAGCTCCCCCCCTCTGGTGGGCGCTATAGCACTGTAGGCCAAAACGAACAGGCACAGGAACAGTTTCTACCCACAGGCCATGGCTAAATCAAATCCCTGTGCAATAACCCTGTGACTCTGACTCTAACGTCTATCTGCATACTAATTATTTATCATTGTGGTAATTTATTGGCTGTTCATTTTGTATCATAGCCACCCACCTCATAATAATATCTGCATCCATTCATCACTGCCCTATGCTCCTATACACTATTATGTTTCTGTCTACAAATATTGTTGCTGGTGTCTGTTTGTTGCTGAGCTTGTTGCTCTGTGTGTTGATGTTCTGTGTGTACATTGAGAGCAATGTAAGACCTGAATCAGATTCCTCCAACGTGTAACTTACTCATACCTGGCCATTAAAAGTGATTCTGAAACGTCGTCGTCCGGCTAAGCCAATCAGAGCCACTGTAGGCTGGGCGATGCCTTCACCATAGTAAGATTCGTACAATCGCGTTGTTTACACAGTCTGCTTCAGACAGCGACAGGCACGCCATGCCATCGCCGTGGAAAATGATCCATTGGAGAACGTAGGGACGGCGGTGACGCGACCGCCTTCTCGGTTTCGACCAATGAGAGGACAGAGTACTCTGGCGCCGTCCAGTCATAACACACTATTCCTTCTCCAGACAGAACGCTCCCCAACATGGCTGCTGCGGTACAGTAAATGATCAGAAGTACATTTGTGTTCGAGAGAAACACGTTATTATTTCAGACAGACATCAACAACGGCTGGACATTAGAAAAGGTGAGTTTGCAGACTGAAACTGTGCATCGACGGGCTGTGTTGTTAAAGCGAATATTGGGACAGTGTTTAGTTAGGTCGAGGCGTCTGTGGTGTGAACATTAGCATCTGCCTTTGACATCAAGGGAAGGGGACGCGTAACGGAAGCCGCAATTCCACTTAACGTTACTTTGCGTGCAGGGAAGATGACATAAACTCCGATTTAAAGCCTTTTACACTCTCACGAACATGGCTTACGATATGTTGTCAATTTAAGGATAAACGCTTAAAAACGTTAACGCTACACCAGGCTGTTGTTTTCGACCTTTTGAGGCACGTTATTAACATTAATATGCTTCCCTTGCTATTTCACAAAAATAACAACGTAATTAGTGCGCAGTAATGTGAACAACTGAAATATTGTAACGTTATACATTTATTATTTATTATTAAAGTAACGTTAGTGTCTTCCGCAGTACTGTCGTTCTGTAACAGTTAAGAGTGACTCCTAAACTTGAGTAAAAGGTTCAAAAAACGGTTTCACGATGTAACGTTAGCGTTAACGTTAGCTAACATTAACTTGTTCGCTCCTGTACATTTGTTTCGTGGACAGTGAAAGCCACAGCTCTGATTTATGGTTCTAACTAATGCATGAAAATTATGAAATGAACCTGGTTCTCGACCTTTTTTTCACATGTTGTGTTACCTGTCTGAATAGCATCAGCTAACGTTAGTCGTTTAATATCGAACAAATAATTGAAGTTAAAGGCAATTTCTAAACTTTATTTCAGCACTGTTAACTTAGTCTTCTAGTATGATCAAGCAGTCTATGGGGAGGAAAACAATTCCAATGTGAATCTTTGAGCTCGGCTTACAAGGATTATCTCGCTAAGTTTACTTGACATGAGCTAGTAGTGGACCCGGTTGTGACTGCATTTCAACCAGGCAGTAGATGACAGTTGTAAACAAGGCTATTAGTAGCAGGAACGTGCTGTCAGTTCAGGGAATAGCTGCTTTGGCACCACAGAGTTATCAGTGACTGATTACCTGTTCCAGGTAATGCAAAGTAAGGATAATAAGCAGTAGATTTGTGAGGGCAGGTCGCTAAAGCTGACAGGCCTTTTTCACTGAAGACATTTTGGTGTAATGGATAATGAATGTCTGCTAAGTTATATTCCATTTAGCTGTTTCAGCTTGAGTGTCCTGACACACTGTCATGGCTTGTTGGGACACTTGAATAGAACAGATATAGTTAATGTCATTGGTAACATCTTTGCTTTTCCTACTGTGACAAGTTCAAATGTCTGCTGTGATGAATGGCTTTTAGAGAGGCGTTGTTTTTCTGAAATACACGCCCCATACTGCCCTTCTGTAAACAGTACATGTGGCCACATTCTGCTTGACTTTTTCTGCGTTACCCGCCTTCTGACCCTCCGCAAGGACTGTTAATCTTACTCACACAGTCTTACTTTGTAATCAGTGCACCCTCTGACCCTTCGGTCTGTCTGGCTCTTTTTTCCTCTGTTTGGCTGAGAACTGTCCACTCTTTGCCAGTGGAGAATGCTGACTCTGGAGTTGAGTGGGGTTTTTTTTGTGCCACAGGAAGCTGCTTATGTGGTCAGAGTGAGTGGCGAGCCTCGTGTCAGTAGATTCAATGCTTTGATCTGCTTTTCAATAGAGCTATTATGCTAACATCTGGGTGTTCTCGCTGCAGCCTCAACACAGTACGTAACGTGAAAGCATCGAAGCTAACTTTAAGGAAGCAGCTTGAACTTGCAAAGCCTGCCAACCATGAGGACATTCATCAACCAGTATCTTAATTAAACCTGGCCTACACTGCAATAGAGTACTGCATTTTGGTCAGTGTAGTCATTGGAGTTAACACTTGTTTTTTAATTGGTTAATGTAATTTGTCATTTATCCACAGACCTGTACATGGATGTTACGAAGAGGATCCCTGTGCTGCACCTGAGCAACAGTTAATCCTCCAAGCAAAAACCCCAATCCCTACAGTGTTCCTTGCTTCTCTCCGCTGGTCCCTGCAGGTGTGGGCGTGCCTCCTGTCACACTGGCAGAGGAGGCGGGGCAGGAGGTGTTGCCAGGTGGGGGACCAAGGCTGCACCCACCTGCCTTCTCCATCTTCCTCCGTCCGGTTCTGACCCACTTGATCTGCAGCTTCCACAGGCAGCCGTCTGAGAAGGATCTGTCCGAGAGCCTCAGCAGGGCTCTGCCAGGTGCCGTTGGCTGGTTGAGGCGCAGAGCATGTTGAGTGGTTGTGGTTGCCATGGAGCAGCAGGATAAGAAGCAGGTGAGTTTGATTACTTTGTTCAGCATCTGCATATCTTACCTAAATGTCCCTGAAGTGGAGAGTTGTTTGCTGAACAGATAGCACCCCTGGGTTTTACATTGCCCTGCGAGCTTAGCTATGCTACAAGAGTCTCCTAGCATTAGGTTCATGTTGTTGTTTTTTTGTTTGTTGTATTTTTACCCCTTTTCTGGGAAAAATGTACCTAATTTCAGATGTGTATACACTGTGCAATTCACAATGTAATAAAATCCGTCTAAAGTAGCGGCCTTATATTACACAGTGAGACACATACACCGATTGACATTTTTGACCGAATGTCCACAGCCAGCCTTTCGGAATATGGCATTACATTGCACTATGCCAGTAAACCTGCAATATTACTGTTGTCAGTAAAAAGGGGAATTTGAAATACTGTCACTTTAAAGTTTTGAAAAGCATCAGCTACACTCTCTAAAAGTCTCGATGTAGTGTCAGAAGCTGTCGTTTAGTATTGTTATGCATTCCGGTTCTTTTTGATACTACAAAGAACTCTAGAAAGACTATTGTTTGACCTGGAAACCATGATGAGATCAAGACACATTTAAATAATATATCAGATTTGTAAAAATTATTATTATTTTGGGGAGCATTTTATGCTTTTACCCCGCACACAGGATAAGCGGTTGACAATGGATGGATTTTAAGCTATTATTGAATAGGCAACTAGTGTATCCGGAGGGATGTGACCCCAGGACATTTTGGTTCATGCTCAACTCGTTAACCCTTTCCACCACTAGGGCACATAATTGTGATTTTTATTTGCAACTTAGTCTATTTTTGTAGATTTGGCCATCAAATGTGTCAACATTGCTACAAAGTCAGACAAGACAAGAAACACAGTTAGACAATCAGATACTACTTTCTACTCAGGCTACCTAAAACTAAAGTAAATTTGACCGTGCACCTGCAATGTCAGTAATTATCCCTCATTGCACAGGAAAATTGGGTTGGCTTTTTACAGATAACTAGATAAGTTAATAGAACTACTACATTAATCAGAGTTCTGTAAATTGTCAAAATATATTTAGCATTTTCACAGTAAGTACAAGGGACATAGGTAAAAATTCCAAAAAAGTATTTTAAAGATAGTTTTTAAGGCAAAAATAATGTTTGTTTTAGATAAGTGTTGAAGGTTAAAAGCATTTTATAAAGTACATTTAGTTTTCATTTTGCAACAGGGTTGAAGTTTGCACTTCCCCTTATGTATCACAAAGCAAATGTTATATACAATAGTTATAAAATTATATACAGAAAAAAACAATTTTACATAGTTCATTGCGGAGAAGGAATTAAGGAGTCTCACAGCCTGATATCACTGATGCTTGGTAGATGGGTACCGATGATCTTCTGAGCAGTTTTAATCATTTGCTGCAGAGCCCTCCGGTCCTGAGCCGTGCACATCCAATGCCAATGAGCAGCTCCATGAATTTACTGACGTTGAGCAGTAGGTTGTTGTCCTCGCACCTCCTGACGTTAAGTCTCGTTGTTTGAAATCTGGCCGATGATGGTCGTCTGCAAACTTCGCCACAGAGTTCTCTGCATGTCAGGGATGCAGTCCTGGGTGAACAGCGTGGACAGGAGGGGGCTGAGCACACAGCGCTGGGGGCTCCGGTGTTGAGCACTAGAGTGGAGGAGGTGAGTCTGCCAATCTGAACTGTCTGGGGTCTGTTTGTGAGGAAGTCCAATATCCAGTTGCAGAGTGTTGTATTTAAACCCAGAGTGCTGAGTTTGCCGATCAGTTTCATGGGGAGATTGTGTTGAATGCTGAGCTGAAATCCACAAACAGCATTCTGATGTAGGTGTTGTTTTCTCAAGGTGTGTGAGGGCTGAGTGGGGGGCAGTGAGATATCATACTCTGTGGATCTGTTGGTTCTGAAAGCAAAGTGGTGAAGGCCCAGGCTGGCTGGGATGTTGTTCTTTATGTGTTTAAGAATAGGGCTGAACAATTTTGGAAAATAATCTAATTGCGATTTTCTTTTTTCTTTTTTTACAAATATTGCAATTGCGATTTAATATGCGATTAATTTTTAAGCTCTTTGAGGCCTGTGTTTGATGATGAAATTAGGTGATGCATGAATTGCTATGAGCAATGGTGGAGAAGAAATATCAAATTTTAATAATATGAGAAAGATAATTTGTCAAGTCATGGCATTAAATAATATAAGATATATGAAGTCGGCCTGCCTACAGACAACAAGAAAAACTAAGTTCACCACAGTCGGTTATAGACTACAGTAAGAGCTCAATACAAAAGCCACAGTTCAACCACCAGTTAATGCGTCCTTTTCTCAGTCAGATCTCCTACGAGTCCATCTTTCTATATCCCAGTAAGCAAACCAAAATATACTCAGTTTGAGGTTCAATTTTCAAAAAAGTTGTCCAACAAAAATAAAACCAAGTGACGTCTCTCGTGTTTAATAGACAAGCTTAGTAATATTTCCTGAGCTCACTGTTGGCCGTGTGTGTGACACAGGCGCTGATCGCCACAATACGCTTACCTTACTACACGTGTCTTTCTGTTGTGCATTTTTCCTGTCCGTCAACCACCACCACCAATTTACCCGCGGGTGGTGGGTGCTACTTTCATTCCCTGTGTGACAGCTTCTGTCAAGCTTAAAGCCATTGTACAACAACAAGTCAAACAGCGTAATGTGCAAAATTGATGCTTCGTCTGCAGACTGTTTTACTTTAGGGTGTCATGTGACCAGAGTGTAATCGCAGTCTTTGGAATTAGAAAATCTCATTTTATCACATTGCGATAATATCGCAAATGCAATTAATCATTCAGTCCTACTTAAGAACCAGTTTTTCATAGCACTTTATCAGAATGGGGGTGAGAGCCACAGGGTGCTAGTCATTCCGACTAGACAGGTACAGGAATGATGGTGGCTGTCTTGAAGAGAATGGGAACCTACTCCTGAGACAGTAATATGTTGAAAATGTCAGTAACAACATCAACCAGCTGATTGGCACAGGTTTTTAGTACACGGCCATTGATGTTACCAGGCCCAGCAGATTTACTCATCTTCACTCTCAGCAGGACTCGTCTCACATCTGCCGTGGATACTGACAGTGGCCGGTCCTCTGGAGGTGGAGTAGACTTTATAGCTGACTCCTTGTTGAGGAGCATGAAATGTGTTTAGCTCATCTGGTAATGTGGCCTCACACATGATGGGGGAGCTCCTGCTATTGTAGCCTGTGATGTCCTTGATGGCTTGCCACATACCTTTGGTGTTGTTGGCGTTGAGTCTCTGCTGATGTGTCCGCTTCGCTTCCTTGATGGCAATTGTCCGTCTTGCTCTGGTGGTGCTGTATGCTTCCTTGTCACCTGACTGGAAAGCAGCTTTTTAGCTCTGCAAAGAGCCCCACCTCTCATTGTCAAAATTTGATGAATCACCACCTGATCCTCAATGTATGTATGATGGCACTAATGATGTATATTCCTCAAGATTCCTCTCTAAACAGTCTAGTAGAGATGGTGTAGCCTCATCTAGCCGCACTGTTTTTACGGTTAGTTTGACCTACCCAGTTGGGTGTAAGTAGGCAGGAGAAGCTGAGAAATATGGTCTCATAGACCAAAATGGGGATGGGGATAATATGGCTGACATCTTAGCAGTAAAACTTCCACATCTGGTAAAAATTTCCATCCACTTTGACAGCACCAAGCATCAATGACGGTCCACGTGCTCTGGTCTTGTGTTCTATCAGCGAGTGTAATAGCTTGGTCTGGGATGTTGTGGTGGAGCCAGGTTTCAGAGTTTTCCATTACCATCTTTGTTAAAATATTTATTTTTCCCAGCTTTCAAGACTTCTTCTCCATGTTAGATTCATTCTGATCTCACTCCCTGTTAGTATAGTGATATTGTAGTAGTGATTAACCATATTGGCCAATCCTTGTAATAGTTTTGTTAACATCTTCTCTACCAGTTCTCTCTACAGCTTCTGTGTCCCTCCATCACTGCAAAATATACTAAGCTGGCAAGAGTGGAAAATAGCCTAACCACGATTTTACGGGCCAGGTTGGCATTGTTCGTCACATCAAAAGAGCCTGTCCCCCCACCCCCCCAGCCCCATCTCTCTGTAGTCGGGGTTTTGTTGCTTAGTGTCCAAGCCAGCTGCTGAACTGAGTTGAACTGAATGAGGCTCAGCCTGTTCCAGAGAGGCAGCCAGACTTGCTGTTTTCAAAATGAAAGTCCAGCTGGCATTGTGCACTGACGCTGGGCTCTGTTGTCTGCAGCCCAGTGACGAGGGACATTTGGGTGAGGTTTTGCTGCATCTCCAGCTCTCTCCTGACTGTCGACATGAGCAGGCTGTCTCTCCAGTCAGGACTTCATTCACATCTTGAGAGCTGGTTTTTTAAATGTAACGATTCTCGTCACGTATTGTCAGACATTGCTATTTAAGGCCAGCAGTAATATAGATTTAACTGAAGCAGAGCAGGGCCGTCATGGTGTTGAAGATGAAAGAAGGGATCTGCCTCAGAAAGAAGAGCAGTGTAAGTTGTGTTTTGCTTGTTTCTGTCAGTCTGCAGCTGAACACAGTGTACTCAGTACAGGCTAAACAAATGGAACAAGACTGATTGTTGTGAGTGTCAGTCAGATATACTGTAGCTAGAGATTCACCGATTGCAATTGTCTTGGCTGATTCAGATTTTTGAGTCTGACCTGCTGATACCAATTTTCTTTCTTTCTTAGAAATTTAATTGACATCATAGACAAACATTTTGGAACTTTGTTTAATTTTTCTATCTTTCTTTCTTTGCATTCCCTTTAGCATCAGCAGAAGCACTGGCTAGTCTTCCTAAGGTCCTTTCAATTGTATGTTCATAATAAAAAAACGACTATTAAATAACATAAATAAATAACATTTTCTCCCAAATTGCACCAAGTAACAGGACCTCCTTTCACTCTCACTCAAACACATCACAAAATAAAAAGTGCTCCAGGTTAGGCTACTGGAAAGAGCTTTTTTTTCTACAAAAAAAAAAAAAATCCAACTGACAGTTGCAGCAGGTTTTAACATTGCTCAATGTTTCCCACAGAACGACAGTGTAGACAGGTCAACGTACTGAAATACATCACTCTGTTTCTAGTATGATATTTCACACACCTACACTCTCTCTCTCTCTCTCTCTCTCTCTCTCTCTCTCTCTCTCTCTCTCTCTCTCTCTCTCTCTCTCTCTCTCTCTCTCTCTCTCTCTCTCTCTCTCTCTCTCTCTCTCAGCTTTATTGGCATGAATGTGTAACAACATTGCCAAAGCATCATACATACTACATAAGAACAATCAACCCCATACATTTCATTGAACAAGTAATTAAAGCGTATGTGTGTTTGTGTTAAATTTTTTTTTAAAAATAAATAAATGAATACAACGGTAAGCGTGCATGTGTGTATGTTAAAAAAAATATTAAAAATAAATAATTAAAACAGTAAGCGTGTGTGTGTGTGTGTGTGAAATCCGTATCAAATGTAAAAACAATTACTAAAATATCAAAAGACCAAAAATAATAATTTGAAAATCTGTACAATTATTTATCAGTCTGAGGTCCCACTGGTTGTCCTCACTTCATGTCTCTCTCTGTGCGCTCTGTTGACTTTCTTTGTCAGCAGTTTTATAAAGTGGCCCAAAAAACAATTTTTGCGGGGTTTTTTTCACCTGCTAATCAGTTTTCACAGCAGCAGGTGAGCCTCGTGTTAAGGAGGCTTGTTGTTAATGGCAGAGCCTATCCATACTATCGAGACCAACGCGCTACTGAATGACATCGGTACCAACAGGTGTGTTCACTGTTGCTCCACCTCTCACTGTGTGTCTCCCTGTAAAGCGCTAAAATGGGCTGCCAAATATACATTGGTCACCGTTAATATACCTGGGCCCAAGTAAAGTCTGTAGGGAAACAGATTTTGGTCTTACTGGTATTACACAGCTTTGTGTCTTGTCCCTCTGTGTGTGGCTGTGACAATAGTCGGTGTCTGTCTGTGCCGCTGTGCACATGAGTGTAGATATGTCTGGCACAAAATCGGATATGTGAGACATATCAGCCTGGTCTCTGAAAACTGGCTGAAGCCAGTCACCGCCTGATCGATCAGTGCATCTCTTTTTAAGGCATATCGTTTGCTGGTAGAGGTAGTGTTTGCATGTTGGTATACTTCTCTTGATTTGTTGGTAAGCAGCCAAGATTGAGCTACCTCCTTCTGAGATTGTGGGCATGGTTAGGCTCCTCATGTCTCTGCATGTTGACTTTTATCTGGAGGATTGTTGTTGAGGCTTTGTTACTTTGGGGAAATGGGAAGATATTTATAGCTTGGCTGTGTGGTATGTGGAGCTTGCAAGCTCAAACTGTGTGTATGAGGTTTCATTTTTATATATGTTCTGTTTGTGTATGCGCAGGCCCATTAACAGTAGATATGGCTCTGTTTCCCTTTCTCTAATAACATGTTATTTTCTATATATATATATATATATATATATATATATATATATATATATATATAATTTTTATTTTTCTTATTCAACCAGGGGAACCCACTGAAATAAGATCTCTTTTTCAAGGGAGACCTGACCAAGAAAACTGCCGCAACGTAATATTCACACACCTGCGACCCACACACACCAGCTGTCTCTTACATGCGTTAAAATGTTTCTACATTACTAAGATTGTAAAGACAGAAAAGCGGTAGGAAAGTCTTACAGCTGGATTCCTCTGCCGTTGTTGCCGGGGTCATCTGCTGCATTGGCTGCAGTGGTCTGTGTGACTGTGGGACCAGAGGGGACTGTAAGCGTCAATAGCTGACCCCGGCATTTGGCTCACCAGCTTCCGCCAGCGGCACTTGTGGAGATCCTCAACTCCAAAAAACTTTAATCACATTTTCATAAAACTGCCAATATTTGAAATCTTCTCACCAAAAAAACTTGGAAACTCAGGTATATTTAGTGATGAAATAGCAAACGAAAATTGTAAAATATAAAACACTGGCCCACGTCTACGTGCGTAAAGATGGTGCAGTAAATAGTGACAATTCTTTCTGACCAATCAGTAGTCCGCTGTTTTCACATCAGCTGTTGGTATCGCCTGAGCTCACTTTGAACCTCGACGGAGGTGATAAAAAAGTCAGAGATACAACTTTTCCCCAATGGAAAACCAAAAAAAGGTGAGTCGAGCTGGTACCATGTTGTACACAGAGAAAAAAGGGCTGTTAGAGTCTTTTGTAAGTTGTTCCATGTTGAAGGTGCACAATGTGTGAAGACAGTACTTCCGAACTTGGAGACAACCCTGGGAACTTTAAAAGCAGTAGCCTGCTTGACTGTGTTTGGTAACTACTGTCCACAAAGTTAAGGAGGGATGTAACTGGGTAGTTTGCCCAGGATTGGCTTGCAGATAAAAACACTAAAAGGAACAGTCTCTGTGTAGACAGTGAAAACATTCCAGCATTTTATATAACCTATAATGATGAGTGGACAATCTTGCTTTTAAGATAAAGCGCAACCCTGCACAGTAGTGTTTATTTAGTAGAGAAGATGCTGCATGCATCAAATCCCCATAGTCCACCACTGTGGCTTGAACCAGGTTCTTCCTAGCTTCAGAAGGAAAACAGCTATTACGAAAATTAAAACCTAGTTTTGGTTATCTATGTTAATATCGAAAGATATCATCGTGTTTCAGGGCTCACCTGAGTTCTAGTGGGGTAGGAAGGTACTATGAGCTCGATAAGGTGGTGCCTGACCATTGAGGCCCCGATCAGACAGAAAGCGTTTTGTAGGTCTGAAAACCTGAGGTGCCTTTTTGGTTGAATTTAAAAAAGGGCAGTGTGCTGCATTTTTTTTTTTTATGTTGCTAGGCAACCACCAAATCAGCTGGCCTGTCAGTCTAATTAAAGATTATAGCGCCAGCGATCTGTAATCTTTGGTTTGCTGTTAAGTAATAGGCCTAACTGTCATATTAGCAGAAACTTGATCATAACTCACAGGTCTGTGTCTTTTGTTGGGCGCTTTTCTGCTCAGAGTTGAAATTTTTTCGAGCGCTGCTTCGAAAACACAAGCCACAGCAGGCGCCCAAAACGCAAGGCGCCCACGGCTCATAAACAGCTCGCAAATCTCTCACTGCCGATAGAAAACAACTTAGAAAATGCGCCTCTCACTACAAAGAACGGTTTCTGTCTGATCCGGGTACTAAGGGCTTTGTAGGTGAGCAGAAGGATTTTAAATTCTATTCTGGACTTCATATGGAGCCAGTGCAGAGAAGCTAATACAGGAGAAATATGATCTCTTTTCCTGGTTCTTGTCAGTACACATGTTGCAACATTCTGGATCAGCTTGAGATTCTTAAGGGACTTATTTAGGCAGCCTGATAATAAAAATTGCAGTAATCCAGCCTAGAAGTAACAGCTGAGAAGGAAAGATTAAATGCCAAATACTCTGTGGCTCTAGTTTCTCAATATGAGGAATTGCTGCTTTTCTCTGTTCCAGCGGCTCGGCCACTAATCAGAAAGTCAGTGGTTCAATCTGCGGCTCCTCCAGTCTGCATGTCAAAGTGTCCTTTGGCAAGATACTGTAGCCCAAATTGCTCCTGATGGTGTGTGTGTGTGTGTGTGTGTGTGTGTGTGTGTGTGTGTGTGTGTGTGTGTGTGTGTGTGTGTGTGTTTTTCTATATCTGAGACACATTGCTTCTGTAAATAACATCATAGAGTACGGTCTAGACCTGCTCTTTTATCAAAAACACTGTGAGATAACTGTTGTTGTGATTTGGCGCTATCTTAAATAAAACTGAATTGAATTGCATGGTGTAGCTACTGTCATCTGTACGAATGTGTGTGTGACTGTGAGACAGTGTAAAGTGCTTTAAGTGGTCGGAAGACTAGAAAGGCACTTTATAAGTGCAGTCCATTTACCATTTACTCTCAACTCAGGTATGCCATAATGGCTTGTGTCAGTAGCCCAGTACAATCATGTTAAACATTTATGGAAACAATTATTATACATTATAGAAAGAAATCATTTATTAAGTCTTCAAATCATTAATACTGGCGACGATGATAATTGTATTTAGGTCAGCCAGAATATGAAAAGCTTGTTCCACGTGTTGTTGCAGGAGGAGGATGCTATGACTCTGGGCCTGTCGACTGGCCATGCTCTGGTGAAGCTCCGGGACCAGCTCAGCAGCCTGCTGGAGCAGCACCAAAGGGCCACACGCAGACGAACCTCTGCACAGGTACGTATAAACATTTAGACATTAATTATTGTAATCCTATCCTAAACCCAAATGAGCAAAATTAGTGTTGAGATCATTCCATCCTTGTGAGGATGTTTGGTCCTTATAAACATCCACTAATAGCAAACAGTCCCTTAAATAAATCTCTCATATGTTAAATGTGTTTTCTTATGCCTTTTTTTTCTTAGGAACAGTGGGTGAATAACTTCCTTTACCATGCCAGCCGTCATTCCTGTCTCCATTGGCCGGGAGCTGCCCTCACTCTACTGGTGGTGCTGGGACTCCTCTGCTGCCACGGCAGCCAGCCAAAGGGCAGGTAGGTGCCGTCCTGCTGAACCGTCCTGTTCTGGAACATCTGTGATACTGTACATGTACCATCAACACCAGTGTTGTAGATATTTGTGCAGTCATTTATTATTTTTAAATTTCATGGTGTCTGAAGAAGCTACTCTATAACATGTATACAGGTATAGAACCATTGTTTTGAAAGTAAATTCTTTTTAGAGGAAACTCGGCTTAGAGAAGGCTTAATGTTAAAATCATAAACTGAATGAAATGCTATATTTTAAATTCTGAGAACAAGCTAAGGCTGCTCATGTACTTGTCCACTTAACTTCATTATTTTCCTGAAAAATAACCAAAATGTTCAAGATAAACAGACGTGAGAAATTGTAATTTATCACCAGCAACACAAACACCAGCTGTCGTTGTTCTTGCTGTGTGCCAAGGCGATCTTATGCATGGTCGGACTGTTCTCCTTTCACCATTTGATTAAATAAGTATGCGCTACTAACTGACAAACACTGATTGGCCAATTAAAACATTCATTTGGTTTGAATTTGGATTTATCTGCTATAATTGTAGAAGTGATGGTTTCTCAGAGGTAGAGATGAAACCATATGGAAAATTTCAGATCATGATTATAGTGACCAAAATGATCACTGTTATCAGTATTATCACGGTATTGTAAAAATGTGCCGAAAAAGATTAAAATGTACTGATACACACATTAAAACCATTTCAACAAGTTTTGTCTTGAAAACCACAAATAAAATTAACATTTTCTTTGCATAAACATTAAAATAACAGCCAAGACCTTATGTAAACATATGAAAACTATCTAAGTGTGCATTATCTTTAAAGATTTTATATTATTTTCTATCATGTTGAGCCCAATAGCTCACATAAATACAGAGGAGTCTGCAGAGTTTCTCTTGTACAACTAATTTGACAGTTGCGGGATTTTAAATGAACAAGATTGGTTGGGAGACTAAACTACGTATCGTGCAGTGGGTGAGTCTGCATACAGCAGCAGAACAACATGTAGTTTTTACAAGAGCAGCAATACTGAGAGCTTCAGTTTACAAGCTGTAAGCAAGTCGGACAGACAAACCAAAGCTAAAAATTAAAGTTAACTCACCCTGCGTTCACTATTGGGACATTTCCTTCAACCCTCAGAACTCCTTTAAAAACCAAAATATGACCAGACTTCAGACCCTTTTTAATTGAGCAACACTAATTGAGAAATATGTTTAATTGTGCTGGATCCTGATTTTCTATTTAATTTCCCACAAATGGGTCTGCTGTTCTCCTTTTCACCTTTGCAGTTCTGGTATAGAGCTGGTGAACGCTGCAGCCCTTCTTCTCCTCTTCCTGCTGAACCTGCTGCTGGTCGGACGTCAGGAGAGGCTGAGGAGGAGTGAGATGGTCCGGCGCCTCAAGGGCATCATCACACAGCTCAGTGGTGAGTCACCACCACTGCAAATAAATATCTGTTGTGTTTTTCTTCCTCACTTACCTTTTCTCAACTCATTCATGGTAAAATCCACAATGTAATTTGCCCTTGCTGGTCAGTGCAAAAATTTTGTGAAGTCAAGTGTCTGTCATTAGGAAACACAATTACTGTGCTGTTTGTTACATACAGTTGATTTAATATTATTAATATCAGTGCAGTGCCTATCACATCTGTTTGCATGACTCCTATGTCAGATCTGTCCTTCTCTGTGGCTGCCCACAGCTACAATTGTCCTGTCTTTGCAACTGCAACCTCCACTTCCGTTATCTTCATCTACACTAAAATAACTTAACGGGGAAAAGAGCATAAATGTGGAACAGTGAACACTGAACAGTTCAAGGAGGGCTCCACATTTTTCCATAAACATATTTCTCATCGACGGGCTCTGAGAGGAACTGAATCAAGTAAAACTTATAATTAAATGCCTTCCACTGTCACTGTATTCATACTTGTCTCCCTCCGCTCTTCCTCTGTCTATCTGCGTCCTCACTGTCTTTGCCTGTCACTCCAGACTATATGTCAGGGTGTGTGGGTGAAGTGCGGTGGTCTCCGTCTCTGTACCCTGATCTGTACACACCCGCGTCCCAATCGTGGTCCCTTCACTGGACGTACCGCGACTCCCAGTTGGTTAACCTGCCTGTCAGTCTGCTGGTGGAAGGAGACGTCATCGCTCTGAGACCTGGCCAAGAGGCATTTGCATCCCTCAGAGGCATTAAGGTCAGTGTGTGTGAGTGTGTGTGTGTATGTATGTATGTATGTATGTATGTATGTATGTATGTATGTGTGTATATATATATATAATATACAAACATACATACAATTGCCATTTTGTTTGCATAAAAAATAAAATAACAGCAAATACCTTTTGTAAACATATGAAAATCATCTAAGTGTGCATTAACAAGATTTTATATTATATAGGTAATACAATGACCCCGTGGACAATTACATGAAAACAAAAGTCTTTAGAAGAAAGTGACAGTAACTGCAATGAGTCTGTAGCGTTTCTAGATCTGCTGGTTGGTTGAACAGCGTAACGTGTTGTCATGCGCAGTGGACCAATAGACTCTGCCGACACACGACGCACACAGCAGCAGAACAACGTGTAGCAGAGCAGCAACACTGAGAGCTTCAGGTTACACGCTGTTAGCAAGTCAGAGAGACAAACCAAAGCTAAAAGTAAACTCACCCTGCGTTCACTATTTGCGTTTTCTGCGTTTCCCTCAGCTCTTTCATAAAAACTAAAATATGACCGGACTTCAGAGTGACTGAAAAATCTCCAGCAGCGCCGTCTTCCGCTGTGTTGTTAGGTTGTCATCGACCCAAACAAACCCACGTTGCATTCTGCGCATGCGCGCCTGCTTCTGGGAGACGCTGGACAGTGTTTGCCCTGAGATTATAACAGCGTGGTTAACCGTACCCGGTTACCATGGTAATTAAAATGTGTACGGTAATAATAACCGTCTGGAATTTTACCATGGTTTACCGTTAAACCGGTACTCGTTTCATCCCTAATATACACAGTATGTGTAGGTGCACAATTGTTTTGGAAGGATAATTTGGTGCAGACACAGTTCTGTATCGGATTAACTGAATTTGATTCCACCACAGCTTCTCTCCTCCTCAACTCCTCTGGCATAATGTCATCAAACAAATACACCTCTGGTCATATTAATACACATCATTTGCTTAAATACTGTTATTCAGTATCATTATTATGACTTTTTTGAATAAACATAATTCAACTAAGTCATTCATTAAAATCTCGGATGAAGATTTTTTTCTGTCTGTAAATGTTCTGGCATGTATACTGAGTTGAATTTTGATTTATAAAATATAAATCCTGGAAATAAAAGAGCCAAAAATCACTACTCTTAGGTTCTTTGGTTAGTAACTGCAATACTGTGCAATACTAAGTCTCCGAGTTTTTATATTTATACCAGAACTGATATTGGTACAAAAAGCAAATATTTTGTTACTCGTCCGTAAACACTCACAACCACACACAACCACAGCTGACTTCACAGCGGCCATACTGGTGGGTAGAAAACATGCTGTTCTTTGTCCTGCAAGCACGTGGATGTGTTAATACTGGCTGCTGAGGTAAAGAGTTACACATGAGATTTGAGTCTTGTCGAATAAGATTTCCTGTTAACCAGACAGACGCATGTTGTGAAACAAAATAACTGCACAAACAGAAAAGAAGCCCCAAACCCAGAGTAAAAAGTCCATTATATTCCTTACAATAAACATCACAAAAATGTAATATGGATGTCAGCAATTAAACATGCTATGAGGACTACAAAAAGTACATTAGAGTGGACTACACTGGACTACGGGGAGAACATGCAAACTCCACACAGAAAGGCCAGGACTGGGGTTCGAACCCACGACATGTGAGGCGACTGCACCACCGTGCCGCCGCTGTTATAACGTTAAGGTTTTTTGCCCTACCGGGCAAGTGGGTCAGAAATCTGCTTGCCTAAAGCAACATTTTTACTTGCCCCCGTTATTGTATAACAACAAGACTTAAGGTAATTGTGTTTAATCTTTATAAATAATAAAGTAAAGTAATCAGAACTAGGACAACTAGGACAGTCATAGATGCGAAACAACATTCTTGCATATCGAAAATGGTTAAACACCCCCCCCCCCCCCCCCCCCCCCGATTATTATTATTATTATTAATATGATAAATTATCATAAACTTTTAGAATTTCTAAATTGGGATGGGTATCGTAAGGATCTTATTGAAACACTCTTATTGGTGTTTGGTTCTTTTATAATTTTTCACACTTAATATTGGCTCAATAATATCTCACTGGAAGCAAATCTAAAATGTTAATATAAACCATATTCCTGACATAAAATACTGAGTAAATTTTACAAAGAATGAAGAACACAGATCAGTCGGTTTCAGTCCTTCCTCCCGTCCTCCTCTTCCTCCCTCTGCTGCTGCTGGTAGAGAGTGGTGGGGCTGGTTTGTCTTAGCCAGCAGATAAGTTTACAAGAATGTGCCAAATTTTGAGGTACATGGAAAACTAAGCTAGACCCAAAGACTACATACAGACTGCTTTGGTTTGAGCTAGTTTGTAACAATTCATTGTTAGCCGAGCTAGCATGCTGTGCTTGTCCGAAACACAACAGTAGATTAGAATATCGCTTTCGACAGGCCTACAGGTGCATGTCTGTATGTGGAGGCGCTCAGACACACAGAACACATTTACTTGGCCTGGGATATCTGGCAGTGCTGTGGCTGTGGCTCAGGAGGTAGAGCGGGTTGGCCGTTAATCGGAAGGTCGGAGGTTCAATCCCTGGCTCCCCCTGGTTGCGTGTCGAAGTGTCCTTGGGCAAGATACTGAACACCGAATTGCCCCTGGCGGCTATTCCGCCAGTGTATGAGTGAGACTAGAAAGGACGCATTTACATTAATAACTTCGTTGTTTATGGTCCTGCATTTATTCAAGTGCTTGGTGTTGGATGGTGACATCTGTGCAGGACTTGAAAAAGCAGGGCCTTCAGATAAAATCACTGTGAATCTGTGTGAAAACTTGGCTTGAATGCTACGCGACACAGTGGGCTGCTGTATGTCATGTCTGTCATGACGTGAGTTTCTCCTAACTAGTGTTGGGGTAGTTACTCAAAAAAGGTAATGGATTAAACATTACTACTTGACTTTTTTTAACTTTTTTTCTTACTTTACTAGACTACTCACTGCTGAAAGTAACTAGTTACACTACTAGTTACATTACTTTTGGATTACTGCGTAACATAAGCTGTGATGCACAATAACAATAAAGTTACACCTCATATATGCCCAGATCAACACAAATGTAATGAGAACATACATAGGATCTCTCTTTTATGCTCTTTAATTCTACAAAGTTGTGAACATCAGCCCAACATTTGGCAAGAGAAGAACAAGGCTAGAGTACAGTACTATAATGCTTAAAACACATTTGGACATTTCATTGGAAACATTTGTTTCTTTTCTCTGTGAGATGGAAGAATTTAGAAAGTTGCGTGGCGCTGTGGAGAGCCCCCAGCTGCAGTAGTGCATGGATCTTGCGTAATAAGTGATTGGGGGGGTTGGCGGACCAGGGACAGAAGATCGCAGAGCGAGCGGCATTCTGCGGACGGTTGGTGATCATTCCCTCTGGCTGGCTGAAGTCTGACGCTCCACATGATCCATGATGTTAGAGAAATATTGAGATTAATGTCAATAAAGCATGCTGTCAATATTTTAGAGCCCCCCAGAATTTATCACAAATTATGCTTTTAGGGGAGCTGATGTTTTATTAAGGGGTGCTAAACTCCCCCTGGCTCCCCCGCAGTTCGCAGCCTGGGCAGGAGTCTCTCAAATCGTTCTTCAGACAAGCTGTTCCTCCTCTGAGTCAGCAAAGACTGCCCAGGCTAAAGAGCCTCGCCGCAGGTGCACTAGAGGGTATCGCTGTCCTTTCATCAAACAATATGAAGTAATACCTCCACCACTCGAAAGACGTCTTTGGCAGCTCGGAAAAGTGTTAGGCAAACACGCACGAAAAGGGACGTTTGATTTATTTTTCACTCCTCCAGTTATGCGGATAGTTCAAGAACCAGTTCACAAGTAACGTGATGATTTTGATATTAGTAACTGTCATGTGATTACTGAAGTTTTCAACAGTAATGCGTTACATTACTGCATTACAGACAAAAGTAATCGGATTACAGTAATGCAACCCAACACGTCTCTTAACACATACTTTAATTAGACTACAGATCAGAACAGCACCAGAGGTATAAACAGTGAGTCCCTCAGAACAGTAAAGTCAGGTTCTGGTGTCAACAGCGTTTGCACGATAAGACTGTTCATTGTGCAGAACGGCTCATTAAAACTTATTTTTGCTTAATCTATTTTTCTGTCTCAGGATGATGAGCACATTGTGTTGGAGCCAGGAGATTTATTCCCCCCATTTTCCCCTCCTCCTTCCCCACGGGCCAATGAGAAGAGAGGGCCTCAGAGCCCCCAGCAGCACCGTCTCTTCAGAGTGGTCCGGACTCCAGTACTGGACATGGTCAGGTAGGGAACTTGCTCATGTCGGCCCTGGGTGTTGAGAAATGTTTTGTGTGGTTTTTCTGGGTATGTAGTTATTCATGAGCGCCAAATCAATTTTGGGCAAAAATGTTTTCCCTTCTTTTTCTGCATTTCTGCCTTAAGCCTTTAAGAAATCTCTGCATATATTTACATTCATCAGCTCTAAGACCGGGGATGGTGTGTTGATGGATTATTATTATATTCTTACAGGTAGAGAATACTACCAATACCATGAACAGAAAACATGTTTCGTCTCTAGTTAAATTACAAGAGTTAATTCTCTCAATAGCAACACCGAGATGTTATCGGCTCTTTATGAGGAAGAATATATAATAAAAATAATTTTTATGTCCCTTGTGTTTTCTTTTTTATAAATAGGAACACGTTGGAGATGGCATTAGCTCGACCAGTCACGGTGCTCGATAACGAGAGGTTTACAGTGCAGTCGGTTATCACCAAGCTAGTTTGTCCTGTCGTGCTGGTGAGCAGTTAACATGAAGTTTTTTTTAAATTGTTGCTGCAATGTATTTGGAGTCACTTGTTTTCTACCTGATGTAATGTGTGCCACCTTATCTCTCCATTTAGGTGGCATTCCTGCTCGTGAACACTGTCCGCTTTTGTTGTGATGCACCCAGCCTCACCCCCAGCCGCTACCATTTCTTTCAGCTTCAGGTACAATCATTCAAAACTATAAATGTGTAGCTCACAAAAACTGGAGTGTATGCGCTATTTTGCCATCAATTTCCCTTATTTACATTAGTAATGTAACAGTCAACCCCCGTATATCTGAATTCTAATCAGTTGTACAACATTTCCATTGTAGTACACTTTTTAAAATGATGTGGTAGATGTAAACATGTGAAATTGTATTTGCAGTTGATGGGTGTTCTGCCCATCTTGCCCTTGCTCTTCCCCGTCATGTGGGTGCTGCTGAACGCCTTCGGAGAGGCCAGGGTCCTTGCTGAGTTCAGCCGCGCATCACCAGCTGGTCTGGTGAGGCACACGCACATAGAAATGCACATAGACTTAACGTTGTGCACTGACAGGAAAGACAGCTTTAGTTACTAACAAGAAGGATTGTGTTGCTGTGTTAACTAATCCACACACACACACTGTAGGGTTAGACTGATATCTGGGTTTGATTCCAATGAAAAGGTCACCAACAGTGGAGTACTCCTACCTGTGATATGCTATTAAACAGTGTGATAATTCATTGCATGTTAAACATTTCTAAATGTTACAGTGTTGTACAGGTGGCCTGCAGAAATGATCTACATTATATGTCCACTGGCTGTGTTCTAGCAGCATCAAGGCTCAGACTGAGCTCTGTATTTAGAGAGGAGGACTTAACTTTGCCTGCTCTGTTTTCTAGCTTTTTGTAATAGCCCCCTCCCATCCTCCTTGATGTGCAGTGGACAACAGGACTGATATACATATATATATAAACTAGGGGTGGGAATCTCTAGGCACCTCATGATGTGATTATAAAACAATTATCGGTGCATCTTGATTCATCTTTTTTTTTTCTAGTATTTCTGAACAATTACCAAGCATTTCATTTGCACGTTAAAATCCAAAAGAAACATCTCCTCATTAGCTTAAAAGTTTGCATCCCTAATTTATTTTACTAACCTCCTAACCACTGTCCTTTCTTTAACAGCCAGAAGTGTACACCAGTATAGTCTAAGTCTGACAACTTACTGTTCCTCTGCTAACTTTCACTGTCACTTTCTGCCTAATATATAATTCTTCCCAATATAAACCATATTGAGCCCCCACTCACATTTGTAGTCCAAACTGAGAAAACCCCGATGACATCATCTGGGTCATTTTCTCAGACTTGAGAAAGCTCCTCCAGAACCTCAGAAGGAATTATATGTTCCATGTTTATGTTTTCACTGGCTGAGCAATACTCCTCATGATGATTAAAATGATGAGGGTGCCTTATTTAAATTTGATGTTTACTTTAATTTGTCCAATCACTTTTGATCCCCCCCAAATCAGGGGCTATATTTAATGGGCTACAGTTCCTACACAGTTTAGTCAGTGTAAATGTGAGTGCTGTCTTGACTCACCAAGGCAAGCAGTCTTGGCCACAGATGCCCAATACCATTCCAGTGTTTATGTGCTAATCTTCCTGTCATTCAAATTCTTTGGGCTTGAGTACAGAAAAAAAATATTTTTTGTTGTTGTCTAGATGTTTACTGACTGCACTATATGCTGTTTCATAGGTTTTTCCCTGCTGGATAGCTTTAATTCAGAAATATTGATGGTGATGTTAAAACCCAAAATCAGTCTAACCCTAACACACACACTCACATGCACACACATAGACACAGAGGAGATGCAGTGAGGGCCTCTCTCTGTGTTTTAACTAGACTCTTCTCTTGCCCCAGCTTGCTAAGTTCTCTGAGGACACGCTAAGCAGCTACACCGAAGTGGTTTCCTCCCAGGTATCACCTCTCACTGTCTCGCTCCCCCACCTCCCCTCCTCCACTCTTGGCTACCAGCTCCACCTGAACCCGCCTGTCTTGACTTGCTCGCTGTCCTCGCACTTTGCAACTCCCTTTGTGGAACCCACTTAGACAGCTCTTGCTTACCCCCCCCCCCCCCCAACCATTACCTCTTTGATTTCTTCACCATGGAAATCTTAATGGACATCCACCACTATGATTCTCCATGTGTTCATTTGTCCTATTTCTTTAGCTTTAATATGCTTTCTATTTATGTTTTTTTTAAATTAAGCTTTGACTCTTTTGTTTTGGTCACTCTTCATCTGTGGATTATTATTCAACACGTATTGACCAAGCACCTCCGGATGTTTATACCTCTAGACATCTTTGAGATGTTATCTCAACAGTCAGTCCTGTCTCTTTAAGATCATTTTCTCATGGACACAGCATCTGTTCCCACGACCTCTCATAGTTCCTGCGCAAACCCAGTCATTGTCCTAAATTGTCGCTGGGCTGTAGTACTCAAAGGAAAACAAAGCAAGTCTGCAGTCATCAGTATTACACCACCGATCTGTCTTTCTCAAACCATCAGTGTTTTGGCTTTGGCTTTGCCCCAGGTGAATACATAGCTAGTGTTGACTATAGGGAAGAGGTGGTCCTGAGAGAGACTTTGGCCCGGTCCCAATGTCCCCCCTAAACCCTAAGCCACGAACCCTCACAGACTTTACTGACGTCTCTTGGAAAGTGAGTTTGTGCAAGAGGCTGTGAGGGCTCAAAATGGTGTAAACAGGAACGGGACAGCCCTTTGCCACTTTATCACGTTACCTTGACAACACTGAAACACGTTGCACACTTTTTATTTCATGTTTTTGCCTTAATTTTAAGTCCTGCAGGCCTGTCCTACAGAGTGGAGGAGAGGTAGCCTAAATGTCAATATATATTTGTAATTAATCAATACACTATTGTTGGTCAAATCGCATCATCAAGCAAAAACTAACATAAATAGTTGAATAAACTAAGTGTGTAATAAGGTGATTGCATTCCTCTTACTTAATGTGTTCTATGCAGCATCTTAAGTTAAGAAAACTTTGAACCATTTTGACATCTGCATGGTGTCAATGCTTGTTTGTTTACGGTTTTCTTCTTCTCTTAATACGCAGTTTAATTTGCCGTGATATTTCTCTCGCTTGGTAACCCCATACAGTCTATGGGCAACCTGGTGTTTTACGTCATACCGCTATGAACTGTGGGCAATTCCCTCAGCCAAAGTCTGCAGAAATGCGGACTTACAAAAAGGGTCTATAAAGGGATTAAATTGTCCGCGAGAGAGCCCTCGCGCACTAGACGATTTGACAGTGGGACGGCCCTAAGGCCTCACGGACTTCCCGGGAACGCGCCTCAAAGTCTGTGAGTCTGTGAGGGGGGGACATTGGGATTGGGCCTTTCACTTGAGTCTGTGCCTGACCTTCCACCTCTGCTTGTCTGCTACACTGCATGACTGCCCCTACATGGCCCTGTGCTGGTAATTCTCAAGGGTTTCCTCTCCTTGTGTCCTTTCTTTATCTCAGTTAGAAACACAGTGGAAATATTTCTGACTAGGTCCCATAATCAAATGCTGATTAAAACCTTTGACCCATCAATTACATCACAGATCAACTGGCAGATCAACGCTGACCATTTAAGATGCTAGTATTTATCATTACCTATTTGTTCCTGCTAGACTGTAACTGATGCTTTTTATTTGTGACTGTTGTGATACTACTCATGGTTGTAGAGAGCATTTTCCCCTCTGTCTGGATGGTTAGTTTAACTTAATTACTTGAAGATGATTTCCAGTCATTTCAAATGAATTAATGAAAACTTGACTGGTTGAGCTGTGGAACTGTGTGAAATTCCTGTGTGATTTACATAAATGATTTAATCTGGTCTTCTTTATCTCATGTGTGAACATTAGGGATGTAATTGAGTATAAATACTTTTTTGGGTATTAACAGATGTGCTAATATATGTGCAGTAATAATGTTTTCTTCCCCTACTGACAAAATTTGCCAGTGTAGCCTGACTGATACAGGACGTCTAAGACCCCAATACTGGTCTTTCGTCTTTTTTAATTGTCATTTATTGGCTGTTCTAAAAAGATGTATTCTTACATATCCTTGATGGAGCAATTTAGAGTGTGATATGAGTTAATTGCAGGTAAATCTAACTACAGATCTAGTCTCATAATAGTCAGATTCGGGCATTTTTCCTTGTCAAATTAATCAAGGTGATTGCTGTCTCTATAGCCATGTTTACTGTGCAAACAGGAGTTATTGGACTCAGATACTACTAGCTTCATGTTGCACCCCTAATGTCCATGTTCCATTAGTTTACCAGCCCTCGGCCAGAAAGTTCACTTTGGATGCTGCCTGATAAAGAGAGGAGGCAAGGAAAGGCAAGTTGTGATTTGTTTTTGTTTTGTCCCTTGCTGAACCATGGATTCCATCCAAAAGAATGAAAATCTGCATTATTGTGTTTTGGACCACTCAGAAAATGCTGCAGCTTGCACTACTAGGCTTCACCTCCTCGCCTTGTGCCACTAGCACTGTAGTTTAGAAGCGCTGTCTTTATTTCCTTCTGTGTAGCTCAACCACATAGAGCTGATTAGGATTTAGGTCTTTGTTTTCTAGCTGGTTTGGGACTTTTAGGCTGAGCTGTTAACTCAGCTTGGTTCTTCCTTGTTAGTGAAAGCTAGTTTTTAAAGTTGTCTGTTTTAATTGCTGACATCAAATATATTACTCATATACGTGATTTGTATGAATTGACACACATTCCCGTCCTCTAGTATGTAGTAGAAAGCACTTGTCTTAACTTCATTTTACGTGTGCATGTGTGTTTGTGTGTATATTCATGTTTGCAGGAGATGCTGCGTTGTGTGTGGAGGCACCTGGTTGACGTCCTGAAGGGAGAGTCTCAGACACTCTGTTACACTTCAAGCCTTTTACATACTCTGGGATCTGTCACTGTGAGTAATATAGGGCTAAATGATTTGGGGAAGGATCTAATTGCAATTTCAATTGTGATTATTTTCTGTAAATTTAACTCAGAGCTACATTGATGGTCAACATAGGACATTAAAAACTTAAGCTTGTACTGGGTATAATGCCAAAAGGAGGTTATAACATAATCTGAGTCAGGTATTTAGAGAAACTTTAACTTGTAATTAACTGACTGTAACTGGATTTCTACAGAAAGAAAAGTAAAGGTTTTGATGTCTGACTGATGACCCACAGTTGTTCTGTTGACAGCTCTACACTTAGATTCCAGCTAACTTTAGCGTCACAGAAAGACGGGACAGATTGCCTCACAGTCCCTAATTCTGCCGGTCCCTATTCAGAGCGTTTAATGTTGCTCCTCTTTAAAGGTCATTTCACCCAAATGAGAAAGGAAACAAATTTATTTTCTTATTTACCCCAAGTGGCTTATAGAAATGCAGTTAGTTGTGAAATATCTGTCTCTGATATTTCTGCCAGCCCAACACAATAGTGCAAATAGAAATGCAAATTTTCTTTTTGGTGCTTATGGTATGGAATTGACTGACTACAAAAATATTTGTCAGCTGCACTGAAAAAAAACCCACCAGTCGCTCTTTTGTTGTATTACTTAAGTAGCTGAAGGCGCATGCATGCGAGTGAGCAAATGATTTGTTTGTGTGCAGGTGCTGTGTTGTGTGGACAAGCAGGGTATCCTGTCGTGGCCTAACCCCAGTCCAGAGACCGTGCTGTTCTTCAGTGGACAGGTGGAGCCCCCTCACAACAGCCAGGATGATCTTAGAGACGACCTGTCTGTCAACTCCTACTGCCACATGGAGACAGATGAGGACAGGGAAGAGGTGTGTGTGTTTTAGCCTGACTAGCAGCCTGGCTGTAGAGATTGTTAATTTAGTTTTTAACAAATGCAGGAAGTGGTGAGGTATGAGGACTGTTATTTTTAACAGAAACTGACTGGAGTCAAATTAAATTTAGGAATTCATCACCTGATGATGCACAGTTTTGTATCCACTCCTGACTAGTTGTGACCGCTGTACAGGCCCAGGAGGCGGAGGCTCTGCTCGTCCTACCAGCAGAGTCCTCCACCCAGCTGGGAGAAGGTCCAGAGCCTAGTGAGACGTCACACGACACTCCTCGCTCGTCTGACAATCCCCGGCTCCAGCGCTCCTGCCAGCCTGCACACACTCGAATCAAACATCACTCTGGATCCAATGTAAGCTTCAGCCATGACACTGAGGGAGGGGAGGACGACCAGGGCCAGGTAAAAACTGGATCTGAAGCTTCTCAAGTGTACGTAATGTTTCATTTGCCTTAACGATTTATGTTGTGGTGTGACGCTGTTTTTCTTTTGTTTTTGTCCCCTGTGTATTCAGGACTTTGCGATGGGCTGCTTGGAGATGGAAGCCGAGGACTTTGTGTGTGACTACCACCTTGAGATGCTGAGCCTGTCGCAGGACCAGCAGAACCCAACCAGCATCCAGTTCGACGACCTCTCCTGGCAGTGCCACCTGCCCTCCCTCAAGCCTCTGGGCCTCAACATCATGCTGAACCTCTGCAACGCCAGCGTCACCCAGCAGCTCTGCCGCTTCTCCGACCACCTCTCCAACTTGGCTCTGCAGGAGAGCCACGGCACCGTGCTACCCGTCCACGTGCCCTGGGGGCTGTGCGAGCTCTCCAGGCTCATAGGTGAGCGTGGACGGTGTATTCTTGTCTTTTTTTTTTTTTTTTTTAGAGCTGCTTTAATACATAGTTTGTTTAGAGCAACCTTTTTATACCATGGCCTGGTTTGCCCCTGAGCTTGGGAAAACCTGATTTGACTGTCAGGAAGTAAGAATTTTAAATTTGTTTTCTGCTACAGCATACATATCTGCTTTATAAATCTGAAACCCAAAAGAGAGGGATCCACAGACATGGACATGTCTTTGCACCTGGACATGACAGTATTTTTGTTTGCGGAATAGGAAGAGCAATTGTAATTTATTGTGACTTTAATCAAACAGTGCTCCCTAGGTTGATGTACACATTGTAGTAGGGCTGAAACGATTTATTGATTAAATCGATAAAATCGATTAATAAAATGCTTCGACACAAATTCTTTGCATCGATGCTTCGTTTAATCCATGTAACTTTACAGCACGGTGTTTCGCAGGGACATTTATTACTGTCGCACATCGCGCTTACGCTGTGAACACGTCAGTATTATAATGTAGCCGTTTGCAAAGTGGTGGAAGAGAGAGAAAACAGCGAGGGACAAAGAAGAAAGTGTCCAAAGTATGTTATTATTTCATGCTAAAGAAAACAACTACTCTGTCTGTGTCACAGTCCGTCCACCGCAAAACGAAACTTTTGTCGCCTCGGTAACAGCACGACGGCAGCCGGTGTTCTGCCAGCAGACCACAAACAAGGTAACAGTAACAGCAACTTTAGCATTTAACTAAAATCTTGATTGATTGTTGAGTTGAAGCCAAAGTAAGCCGCAGTCCTCAGCTGAAAATGTGCACACGTGCATTTGTTGTTCTCCTTTTTGGGCCGTGAGTTGTAACCTCACAGTCATGAGTGCACCTTTTAACTCCTCTCCCTCTCTCTGTAGCTCAGACAATCCCTGCTACCTGCGTGTGCTAATCCATCCTTTCAACCAGAGTCTTTGTCTTTATCATCACCATCTTTATAATAACAAACAACAGCTGTTTCGTGTGCAGGATCGCTCATTTCCCGTTTCATATTTCACGTGTGTTTTCTTGACAAAACATGGTTTGGAGACCAGCGTCGGGTGACACAGCTGCTGTCAGCTCCTGTAGTGTGTGTGTGTCCCTGTCACCGATCAGTCGCGTAGTGTGAACACCACACGACTTCAAGACTACGTCATGACGGCAGGTTGTGTGAACTGCACGGCCATCAGAGCCTTTAATATAACTTGTATAGCACTGGGTGTGTGTGTGTGTGTGTGTGTGTGTGTTTGTAAAGTGGCTGTCTAGTAGTTGGTCTGATGTTTGCTGTATGACACAGTATGAATTTAAGAAAGGGCTAATAAATACTTATCACCTATAAACGTGCACAGCTGATCCCGTTATGGGGGGGGGGGCCGCCGCCTCCAAGCAAAAGTACTTCTTAAACGACGCATCGATGAATCGTTGGAATAATCTATCGAAGCTTCGAATACTAAAGTCATCGTTAGCTGCAGCCCTACATTGTAGCTTCCTTTCATGAGACTGACAGTAGCTGGCTAAGGATGTACATCATTTAAAAAAGTCATAAATGTCAATTCAACTTTTTGTGAAGGAAATTGCTTTTCAGTACAAGATCTGTTAGATGACAACCTTTGTCTTAAAAAAGACGGCGGCACGGTGGTGCAGTGGTTAGCGGTTTCCATCCAGATCAAAAACATGTTCAGTGCCGTTTGAGCTGGCATGGCATCTCAATCTGTAGTTGGTCCCCCGGCGCTGTACAGTGGCTTCCCGCTGCTCCCTTCAGGGGATGGGTTAAATGCAGAGGATGAATTTCGCGATATGGATGTGTATGTGACAATAAAGTACGTTCTTCTTCTTCTTGTCTTTGCTGTGCGTGTGTCAGGGTTCACTCCTGGTGCAAGGGAGCTGTTCAAACAGGAGAATCACTTGGCTCTGTACCAGCTGCCATCTGGAGAGAAGACCAAGGAGTTCACTTCCCGCCGCCTTCATTACTTCACCAAACGCCAGCCTCCCATCTCCCACCTTATTTCCCTGTTCGTACGAGACTCTTCCTCCAGTGAGTCCATACACACTTCAGTCTACCTGTTCCATCCCCACTGGTCTAATGTTCTTAAATGTATTTGTTGCCTTTTGCTTTGTAAACTGTCCTTATTTCCTTAATCAAGCCTTTGTCCAAATACCCGACTAACTGAAAGGTTTCCATGCTAATGTTATTCACTCTGGCCGACATGACCTCTGACCTTTTTGTTGTAGATAACGTCCAGATGCTGTCACATGGCTCGGCCGACCTTATCCTGGAGGCCTGCACTGACTTCTGGGATGGAACTGATATTTATCCCCTCTCAGGCTCAGACAGGTGCAGTGTCTGTCACAATGATCGTTGCACATTGCAGTAAATCTTCAGTCAAACAAAGATTTACAGTTTAATTTACTCTCACTTTAGAGTTACTCTGCAATTTTTGTTTCACCTGTTACAGAAAGAAGGTTCTGGACTTCTACCAGCGTGCCTGTCTGTCGGGTTACTGCTCAGCATTTGCGTACAAACCCATGCAAGTATCGTTGTCCAGCCAACTGAATGGGAAGTGTGTGGAGCTGGCCCCGGGGCCCTGCCTCTTCTCCGGAGTGGAACTTCCCTCCACTACCCCTATCAAACATAGCTCCTGCAGAAACAGCTGGAGCTCCGACGGTACAAGTTAGTGACAGAGGGATGTAGAGTATAGTAAAAGTAATAATCCTGTAACAGTAATTGTTCTGATTGTCCTGTATCTTTTCCCATCATGTCTACAGAGGGTATAGGTGAAGGTGTGGAGCGTGAAGACTGCGTTCAGGCCCTCAGCGGGCAGATCTTCATGGGCATGGTATCGTCTCAGTACCAGGCGAAGCTGGACACGGTCCGACTCATTGATGCCCTGGTCACTGCCTGTATCCGTTTTGTTTACTTTTCTATGGAGGACGAACTCCGCAGCAAGGTGAGCACACACAAGCTCATATCGACATTTTATAGTATCAAGTTGGTTATTTTGGCCAAAATGACCAAGGTCATCGGGACATAAAATGCGCCTCTTAGTGCAAATGCTCTCTTTTTGCCTTTCTAGTCTTTTCGACCACTAAAGCACTTTTACACTACACGAGTCTAAGTGCTCAAACGGAAACTACCATTCACACACATTCATACACCTATGGACGCCGATGGACACTGCGACATGCAGCCTGTAGGAGCCGCAGATTGAACGGCGATCATCCTATTAATGGGCAACCCACTCTACAGCTGCCCTGTAATCTGTTCTCTCTCTGTCTCCGCTGGCAGCACAGTGTTTCTTCACTTACTCGCTGCAATAAATGTGTATTTCGCAGCATGCAGTTTTTTCTAGTCCCACAGTCTGTGACACAACAAGCACCTTCTTGTTTTTGTTATTAGCACATTAATTACTAAAATAATATAATCAGGCTTGTTTTGTGTCTGTGCAGGTTTTTGCAGAGAAGATGGGTTTAGAGACAGGCTGGAACTGTCACATCTCTTTAACTCCAAATGGGGACAGTCCCTGTGATGGAGCTCCATCCAGCCCTGGTCACGGCTCCCTGCATGAAGACCTTAACCAAGGTACCAAAGCTGTGTTTGTACAAACTCACATATTATTTAGCCACGTAAATAAAATAACCTGAGACTTCTTATAGAATCAACAGCAGTCTAAGGGTACATCCCACGTCCCTTATATTTCCTCAATCCTCGCTTGAACCAGAAGTCGTTCCGGTTCCCCAATCTTGAGGAAATGAGGGAGAGAGATAGGGGGCAACACGCGGCATTTGAAATTGAACCCAGGACTCAGGCTTGTACATAGGGGGCGCAACTAGTTAATCATCTCTATTCATTGTTGGTCTAAACAACAAAAGCACCACTTTCTACATTAATTAGAAATATTTTTATTTTCATTATTTATTATGGAGACCGTTAAAGTCAGAGAGAGTGAGAGAGTCTGCCTGTCAGCAAGAAACACTTTTTACATCATTTATCATCCTTTCCATCCAGTCACATGAGGCTGATAATTCCAGAGCATCTGCTTTGATACAAGTTACATCCCTGACACAGTTCGCCTAATAAATCATTTCCAATGTTTAAAATACACCATGATCATATTCTGGGTTATTCATTAATGCATTCTCAATCAAAATATTGGTAAAGGTGCAAGTGTGGGAAACATGGATGCAATTAATAGACTTGAGTTGCACCCTAAAACATCACCAAAGCAGATAAAACTGAGATGCATAAACAGTAAAACTCCACAGCAGCTGTAGCCACAAACACGCATATCAGGAGCGACATGGCTCAGTAGGGGGTTCGCCTAGTAATCAGAAGGTTCCTGGTTCATTGTCTTTGTCCTCTGCTATCAGTGCATGAATGTGTGTGTGAATCGGTGAATGTTGGCATCAGTGTTATAAAGTGCTTTGAGGGGTCAGATACACATACAGCGCTATTTGCTTGGCAATAGAGTGGTGTTGGTGCTCATGTCTGTACAGTACAATATCAGGGAGTTTGACAGTGTTCTAGGCGGACACTGCTAAATCAGTGGTTTCCTTTTTTCTTTTTTTTTTAAACTAGTGCTTATTAATACATGGTTATTATGTGTATTTGTAAGATAGAATACTATCTTGGAGATGCTCCCCAATAAATCTAGCTATCTAGCTATCGAGCTATCGAGCTATCGAGAGTCCAGCTTCTGTGTTGTGTTAATAAGACCTCTAATGGAGCATGTTTCTTAAATCTAGCCTCAAGTGTAAGCCCGTGAAAGCTAAAAATGTGTGAGTTGTAGAGAGTATGTGTAACTTCAGATGCCTCTCTTTAAATGTAACTCAGATTCTCGGGATGAAGCAGAAGGTCCACTGCTGCCAGAGGAGGAAGCCCACTCTGACCTGGCCAGTTTCCAGCCCACAGACAGCGATGTGCCCAGCTTTCTGGAGGACTGCAACAGGGTAACAGTACCTGTTTTTTAAACCAGTGAATCTGCTGCTCAGTTACATTTATTTAGCTGATGCTTTTATCCAAACGGGCTTACAGTTAACACATTCAACCATGTGGATGTGGCCCAGAAAGGTTCTGTACAGTATGAGGAATGTATCAGTATCTGTTTTACATCCAGGACGTACATGTCCAGTATAGTTTGTTCCTGCTTTTTTTGTCTGCAAGTTTACTTTTTAAGTGGATTGTTTGTGGGTATTGCTCATAATTCGTCTTATAAAGAACTTGTCACGTCTTTTTTTCTGTTCCTGCTCTTTCTCAGGCCAAGCTACCTCGTGGTATCCACCAGGTTCGTCCTCATTTGAAGAACATTGATAATGTGCCTCTTTTGGTGCCGCTCTTCACTGACTGCACCCCTGACAGTGAGTCACCCTCCTTTATGTGTGTTTTTTTTGTACACTTTTTTGTCTTACTTTTTCAAGATGTCCTCTTTGCCCGTTGTCTTTATCTGCCACCCAAGAATGAAGATGATTCCAATGAGGAAGAGGAACGATAACCAAAATGGGCTATTTGTGCAGCGTTTGCTTTAGAGTAAAATTGACAGAAAGTTAATTTTTTCTTCACAGCCATGTGTGAGATGATGAAGATCATGCAGGAGAACAGGGAGGTTACATGCTGTCTGGGAAGCTCCGCCAATTTCCGCAACAGCCGCCTCTTTCTACAGAGTGATGTCAGGTATACACACATTAATAGTCCACCCCTAAACATTTTCTAAATTTGTAAGTGGATGTTATTGTGATGAGGGTTTGACTAGTGTTGATTTGTCATGGTAATGCATGATTTAAAGTTTTACCACAAAACCAAAGCTATCTGTTAAAACTCATGATAATATTAATATTGTTGCATTTCTTTGTGGAATACAGCTGAAAACAGATATCACTACCTCTAGTGGTATCCAGCCAAGCTGATATTTTAGGTTTATTTATTAAGATTTTGAGATGGGTCTCAGATTTCTACCTACCCAACAATAGCTAGGTTTCCATCAAATTGTCATGCGAATTTTAAGCAGACTTTTGAAATGTTGCAAAAAAAGACGAATGCGAATAAACCAGGCTACGGCAAGCGTTGTTACATCAGTAGCTGACGTTACACATGGCTTTAATAAACAAGACGTATGGGTTTCAAACCAGAAACAAAACCAGTTGCATGAACCTGATGGCCATTGATCTTAGAAAAATGGAGAAAGGTCCTCGGGAATGTGTTTCAAGCGGGCAAACTGCTACCAGCCATGTCTCCGCACGTTATGGGAATTTCCGGTGTTATGCGAGTTTTGCATGCCTCCCGAGAATTGCATGCACCTCCAAATAATGCTTTTAAACGCTATAATATCCTTTATGGGGTTCATCAATGAGGATAAATGATTCTAAGTATATAGCCATTTCTATGAACATTTAGAGTTGTTAATATTTTATTACACTCAGTAGTAGTAGCATTCATTGAGATTAAGCAAAAATATGCGGTAATAACCCTGTTTGATCAGTGTGCAGAGCAAAGGATCTGAAAAGAACCTTTAAGAGGTGAATGCATAATTCGGCAGAACAGATGATGAAGGCTACCTGCCAAGATTTGCATCCACCTCTCATCTCAGCACAAATGAGCGTCACTAGCCGCAATGTGCATGAAATTCTCACAGGTATGCAGGTACGCCGCACAACCGGGCAAGACGCCGACAGCAGAAACACCTGATCAGTTGTGAGTTACAAGTTCGCTACGTCAGAACTTATTCGGAAAAAGTGTTTCCATCTCCCATTTAGCACATTTACTCTTTTTTTTTGACAAAGGCAAAAACCACTTCAAGCGAACGTAAAAACTTTTTTGCGAAATTAAATTTTGTTTCCATCAACCTTTTCTAATGCGATACTTGAAAATGCGCATTAAAAAACGTTGATGGAAACTCGGCTAATTAACTGCGTGGCGCTTCATAATGACATTCAAAAAGTTACCAACAGCAACATCTCTTTAAAGAATCAGTGCCCCTGTTTTATAAGTGGGGGCTTTCTTGATATTTGGGAATAAAACAAACTGCTTCGTGTTCTTCATATCAGAGAAATATGATCCTGATTGGCCCGCATGTTAACTTTCAACCTCGTCCCTCCACAGCATCGCTCTGGACCCTCTGTACCCGTCACAGTGCTCGTGGGAGACGTTCGGCTATGCCACCAGAGGAGGATTCAACAGAGACGCCGAAGGCCTGTCTCCTCTGAGGCTCTCTGGACAGCTCAACAGTCTGGGCTGTTCCGTGACCTTCCACCAAGGCGAGAGCGTCAGCATGGTCAAGCTCATAGAGCAGGTTAGACACAGACAAGTCCTCACACACACTCATCAAGTCAGAGAGAGAGACGTCACATTTGTTCATTATTATGCCTTTGGGTTATGTTCCAGGCACGACACACAACCTACGGCATCCGCAAGTGCTTCCTTTTCCTGCTGCAGTGTCAACTGAGCCTGGTCATCATCCAGGTGAGAGAAGAGACCTTAGAACCTCGGAACATGTGGATGGTTATGCTGCACTAGGCTAGATTTGGATGTAAAAGAACATTTGCAGCATAGAGACATATGTGAAATTGAACAGATAAATGATCCCTGGTGTTTGTCTGCAGTTCTTAGCCTGTCTAGCTCAGCTTCCGCCTCCCATGAACATCACTGACATCCTCTGGCTTTCCTGCTTCAGCTGCCCACTGCTAAGGTACACACATGCTGCACATACTAGCAATATAGCAAGAAATACTACAGTGTTATTTTGCTGTGCCTTACAGAATTTCATACTAATGGTTTGTTTCTGTTATATTGACAGTGTGTCACTTTTGGGCAAGCCACCAGACAGCACAGTGATGACAGTTGCCACAGGGAAGAACTTAGATGCAATTCCAAGGAAGGTAGGGCTCTCTCAAGAAGCTAAATCCAGCTGTATGCTGTTGTACATCTCTTATTTGCTCAGTCTGCACTCAAAGAAAGCTGGATTTATACTTGAGGCAGTTAACATCAGTCCTGCTGTATAAAAGCACAGCCCCCTGGCAGCATTCCCCATAGGGTCCTGCACCCAGGGCCTAAAAACCTCCTCCTCCCAGTGGCCCAAAGTTCTTGTGCTAGTGGTGTAAACAAACACCAACACTCCCCCGGGACTCTGCCCTCCCACTGCGGGTAGAGTCAGCTAATAGGGCTATAACCAATTGCAGGGCCTACAGTTATCAGCAGTACCATGTGTAATAATAGATCCATGAGCAGTTGCGCGCTGCAGCAGTGATTTCCCGAGTTACAACAGAAATGGTCCGTGTTGCAACAATCCCCTGATATTTTCGTCTCAACAGCAAGGTACAGTTGAGCTTGTTTGTAGTCCAGGATACACAATTTGAATCCTGACTTGCCGCTCGCCGAGCCCGGCTCGTGCTGCGATCGGGAGCAAATCAGCAATCGATCGGCACTCGGCGATCGTTATGTGTGAACTACTCAACAACGCATCAAACGGCTCGCCAACACATCGCTGGCACATTGCAGACCCCAGCCAGATATCTGGCATGCTTAAATACCTGGATTAGTCAGCCGACTCAATATCCACACCCAGCCAATGAGAGCTTTTTTACTACAAAACAGCACAGATGATCCCTGCTGCCCGCACTTTCACCCACGTTCTTTGTCTTTTTAATTTTTATCTTTATGATGATAAACAACTCCTGTTTCTGGTGTAGCTTCACATCATTTTCCATGTCACTTTTTACTGGTCTCCAAAATTGGTTCGGCGACCAGTCGTCGGGTGACAGAGTCATTGTCAGCTGTATCTGTCAGCTGCAGATGGATCTTTTGCTACATAGATTGGAGGCTCTCATCATGTAGTCAAAGATGTGAACTTAGGGAAACTACAGCGGGTTCACAATAGAGCTGCTCAGCTAGTGTTAACAAAATGCATGGCAAACTCTTCTGGTTGACAGTTGATGAGAGGTTAAAGGTATCACTTCTAGGTTTTATAAAGAAAATGAATGCATTTAAAACCCCGGACTGTTTGTATAGGCAGTTTACACTGAGTTCTACTGTACACTAGGGCTGTAATCAACCAAAGAAAATCTTGGTCGACTAAAGTCCTGAAATCTTCGACTAAAAATCGACTAAAAATGACTTCTTTTTTTTTAAATTAGTCAGCTGTGCACTGTGCGCAGTACTTGGTAACCTTGTTGTCCGCCTAAATGAATTGTAAATAAACATTAAAAAAATAGTAGGCTATTTGCAGTTTATTAAATCGTTTTTTATCTAATTATTTTGCACTAAATGAGTCTGTCGGCTTTGACAGCAATGCGTCACATGCACCTGCGCAATATCATAGCCTACGATTTATGAAAATAGTACTATGTTGCTTGTCAACTAGTGATATCATCACAAGAATTGTTGAGGAATATGCAACATCATTTAGACAATTATTTTTGTCATGTTATAATAATAAGTTTATTAGACACTATGATCATTTCAGCAGAGTGCAGCTGAGCGCTCAGCTGAGCGGCGGCAGACACGAATAGATTAACTTAAAGTTTTTGCTCTTAATAAACACAAAAAGCACATCCACTTTAATGTTTAATTATGTGATTCCTTTAGTGTTTCCACACAGAGTGCCATATTAGCCGCGTTGTCACATACAACAGAAACTCTCTTTGCTTCTTGAATTCCAAAGGTATCAGCAACTTCAGATAGTCGCGCAGCAATGTTTAGACTCTGTGCTTTCCAGTCTCCATCAATGAAATGGGCAGTCACTGTCATATAGGACTCCATTCTAAGAGATGTCCACATATCTGTGGTCAAGCTCAGTCCCTCGCTGTGTTGTATTAACTCTGATACTTTCTCTTTGAGTCCCTCATATTTTGCGGTTAGCGCATGCGTGGTTGTGTGGCGTGCTGACACGGTGTATCCAGGTTCCAAAACTTTTAACAAGTTCTTAAAACCTTGGCCCTCCACAACAGCAATGGGCCTCATATCCTGAACAATAAAGTTAACACTTCCTTCCGTTATATTATTTTTCCGTTTGGATGATAAAGGAGGCTTAAAATCCAGCGTGCTCTGGGTGTGTCTGGGGGATGCCGTCATTATGGATGGATGCGCCTGCATTTATAAAATGATTATTACACTAAAACATTGAAATAATTCGAATTTTGATATGTTCATATAGCCTACTCAAAATACAGACAGGGCAACCTAACGCAGACAAGTTAGCTTACCGCTTTTAGATGGTACGTCATGTTTGTCGTCGAGCTGTGGAAGGCAAACTGTTGGTTGCAAATTTTGCATTGAACCTTTTTCCCGTTGTCAATTTTAACAAAGTGCTTCCACACTGTCGATGTCTTTGTTGTTGACATGTTAGAAGACGGACTATTAAACACTCTCACAGTTAATTATAGATAAATAATAGGCCTATTTAGCATCAAACCTTCTATAGCCTACTTATCTGTCTCTCTTCTCCTCCGGTGGGTTGGGCTAATCCAAAAAAGTAAAAACAAGGGGGGGTGTTCTTAAGACAGACTATTACCTGTGAAACAGGGGTGCTCTGAAAACACCCCCATTAGCAATTAGTGGTTTCCACCTGATGAAGCGCGGCAAAACTGATGAAATGAAAACTGATGAAATGAATGCGGCAAAAAATCGACCAATCAGAATTTTGGTCGAACCAGAACGTACCGACCAATTAATCGACTAATCGACTGGGACGTTACAGCCCTACTGTACACACACACACACCCCACACCTCCAAAACTCAAAACAACTCAGTGTTGTACCGATCTGTTGTTCTGTGTATTGATTGTGTATTTCTTTAAAATGTGTTGTATTGTGTACTGATACTGTAATGTGTTTTCTCTCTTGTTTTGTGTTCTGTGTGAACCCCAGGAAGAGAATCTTTTTTTTTTGCATCAGCTAATGGGGATCCTGATAAATCAAATCAAATGTCGTCTTTTTTTTGACCAGACCCAGAACTACTTTCTTGGCTGTTTCCTGTTGAAGTTTGGCCTGACAGCGTGTGCCTACCTGTTGGCCTTTGGGTTCACCCTGCAGGAGGTCTGCCTCAGAAGCACCAACTTAACCTTAGCTGACAACACCACTGTCCCCTACCTTCATTTACTCACAGCCAGGTAGGAGGAGCACTGCCTTTACAGTCACAAGGCCACCAGTTGTTGTTGTTGTTGTTGTTGTTTCAAGGTATCATCAAGGAGGACATTTATGCTGAAAATGATGGAATAAGCTCACTGAAAGTCACATCTAGTGGAGAACATTTACAGGGTGTCTGCGCTGTCTCGAAAGGTCTTAAAAGGTGATAAATCAATTTTGCGAAAATTAAGAAGTTAAAAATATTAAAAAGTCTTAATCGCCATTTAACAAGGTATTAAATTTTGAAGATTATTATTTTTTCAATGTGAAAATCCTGTTTGTCCAAAAGTTTGTTTGCTAAAAGTGTAGGTGAAAGTATTTATTTATAATGCATAGCCAAAAATACTAGACAGGCAGTGAGTAGCCACTGTGATTCCTTTCTGTCACGTTAGGCGCAGGGATCTACGAGCGCCTATTTCACTCTGAAACGCTCCAAAAAATAGATACGTGTGAACCGGAAAATGATTCACGAGTGCAACCGACCGTAATCTCCCACCCCGCCGGACTGCTGATCGTCCAAAACATAGTCGGAGTGGAGATCAGGAGTAACGGGATTAACCCGCTCTCTCTGTGGCCACAAGAAAACAAGAGCGAGATGCGCCGCCAGCAGCGGAATCAGTAATACAGAAGACGAAGGAAAATCCAAGCTGGCTATTTAGCTAAATCGCTGCTTTTTATTGAAACACATTCTACTTTTCATAAAGCCGATGCTCTTGTCAGTTTGTCACTTTTTGTGAACAGATAAATAAAAAACAACCCCAAACTGAAGCAGCTGTAATTTGAATTAATATGATACTAGTGCTAAGTTAGATACTATTATATGAAATTATATTGAATATAGTAACATAATGAATATATAAATATCAAACTTACAGTTTACTATTAAATTAACAATATACTTTTAATTTAATGTTATAATATTATACTAATACAGTCATTTAGACTAGTTCCTCCTCCAGGTTGTGCCTGTGCTACACCGCCTACACTAATTTATTCCCTCCTGCCCTATTTGAATTTTGTTGTATTGATCAAGTGGACGGTGAAAGTTATCACACATATCATTGCAGGCGAGCTCACATTATCTAGTTTAAACCAACTAAAACACAAAATTACACTGTGTTTCACATGATTTGCGGTAATGTTGCGTACATAAACGTCATAGCTTATGTAAGACAGTTGATTTTTGCTGGAAATCTGACCAGTTCTTCACATAGAAAACTGTTGGCTCATACAGGCTGTTATAGGCAACTGAGAAAATTGGTGAATGCCTCAATTTGTAGGTGGCGTTACAACCTGATGACATATAGGCAAGAAATATGTTATACATATGTTTAAATTCCTTTTAAAAACTGAAAAAATGTTTTAAAGGTGTGTGGCTGATTTAATCAGTTACAGCTCAAAGTGGCGTGGCAGTCTTAAAATATGTTTTATATGTTAAATATGTTAAAGTCTTGAAAAGGTCTTAAAAAGGTATTGAATTTAACTTCAGGATTCCTGTATATACCCTGACATAGTGGAGAAAATCCAGATGTCAGTAATCTATTTAATGAATAGGTTTTCTGTGTCCGTGCAGCTCTTCAAGCGACGCTCCTCTCTGGTTCAGTGAGCTGTCAAACGGCCTGCTGCTGACTCAGAAGGTCATGGCAGGGTTCCTCGCTTTACACACAGGTAGGAGCTCACTCTAACATACGTAGCATAAACAATGGTCAAAGTAACTCATATTGTCGTTATTGAAATCCGTCCCTCCTTCTGTCTGTCAGTGGTCATCTCCCTCAGCTATGTCCATCGCTCTCAGCCTGTGTGGAGGAAGAGTCCCTTCAGCAATACCTGGTGGTGTCTCACTGTACCTGTGGTGTAAGTGATCATCTCCTTTGGATAATCGCCGTCTTAAGTTATACTCTATTGGTCATTTGTATGCTCCACATATTTAAGAGTTCATCTGTGCTTAGATTGCTACAACTGTCTCACTTTCTTTCTCATTTCCACCTCAACTAAGGAGCTAAAACCAGGTTTTAGCATCTTCCCACTGGTTGCAAAATAGAAAAGCCCAGCTGTCTCCAGCTGCACTGTGATTCTGCACTCACAGACTAAAGCTGGATTTATACTCGACGCAAAGGGGTTAATAGCAGTCCTGCTGTAAGTAACTAACAGGTTTAGATTTATAGTTCTGTGTCAGAACTTTCCACACCTTAGCACAGTTCTGTCCCCTTTTGGTCTCACTCTCCCCCCTGTAGCTGTTCTCATCCTCACTCAGATTTGGGAATAGTTGTGTGCCTCCTTCACAGTACAAGAGGTCTGGGATTTTCCTCGCGGCACGTCTATATACTGTTTCAAGTTTGTCAGCACAGGAGATGGGGAAACGTGACTGAAATCCTCAATGATTATCATTAGGTAGCTCGTATTTTGCAGCAGCAGATGATGGAATGTAAAAGCTGCTGCAACAGGCTGCAGCTCTTTGGAGCCTGGAAGTTATTGAGCTGTGCCTTCTGAGCCCCTCTGGTTAAATGTCTTGTTAAATTAACCCTCTCTCTCCTCTCTCTTCCAGTCTGGTCAGCCAGATTGTTCAGGCCACGGTGGATTACCAGTTATGGCGTGACCAGGGCAGCCTCCTGACCTTTAACCTGGGCGACATACCCCTGCTAGCCTGGCTGTTGGTCTCTCTGTCCCCGCTGCTGGTGGTGGTGGTCAACGAAGTGGTGAAGCTACACGAAATACGGTATGAAACCAGACACAGGACTAAAACGACATAGAAAGCTGTTCTAGATGGATGAATAGTGATGGAAAAGAGGAGTACTGTAAATGGGCTGAGTCCAGTAACTCAGTGACTTGGACTTGTGGGAGATTCTGGAGCAACAGATGGCAGAAAGAAGCGTGTGAGTGTGAGAGAGGGTGAGGGTGAGGGTGAGGGTGAGAGTGAGAGTGAGGGTGAGAGCTTGTCTAGTTCCCCCGCTGTCTCTCAGGTTGTGCCATGTCTCGTCTGTCCATTTCAGGGTGCGAGTTCGCTACCAGAAGAGACAGAAGCTGCAGTTTGAAACAAAGCTGGGGATGAACTCTCCATTCTGATGTGTTAACTCTGAGGAAGTTTATGTCGTGGCAACACTGGGAACCAGTCAGTCTGTTCTGGAAACCAGGGAAGGCTGAACCCCCGTTAACACTCTGGCCCAACAGGACTGCAACAATCAGGTGGAGCAGATATCAAGCAAATGTCACGGCGTGGACTTCATGACACAAATGTTTTAGCTCTGTGTTCTTAAAACAGTTAATATTCTGTCAGTAATTTCAAGGGCAGGGAAAAGGAAAATTCCAAAGCATTATTTTCCATTGAGTAGAAAAGAGCCAAAAAAAAAACATTTTCATTGTGTGGTTTTAGTTTTAAAGGCATGAGGAATGTTTTCTGAAGAGGTTTATACTTCCTCACTATCACTTCTGTTCTCCATCTCTGAGATGGCTGTGGTGGCTGCTTTCATCTCCAGGAATGCTCCAGGTCCCAAACAATCCACTGAAAGCTTTCAGCGGATGTTTTTGTGCTCAAGTGCTTTTTAACGTCATCCAATGACACACATTGAATTGTGTCATGTCATTAGACCAGCCCAGCCTTGATTTAATTTAACATAATATCAGAAAAGGAAAAACACATAAAAAAGAACAGGTAGTCTATGGCCCCAAAGTGTTCAGTATTAAAAAAAGTCATTTTATTTTTCTTAATGACACTTTCTTTATGTCAGTCACCACCCTCTGGTGACAACGCCACATTCATTAAGAAAGTGACGCTGAAACGAACAGTGTATTGATATGATTTTTTATTGCATGATGTCTTTAATGTATTTAATATTGAACACACTGGGGCTCCAGATGTAACAAGGTCGTCATTGCTTGACATCAACACAATATGGTGTAACACTACCTCTGAAAAAATGTGACAAATTGCTTCTCTAAGCTTTCTTTCTAAACCGTTCTGTCGTTCAGCCTTTGAGCCACATTTTAATCTTCACTGTGGTAGCCAGCAAGTTCTTTGTTTTTGTTTTTTTTATTTAGTATTTTGCAACAAATGTTCTTTGTTATTCCCCACTTCTGCTAAGCTGAGGCCCGATCTGCTGTAACACAATAAGGAATGAACGATTAAGGATTGAATTGGATCTGTCATGTGTTTACACACTAAATCTACATTTCAATATACACTGTATACACATTTATCTAAATGAAGAATGTGCCAGCGTGCTATTTTGAACCCGTCCAGCAGGCTGTGCAGTGATCTTAGCAAGTGACTGGCTAACATACCAGAAAGGTGCTTCATATCATTCAGTTGCCTTTCTCCTCAGCCTGTCTTTCTGTTTCAGCTCACGACACCTTGACAGACAGGCGCTCAGGATACTGTTCATTTCAAAGTATATAAAAATGAATAGTAGCTTTCTTCTGCGCATTTCTTACAATTACCCCATATTTCGTATTTGATGTGCTGACCAGCATATTCCAGAGATTCTGATTTTTTTTCCCTGATCATCTTCAAGTTTCCACATTAATCTACTGTGTTCGGGGATTTCTGTTCCCACAGTTAATGTGCAGCATCAGCAGCAGACGTCTGTTTCACTGATGGTCTTTTTCAATCAGACCAGCCTTCTGCATGGTGCTGTCATTATCTTAGATGGACATGATTTTAATATTGCTACTGTATACAACTGGGATGATGGCATTTACTGGTAATACATTACTCAGAACTAAAGACCATGCTTTTATTATGTCATAAAAACTGTCTTTAAAAAAATATGGAACTATGAAAGTCACACATCAGTGCTGGATTAACTTTTGGAGGTCCCAGGGCAAAAATGAGCTGCGAGACCCCGATCAGTTTCTCAATTTATTTTCCAGAAAATGTGTTATATCCTGATGTATAAAAAGATTGTTATATAAGATAATATACACTGTTATATAGGAACTGTTTATTTTTTCTTTTATGTTTTTATTTATGTGGGAATCAAGTCACATAAAATGAGAATTTTTACTCCATTATTAAAATATTTTCCTCTAAAAGAAACAAGTGGATAGAGAATTTTATCCATATCACCCACCCCTATTCTAAACAAATTTGCAGTCAATCTAATGATTACAAACTGATCGACACAGTGAACCTGGGGCTTTTGAGAACCCTGAAGTTCTGAGGTCTGTTGGTAATCCAGCCTTTATTCTTGTCTACTTGTAGTCTTATCAAACCATGGCATCTGGGGTTTGACCTCAGGTCTGTAGTCACCATAGAGGTCACTGGGGTCGTTGTTTCTTTCATTATTCTGTGAAATGTGACTGCTTTTAAGCAACAATAACTAAATGAACAGGCTCATGATCTCAGTATATTTAATGTCCTGGCCACGACCGGTTTAATCTCTGCTCTCTTTTATATATGTGCCTGTTTTTAGTTTTCCATAGCTGCAAATGCTCTTTAAGTTCCACATTTATAGTGGGGGTGTATGTGAAGAGGTACAAGTAAAGAAGCACAAAAGTGAAAACAAGATCAACAATGACAGAGAGAAGGAGGGACGGAAATAACGACATTTGTTTTTTTTTACGGCAGTACTCATGATCACTTTCTGGATGGACACAAAAGTCGGAGTGAAACTACTGAAGATGGTGTTGAGACAAAGACACATTTAGGATTTAATTTGCTGTTTTATCTCATGACAAACATATGGACTATGCTGCATGAATAAGATTCAGTGAATGCTCTGTCTTGATCAATGTACATGTTATCTATAAGTCTACTGTTTTGTTCACAACACAAATGGACTCAGTCAAGCATGGACGTCATACTGTATGTTACCAGGCCTCTGGTACAACCTGCAACATCGATGCTAGGCGTTTCGATAACATCACCATTCACATGCTATAAGTTGAAGCCTCTGACAGTTGATTTGTAGGGTGGGGATGGGTGATGATGAACTATGATATAGTTGTTCACAAGATACATAAATGTATATTTTGTATTTTTTAAGGTGTCTATGTTCAGGACTTTTGACAAGTTTGTGTATTGATTATGTCATATTAATAAATATGTTCTTTTATTTATGAGATTGTTGTTGAAATATTGTTGAACACTAATTAAAGTCAGTAAGTAACAAGACAGAGGGCAAAATCATTTGGGTAAAATTGAAATTCTGTATTTTGTAGGATAAAGAAAGTACTTTTAGCTTCCAGTTTGGTAAATAGAATTAGCTCAAATTAGCATTTGATCTGGAAATCATTTTTTCCCTTTCAATTATGTATGTTTAAAGAGCCACTCCACCATCTATACACATGACATTCTATTTAGTCATAAAAAGTACTGCTAAGCCTATGGAAACATGATATGTGGCTCTGGAGGAGCTTTAATAAAGTTTGAAGAAATAACCCTGATGATGTCATCGGGGGAGTCTAGTAGTAGTGATTGTTTTTGGACCCAAAACCATATTAGGGATTAGAAATCAAAATATATATTTTTTTCAAAATCTGTCTCCTGTGACATGCTGTACATTATTAGGTAGAACTTTTTACTTTACAAACTGTATCTTTATCCAACTAAATTCTCAGCTCTGGCTTATCCTTCCCAAATGTCCGCTCTCAGTTCACTAGTTGGCAAGCTGAACTGAACGTTGGATCATGTATCAGCTCAAACCGCTGGAGCTCCAGTCAAGCACTGAACAAAGCGGTGAACAAAAGTTTTTCATTAAATGATTGTAATGATTCCATACACTGAAAAGTACTGCTTTACCAGGCATAAATTAGCACCATAGATGGGACTAGCACAAGTGTAATGGTAACTAATAAAGAAAAACACTTCCGGTTGACCTTTCAAAGTAAATGCCTGTCACGTTTCTGGTTCATGTTAACGTGACATATTACGGTATGTCTGTTTATTGGCAGTAGCCACATTACCGTTTCACATTGTTATCAGTGCTACACACATTGTTTTAACCATAAATTAAAATATCGTTTCCGGCGTGTTTAGGGCTTTCTCTGGCGAGCCGGGCAACGATCGCAGACGGGGTGTAACGTTGTTCATAAGAGAGCCAGGGTCTGTCTGTAAGTGTCACTCATTATAATATGCATTTACTGGTCATTTCTAATAACGTTAGAACTCAAAAACACACAAAGGTTGTATTGTCAGGGTATGTTCGCAGACTAAGGACGTTTGGTTAACGTTACCTTTTGTAAATGTTTGCATGTGAGCAGCAGCCAGCTAATGTTAGCTTGGCTAGCTCAGAGGAGAAAATGTGTTTGCGGTCGTTTTGACAGCTCGTGAGAAATAAATTTTTTGTGGCTATAGGGGGTTCATACCATATATACTGGCTCGCGGCTTTATGTAAGTAACGTTAGGTTGTAATTGGCCCAAAATAATATGCTTTAGAGAGCGTAGGAAAAAACCAAGGTTGTTTAGCTCGTCGCGTAACGTTAGATGAGGTTTCATTGCTGTCAAAAGACGTGGAGCCAAACTCCGTTTAAAAATCTCAACATTTGAAGATGCTTTGCTTATTCTCAAATAACGTTATACCTTCTTCGTATTACGTTAACATGACTTACGTTAAAGACACTGTAACGTTACGTATTAGTAGGCAATGTCGTCCATTCGGTTTCATTTCGGGTTCAGTTAAAATGCTGTACATCAACTACCCAGCTAGCCATTCATACCAAAAACAAGGCGTTGGTGGCTGTAAAGTTCCCAAGCAGCGTGAACATTTATTAACGTTACATTTTTGTTCACACAAAGTTGTTGATCTATTAACTGGCAAGATGATAAACAATTTAAGAAAAGGCTGAAGTTATTACTTTTTTTCCAGTAAGAAACTATATTAGATTGCTATTTTAAGCACGATTCTAAAACGCAACGTAACTGGACTGCAGCCTACACGCAGTATGACAACTGGATCCAGTTTTTACAAATTTCTTTTCATCAGATGCCTTCCTTGTTTTAAGATAGCCCTGTATTGCTAGAGTGGCCTTGTGCTGGTTTGCCTGTTCTTACCACAGTGAAGAACTGTATTATGCTGGTCTATGATGGTTTCTGATGAAATGCTTTCCACAAAATGACATGGAAGTGCAATGTGACTGAACAGTTGCTGTCATGTAGTGACTTGAAATGCTGAAACTTTCTTCCCCTTCTGCCTGTCTGTCAGTAGTCTTGAACTTGGATGTAAACAAAACACAGAGCCGGGATTGGAGAAGATTTGTGTCTTATTGTCACGATTCTTCCCGAGATGGACGTGGGAGTGTCCAAGTCCCATGTGTTTCTCAACTACAGCCCCAGAGCCCTCCTCTCCCAGTGAGACACGCATCTGCATGGTGGTGCTGTGTGCTCCTCGTCCTGCGTGGTCCCGATACTCTTCACTGTTGGCTTACCTCCAGTGCATTCTGTTCCTGTGTGTGACTTGTAGTTTTAGCAGTGTGTGACGTTAAAAGCCTCAGAAAGGATTTGGATGTAAGTGTTGAGTGATTAATGGAATGGCTGGAGGTCGCCCAACTACAGTAAATGGTATTCAGTGTGAGCAGCAGCTATCAGTGCATTATGTCCTGCAGACAGGAGCAGGGACGCTGCAGTTTTGCTTGGTGCATTTATAAGAAGTGCAGAGCTTTGTGTGTGTGTGTACAGTAAACACTAAATGTTTCATCATTTAGAGGACTTAATTGTGTGGATGTGACTGCTGCTTGTGCATGTTTTTGCGGGCTAATGATTTTGGCAAGTGATGTAGTCTGAGGTACTGTAGTGAAAGGCTACATCGTAAGAATCTCCTGCAGTGGTTCTCAAAGTGGGGTCCAGCAGGGGTCTCCAGCAAGCAGTGCACTATAAATTTACTTACGTGGAAATGATCTCAGTTATAGAGTTACTACTATAACAGCGAGTTTCACTTGCATCAACTACCCTGCAGTTGAGAAAACAATCACCACCAAGGCCCACCAGTCAGTCATGTCCGATGATCTTCATCAGCAGGGGGGATATGTTTCTTTAAGATGGTTTCTCAACTGCTGCTCTGCTCTTTCCAAAATCAAGAATGAACTATGACCTCCAGCAACATGGTTTTTAAGTCCTAAAAGTGCTCAGAAATGAACATTTTAATATTTACACCTCCATCTAGGGCTGGGTGATAAGATCAATAGTAATTTGATATCCATAATTATTACTATAAATGTCTGTTGAACATATGTTAAGGTGTTATTGAAGAAAATTATGTTGTGATAATTATCACTATTGTTTTATTCTCCTGTGCTATTTCCATCCCAGCTGGGCCCCATCTTCTGATGGAGATCATGTGATATGATTAAATGTGCCAGATCAGCTACTAAATTGACTGTTGGTTGAAACTGTTTTCTCAGCAGCTGTTCACTAAGTATTCAAGGCTTCGTCATCTAGTTAAAAAGTCAGGGTCCACTCATGGTTGAAAGCTCCAAAAAGTGAGAATGTGGATCTTTTTTTCTTAACTATATCAATAGGTCAAGAATGAACTTTCATCATAGCTGTATCATCTACCTTGTGTTGTTACCAAGATACACAAATCAATAGTGTAGACCTAAATAAAATGAGCATCTTCTCAGGTATGTCAATGGGACAGAATCTCGTCAATGGGCTTCAACAGAGAGAAATCTGCTTATGAGGTCCGTAACATTTGAGAACAGCTGATCTCCTATTTTGAATTTGGGCTGGCTTGTGCTTTACGTTTTGTGCTGCATGACTGTACAGTGGCCCAGCAAGCCCACAAAACACTCATCATCACACAAGCTACATATATTCTTATTGCAGTGAAGATCATTGACACGTTTTGCAAAAGAAATACCATTTCATAGACAGGAGGTGGTAAACATGGAACATGGAAAGAATATGTGGAGTAGCCTGCAGGACACTTAGGAACAGGCCGAACGGCGTCAGTTGAAGGTGTCATGTTTGTGTTTAGGTGCAGCATCCTGCTGGGTGCACGGCGTGTCATGGACGCAGTGAAGGAGGGTCACAAGAGCACCCTGACCTCGGGCAAAATGGTGGCTCTGGCTGCAGGGCTCTCTGTCGGGGCCACAGTGGGCTACATTGTCTATCGTCATATAAGCAGCACTAACTTCAGTGAGTATCTGCTTTGAAGAGTTCTTGTGAACAACCGTATTTACATGAGCTAAATTTGAATATATGTGTAACCATGGGAAACTATTGACCAAAAAAACAACAACAAGAGTTTGTGTGTATCCCCCTATGTCTTTATCTGTGACTGTTGACAGGTCAGGGGCCCGACACTGAGTCATCCAAGATGACCCTTCCTGTAGAGGTTTATAGGAACATATCCAGATACCAAGCCACGTTCTTGGACATGGTGAGTAGTTCCATACCAGATAATGATTATGAAATAAATAATTGAAGACATTATTAAAACTCAACTCATTATTATGAAATGTTTTTAAAAAACATTAACATACGAGAAAGAAATCGCGGAAAATGAGGTGACCACACGAGCCACGTGAAGAAAAAGCACAGATTAAAAACAGAGTACGTAATAAAAATGCATAATGAGTACTCAGTACATGATGAAATACACAGTACATAGTAAAAATACACAATAAAAGAGTATGTAATAAAAATACACAATATATACTGTACACAAGATGCAGACCAGGGGCCGTATTTCAGAAAGTTCCCATCTTAAATCCTAAATACTCAATCCAATATCGGTTATCAACTTTTATGTTGTTACCTAGCACTTTTCTCATCTCACGAGTTAAACGTCTTTTAATCGCTGTTTTGCGAAAAAAAAACCCCGAAACAAACTGAAAAATGGAACAGAAACAACAATTATCATTGAACTTCAAATCAGATAATTAGAGGTGTTGGTAACCTCAGTCAATAAATCCAAAATCACGTAACACTTATCTCGGGAGATTACAGATAGACTGTGCCGCATACCTGCCATCCAGCGGAGCGTTGATGCTGTCAAAAAGAAAATTAGTCCATTTACAAGTGATACGAAGAGAAAGGCAACTGTTGTGTCCAAAGAGTGGAGGAAACCCGCTGGTGGCTCCTCCTGTGCTCCCTCACTGACCCCGGCAGAAACCAGTCTTCTCAGGAAAGAAATAATAACAACAACAAAGGCTGCGGGCTAACGTCTTCATGTCTTTCTTGAATTTAACGATCTCCTATCAAAGACTTGCATTTGGATCCTTTTGTTACATCAAGCCTTTACATTGTGTTACATAATGAGACATTATCTACATCGCCTACAGCCTTTCTTGTCAACAAACACATCGGTGGAATCAATTAAAAAGTTCCACCTGTTGACATTTTATTGACTTTGTAAAAGCAATTCAAGAGCAGCCATGTGGATTAAACGAGTTAGCAAACACTACCTGGTGGAAAAGCAAAAGTTACCAAGCAGTTAGGACAGGATCTGCCCGTTAGGACGTTTCTGTAATATGGCCTACACTGCAAAGCAAGTTCAGCATACCCAGGATATCTTTTTGTTATCTGGCAACGAGCACAATCATGCTAAGCGGTCACACGGCGCTGATAATCCAGGCTGCCAGGTGCAGGAAAGACAGCTGGCAAAAGAGAGAGAACCCAGCCTATCAAACAGTCTGCGGGATCTGTAATATATTGATTTTGCTGATACATATTTCAGAAGGGCTAATTTAGTCCAAAATTGTACGTTAAAAATTCTAAATGACTGAATGAATGAGATGGCATTGAGTGCTGCATGAAGCTGGTCTTAAAGTGTGTGTTGCCCAAATCCAGTTGGTGGTTTAGAGTGTGTGACATCATTTCAGGCTGTCTCTTTCTCTCTCAGGTGACCCAGAAGTCTGGAGCTCATGTGAGGGTTTTGTCGGGGGAACCTGGATGTCAGGCGGCTGTGTGTTTCCTGCTGCAGGGCTCTAAGGAGCAGGTCTTGCTGGCCCGCTGTGTCATGGAGAACCTGATTACTGACTGTGAACCTGTGACTGAGGTTTTAGAGGTTCCTCAGACAGCCTTTGGACGTATAATAGGTAGCTTCCAAATATTTTGAGGAATATCAGATTGTTTGACAGACTTTATTCATTTACCCCTTTTTTTTTCAACACTGATGTTGAGCTAAAGCTGTAGACTGATGTTTTTTCACTTGTTGCTCTCCTTCATTATACCTGTTAAATGAAAAGGTACATTTATAAATATTCTTCAAAAAAAGAGTGAATATAGTACTTAACAAACTCATGAAGTTGCCACAAGCGTGACCTCTTGCAGTGTGGCTCATGATAATGTTTTCAATAGTTTTTGGACAACAGAGGAATAAGAGATATCTGCCTTTGGATAGTTGTTGGTAGGATACATTCATTTGCTATGTTGCAGGCCGTGGCGGAGAGAGTTTGAAACTAATCACCAGGAACACAGGGGCCAAAGTGGATTGTTCAAAAGATAAGACGCATAGTCCCGGGAGAAAGGGCAATGTGACAATCACAGGGACCAGACAGGAAGTGAAACAGGCTAAGGTGAGTAGGATTCACTCATTTGGATTACCCATGTGAGGTCAGTCCTCTTATTTAGGCATGTTGTTGACAATAAATGTAACTCGTACTTTTGTGATCTGTGGCCAGGAGCTGATTCTAGAAAAGGTTAGAGAGGACATGACGGTGAGGACAAAGATATCTCAGTCATCTGCCCTGCGGCAGAAACGCGGCCATGTCGCTGTGAATCAGAGGCAAGACAGCACAGAGAATGAAGCTCCGGTGGGCTTGAACAACAACAGTCCCTACTTCCAGACAGAGAAAAATGGCCTCATCCATGCCAATGGAACCGCAAGAGAACCAGAAGATATTAATGACAAGGATCTGAAAGTCACAAACGCAGACAACAAAGAGGAGGAGAGCGTCTCCACGGACTCTCTGTCTGAAATGTCCAAGTTTGAAAGTGAGTTTCTCTATTTTATTTTCTCTATAGGAAAAAGATTTTAGTCATTACAGGCCTGGATGAGTATGAAAAAGCAATTTTATCTGTATTAGTTAGAAAGAAAATGCGGCAGCTGTTTAGCAACATAACAGCATACATGGTCAGAATGTAATATACATGTTAACAGTTGGATTTTAAGACCCTTTATTATACCTCTGTCCAGTTCCCAGCCCAGACCTGAGCTTCCAGCCTGATGAACATCTAGAGGTTTATGTTTCTGCTTATGAGAATCCAAACCACTTCTGGATCCAGATCCTGGGTGTTCGCTCCCTGCAGCTGGACAAACTGACCGAGGAGATGAACCGCTTCTACAACAGTGGCAACTCCGCTGTAAGGACAACTCTTCCTGTTGTTTGTGTGTTTTGAAAAAGAGTAGTTTTTTGGTTGATACTGAACAACTGAAAAGAGAAAAGTTTGAAAAGGCTTTATAACGTAAAAATCTGAATTTGCCAGAGTTTAAACTTTATTTTAAAGTTTTCTTTTAAAGTAATCCATTGAGAGTTTTCTGTACACTGTTATGGGGCGGCTGTGGCTCAGGAGGTAGAGCGGGTTGGCCGTTAATCGGAAGGTCGGCGGTTCAATCCCTGGCTCCCCCTGGTTGCGTGTCAAAGTGTCCTTGGGCAAGATACTGAACCCCGATTTGAATGCAGATGTAGTGTAAAAAAAAGCTTTGAGTGGTCAAAAAGACTAGAAAGGCGCTATACAAGTACGGAGCATTTACATTTACGTCCATGTGTACATTTCAAACAGACACTGCTAATGGCTATTTCAGGAGGCTTTTAATGATTAACTGCCAAAATATAAACAAATATTTTGGTACTAAGGCTCAGTTTGTCCTATCAACATGGTTCTTCTAATCCTAGAGGAATCTATTAATATAAAATCTGCCCTGTGTTGAAAACCTGTGAATCTATAGGGAAACTATCTATGAACCAGAGTTTGAAAACCCCACCTCTATGCTGTCAAAAAAAAACACATATTTTCCCTCTCGGACCCCAAATGTAAGAAATAAGTCTGTATGTAACTCCCCTGATTTTCTGTTCTCTAGCAGCAGAGGGTGGAGACCATTGTGGTGGGGGACATTGTGGCTGCTCCATACCGAGACCACGGCACATGGAACAGGGCTAGGGTGCTGGGAGTCCTGGGCTCTGGACTGGTGGACCTTTACTATGTTGACTTTGGGGACAACGGGGAGCTTCCCAGAGACAGCCTCTGCCGTATGAGGTGAGAGAGGAAAGTTCCATAAAATTTCTTACAGAACAGCGATGCTGGCCACCCACTGGTCCTCATTTGATCATTGGCTTTGGTTGGCTCTGAACCACAGAATGATGCAGTTTATTAAAGTCGAGTTAATATTCATCTTAGTTTGGTGATGTGGGATGCAAAACCCAGCCCTGTATGATTAGCCTCTGATTGTGTCCACACAGTGAGCTCACAGTAATGATTACAATTTAGAAAAGAAGGCTCTAGTGCGGAGAACATGGTCCCTTTATTATATCATTAATACAATACAGTGTTTCCCCAGTATGTATCATGACCGCCGCTACTAGAATTTCCCACGATTGTTAAACTATGCGCTACAAATGTTTTCCCTCGCACACTGTGGGAGCATGGTAGTAACACTCAATGCTTGGCTCGCTTCCTCTCCTCGTTCTATACAAAACATCTACGTGACAGATGCTGTTAAAACAGCGTAACTCCTGTAAGGAATCAGGAGGTGCGTAGCGAGTGTTTGAAAGTGACGGTGAACGCGAGCGGAGGAAAATATTCTGGCAGTAAATGTACGGTGTCTGTTACAGCGTGTCGGCTTCTCAAGACCAAGAAAAGTCTGTTGTTTCCCACCTGCTGGAAAAGTGAAGCCTGTTAGCGCTAAGTTAGCTAACATCTTTCCGTCCCCTTCAGACTGAGCTGAGCAGGAAAGCCTCTACAGCAGGCTGCGTCTTTTGGCTGCTATGTAACTGAACATTAGCTCATAGAAAGTAACTGGAAGCTGTATTTTATTACTGCCTACTTGTCCAATGTTGAGAACATCAGGTACAATCTGAGAGGAAACTGGGGTAGTATGTACTGGTGGTGCAATTATTTTTCAGATGAAAAAGGGGTTGTTGGGAAAAAGGACGGTGGTGACTGGAGGAGCTGAGGTTAGTAAAGCAAATTAGTGATGCAAACTAGTCCTTTTAAGCTGATGAGGAGAATTTTAATGTGCAAATAAAATGCAAGGGAGGAGGTTTCTCATGTTGCACACAAAAGGCAAACATGAGACCGTATCTGTAACCATTCTGAGGTCATATTAACAGGGTTTTAGGGGGTGATGTCCAAAACATGCTGTGCAATAAATGTTAAATCACAGTGGAGAGCATCATAACCAACCAAATAACTTTCCCCAAATCTAAAAGGTTGTAGTTCCTCCCCAGTAGACTGATCTTTTGCTGTTGGTTATTTATTATCTGCTCCAGCTTTTCCAACTCGTTGTTCAGACATATGTTGAAAATAATGGCACAATGTGATGTGAAATTACATATTTGTCCTTGGAAAACGTAAAATTTTCTTGGGGGAGGACACCAAAACAGCTAAGGCTCACATTAAACTGGGAAAACACTGATGTTTTAAACTATTCTGATGTGCATGGCATGCTCATGGACACAAGAGCAATACTGCTGAGACCTGTTGTGTTGGGGTTTTATCTTCAGACAAAAATTTTACTTCACCTCCGCTTCTACAACTCCATCCTAGGGGAAACACTGCAATAGGATTCATTCAATAAGCATTATAGGAAACTAAAAGCCGATGCAGTTGGTATATTTATATTTGTATTTTTTTTAATCTTCAGACAACACAACGATAGAGTAACCACATTTAGTTGTCTGTAGATTAAAGGTCGATGTTAAGTTTCCTCAACAATCAATCGCTATCAATTGATCCAGTCTTAATTAAACTGTGTAATAACCTAGAAATCAGTTCATGCCATCTCAGATCAGTGGTGTTGTTTGAGCACACACAGTCTTGTGGCGTGCACTTGGCACTGAAGTGATTGTAGAAGACCGCTCTGAGCCTCAGACTTGTAGACAACTACTAATGTGGTATTAACATTTCAGGAGTGACTTCCTCAGCTTGCCATTCCAAGCAATTGAGTGCAACTTAGCAGGAGTGAGACCAAAAGGTAAATCTCTTGTCTCATTGACTTTATCACACAGGCATATAACAATAATAAGGTGAAAGTCAAAATATGTTGTGCTTCTCTGTGGAATCTAAATTGATTTGTTTTTATATTCTCTATATCGTTTTCCTCCCATCCCTCAGGAGAGGAGTGGACTGAGGCTGCCCTGGATGAGTTTGAGCAGCTGACTCACTGTGCGTTGTGGAGACCCCTGCAGGCCAAACTCTGCAGCTACTCTCACTCTGAGATCTCCTCCTGGCCCAGTGTCAAGCTCTACGACAACACTGAGGGCAAGGTCAGCTGGTGTTTTAGTTTTTATTTATCTGTTTGCTGTGTTTGTTATCCTGTCTATCCTGTTTCCTTGCACACGTCTTGTAAAACAGTTGTCCGTCCTAGACTGTAGATATTGGTGAGGAGCTGATACGGCTGGGCCATGCTGTCAGCTTCCAGGAGGTGGTGAACGGGAGGACTGAGGGTGACAATCTTGGCTGTCTGCAGAGGATGCTGGTGAGTCACTGGCCACACTCACAGACTTTTTTATTGGCCTCGTTAACACTGGTGATTAAAAAGGTTTTACTACGACCTGTTAACAGAAGTTTTATCTAAGACCAGTATTTTATGCCCCTGTTTAAACCAGTTTTTCATTCTTGTCAAAGTTAAAATGGGTTTTGTTCTACACTAAAGGGACACTTATTATTTCTGTTGAAACCCAGGATTATAAGAGTCGCCATCATTTTTGATAATTAATAAAAGCATAATGAGAAGGATTTTCCTAAAAAAATAAATAAAAATAAAAACAATGTGTAGACTCTCACAAAAAGAATCCTTCTCAGTCATCACTCTTGACCCAGTGGGGAGCAAGTCATGTGCATGCTACCTGTCTGTGTGAAAACAGTAGACAGTCAGAGAGAGAGCGTGTTGTGGGGCATATGCATTGGGAGAAATGTGACTCCGGGAGGAAACCAGGAGACGTCAATGAAATGAAATGAGTCTCCTATGAAAATCTGGAGGGTTAGCAGCTATGAGCTAACCACTGCGTGCTGCATGTGATGTCGTATTATTCTTCTGCGCATGCGGCTCACTTGCAGGCCGTGGACAGTTCACACTTCAGTCTGAATTGGGCCACATTTAAAGCATAAGAAAACTGTCACTTAAAATCGAATCTGGGCAATAAATCATAGTTGAGCATTTAGGCCTGCAGTGTGAATGTAGCCTTTTGACTATTGATGTATAAAGAGCTGCAGGTCTGTGTGTCAGTTTAACTGAGGGTGGGGATGAGCTACACACACTAACACACACAGAGAGCAGCATTCACACAAAATCTCTGTCACCTTCCCGCAGGGCTGTGCAGAGGTGTGACCGAGTTTATTTATGCTTTCATCAACATTCAGAAAACGTTTTCTTTCTCCGATTCTTTGCTTAGTTCTCGCCAACACCACTCCCTGTCTTTCTTCAATCTCTAGCTCCCTCAAACACAGCAACCAACTAATACTCACTATGTCTTTAATCCTTTAAGTAAGTCCAACTAAAACACCAAACACTCACTAATGTGAACGTTTGCTGCGTTTCTGCTTATTTATATCATTTCAAATGTTTGGGTTTTGGATTGTTGGTTGGACAAAACAAGAAATTTGAAGATATCACATTAGGCTCTAAGAACTTTCAATTGACATTTTCTACTATTTTCTGACATTTTATAGATTAAGTTATTAAAAAAGTTGTTAGTTGCAGCTCTAATCTGTTCAAACTGTTGCATAAGAATCATTGGAAATCTATTTAATTATATCTGTCATATAAAACATGGATGATACAAGCTGATTGTCGTCCTGGATGTCTGTTCCAAAAATAATGGAAAGCCATACAAGTTGTCAGGGCATGTCACAAAAGAGAGTTGTTCAACCAGTCACTGTTTTTCACTGATGCACGCTCCATATTTTCACTGCAACATGCTTTGCTTTGCTCTTGCATCTTCTTCTCTTCCTACAGGATGATGTAATAGGAGCCTCATCAGAGCTCAGTCTCTCCTGCATCAGCTTGTCAGGTGAGTACAGCAAAGGGAAACTGGTCTAGAAGTAACTTAATCAATGCAAATCTTTCTCTTCACGTGGATCTTCATATTCGGGGTGGGGTTGAAAAAGTGAAGATTGGTCATCCAAGCGTGGACATCAGCGTTATCTACATGTTTTGTACATATCATGAGATCCGTGGAGCTCCATAATGTCTGAGTGAAACACAGTCCCTCTGCTACATTCACTCACAGCTTTTTCCACTCAAGCCCAGTTGAAATGATTCATGTGCAGTCATCGCCCACACTAACCCACACCACCAGCTGCTCTAATTCTGAGCCCTCTGCGCCAACCATGTTGGAGGCAGGGCCCGTTCGTTCCTATGACAGCTGCTCCGTCGCACATGAAGCCAAATGAGTTTGAGAAACTGGGTACAAAATGACCAGGATCTTCCCACGTAGCTTCCACACTGTGAGGCCCCACAGCAGCAAGAGCATTAGCATTTCCTCTAACCCCACCTTCCCCGCCATGATGGCAGCCCGTAGAGCAAGCACACTAGAGACTCCCGTCAGTCAAACTGTCATCCAGTTTAGCCCTCTGCTAACTTGAATGTGGATAAAATGATTTAATCATGCAGTTCTTCAGACTTTCCAAATGTCATCAGACTGAAGGGATCAAATTCTGAAGGTGAAACGAATCACTTTGCGGAGGCACTTCTGGAGGCTCGATCCCAATGCCGCAGCTTGCAAACTCACAACTTTCTTTTCCCTCCTCCACTTCATATTTGGCAAACTCCTCCTGCCTTGAGTTGAGTTGACCTGTGATAAAATGATTGGGGACCAGCGCCCTCTTAGCAGGAGGTACTTAATGCAAGAGACACAGAATGAAGTGTTGAGAAGACAGAGACACAGAGAGCTTTTACTCCTGTCAGACCACAAGCACAGAGTACAGTGTAGTGAGGAGCTGCATCAGCACAACCTCTGTGGGATGAATATCTGTATTGAGGAATCAAACACTGAGACACAAAAGAATGAAAATCTTCTACTTCATACAGAGTAGGTTTAATCTTCAGATTGCAGAGAAGTACATTGAAATCTGGAATACAGACTGTTAATTCATGAATTCAGACAACATCTCTCTGGGCATCAACATTCAAACCTCAAAGTTCCCTTACCAAGGGGAAAGGGCGTTACTGATTGGACATGAACTAGTCACATGATCGTATGTTGTTACACTGTTACCTACTTTATTATGTAATTACATGAGGAAAGGATGGATGTTTGTGGGAAAATAAACTGAATGTCCCTCGCTCACAACGTCACTCTCTTATCGATGACCTTCTGCAATGTGGCGGATAAAAAAGAAAGTCCGGTAGTTGGTATAATGATTGTTGAATGACCGTTAACTGGAATCCTTTCTCTTTGTACCTCCAGAAGCTGCCTCAATCTCAGGAAGCGTTGATGACGTCATAGAGGATGAGCTGCTCTGAGACCAAAGACGTACATAAATATCAAGGTGTTGTTTCCTGGCTTGATGACTGAATGCCCCTCCTTAAATACTCTCCTACTGCTGATTAGAGTGGACTAAAGCCTCAGTCAGGGAGGTCACTACACACATAGTCTGACTCCCATGTCTGCCAAGAACTGCAGACTGATGAATCCTCCTATATTGCACAATCAACAAACATTAATTCACACATAGCATGACATATAACATGAGACAGAGAATGATCTCCATCAGAAAGGATTTTTGAACTATTATGTCTGTAACAGTGATTACCTCTCCTCCTGTCTTCCAGCACTGACCATCCACTCCTCAGCATCAGTTCAAATGAGATGAAGGGGACATTTCCTCTTCTGACCCAAACCCAACCGCATAAATCCTCATCGTGAAGCCTTACCTACGTGACAAGCGTGCAACAGTTCTTCCAGCCATATTCACTTTATTACATAATTAATTCTTATGTTTTGCCTTTATGCTGTTCTGTTGTGCCCCACACTGCGTTGCTTATGTGTGTTATTACTATATTTTGTGTTCTGGAAAAGAAGAGGAACAAAAACAAATGCCAGTATTATTTTTGAAAAGCACTGTGAAATGAGTCAGTGGAATCTGAGTGCAGCTGGTTAGCAGTTATTATGTGTTTTAAGATTAATGGCCTATATTTTGGCCTTCACAAGTGGTTATATTTTGCAAATGAAACCATACAGTATTATTGAATTTACTCCTCTGAAAAATCTGGCATCCGTTGTATCGTTAACAAAGGACTGAGGGAAGTGTTCATTTGTTTTCAGAGGTGTAATAGACTGCACTATATATAAAAGGATTTATTTTATGTCACAAGAATTGTCTGTGTCTTTTACTTTGAAGTGCTCTTCTTACTATAATGTATATTTCAAAATAAAAATGGATAATGAGGAGCCATGAATTAAAGATAAAGATCATTTCGTCATTAATACAGGAAAATAAGAACAACTTTTCAGTTCTCGGTAGGAACGATTTCATGAGCTTCTTTAATGAGAAAATTCTAATTGTGAGAGAAAATCCATCACCCCCTACCCTCAATTGATAATGTTTATCTTCAAACTCAGGAACCTTAGAAACAACTGTAAAACCTGCTTTGCTCCTTTCAGTATTCACAAACTAACTTCAGTGATTTCTTCATCTAAACCACCAGCCTGTCTGTTAGACCCCATCCCAACTAGGCTGCTTAAAGAAGTTTTACCCTTAGTTACCACTTCATTACTAGACATGATCAATCTTGTTAACAGGCTATGTACCATAGTCCTTTAAAGTAGCTGTAATTAAACCTCTTCTTAAAAATCCCACTCTTGTTTCAGGGGTTTAGCCAATCAGACCTAAAAATCTGAAAATTACAGATGAATTGCATCAGACAAAGGACTCGTCTCTGTACTGGTCTTGTTAGATCTTAGTGCAATCGACACCATTGACCATCCATCATATTACAGAGACTGGAACATTTCATTGGCATTTATTGGTCAGGCACTGATGCATCGTCATGTTTTAAAGAGCTTGTAGTACCTTATTACCCCACCAGAGCACTGTGCTCCCAGAATGCAGGGTTAATTGTGGTTCCTGAGGTAACCAAAAGTAGACTGGGTGCCAGAGCGTTCAGGAGGCAGACAGCATCTCCACATTTAAGAGTAGGCTTAAGACTTTCCTCTTTGATAAAGCTTATAGTTAGGGCTGGCTCAGGTGAGTCCTGAACCATCCCTTAGTTATGCGGCTATAGGCCTACACTACCAGGAGGAATCCAGTGATTCCTCTCTCCTCCTCCTCCTCTTCCTCTCATCTGTATGCATTCCTATTGCACTGATGCATGTTACTAACTCATCTTCCTCCCTCTCCTGTAGTTTTGCGCCCCTGTCGTCCCTCTCCTCTCTACTCCAGAGCTGCAGAGTCTGGATCTGTGGTTACAAGCCACCTACTGCCCCCATGTTCCTGCTCAACATCCGCTGCTAAAATTATTATAGTCTTATTATTATTATTATTGTTATTACTATTATTATTTTAATGATATTTATTTTATTACCACTAGCATTACTATTACTTCACTTCTATGTGAAATTTGCATTGTGCTACCGTGTGTTCTCTTTCCTTCTGCCCCCCACCTTTAATATAAATCTTAATCTTAAAAGTCATGTATGCCTCTAAGCAACTGATAAGAGTGACTTTATGTAAAAAAAAAAAACAAACAGTGAATATTCCCTTTGTTTGTATTGCTGTTGGTTTGACACAGGAGTGCTGTGGATAACTTTTATTTTAGTTTTCTGTTCTTAAATTGAAGAGGCCATTCATTCATTCCCATCGCGGAGTCCACTGTTTTGTTTCTGTGTGGGTCGATGACCTCCATTCTGGATTCACCAATCACATGAAAGTAGGTTACACTCGCACATGCGCAGAAGCAGCAGAGCAATTTGTTGATATCCGATTTGGTAGTAGTCATTTAGACTTTGGTATTTCAAAGCCAGATTTATCCCCAGCATAGGGGTTTCGTTTGCATTGGGCAGCACAGTTAACTAGAACGTTATCTATATGAAGAGCTGATGGAAGACGCAAGGGATTTGGTGAGTGAATTTGAAACATTTTAGGGCCGCGATCCTAGGAGGATTTGCTTAGGCTAGCGCTCCTCCTTTGTTGTTATCTATTTATGGTAGCTAGCTAGTGGGTCATCCAGTGTTAAATACTAGAAAGCTCTCCAAAAACAGATGCTCAAACAAAATAACCTCATACTTATTTTAACTACATATGTTAAAGTTTATGTTTGATATGCAAGTGAAAAGTGTGGTATGCTTTTGTGAATAAAACCTTGGAAAATAGATTTCCGCTAGCTAGCTTTGCTAACGCTAGTTAGCATTATGAGCTATTTCCAACAAGGCCGCCCCTTATTTGAGCTTATATTTTAGCTAGCTTTTCTGTTTCGAACACTGTACGTTTAGTAGGTCTTTACTGTCTGGCACAGAGTTTTTTCTTTCAGCAGTATTGCTGGCTAAATTATATTGTCGTAGCCAGTAGGATGTCACCTGTGATGCTCAGAGGAGGAAGTGGGCAGGCTATAGCAACAGTAAATAATTTCACAATGTTCCGGATCCCATAACGTTGCACAGAACGAGCAAGACGTAATGTTATTACCTTTTTTATACATTATCACGGGAATAATTTTAGTTAGGTTTGGCTTTTCTGAACATCTTTGCAAAACATTTTACAATTGGCTTCCACATCGAGCTTCCCGGGTCAGATTACAAAACATTTTAAAGAGACCGTAAAATATAAACTAGAACAGTGGTTCTCAAAGTGGGCTCCAGGGGGTCCCCAGCAAAAAGGGGACTAATTTACTTTCACAGTAATTTCATCCACAAGTAACACAAAGACAGAATGTGAGACTATTTCTGTCATGGGTTTGATACACTTTCTGTAGTAAAAGATCTGAAAGCAAAAATAGGGGCAAAATCGTATCAAATGGGGGGTCCGTGGTCTATTTTGTGTCAGTTTAGGGGTCTTCGACATGAAGAAGTGTGAAAACCACTGATCTAGATTTTTAATTTTTTCCCCCCTTTTAAAAAAAATTTTTTTTACAAATATTTTAATGCAGAAACAAATAATTGATTAGTTATCAACATAGAATGTTTATGTAGTAATGTAATCAAAAAACACAAAATGTCACATGTTCTTGCTTCTTAAATGTATAATAATATATAATAAGAAGAAGAATCATGAGATTAATTATTAAGGAAGATAATCATTGTTAGTAGCCTTAAAGTATTCCATTTATTTAGACTCTTTTTTTTTTTTTTTCCTTGATTGTAAAGGCTGAACGCACCCCACGTTCAGAGCGTAAGCGGAGAGACTCATTCGGGATGTTTGATGGCTATGACAGCTGTAGCGAGGAGTCTACCAGTAGCTCCAGTTCGGAGGACAGCGAGGATGAGGTGGTGCCCTCCATCCCTGCCAGCCTGCCCATCATCAAGAACAATGGTCAAGTCTATACTTATCCAGACGGCAAGGCTGGAATGGGTCAGTGCATGGAACTATGTTGGGAACTTATGCTTTGTGTGGTTCTCATATCATCATGTGAGTGGGAAACAATAATGTGCCAGCATGTCTCATGATTTTAACACATTATATGCGTCTGTTTTGTGGTCTCTCTCACAGCCACTTGTGAGATGTGTGGGATGGTCGGAGTACGAGATGCTTTTTACTCAAAAACCAAGCGCTTCTGCAGTGTGTCCTGTTCTAGAAGTTATTCCTCAAATTCCAAAAAAGCTAGCATCTTGGCAAGACTCCAGGTAATTGTTAATTATAAGCCTACTACAATCAATATTTTAAGATTAAACCTATATCATTACGCAAGTATTGATGTCTGCTTTGTTTTGCAAGGGCAAACCACCAACAAAAAAGGCGAAGGTCTTACAGAAACAGCCTCTAATGGCAAAGTTGGCAGCTTACGCCCAGTACCAAGCAAGTCAGCAGAACCAGGCCAAATCAAAAGCAGGTATGTTATCAAAAAGCAATAGTAATGGTTAATGGGGTGAGTGTGGTGCTCTGTTCAGATACACTTAACACTCTTTCTTGTTTCTGTCAGTGGTCCCTGCAGAGAGCTTTGACTGGGGTCGGTATATTTGTAGCAATAACACGATCGGAGCTCCAGTCAGCTGCTTCAAGCACGTAAGTAAGAAGTGTTGAGTAGGTAGTGACCTCTAATCTTTGCTTTGTTTGACTAAATAGCTTCACTGTTTCCTCTTTGCTTCAGGCCCCCATGGGGACATGCTGGGAAGGCATAGAAGAAGGAGTGAGGATCGAAGTGTTGAACTCCGACACCAACCTCTCCACTAAAGTGTACTGGATAGCAGAAATCATTAAGCTAGCAGGTAAAACTACTTCTACAGGTAGTTAAAAGAAATTTGGTGAAAGGACAAATCTACCCTAAAAGTGTCCATGATATATTCGCTCGTCTGTTCTATGATACGTCTGCATCCTCATGATGAACTGATCGTGGGTCACATCTCTCTCTTCCAGGTGATTTTTGTTATAATGTTGTATTTCTTTAATGATTAGAGAGGCTGCTGTCAGTCGTTTTATGTTTCCATGCGCGAAATAAGCTCACAGCAGATATCGTCTGACATTTAAGCAGCAAAACTCAGAACTGTAGTTCTAAACTTGACAGGATAGAGGGAACAGAATTAAACATGTAGCTTCTGAAATCCATGTTTTGACACTTTGGTGGAGCTCCAAACAGTTTTTTCTCTGTGTGTAGGAGACCTTTTTGGATGTGTAGAAGATCACAGAACATTATTAACATTAGATCCTGAACAATCCTGTCAGCATGTTGGGAGATTTAAATAACCAGTGAAGTTACGCTGCTGTGTCTCGTGCATAAATGTGGAGAATCTCCTAATGGGGAGACTCTGCATTTCCACAAAATAGGGTGAAATCGGCAGATATAAAAAAACAAAAAAAAACAGCTAATGAGTTAGGCTGTAAACAAACTACGCCGCGGTCACATGACGTCACCACCACTAAGCTTCCAGCTTGTAGTTTGGTTTTGCGCTGTTCAGCGTGATGACGTTTAATGTCCCCGACAACCTCTGTACTCTCATTTAGCTTCTTGTAAGCAACCACCTTTTTTAAGACAGGTAAAAGCTTCGAAGTCCAAGAGTCTTCTATGTCGTATATAAAAATGTAAAAATCAGTTAATATTGTGTTAAACACAGACCTTCATGTCTGGCATCTAACCCAAAATCCATTAAAAAAAAACCAGGGAACCGGAAGTGCAAACATGCTCGCTTATTTCCAAGTTTCAGGACTCATTCCTGCAGTACTCTGCAAATGTACATTGAAAGTTTCCAAAATAAAAATTCTCCCTTTCGAAACGTTTTTCCCCAACATATGCACACCAGGAAAAAAAACACTACACAAGCCTTCTTAACATAAATTTCAATCTTGCAAAACATTTGTTTAGATTTCAACCTTTTCAAAGTTTTTGTTTGTTTGTTTGTTTCAAGATATGGCTTTAGATTCATCACGTGCTTGTACCTTTGTGCATTGCTATTATATAGCGGATTTATGTCTTAGCGGTAATGTAAATCTGATAATTATAACAAGTAACCATAGTAACATGCAATATATATATAGATGTACGCAATAATAATCTGTCACATTTTAATCTCTTTGTTTTGAATCCTTTGCATGCTCTTTTGAAGCTTTACTTGCTCACTGACACAACATCTACAGTTTCCTGACAACTGAGCAAACCTCATCAGTTGATGGAGACCATGCGATAGGGCTGAAAGTCTAGAACGAGAAAGGAAGTGGACCTTAACTAAAAGTTGCTTTGACGGGTGACGTTTGTGTTTTATGTCGTTGTGCAGGGTTCAAGGCTCTCCTGCGGTATGAGGGCTTTGACAACGATACCAGTAAGGACTTCTGGTCCAATCTCTGTATCCCTGAGGTGCACCCAGTGGGATGGTGTGCTTCAAGCGGCAAACCCCTTGTACCTCCAAAAAGTGAGTCAAACTTATTCATGGTTCTTGGATGCTCTGGGACAGTTGGTGGTATTTGTTGTTGATTTTCTTTATTTGGTGTAATCTCCCGTACAGGCATACAGCATAAGTACTCTAACTGGAAAGCCTTTCTTGTGAAGCGTCTCACTGGATCTAAAACACTGCCACCTGACTTTAATGCCAAGGTAAGGCAAATATGTTAATGAAACATCTCCAAATTTGAGAATGTTTTCAAAAATAATTAAAGTTTTTCGTGCGACTTCTCCCAAAAGTGAGATCGCGCGCTCTCTCTCTCTCTCTCTCTCTCTCTCTCTCTCTCTCTCTCTCTCTCTCTCTCTCTCTCTCTCTCTATCTATATCTATATCTATATCTATATCTATATCTATATCTATATCTATATCTATATCTATATCTATATATATATATATATATAAAATCTCTAAACTAAAACCCTCAATGAACAGTGACACTCTGCCTTTGCCTTTGTTAAACCCGTGGATCATTTTCCACCATAGGTACACGAGAACTTGCAGTTCCCCTTCAAGAAGCTGATGCGGGTGGAGGTGGTGGATAAGAACTACCTGTGCCGGACACGGGTCGCTCTGGTGGAGCAGGTAATCGGAGGTCGCCTCAGGCTGGTTTATGAGGAGAGCCAGGACCGGTCAGATGACTTCTGGTGCCACATGTACAGCCCCCTCATCCATAATATAGGCTGGTCGCGTAGCATCGGACATCGCTTCAAACGATCAGGTGAGTTTGGAAAGATCCGGTAACATTTAAGTTTACGTGGTGTTCAAATAAGTTATAACAATTACAGCTGTTTCTACTTTTAGAATTAACAGAATGTGATTGCACTTGGTGTGCACATTATTGAAGGCGTTTAATACTATCCAGAAATTTGACACTATTAATGACATTTAATGAGTTAAAATAAAAAGGAAAAGCTTTAAACGATAAGGCCGGTGAGATTCTGTATTTTTGTAATTGTCCACAAATCCTATGAAAAGCTGGGCACTGTAGTTTTTAGCAAATGTTACTCAAATAGGAAGGTGTAGTGCGTTTGTTGGGAACTGCTCTCAGGCAGCAGAATGTTTAAAGGCTCACGCAGACTACACGACTTTCAGCGTCGGCCGATCGTCGTGCCGCTCACACTACACAACTTGCAGTCTTGTGACGGGAGTCTTGATGTCGTTGTGGCGTTCACACTACGTGACTGATCAGGGACAGGGGGTCGCACACTACGCGAGCTGACAGCGGCTCTGTCACCAGACGGCTGGTCTCCAAACCACGTTTTGTCAAGAAAACACACGTGAAATGTTTCAATGGTTTTGCAGTGAAAAAGTAGCTGCCTAGTGTGAACTAGTCTTTACATGCACTTGATTCTTGATGAACTAATGTGCCCATGTTGATTTATTTATTTTTTTCACGAGATTTGTTGACAAGAAGACAATTATAGAAAATCTCCAGACTCATCATTTAAAGCTTTTATGAACATGATGTTGAACATTGTTATACACTTGTTTGTTTTGCGTAGGTTTTCTGTTATAAATGTATCAGTTCTCCAAGTCAAGGCCATCATGTCCTTGTTGACACCATAAAGGTTTTCTCAGACCTGACAGGGCTCAAAGACATAAAAGACATTATACAAAAGATTTTACAGGATGGGTAATACTCCATGTAGTACTAAGATATAAACTGATGTTGGTGTGTAAAATGAGTGGACCGCCCCTTTAAATGTCCTGTCTGAGCTTCAGCTTAGACTTCAGTTCTGCACTGAATATCCTTCGAGTACTGGAACTAAAAACCACTGTGGGTGTTTACAGATGCCAATATTTAGAGTGCAGGTCAGCCAATGCGGATATATAATACCAATATCAAAAGAAAGGTTACATATTATTCCTTGCTGAGCACAATCTATAATACATGTCATCTTACTTAACCAGGAACATTTCAGAAGCAACGGCATTTAAATACATGATTCTATATATTATAACATATATATTTAACACTAGTTTGGAAGTGTTTTCAGCTGTCATTTAGGGTGGGAGAAACATGTTAACATTTAGAAAAGACAATGGTGACTGAGGAAACTATTTCACTACCTTCCCAAAACTCCCAAGAGGGAGCGCAAACATTGTTTCACAGCAGCTCACTGACAGGCAGCCTGCAGTTTTGTCTGCAGACCGTTTTTGTTTATCGGCCTTGTGAGCGCCAGGCACTCGGCAATGCTGGTTATCTCAAAATTCCAGATAATTGGCCCGATTAATCAGTCTATCACGAATGTTATGACCTGCTGCTGTGTGTCTTAATAATAGCTACTTATGCTCATAGTGAATCAAGCCATTATTTTGTTGTCTGACCAGTCAGTGTTCTCTGAGGCCAGCTCATTCTCAGCTTCCACTGTGTCTAACCATTTGGTTTAGGCATGGCAAGTCATTTTGCCTTGTCAATTTATTTTTCAGATGTTACAAAGAAAATTGAAGGTCAAGTTGATGCTCCTGCAGACTTCTTCCAGAAGGTAATACAAAAGAGAAAATGTCTATTTTTGTTCTCATAAGAGAGAGAGAGAGAGAGAGTCCTACAGCTGAATGGATGTGCTAGTGTGTCATCATCAGTCATTGCAGACCCTGTTCTTGGATAACAAAGATATCCTGAATAAACCGCTGACGATTTGACATGAGTCTAAATTTTTGGGTTCTTCAAAGCTGCTTAAAATTCTTCATCAACTGTTGTCAGAGCAACAGCTCCTTAAGCCCAAACCTGCCAAAGTGCAGCTTACCAACAGTTACATAAAGAGATACAGAGGTATCTGGCTGTGAGACTCTTTAATCCATCCTCAGCCTGCACCATGTGAAATAGTTTTATTTCTGTATATAATTTTATCATTTTTTGTATTAGGGCTGGACAATAAAACAACAATAATTATCGCAATATAATTTTTGTTGAACAATAATATAATAAATATTAGATTTTATTCACTTGAATCATACACGAATTAGGACTTAATTTTTTATTAAGCTGTTTATTTTGTTGAGGAAAAAGGACTGAAAAAGCTTTTACTTAATTTTACTCATGCATATGTGTTGAAAAAGATTGTTCATAATTGTTTTGAATGTTCTACCTCAGATTTGTGATGTGATCCACTGTTTGGCCTCAAGTGCTGACCATAAACACGAGTTTAAACCACAATTAACAATCATGTTTCTTCAACTTTCCCTCAGTAGCAAAAATCAGCCTTTAAACTCCAAAGAAATAAAGATTTCAAGCCCTATTTTGTATTTTGTTTGTGAGTAGACAATTTTGTGATACGTGTGATCAATAAAGCGACATGGTACCTTTTATTAGCTGTGGTGCCAAGTGTGGTTTAATGACAAAGACCAACGGCAGAAACCCCGTCATTCTGGTAGCTGCAGGGCTACACCAACAAATAGTTTCTCTGACTTGCATTGTGACTTTGTTTCGTTAGTCCAACTACAAGGCTCACTTGCCAAACATCAACATAGCGTCACTGATGGCAGAATAGGCTTTTTAGATTTCCAGAGAGCTTCTTATCAAAACAAGACGGTTACATCTCCCATGTGCGAAGGGATGTTACAGGGTCTTGGCTATGTGGAACCCTCTATGCAGGCTTTGGTCAGCTTCACTGTCTCGCTTGATCCTGAGGCATTTTGGTCTGCGCCCCTTGGAAATTAAAAATGAACTGAGAGGTTCCAGACTCATAGGCATTTGCAGATTAGTCTGGCGTTACCAGGCTGCACGTGATTAAAAAAAAGACATCTAAACTAAAGCTTAGTTTTTAGTTTCTACAAAAAGACAAAAACTCAACTAAAAGACCAGAATAAATGGAATTTAATTTGACATTAAAATGGGAATTTGTCATTTGCATGTTAAAACTGAATTATTAACTGTTGAACTCAGTTTGCTGCACATTCTTTACAGGATTAAAGCTGCTTTTTCAGAGGTTAGTGAGGTTTCATTTTCATCTCGGCTTATGATTTTCACTGCACGTCAACAAAGGAGAACCTGACCACAGTCGCCGGCCACGTCTACCTGTTTTAACAGTGTGGAAACATTGTGGAGCCTAATGTAGAACAAAAAACAGTGGTAGCAGTGTGCAGAAAACGTGCAGAAAATGAGACTTCTGTCCACGCAGTGCATGCTGGGAGGGTTCCACACACTTACCTCTTGTAACTGCAATCACATGATCAGCAGCCTAATTGCTCATCAGGGTTTCAAGTCTGTACTCGGGTTGTTTTTATTTCAAAATAAGAGCGCACTACAATTCAAGATACAGTCATCCAGGATGAAGAAGTCACTCCTCAAACTGCGTTCAATAACCAATTGGCTAGATGAGGACAGGGTTGTTAGCCAGTTTTTGTTAAACCACAATTGAAGAACAGAGCCCTGGTATGTAACAGAGGTGGTGTTGCTTTTCTCATGTACAAGTAAGGCTCAGTGGGCTTTTAGATGTAATATTAAGGGGTGACTATTATATTATTATAATCCCCTGTGGGCGTTCTAATAGCACCCTATCTGATTAAACCACATTTCAAATAATAATTCTCTATTTGTCTTTTTTCTCTCAGGTGAAAGATGTGGACCAGAGTGGGGACTGGTTCAAAGACGGGATGAAGTTAGAAGCCATTGACCCCCTCAACCTCTCAGCTATATGTGTAGCCACTGTAAGAAAAGTAAGTGCGTTTCTGGACTCCACGTGAATGTTATGTGATGAGATGCTTGTGTGTCAGGTCGGCAAAGTAAAAGTGTTAGTTGCTGTTCTTTATTTAAAAGTGCCTTTCTCTCGAGTGCTCCGGACTAACCTCAGCTGATGCCTGCTGTTTACCGTAGGTGTTGGCAGACGGGTACCTCATGATTGGGATCGACGGTTCGGAGGCAGTGGACGGGTCAGACTGGTTCTGCTACCACAGCACCTCCCCTTCCATCTTCCCTGTCGGCTTCTGTGAAATCAACAACATTGAACTCACGCCCCCAAGAGGTACTGTACACTCACATCTTTGTTTCTTTTCCCTTCAGAAATCTAATGGTCGTTTGCTCCAACTGAGAGATCTAAGGAAGATTTGATAGATAAATAAATAAATAAAAAACAAATCAAACACAGAAATAAAGTTAAATACAATACACATTGTTACACGTATTTTCTTTTATGGATGCATTTACTTTACTTACTGTTATTAAATAGAAATATAAAAAGTATATTTTAAAAGTACAGTTATTTCACATGTTGTCTGTTATAACTGAATTGCATAAATTGTCCATGCCACACATTTAAATCAAATCACAAACCTGAAAACAAAATTAGAAGGTGTGTTTTATTTCAGTGTTGTCCAGCAGATGACAGTGTGGAGCCACCAAAACCAAATACATTAGTTTTCATGAGGACGCACAAGGGAGCTGTTTCTCTTTTCCAGTAAACTCTCTCTCAGCAGCTGGATTCATATCCCTTAAAACAGTCAGTGTGTTTGTCTGAAAAAGGAAAACTCCTCCTTGCGCCTCCTGATGACAGAGCTTTGCTGCCCCACATCTCTTTCCTTTTTGTGATTCTGTGTTGTGATTTGATTTTAATGTGGCATGGAAAACCTATATATCACCTGTATGTTTCCTGGTTTGATTTGTTTTTATTTAGACACTTGAAATCTTCCATACGGAGCCTCTATATTCTGTTAAATACCATTTCTCTCCAGGTGAACTTATTGGTTAGAAGTAGTTTAATAACATCTTCTTGCATATGGTTTCTTAATGTTCTGGTCTCAACACTGACTCTGTTCCCCAGGGTACACTAAACTGCCACTTAAATGGTTTGACTACCTCAGAGAAACAGGTTCAATAGCTGCTCCTGTCAAGCTCTTTAACAAGGTAGGCTTTATTAATGGTTTCTCCACTGTGTTTGTGTTCATTATTAAGATGTCTTCTGGTATTATTTTTCTAGTTATACAAAAGGATAACAGGGTTTTTCATAGCACTACATCTAAAATCAGAAAGCAGCAGATAAACTCAGTACCGTTCTGATTAGTGGTATTGAATGACAGTCTTTGTTTAGTTTTTTCAGTCGACATCTTAAAAGAACTGTTTTCCTGTAGCTCCAGGTTTTGCACTAGCACTAACGGTGTGTTTATAAGAAATCAGTCTTCAGTTAGTTTTTGTACAGATGTTAGTTTTATTTATGAGTCACCAAACCACCTTTATTTAATCAGGTCATCTCATTGAGATCCAGAGAGATCGGAGTACAGCAGATATAGATCATCAGACAGTCACAGACGCCAATAAATGGGTTAAAAATTTATATTCTATCATTTATTTCATATTTATTCAGGTTTTTCCTTTAATTTGTCCTCCGTATGTACATTATACTTTACTACTGTTAGATCTGTGGTGGTGATGGAGCAGTGGATAAGACACATGTGAGAGGCCTGGGTTCAATTCCCCACAGTGACATCCACCATTGTGTCCCTGAGCAAGACACTTAACCCCTAGTTGCTCCAGAGGCGTGCGACCTCTGACATAAATGAATAAATGTAATGTAATCCGTTAACACGACAGATATCCCGCCTATGTGTAGTTCTGATTGGACAGACTCTGTGATGCACAATGCGTTTTTGACCAGAACATTCTAGCTAGGAGGGATGCACAACTTTTTCAACTTTACTGTGAACTTGCAAAAGAGCACTGAAATCGCGATGGCTTGTCACACGTGTAGGTTCGATCAACGCATTGCTGCCTTGCTCTGACGCCTCTGATAGGGATTCCATTATGTCCCGTTCATTTTGTGGATTGCATATTTCGTCTTGTGTTACAACTGCATCTGCAGCTGCTGTCGGTCTGCTGATGTAGCAGAAGTGTCTCCTCTTCTTGCCCTTTCCCTGTCTCGCTCTGCCTCGGCACCATTTCCTCCTCAGTATGTCGGACGTGTGTTTTGTCATGATGCATTGGCTATTTTGAGCAAGTCTGATTATTATAGCTATGGGATTATTTTCCGATCTTTATTCAAGAGCGTCGTCTTACAATTGGAGATCAAAATTGATTAATTTCCCGTTCAGATTTTGTAATGCTTTCCTTCAAAACGCTTAGATTTGCTCAGCTGCGGCTCAAACTGGGTGCTTGATGCTCGCACAAACTTTCTGCGTTCCAGCTTCAGCCCTTCTCCTCGCGCTCAGGCTGTTTCTGTGTGCTTGTGAAACGTCTTTTCTGAGATTTGTGCTCTGCTCCCAGGTTTTTCTGTGTAATAACCCTGTCAGAATCCCCCCCCAACCAATAGAATGCCAGGTGTAGTGTTGACCAATGAAATCATCCCCAACTTGTTGATACAGCATGTGTATATCATATAGGGCCTCTGGAAGGAAGGACAAACCCATTAGGATATACTGACAGTTGTTAAACCTGGTACCATTTACTAGAGTCCTTATAGTACAAGGTAGATTATGATGACTGGAAGACTACCTTAACCTAGGAATGTTAGCTTTTATTGTAAAGTGTTAGCTGAATAGCCTCAAAGTTGTGTTCACCACTGTTACACCTGCCCCAGGGAAAACTGAACGTAGCATAAAAATGCCCTAAAAAAATCCTGTAGCAATAACGACCAGTGCCAAACATATAGCCTCTTATTTCCTTCCCTTGTTCTGTCTGATTAACAGGACTCAGGATGTGTCAGTGCTTCTCTACAGCAGCTTATGCATGTGTTTTTATTGTAAATGAGTAAAATAAACATTTTTTCACTGTCTTTGCTGCCTTGCGTCTTCTAGGAGGTTCCCAATCACGGTTTCCGGCAGGGAATGAAGCTGGAGGCTGTTGATCTAATGGAGCCACGGCTGGTATGTGTTGCCACGGTGACGAGGATTGTGCACCGGCTACTGAGGATCCACTTCGACGGCTGGGAGGATGAGTACGACCAGTGGGTGGACTGTGAGTCACCTGACCTCTACCCTGTGGGTTGGTGTCAGCTGACGGGCTACCAGCTACAGCCCCCCGCCTCACAGAGTAAGAACATGATATATTACAACTTGATAGATTTAGATAAATACCTTCTCCCCACACTCTCACACACCTACAACTCTGGTCTCTCACTGCAAACACACCGGCTTGCCCCACCTCTCTCGGTCTCCCCCTTGACTTTCTCCATCAGCAGTATGTTTTAGAAACTTGTCCAAAAGACTCCTCCTTTTTTTTTATCAAGTGAAGCCAATGCAAGTGAACATATGCCTTTTTATAAGATGGAAGCTAAGATGAAAATGCACATATTTCCTGTTTTACAGCTCTCATCTTGTACATAGCATACCGTATAGCGTAATCATTTTTTGTTTATCACTTATTTCAGAGCTAGCGGCTCAGAGAGGCTCTCCAGTGTATGGCGGGGTGTCTGTATGTAGCCGTAGCTCCACTGTTTGTCATATTGATGCTACAGATAGTGAAAAAACACAATTTTAGAATGACCTGCCAAAGAAATTGTATTTAATATACACTGCTCAAAAAAATCAAGGGAACACTTGATACACAATGTAACTCCAAGTCAATCACACTCCTGTGAAATCAAACTGTCCACTTAGGAAGCAACACTGATTGACAATCAATTTCACATGCTGGTGTGCAAATGGAAAAGACAACAGGTGGAAATTATAGGCAATCAGCAAGACCCCCCCAATAAAGGAGTGGTTCTGCAGGTGGTGACCACAGACCACTTCTCAGTTCCTGTGCTTCCTGGCTGATGTTTTGGTCACTTTTGAATGCTGGCGGTGCTTTCACTCTAGTGGTAGCATGAGACGGAGTCTACAACCCACACAAGTGGCTCAGGTAGTGCAGCTCATCCAGGATGGCACATCAATGTGAGCTGTGGCAAGAAGGTTTGCTGTGTCTGTCAGCGTAGTGTCCAGAGCACGGAGACGCTACCAGGAGACAGGCCAGTACATCAGGAGGAGGCCGTAGGAGGGCAACAACCCAGCAGCAGGACCGCTACCTCCGCCTTTGTGCAAGGAGGAGCAGGAGGAGCACTGCCAGAGCCCTGCAAAATGACCTCCAGCAGGCCACAAATGTGCATGTGTCTGCTCAAACGGTCAGAAACAGACTCCATGAGGGTGGTATGAGGGCCCGACATCCACAGGTGGGGGTTGTGCTTACAGCCCAACACCGTGCAGGACGTTTGGCATTTGCCAGAGAACACCAAGATTGGCAAATTCGCCACTGGCGCCCCGTGCCCTTCACAGATGAAAGCAGGTTCACACTGAGCACAAGTGACAGACGTGACAGAGTCTGGAGACGCCGTGGAGAACGTTCTGCTGCCTGCAACATCCTCCAGCATGACCGCTTTGACGGTGGGTCAGTAATGGTGTGGGGTGGCATTTCTTTGGGGGGCCTCACAGCCCTCCATGTGCTCGCCAGAGGTAGCCTGACTGCCATTAGGTACCGAGATGAGATCCTCAGACCCCTTGTGAGACCATATGCTGGTGCGGTTGGCCCTGGGTTCCTCCTAATGCAAGACAATGCTAGACCAATGCTAGTGTGTCAGCTGTTCCTGCAAGAGGAAGGCATTGATGCTATGGACCGGCCCGCCCGTTCCCCAGACCTGAATCAAACTGAGCACATCTGGGACATCATGTCTCGCTCCATCCACCAACGCCACGTTGCACCACAGACTGTCCAGGAGTTGGCGGATGCTTTAGTCCAGGTCTGGGAGGAGATCCCTCAGGAGACCATCCGCCACCTCATCAGGAGCCCAGGCGTTGTAGGGAGGTCATACAGCCACGTGGAGGCCACACACACTACTGAGCCTCATTTTGACTTGTTTTAAGGACATTACATCAAAGTTGGATCGGCCTGTAGTGTGGTTTTCCACTTTGATTTTGAGTGTGACTCCAAATCCAGACCTCCATGGGTTGATAAAATTGATTTCCATTGATATTTTTTGTGTGATTTTGTTGTCAGCACATTCAACTATGTAAAGAAAGGAGTATTTAATGAGATTATTTCATTCAGTCAGATCTAGGATGTGTTATTTTAGTGTTCCCTTTATTTTTTTGAGCAGTGTATATCAAGCATGTCATTGCAGATATCCGATCTGCTTAAAAACGCCAGCGTCAGTACCGGTCCTATAAATCATAACGATGCGGTCTTAACTGTCGGTTGTGCTAGATTTTATACAATCCACGTTCTATATTTGTGATTCCATTTGTTTTCTTGGTTTGTCCCTCAATGATAATTCTCACTGTCTTTCAGGTAACAGAGAAATGCCTCAGTCTGTACCCAAGCAGAAAAAAAAAGCCCAGCAGTACAAAGGCCAAAAGAAGAGTAAGTATCCTTCTTGCACTCTGTGTTTTTTTTTTTTCTCCATTCCTTCTTTTGCCACCCCCGGTGGAAACTCTGCTGCTCTCTGATTGGTCACCTACTCGGTGTGTTCAGAAGGTTTTTGGTCAGACCGCTTGTCTCACATTGCGGGACATTGTAAAAATAAAAAAGTTCTGTCTCTTTGCCATCGGGATAGTTATTAACAAGCGTATAAACTTGAACAGTATTCTGCTTACTTGAGGAATCTGAGAACAGAAGGCCTGGGCTTGCATCTGTGATTAGGTCCAAAGTTTCAGATCACAAAAGGAGATGCTAATGCTAAACTGTTACAGTGAACACAAGACATTTCATTTTTTAAATTTGTGTACAGTCCTGTTTCCCAAAACGTTGGCACGCTGTGTAAGATGTACATGAAAGGAGGGGTTCACCTCACCCCCCAAAACTGTGCTAGCAAATAGCTCAACAATTTAAGAATTATGTTTCTCAACGCAAACTTGCAAAGAATCTGGGGATTTTATTGTCTACAGTACATCATTGAAAGATTCAGAGAATCACAAGAAATCTCCACAGTATTGCATGGTCCTCATCATCGGGCCGTCAGAAGGCATCAAACAGACAGGATTCTGTAGTGGACATCACTGCATGGGCTGAGGAACACTTCCAGACATCACTGTTTTGGACCAATAAAATACTACAACAGGGCTACTTCCTGTTGGCACCAGCGTCTACTGCGCATGATCGCGCAGCATAACCGTGGTTTGATGACGTAGAACAACTGCAGAAACACCGTAATTCTGGTAGCTGTATAGCTGCGCCAACAAAAAAGTTTCATGGCTCAGTGTGTTTGTCTGACTCGGATCGTCACTGATTAATCAGCGCACCTACGCAGCGTCACTGATCGCTGTATAGTTTTTTTATAGATTGCAGAGAGCTTATAATCTAAGCAATACGGTTACATCTCTCATGTGCGACGGGGTGTTAAAGGGTTTTGACGTCATTTTTGGATCCCTCCATGCAGGCTTTGGTCGGCTTCACTGTCCGATCTCTGGCTTACGCCCTTGGTGGTGAGCTCATTTAAGATGGACTGGAACTCAGTTCCCAGTTGCCTACAGAGTGTTGCTTAAAAAAGAGGTGATGCAGCAGAGTGGTACACACGACCCAGTCCCAACTTTTTTGAAACGTCTTGCTGGCATCATATTCAAAATGGGCGTATCATTTTCCAAAAACATTTCAGTTTCAGCATTTGCTAAGTTGTCTTTGTGCTCTCTGGGGTTTGAGTGTTTTGTACATCATCACATTTTGTTTTTATTTACATTTTACACAGACTGTCAACTTTTTGGAAACAGAGTTGTATGACCAATTATTTTTAAATCCACTTTGCCAATCCAAATTGAATCGGAATACTGTGCTGAGTTGACTTGACACTGAACCACATATGGGGGTGAGTGAGTGAGTGAGACGCAAATTTGAAGTCACTGGGGATAAAAGAGCTGTATAAATAGCCCTTTGCCATTTCACAGTCGCTGTAGCCTTGTTCTTGGTGACAGGCTGACAGTGCATCTTCTTACTTGGGTCTGGCGGTCTGATCACAGCTTACCACGGGCTTATTCAGATGGACATATCAATGCAAGTGACAACAGCGTGAAGGTTAAATTTTTAACCTTTTTTTAAAAAATTTCTTCCCGATACGTAATCTAAAGATCAAGAACGCGTTCCAGTTGAATTGAACCCCTGTGTGTAATAAGCCCCTGGTAGCTTACCCTAGTTTGGCTTGGTGTTTAGAGAGGAAGATCCCGGTTGGTCGACGGCCCTTCAGTCAGACAGGCAGGAGGAGGAGCAGCTTCTCGGGGGACGAAGAACAGAGTCCGCCCCCTTACCTTGCCCAGGGGCCCACTCGGCCCCGACCCCGAACCCACCTCCACCAAACCCACAACTCAGGTAACATCACACTAACGATAAAACCAGCACATGAGGCTCGGTGCCATTTTTAGCAGGTGACCATCCTCTGAGTCACTGGGCCTCGCTGTGGACCTGGATGCTGCTGATGGTGCTGATGGATGCTGCATGTTCTGCTGTGTTGGTATACGCTGTCATTGTTCTCACATGAATATTTCCTCATGTCAGTGAAGGTGTGTTCATTTCATTTGCAGGAAACACAGTTTCGGTATTACTAGCGTTTTGTCTCTACTTTGAAGCGGTCATAACACTTCTTTATTCATTTTATATTTTAGTAGTTAAGTTGATGCTCAAAATTCATGTGGAGACTACGTTAACACGTGGAACACAGACAAAGGTCCCTCCTGTATCTCACTCAAACTGCATGAACACAACTGGCTCATCTGTGCTGCTGTTCTCTCTCTTATCCGTCTCTGCCCCCTTCTTAGAGTCTCTCCTGCGAATGAAAGAGGAGACAGCCGAGGTGGACGAGTTCACCTTCTCACAGGGCACCTCCGACCAGGAGAGCAACGGCTCGGGCAGCTACTACATCAAACAGGAGCCCTGAGCTCACGAGGCCAGGACAGAGCAGGATAAACCAGGACAGGTCACACTTCTGGAAAACCCCATCGAGGATCAGGAACACGGAGAGCCGAACTAGGCTCGAATCACATTCAGACCAACGCCACAGGCCTTCTGCTGTGTCGATACAGAATATGGCCACGATGAGTAGGAGCGGGTTGTTATTGCGCTCCTGAAAAATCCTGAAGGGAACCTCCCCCGGAACAATTTTCGAACCTTGTAGCTATGTGTGCACATAATCACTCAAGAAACCTGTGTGATTGAAAGGTTGGAAAGCACCCAGGGTCGGGCCTGCGTCACGTATGTTTGGGCATTCTCTTTTGTGCCACCCTCGGGTGACACGACATCATTCTCTCCTCTCCATTTTTCTACAGAAATGGGGGCCCTGCGAGTCAACATCAGCGCTCTCTGCCTCTGCCACAATCTGGGCCGCACACAGAGACCTGTAGAAACTGTGAGAACCATTTATTGAGCCAGGTCTTTAGTTGTTGTTTGTATTTTTTTTCGTTTTCAGGTCAGAGAGTCAGCCACTGAACGGCCTGAGGAGAAACGTGGTGCTGGCAGTAAGAGGAACAGAGTTGTGTATATTTTGATTCTTTTCTTCTGAACAATATTGCCAGGTGGACTTTTGCTTTGTTAATAGTACTTGAAGTTTTTTTTTTTTCCCTTTTCTTTTCTTTTGTAATGATTTTGAGGTTGTTATTTTCTTAATGTACTTATTTGCATTTACATTTTTTGGTGGCTGTGTGGGAAACTTAATGTGCATTGTTTCATAAAAGTGATTCTATTCATATAGTATGTGGAGACCTATTCAAATAGAATTACAGAGTATAGATATTAAGGATTGTGATTTGGAGAGAGACCTTAGTACAGTGCTGCTCAGCATTTCTGATATTCATTTTTTTTTTTTTTACATTTAAAAAAAACTCTTTCTTCCAATTGGCCAGATTATTTCCACAGCTGTATTCATTTCTGATTCCAACATTACAGAACCAAAATCTGATTCAAGTTCAACAACATAATTTCATCAAAGTTTCATCAAAAATTCTGGAAACTTGTGGGGCTGCAACTACAATGTTATTATTTGTTATCATTATGGATACATTATTATTTGTTGATTAATACTTTGGAAAATGGTGACAAATACCCATAACAATTGATTAGTTTAAAATTATTCTAGAACCCAGTGAAGTGCAGCTTTATCCTTACATCTGAGGAGCTGGAGCCGGCATCTTTTGGGGCATTTTGAAGTGATTATTCAATCATTAAGATTGTTGTCGATACATTTTCTAATGTAACGATTCACCTACTAATCTACAGGTGCAGTTTTAACATTGTCCATGTTAAAGCTGCACCTGTTGCTTTTAGAAGAGCTGTATGTTTTCGTTTGGCTTTATGTGTTTAAGACCCCTGCGAGGTACCATTTAGCAACTTATTTCTGGTGGCGACAGTTCTAGTGATTTGGTGGAGAAATTAAAAACATGGTGCAGCTTTAATTCTATTCACATTCCATTGGGCTTTCACTAACACTGTAGGGTTTGTACATCTTAATATCCTTCAGCGATATTAAGTGGGCATTTTGGGGAGTAATTGTTTTTTTGGTTAAAACTGCTTTAATGTCCATATTTTAGGATACTATAGATTATATAAGCCAGGATAAGCTTAAAACAGAGCACATATCTAAGGAGGTAACAGTGATGTGTGGCTTTGATGGCTCAGTGTGGAGCTTTAGGGACCTATCACAGTAATCAGAACTCTCATAATACCACCAACTGTGGGGATTAGTAACTGCTGTAGCAAGTGTAGCAGTACTAGGACTAGGCAGAAATGTCCAAGTTATCATTGTGAATGTTTCAGGTCCTGTAATGTTGAACAGAAATGATGAGAAGCTTTTTCCATGTTAAAAAAAAAATAGCACCTTTTTAGTTATACTAAATTGGAAATACATTTTAATATTGTGACTGTATGTGAGCAGCAGGGTATGTTGTATGAAAGAGAAACCTTACTGGTATGATAGGGTACACTCTGACCTGTTATTCCCACTGTCCAGCCCTACGATACCTTTTTACATTTTGGATGTAGCTGCTGTCAGGGAGGAACCTCAAGTCTTATTGGACAGACAAGCAACACAACTGACCAATGTTGGCCTCCTTTATCAGACAAACTGTTCAGCGTATTAAAATGTTGTGGATGCAGGCGGACGCATCACTTACATAAGGTCAAAGGTCACACAGCAGAGATTGAGATTGCAGATACAGGTATTTCTGTTGTGTTGTAGACCACGTCTGCTGTATTCATACCCAGAGGAGGACAAACATGTTCCCTCTGGGACTCCTCAGTTATATGGAGCCTGGAGTATGCCACCAGACTAATTATAGTCTTATTCAGTGTTAAATTATAGTCAATTAATACATTTAAGAATCCTGAATATGCATTTAAATAATGCATTGAAAAACTAAAAAAAGATCATTAAATTTGCCTGATTAATATTTTTATTCCCTTATTCTGTCTATAAGTGACAAATTACTAATTGAAATTTAAAATGGAATGGCAAAATCCATTTTTATTTAAAGAACCAACCTACAGTGCCAGCTGATCACATTGCCTCTGTGTGGGTTGAACTATATGTAATATTTAGGTATTACACTGTACCCATCTTGAATGTGACTAAGTAATTGGAATAACAAAGTAAAATTGAAAGATAATTTTGTGATTCCATTTTAAAATGTAGTAAATTAAATCACTTAAACATAAGGCACATCTAAGAATAAGGAAATACTATTAATTGGCAGATTTAATTATTTTATATTATAATAGTTATAATTAATATATACAATCAAACATTGAAAGTGTGGCACACTCAATAAGAAGAGGTTGGACTCATGTTGGAACACAGGAAAATCTGCCTTGGTTTAACAGTCTTATTAACAAGCCGTTTTGTTTTCCAAATGCAAAAAAAAAAACACAGTATGTTAAATATTTTATTAGGGTAATATGCAAACCCTTAGTTTTTTTATTGCTTAGGTTGTTCTCATGTCACAGCCATATGTATGCAAGCTAGTTTATGATTCACCTGAGCCACAGAATAACAGGTTTGTTGTTTAATAATGAAATATGAACAATGCACTGCTTTTCCAATAGTCTCTGAGGGCAGCATTCACATAAGACAGGATCTAAAAGTGGCATAAATACATAGATTCTATATAAATTTATATATATATATATATATTCTTCATAACAATGATGATATGGAGTAACAAATCCTGGTTAGTCAGAAATCCATGCTTGGCCGTGGAAAATATAAGACCGCTTCTTTCATCCTTAGTGCTAGATTTTTGCAGCTGTTTATCTACTACCTCCAGATGCTAGCCACATTTAGCTAAACAAGAGTGTGAAATGGACTACGGCAGTGTGTTAGCATATGCAAATGAAAATGATTTCTTAAAAAGGATCCACTTGAAGACTAGACACCAAACATGGAAGAATTTTATCACAGCACACATAACGAGTCTTCTAATTTGAATGATGCAATAATAATAGATCCAATATTATTTTGCTATGTTATAAAACCGTATAGCACCCTCAAATGTCATGATCACTACATAAATATAAATCACATATGAGAATTTAACAAAGTGGTATTGTATAACTGTGATTTTTGTGAGCAAGGTGTTCATATACAGAAGACTCACTGTATGGCCAAAGGCTATATTGAAATGCAGAGCAGATTTAAACTTCTCAGTGACGGTAAAATATCCATCATTTCTCTTAATACCAGTAAGGTTCATGATTCAATTCTCAGGAAGTTTGTTTCTTTTTTTGGCTGTAAGGGTCATTACTACAAAGTCTGAATCAGCTGGGTTTGAAAAGCTCAAAGGCATCTGCATCATGTGCATCTCTCTATGGAAGCAACAAAGTGCCATAATAATGAGAATCTTTTATGCAACTGAAATAGTACTTGTGAAATTTAATGACTTTTGAATACTTAATTTTGGGACTTTTGGGGCACCTTAAAAGTTGAATTTGAGCAATTTGAATAGACTGTAGTTTTTATTTTTGACACTTGCACAATTTGAAATACTCAAATTAATTTAACAGAAATTCAAATTGATTGTTTCAAAATATACTAAAAGGTACTTAAATTTCAATATTGTTGAGTGGTGGTTACATTTCACATTCAGGCTGTTTTCAAGATTCTAGTTGTTAGGTGCTTATATCCTTCCATACTATTCAAAAAACAAATGTCTTATCTAACTTACCATGTTATGTATTTTTTAAAATCTGTCTTCATGTTAAATTTGAGTGATGACTCAAAAACATGTGGATGTTTTGTTGTTATTTTTGGTTTGACTTGCTTTTTGGAGCCTCCTGTTTTCCCATTATTTCCTGGAATGTGAGATTGGTTTTCTACCAGTTGTCTTTTTAATTTGTCTCCCGATCAGATTGGGTACAAAGCTAAAAAGCTAAGCTTCTAAGACCAAATGAGCAATAAAAGACTGTGTCTCACAATCATTTGAAGTATATAGGTTTCAGGTTAGGAGCTGTCATAGGAGTTATTTTCCTGTGATGTTGGAGGGCATAAAGAAGCATTAAAGTAATTCATGACCAAACTGCATTAATATCTTAGTACAAAAAAGAAAAGACTGTTCTATGGACTAACTGCTGCTACCCTCTCTAGATAAACCCTAAATAATCAAATGCACAATCAACACTGTTTTGGATCTTTTGTTTCTCTCTTGTCCTTGTAGATATTAAATGTTTCCCCTTGATCCCCAAATTTAAAAATGGAACAAGTTTGACCTCCATCTACAGGTAGCTGTGTATTTTAAGTGTTTGGGCATCAATAGTTAGAGATGGCAGCAAGGAGTTGATTTGGTATTAGGTGCACTGGTCAACTGAATGCATGTAGAACAGAACACATTGTGCTGATGTCGTGCTGAGCTTGTGGTTTTTTGTTGTAACCGTCATTGGTTGTTCTTCAGTTTGTGTTTTCCTTCCTCCACTGTGATCAGAAAAGGCATGGAAGCCAGTTTCCGCTAAGAAAAAGAAAAACATTCATAAAAGTTAGCCATAGATAAAATTTTAATTTTCATCATTTGTAAGGAAAATTTTGACCGCTTAGCTTACCACAGCGAAGAAACATTGCGGTGCGGTTTAGCCATTGAAGAAAATGGGTTTTAAAGCACAGTGGTGCCGTTATCACGTTGTGCCTAAAAGGGCCTTTATTAGAATTATTTATTAGGCAAAATTGTGTCTACTTTTATAATTATCTCTGATAATTTTTCATTTTGACCTAGTTAGTTCATAATTTGGACTTTTTATCTCAATTTTGATATAGTAAATTAAAATTTTGACATAGTTAAACTCATCATTTTGACTTTCTACATCATCCGACTTTTCACAAGTTTATTATTAAATTATATTTATATATCATTTTCATAATGATTTTCTTTATCTGGCAATAGTGGACTTCCATAGGAGTGGAATTGTGGTTGCAGAGTTCTTTCTGCTAGATGTTGACAGTGATGAAGAGCAGGCTATAATTATATATTTGTTTCGTTTTTCTTGGATACTAACACGGGTCTTTTGTATGTGATAGCCCCCCACCCTCCCCGGTTATATTAAACCATTATATTGTGGTGCTATATATATATTTGATAAAAATAACTAAATGTATTGGGCTTACTATTGTCTGAAAATAATTGTGGGTTGAGAGGGTTATTGTGCAAAATTTATTTTGGATACAAATGGGGAAAAAAATCTATGTTAATAGTTATAAATCTATTGATATTAACACCGACCCCTGAGGTACATTATTAGATTGCAGTTTAAAGTTTGTACATCTTTTTGATAGTGTATACCAGTTTCCTTTCATATGGTAAGTTTGTGCTGTGATCAAGCTTTGATAGACTTTGTAAATAAAGCCAAATGTTTGGATCATAATATTGGTTGTAATGAATGGCTTCTTTGTTTACAAGCATTGCAAACTGTTTCTGCATGGCTGTGAAAGTTTATCTGGTGATTTTTGTAAGATCTGACTTTTACACTGAATAAAAAGGCTTATGACTTCAAACACCGTGGAAATCCTTTGTCCAAGCTTGAGCCTTTTTTGAACACAGGCAGGTTTTTTTAAAAATTGAAATATAGGGGTAAACCAGGGCGAAAGTAACATGGGACGAAAGTAACAAGGTGATTTTCTCAGAGCCCTGACTGCATTTGCAGTCCAAGCTGTGACAGCACCTTCAGCACGCAACCCTTGATGGAGCTGCCAAATATCGCATGATTTTGTCATAATTTCCTGCGGCCGTCTTCGGAAAACTGTTTTTGAGCACTGCAAGTAAATTTCTGAAGCGCGACTCTTTCGAATTACAAGTTGTGTCTCTCGTTTCATGTGTCACAGTAATGATTAATCTACAGGTTATTTAGTGCTTTAACACACCCTGTTTGCCCTGTCAGAGTTTTTCAGAATAAAAATAAATCGTGTTTATATGTCAGGAGTTCCTGACCACAAGTGTTTCTTTTGTCCCGCTGTGGTGACTTTCTCTGTGTTGCAGCATTTATTAAAACATGTTTATGTCATATTATACCAGCAGAATAGGCCAATAGTGTGGGTCAGAAAGACAGAGGTCTGATTCAGCCAGATGTTTGAGAAGGTGTTTCTGGACATCTCTATTAGAAACATTAGTCTCAGGTCAGCTGATAAAGTCCCATGGCATCTGCCCTGCGCTTTGTTCAGATAATGCAGGAGGAGGGCAGAGATAATTCGGGAGAAGACTAGACCACAGGTACAGATCACATTATTAAGTCTTCTCCTTGGACTAGGAGAGGAAGCTCCATCTAACCATTTCCCCCCTATCTTAGGTGCACACATTTGCATATTTATATTATATATTTATAATATATCCTTAATATAATATGAAATATTCTAAACAATTCAAGTTTAGGCTGTCAGGTTACTTTTGAAACTGAATATTTAAAATAAAAATTAATTTAAATTATTTTTTTAAAGATAAACACAAAAGATGTTTGCAGTTACACATTAACAAGGTCAGTCATGTTTATTTATTAAATACAAGGGTAACACAAAAAATCTAGCTTGTATTGTTGTGTTACTTTTGTCCCAGCTGACGAAAAGTCAGAAAAGAGTCGAAAGTAACAATGTGCCACTTATGTTTAAAGTGAAATTATACGGAAGTCGTTCTACATTTGTACAAAATACCACTTGATATTGATAGACCACACCTTTGAGTCAGTGACCACAGCAAAAATATATCTCTGTCTGAAACATTATCTTTTAAAATCAGGTTTTTCTGAAAAACAGTACTTTTGCCCCCTCTCTCCCCTACTTAATTAGTCCCTGAGGGGAAATTTGTTCTCTGCACTTAACCCATCCTAATTAGGAACATTGGGCAGCCATTGTGCAGCACCCGGGGAGCAGGTAGGGGTTCAGGTACTTGTTCAAGGGCACCTTTGGCAGTGGTCTGGGCTGGACTTGAACTGGATCCTAAGCAAAGTCCCCAATGACTGAGCCAATGCCGCCCTGGCAATGCTTGGCTCTTATCCAGGAAGGACATGCCAAAGACATTTAAAGCACCATACCATTGTGTCAGGTTAGCTTCTTCAGTGATTTTTTCCCCATTCACTATGAAATCAAATAGTTCCTTAAAGCTTGCTTAATTCAGTCCACATTAACTTTGATCACAAGATATTGTGATGATTGAGATGGCATAACACCGTAAAAGTTAAATATCCCAGGATTTTATTTGCTTCAATCACCCTAAATTTAGGACATGCTTTCATTTCATTTTGCTCAAAACTCAGCAAGCAGATAATTAAAAGCAGCATATCCAATAACAGTGCAGGGAGAAGAAAAAGTTAAGTCAGTTAAAGTGCTGTCTTCGGGGGACAGCGAGCGATGGACTTTATATAATGTTCACAACTTGGATTCATTTTGGTCTGTGGGCCTTTAGTTTGTTTCTTTCACTTGCTTCTTTTACTTGCAAACCATGCAAGGACAGAAGAAATAAGGAAATATGTATTCAGAGCCATAAGACATCCTTTCCTCCAAAGAATCATGTGAAGCGACGTTTCTGACGACGGAGGCAGCTCTAACAGCTAGAGACGGTTGAGTTTGTCTGTGCTAATTCTAATAAAGGCTCACATTTGATCAGTGCAGAGCAGCCTGTTCTCTCTGTAGCCATTCCCTGTTTAAACACCTGCACATGTAGAACAACCAGTCTAATTTTCCTGCATCCTGCTCAGGATCATGTCTACTGGCTGAATGCCTTTATATCATTTGATATTTGGATTGGCATTGACATGGTGTCTTTTCAACATTGGAAAGCTAAGTTTTTCAGAGAAAATTGAAATTATGCAAGTCATATCAAAGCAGATGCCCAGGAATAAGCTGATGTTAAAAAAAAAAAAAAACACACATTCCATTTGTGATGTTTAAGTTACTTGTAGACATTAACTGACAATAAACTCGATTTCTGCGCTGATCTCTTTGCCCTTTTAGTCTTGGTTACCGAGCCCAGATCATGCTAGACTGTAGTGCCTCTTTCCGAAGAGTACAAGTATAATGAAATGTAAATACTCAATGAAACAAACACTCAAACTGACCATTTGATTTTTGATCATTTGTTGATTTAAACCATCACTCTAGACTGCATTTTGCACAGAAGGACATGCATGCAAAATCTGTACTCTTCCCACAGCTGGCATTTGCCAGCTGGCATCATGACAACATGAAGCAGATCTGAAAGCAAACAACCTAATCTCAGATTATGGCTCCTCTCCATTACCGAGCTGATATCAAGCACCACATTACAGGTCATTAATTAATCCTCTTATAGAGTTTAGCAGGACACCATACATTAGTGCTGTGTGTGATATGATGAAGGGAGGACGACAGTATTGTGAGCATTTTATTGGAAAGCAGATCAACTTTAACAAAACTGACAGTATAGTCTACGAGTACTTCACTGTAGAGTCAGGGGGATGAATGGAATGTTTCTTTAAAAAAAAAAAAAGGAATGGAGCTGAGGAATGTTGTACAGTATGATGAGTAGTGGGCTGGAGGGGTAAGTGAGGGAAAAAAAAAAAAAACCAATCAAGAAATCTGAGGCAAAAGGTTCACTGGTGTCCAGTGTGAAGACTGCTGCAGGACCCAGAGAGGCTTAGTAGAGCCAGCTGAAGGCACAGCTAGTGTAGCTGACCAGCTCTTCTTGTTTGAACCACAGGGCAATCTCCTTGTTGGCACTCTCCACTGAGTCACTGCCGTGGATGATGTTCCTGTGGAAAGAGCACATGCAAGTAGTAAGGAAAAGAGCCACGAGAGAACCAACAGAATTCAGTCCAAACTAACTTTAACATCCGAGTTACGTCGCTCACCGACCTGTATTTGACATGAACTTCCCAACACAGTATGCAAACAGCACTCACTTGCTAACGTCGATGCAGAAGTCTCCTCTGATGGTTCCAGGCTTTGACTCAGCAGGGTTGGTCTCACCCAGCATCACCCTGCCTGTCTTCACCACACCCTTGCCTTCCCACACCTGAAATACACAAGAAAAGGGATGATGGGAGATGCAGTCATCTTGACCACCAGCTATGCAACTTAGTGTGCCAACCTCCATAACGGCTCAAAAAAAAAAAAAAAACACAATATGTGGCAGGTCACCTTTTAGGGGTGGTGTCTAACCTCGCTAAACTGGCCCCACAGCAAGCCTCTTTCCACATCAAACACTGCAGTCGCACAGTCTGTTGTATTTTGTTTCTTACCATGGCAACCACTGGACCAGAGCTCATGTAGTTGATGAGGGTAGGAAAGAACGGTCTGTCCTTGAGGTCGATGTAGTGCTGCATCAGGAGGTCCTCAGAGGCCTGCAGCAGGGACAACATACACAGGTCAGTTTTTGGACTCTTATCTACTTCACCAGGTGATCAGAATTCTCACCTGTGTCACATCAGTGCAGTATACTGTAGGGGATTTGATTTGTGCTGGATGATGTCAAACACAAATACCAGCAAATCCAGCTAGTCTCATTAACTGTTTATAAAAATCAGGCTGAAGTGCCTTTATCAAGAGGGACTACGCTGCCCGTCTGAGTCACTTCTGAATCAGTTTCCTATTCAACCACTGAAACAGTTCCACGGCTACTGTAGGTCTTGGAGGGCAACTTCTTTATTTTCAACCTGGACCCCATTTTCCCCCCCATGTTTGTGTCCAAGTGACTAATGGGTACAACATTTTTTGAAATTGGTCTAGTATTGAGAGAGTGTGCTGCAGTCTGGAGCAGTGAGACAGCGCTGCAAGGTAACCCTTGCAGGCAATAGCACATTAGTCACAAAAATATAAGGGATACAGAGCACAGGTTGTGAAAAAGCTTTATTAATATCTGACACCATTTACTAAAGACACCCTACTGATTTTAAAGGCAACATGGATCCTGCAGGTGATCAGAAACATGAGAACTTCCACATTCACAGGTCAATAAGAACTGAGCAAACTCAGCTGTTAACCCTTCAACCAAGTCACACTAAACAGAAACTGGCTGCCAACTCACTTTAGAGCAACAGCAAATCCTGGCCCCATGTTTCCTTAGATAAACTTACTGAACCCAGTGATTAAGGGGGGGGGGGGACTGGCATCCAAACAGTACTCTACGTCAGCAGCTACCCGGATGGGTCTCTGAATTAAGTACTTCATGCGCAATAAAATCCATAACAGTGTCCTAGACAGCAGAGTCGGAGCTTTCGGGCCTTTACTGGCAGTGATGCCCCCCCGCCCCAATCATAATGTACTCAATAACTACAGTGTGACACACTGACCACCGCCCCCTGCCTCCTCAGCACACCTGGTCAATACGTCCCACTCTGTCAACTTTAATAATAAGGAGACAGTTGAAGGAGCAACCCCCCCCCCGAAGCACCACGTCAAAATCTGACATGATTCTCTAGAAATGGAGCCTTCAGATTCTCTTCTGACTGAACCCAGTGGAGATGGGCATTGGCCATTTCAGCAAGATGACCAATTGGAATATACATTTTAACAAAAACTTCCAGCACTAAACACAACAATCAGTGCTGCTTTTTCTGGACAGGCCTTTGTGCTGCTGACTCAGGCTACTTGGCTCCCATTTCAGTGTCCCTTCATGCTGCACCACTGACGACAGGATTCATATGAGCAATTAGGGTTATCTACTGCACCTCAGTTATCTGTACTAGGACTTTTGCATTCAGACCCAGGAGACTGCCTTTTCTGTTAACATGAATCTTTGCATAATGCAGGTTTATAATATAAACTTTACAGTCGAGTTAAGCAGCATCCCACTCTGTGGATCGGATGTCAGAGGATCACAAGACCTTCCTCTTCACGCTAATCGGTTGTGCTCTAGTCAGGAATAGACGAGCAGGCTAATCAGCTCAACTGACCCTCTGTAAAAATACCACTGACTATTATAAAGGCAGCCAATCTCATACCCTTTGAATTCAAGGTAATTATAAGCCAGTGCATTATAGAAAAGGCATTGTTTACTTACATGGAGCATTTTCATGCCCACAAGCTTGAAGCCTTTCGTCTCAAACCTCTTGATGATGTCTCCGATGATACCCCTCTGCACACCATCGGGCTTGATGGCAAGGAAAGTGCGCTCCTTCATCTCGGCCATGACTCTGAAACAAAGGGGAAAATAATGCAGTGAAGAAATAAAAAAAACAAAAAAAACAAGTGCAATCTCCAGGAGGAGCCAGCCGTCACTTACACCTCTTTATTGCATTTGGCACAGTTGGCGGTGGGGCCGGCTGCCGAGGACCCCGACCCCATTGCATAGAGAACACAGATCACAGGACTCCGGTTAGTGAGGATCTGACAGCAGGATCACCTCAACTGACTGACTTTGACTGCCAGCCCCGCCTACAGAGCAAAGACCTTTATCCTCACGCTGTTTCTCTGCTGCACTGGACACGCTCACTTTCACGCCTCATGAATGCAGCAAGTCAAGAAATTTTATCTGCAACTCATTTTATAGACTAGACAAAATCATGGAGGATTTACTCTATCAATTTTTAGACAATTCCTTTGGAAGTTTCCAATAAAAAAAAAAAAAAAAAGACTGATGTCATTTTGTAACAAGTGTAAGTCAAAACAGATCGTGCTCAAGTGGTACATTTCAAATTCTAGCAATTGCTGGTGTAGCATAGAGAGTCCTCTCTACAGCTTAGGGCTGGTCGATTTATCAAATTTTATTTTCAGTTACGATTTTGGATTCCAACAATTAAGAAGTTGGTATTTGTTTCCATCAAGTGTGTCGTGTAGGTGCTGCTGGTGTATTCGTCCCTGGTTCAAAAACTACAAGTCCCACATTCCACAAGCCGCAATGCACCAGTCCCCATACAGTTTTCTGTGATGAGTCATCACTCCTCAGTGATTGAGAAGTTTTTAAGTCATATTTTCAGAACAAACATTGATTCAATGTTGCTAAACACACAGCTGTAATTGGAACCCAATGAGAGTTCTTCCCAGGAAACTTAAGGTACAATATATTTGGGGATTACAGAAAGGAAAAATGCAACAATAATTATCATAATATAATGTTCCATAACACAATATTGAATAAGTGTTTGATTTTATTCACCTGAATCATACAAGTTAGGACTTTAAGATGTTTATTTTGTTGAGTAAAAAAGACTGGAAAGCTTACTTAATCTTACTTGTGCATATTTGTTGACAGAGATCTTATTGTTTTGAATGTTCCACCTCAGATTTGAGAGGTGATCCACAGTTTGGCCACAAAGAAGAGTTTTAGCCACAATTATGAGAGTTTTTATCCTGATAACATTTCTGGCCTCATCGTCCAGACTACGATGTAAATACTGAGGCCAAGAGCTCAAGTGCATGATCACTGACTCCAAGGCCAGCTCCTCATGTGAGCGCCATTACCTAATGTGACAGGAATAAAAAGCCAGACCGGGACAATATTAAAGATAGAATCCGCTTAAGAAATGCAGTTTTAAGTGGAACTAATCCTTGGAGAGTGAAACCACACAGAGGCACCACCGTCCCTGAAGATAGCTAAACTCAGCACACTGGTGCAAAACGTTACATCTTCGTCTGAATATGACTGAGCCACAGAATGATTCTCTCTTCCCCACATTAAAACTCACAAAACCGCTAACGCGAGTGCTGCACCTGCTTGTGTCTCTAGCATTAACAGAACTGAGTCCGATGAGTTTCACTTTTGTGTTAGTTGCGAGACAAAGAGGAGTGTGGCCGCCTCCTCTGACGCGGCCGCCTCCTCGCCCTCCGCCCGCGTCTCGCTGAGCTCCCTCGCCGCTATCTGACACGTTGAAATGAGCTGGCAGAGTTATGAAATCATTCGGTGTGTTTATCGTTAAGTGCCACGATTTCGGACTGTGTGTGCGCGCAAAGGTCTTCACCGCTTCAACTTGACATTTCTTCAGATGGGTTTGCTGGCTTGGTCGCTAGGCCAAAGGGAAGCCACAGCTACATTAGCATAGCATTTAAGATCACAAGTCACAGCTTGTCCGCTGTGTAAAAGGTCCAGTTATTGAGTAAACACGCAGCCGCTTTATCAACTTAGCTCTGATAGACGCCGTGTGTGTGTGTGTGTGTGTGTGTGTGTGTGTGTGTGTGTCAACGCAAATGCACTCTGCTCACCGACGTCAGTGACGTTTGGTGTCTCGGTGTTCGCCGGCTGCACTTGACGGCCCGGCTTAAACCATTATGTCATTGTCAACTCCGGCTAAAGACTTTTATCCCTCCTGAGAGAGACGGCACCTCGTTATTGGAAGCCGCACACGTGCCGTAGCAGCAAATTCCTTTCAGCAGGAAGATGAGCCGCCGGGACAGACCGGGACAGACCGGGACAGACCCGGGCCTTCACGGCCACATGCTCTTTTGTTCGCGCTACTGCGGGAAACCGCTTCCCACGCAACATGTCAGGACAGCGGCTCGGAAAACGGCTCAGTGCGCCAGGACCGCACCAAAACAGCGAGCCCCATATGCTGTCCCTTCATTTATTAGCGCATGAAGTTAATGGATTAACCAAGTTTAAATATGATAAAACCAAGTTAAACCCCACCTGCTAGAACAACTGACTTCCCAAGAGCACTAGTGTTAATGAACGCAAAGTATTCTACACTCTACTCCCAAAAATATGCAGTTCCCAAAGTAAACTATGAATTATCTGTTCAGATTACCTTCACAATGGAGCTCCGGTTGGGTGGACAGAAGTAGTTGCTCCGGTTGACGTGGGAGAAGAGCTAGGGAGCGTGCGCAGCCGCGTTTTATCCGGGAAGGCGGAGACTGGTGCGACGGCAAGTCACTGGAGCCAAAAGGAAAGACACGTTTGCCTTTTCCTTTAGCGAAGCCACAGATCAGTTCTGGTGTCGCGAGATAGATTTCACTACTGTACTGTTGAACGTTGCAAGGAGGGGCACGCTCGGGAACGCTCGGTTCCTGTTCAGATTTCGAAAATCTATTCAATGTGTTTTATATGGGAAATAGTTTATAGCTGTTTTACACTGTGTTCATCACACGAATAAAATGTATTGTGCTTGAACGCACTACAAATCATCATCCACACAGCAGAGCAGAGAGGCGGGGAAGTGAACCAGCTGAAGTGAAGATATGTTAACTCCAAAATAACTCGAGTTGATCATGCTCCTTCACGCAAACCTTCACGAGGAAAAAGCCAATACTTCATCAATACCTGTTCAGAATAGTGACTTTGCTATTGCAAACATTAGGTGTTGCTGCTCTAATCCTGTTCTTAACAACACTTTTAGTAATGAAAAATAACCACTTGGCATAAGAGTATTGATAAATAACCAAACCAATAAGAGTAGTCGTAGGCTATCGATAAAATTTTAACGATACCCATTCCTAAACACCACTAAAATTTGTGAAAAGGGACCTGTGGATCCCGGGGATTCACTACATTAAAAAGCAACATCACTGAAGCTGAAGTGGTGGTTCACTTTCTAATTTTCTCAAACATTACTGTGTAAATCTGTGAATGTAAATTTCCGGTGACGCCAGGTGTTGGGGAGCAGCCTACTGCGGATGTGAAAAAGTTGCATGAAGCCTAGAGGCTCCAGAGGAAGCTATGAGAAATCTGATCAAATGAATTTAATGAAAACATCTGGAGGTGTGGAGTTTTCTGTTATGTTCTGCCTATTTCAATTAGGTGGTCTAAAAATCTATTCAATGAAAAAATCCATTTCAGCCACTTTCACTTTCTCTTTCACCAACTGCACAGGCTAGTGGTTACTTTATGGTGAAGGCTACTAAATGGAATTACATTTTAAAAATTCAGCCTACAGGTTTTTCTGTATTAAAACTGAAAAATGTTACTTCTGCACATCACAACTGAAGAAAGATGACATGTTGCATTTAATGGGACCATCCATTGTGACCTGTATTTTTCAACCTGGACCCTATTTACCTGCGCAAATGATATGCAATGAAGCAACCAGGAGGCACAAACACACAAGACTATATAAGGTTAGTCATTCTACTGAAGTCATGGCATTGGCATCCTAAACCAAAACACATAAGACCAAACGATTTGCATCAATGTTTTCCTGAAGGAAGAATGAACCAGACTAAAAAAAAAACACAAGCTTTAATGTGAATCAAATGTTAAAATTGATTTAAATTTTTTTCTTAACAATCATCCATGAACTGACTCAACAGTAAAGGCAAGTCACAGTCAAGAAATCAGCAATATTTCATTTGTCAATCAATGAGTGATCAATCAATAATCAAACTAAATATGTCAAAATCAATTGTAAAAGTAGAATGAAAAGAAAGAAATATAACAAAATGAATAAATGCTTTTCACATCATTTAGAATGTAATAAAAGGAATAGTGCAAAATATCACAATAAATGTCACCAATATCACCAAGATTGTCCAAACGTCCTCAAGCTAAGAAGCATGTTAAAAGCCTTCATCAAACATGCAAAATCCTTATCATCAGCTTGTAATAAGAAAGCATCAGAGGCAGTGTCACACCAATCTCTGATGGACATGGAGGTGGTTTTCTGGCCTTCCTCAGGTGATACGTGTTGTTTCTCTTTTATTTTCACAGTTTTTTATTTTAAGTCCGGTCTGTACATGTCATGTTCTATATACTATATCTTTTAGATGTTCTCCTTTTCCACCAATACATTCAGTCTTATTCTACACGCACTCACTTTAGGATTTGTTGAACAAAACATTTAAGTTCAGTGAGTCACACAATGGGATGTGACACCTGCTCAGTAACTGAATCTTTGTGGGAGCTTTGTTACCCATACCCGAAACTTGCATTTTTGATAGATAACAGAAAAAGTAGAATACTCATTTGAAAAGGAAAATATTTTGTTATCTTGGAAGGAGAAAGTTCCAACAGTTCACCTGTGCCTTGATCAGCTATCACAATTCTTATTATTAGAAAAAGGAAACCTAGAGAAAGAGAACTGTGGCTATATTCCTGAAATATTTGGAACATTTTCAGCTGTAGACTTATCCACTTGTGGATGGGATGCTGAATTTGTTCAGGGATTCATGTATTAGCTTATGGGTTTTATGTGAATGGTTTCTTCCCTTCATGTGACAATCGAATTTTCAACTGTTTGGATTTTTTCCCCTGTATTGTTTGATTGTTATCTCTGCCAGGTGTGTGTGTGTGTGTGAGAGAGAGATGTGTGCATCTGTCTGCAGCTAATCTCACATACTACTGGACTCATCATCCTAATGTTTTTAGTTCACATTATGACTGCTTGCAAAAGGAACTCTGGTGACTGCAGTGATTGACAATTTTTGAAATGCCTGTTTTGTTGATAGAGCCTATCATAAGTCTTGGACTTTGGTCTTTTCAGCAGTATTCACCATTTTACATGTGTGTTACAACATAGCAAAATACATTTCCAATCAACTAGGCTACAACAAGGCACCGTTGCATCTGCATATTAATTGCATACCCGGTATGTTATGACCCTCTAAAGTTAGGCACCACATGAGATGAAACCCCCCTGATGCCTTGGTGGTTTGCACACACATGAAAAATGCATGTGCACTCCCATATCTGTGGGCTTATAGCATATAAAAAGAAGCTTTAAAGAGGACTTGTAGATTAAAGTGTTCAGCTCAGGACTTTTATGGTATGAGCTACATACTAGTCATAAAGTCACTGGGCATTGCATAACAGTAATGGAAATAACCATGATGTAGCCTGTGATATTGAGGTCATTAAAAACGATGTATCTTATCTAAAGGATTAGTATTCCCACCTCACTCACTTCACTCGTTGTAGGTGAATAGAGTTTTTCTGAGCCTGACATCTTAGCAGTGTGAAAATATTAGGTATGTCTGCCTAAACCAAATCTTGTTTAAATTTGCTTTGAAACATTACGTTTTCACCATTTGCTGTATTGGCTGGCTGCCACCGGCTCTAATGAATGCTGAGCCAGCGAGTGTCCTCACACTGGGCGTATTTGTGGCTCTGCAGACTGTTATTAAGTCTGAATGTTAGGAAGACAAAACGTGAAGTTACACAAATTCGTTGGTTGACACCACTTCTCCTTACTCATAACTCCTTCAGTGAAATAAACAGCTAAACACACACACACATTTATATTTGCCTAAATCACCATTTTCTCTCCTTATTTCTGCCCTGTCCTATTGTTTCTGCTGCTCTTTTCCTCTCCACTTCTCTTCTTCTCTCCTGTTTCCTCTCCTTTCCTCTTCTTTCCTTTCTTTTCCTTTCTTCTCCTCTTCTGTTTCCTGTCCTTTCCTATTGTTTCCTCTTCGCTCCTCTTCTCTCCAGTTTCATTTCCTTTACTCTCCCTTTTCCTGTCTTCTTCTATTGTTTCCCGTTCTCCTCTGGTCTCTCCTTTGTTTTTCTCTCATCTCCTTTTCTCTGCAGTTTCTCATCCTCTTCACTTCTTATTTCTCTTCTCATCTCCAGTTTCCTCTGCTTCCTTCTAACTTCCTTTTGTTTAATTTCTCCTGCCCTATTTACTTTATCATGTTTCCTCTCCTCATATTTCCTTTCCTTTCTTCTCCTCTCATTTCCCTTTGTCTTCCCTCCTGTCCTGTTTTCCCTTAGATTTATCTCTCTTGTTTCCTCCTTTCCATTTCTCTCCTCTACTTTTCCTGCCTTATTGTGTCTTGTTCTAGTTTCCACTCCTCTCCTCTCCTCTCCACTCCTCTCCTCTCCTCTCCACTCCTCTCCTCTCCTCTCCACTCCTCTCCACTCCTCTCCTCTCCTCTCCTCTCCTCTCCTGCACTGCATGCTGGGAGTTTGGTGGTGTGAGTGAGTGTGTGAGTGAGCGTGTGGTGGTGAATGAGTTTGGAGTTAATTTACTTTGTTTTCTCACTGGTTTATATGTTTTTGAACGATCCTATGCAAACGCTAGAAATTTCATTTAAGATCAAATTTGGAGAGGGATTTTACACTGTGTATGCTAGTGCTGGACAGATGAAATGTTTTGAATGTGGAGATGTGGGGCATAAAAGGCCCATACAGGGAACAAGTGGGAGGAGGCGATGGCGGGCACATAGCTGCTGCCACAGGTTCTGCTACAGTTCCGGGGCAGGCTGCGGCGCCTGCCGATGGGGATAACGTTAGTGCTGTCGCTGACTCAGGGCCTGTGGATGGTGGTGCTGCTGCTGCCAGTGGCCCAGGGCCTGTGGAGGGTAGTGGTGATGAGTTTGGCCTTGCCACCTCTGGAGGTCCCCTCATGTTTGTGGGGTCTACAGTTGTGGTGCGTGAAGATGTAGGGGTTGAGGAGGCTGGGGTTGCTGGTCCTAGTGGCGTTAGTGCTCAGAATGTGCAGGAGTTTGCGACAGTTGTTAGAAGCACTAGAGGCCGTTCCTGTGTGATGCAGATACTGAGACTGAATGTGCTTTCAAAACCCCACTTTCTGAGGCGGACAGAGAACAATCTGCAACAACAAACAAAAGCGATATCGTCTGAAAAAGATTCTTACTAAACTTTGAAAGGAAAGAAGGGGAAAGGATCCCTTGAATGGGTGAATCACAAGGGGTGTTTTCTTTGGCTTTCTCTGCTTTAACTGTCCTTTCTGTCTGGTTTGTCATATGCTTTATGATGGATAACTTAAAAATAGCTTCCTTGAATATTAATGGAGGTAGAGATAGAAATAAAAGAGCTCTTTTGGTAGAACTGAGTAAGAATAAGAATATTGATGTGTTTTTTATCCAAGAGACACACAGTACCAATGATAATGAGGTTGATTGGGGAAGAAACTGGGATGGGCAGGTTTTTTTGAGCCATGGCACAAACCTTAGTGCTGGTCTCTAGTCTCTTGGAGAAAAGAATGGCTATTCTTTTCTC